CAGATTTCCAATAATCAATAACAGGTACCTACCAATCTGCAAGTGTGTCTTTGTACTGGTATGAATAAAGTACAATATAATAGTGCTTTTTAACAACTCTGATGGATATATCTCAATTGAACTCTGTTTGACAGGCACATCAATCAGATTTTCTCACTCATTCAAATAATTGGAGACTAATAATTGGAGATTTTTTCTCGTCTATAATCAATAGATTATTTGTTTTTTCAATCTGTAACCAGTGCATTCAGGTCAACCTTTCTTAAAAGTTTAATTAAAGCACAATTCATTTGGATTTATTAAAGTAATTATTGGAGCGTGAAAGTAGTAAAATTACAATGGAAACTAAATCTGAAACTAAATTTGATCTCATCAAGATTAAAAATTCAAGGCCAATTTCAAAAGAATGTGGGTCAAATATCAATTTATATTTGAGCATTCTACATTTTTCGATACTAGTGTCGAATTTCAATTTTTTGTCAAATGAACAAATGACAAATAAATAAGACAAAATCAAACAATGTTTTTTCTTTAAATCATTTGTTATTTTCATATTCTGATTCTCCTTTTATAAGATTTTAAACTTAAGTCCACTGATATAGCTTAAAAATGAATCTATTTTCCACCAAAATCTGTTGACATCAATCTCTTACATCTTTATATCATATCCCATAACATCATTGTTCCATATATCATACAGAAACAAAATCATGCTGAAAATTTATAACGAAGTCATAGGGACATGATTTACAAGTCATTTAATAAACAAGAGACAAAAGTAGAAAAACTTCATATCATCAATGAAATCCTCAAGATATCAAATTCAATAACTGTATCAATCATTTTTTCAGGTCTGCTTTAATGCATATCAAATATTAGTCTGCACGATTCTTTTCAAAATAACACAATGAATGAAGGAACATTGGAAATTGGTTTATGGAAAATTATTGTATTGACCATCTCTTTTATTGAAAGACCCTATAAATCCAGGACAAATGTGAGGTCAAATGACAAGGCATATGGCATGATGCTTCAGCTTACTGGACTATTTGCACATTCTCCACTTTATGCTTTTAGAGTTCTCCTCAAGAGATGGTAGGGATTGAGAAATCAACAATGATATTTGCAGGTTATTTTCAAAACTGGACATATCTTTAATGGAGTATAGCATTGACTGGTCAATGTGGTTACAAGGCAATAAAATAACACATTCAATGAAGCAAGATATTTTTCTAAGTGTGATCACTTTCAGGATTGACCATCCATGACATGAGCGATAATACCAATAAAATCATGTACAACCCATTCATAACTTGAATAAAAAATTTGTTAATATATAAAAATGCAAATATAATAAAAATAGAGTTATCCATTCATGTATTAGGAGCACCTCACAGAATAAACATGGCTACATCAGATCAGCTGTCATGCTATTAGGCCTCGTGGTCACCTTATTCAAGGATGCCACACATCCATTCCAAAGTGATGCAGTTTCTCTAACTATCAAGGAACTAATTTGCCTGAATACAGGTAGATTAAAAAACAACAATTAAACATCTGGAAAAACAATATCGATTAAATAATTATTGATTTTTAACCAAAGTAATTCAATTTGAATTGATGTGAAGATATTTCAATGGCTGTTATGAATATTTAGACAAGTGCTGTTAAAATAACCAAATGATAAATTGGATGACAAATATTTTATGTTTTCCTAGGTTTAATAATGGTACTATTGATGTTGACAAGCCAATACCTGAACATGCTGACATTGTTGATGTGTAATCTATATCCGTGTCAATGATTTACGGTTCAACACGCTGCTAAAATCGAACAGGATCTTTATTAAAAAAGAAGATCCTTGATCAATATCAGCATGAATCTAATTATTCATTCCAAACACCCATATATAAAAGAGATAATAGATTTTGCACATGCCTATTTGACCTAGTGATAATTAAGGCATAATTTGCTGCACAGATAATGCATGTGAACTGCTTAACCTGATCGTTAGGGTCATGCATTTCAAACATGTGTTGAGCGCCATGTCCCCATTATATTTATGGGCCTTGTATTTTCATTAGGGGTGTTAGGTTAGAAACTGACTAATAATTATCTCCGTTTAAGAGCCTAATGATTCTTTAAATGTAACATCATTTTAAATAAAATTATATATGATCTTTAAATGAAATCTTTTATATTTCTCTTCAGGAATACTAAAATCTGTTTTACAAAAATGAGCCTTGCACCCCTATCTTATGACTGAAATGAAAGTGGATTCTTCCGAGGTAATATGGGGTCAGGATGATTCTAAACACATGCTCCAATCTGGTCCAGCTGCATGTGCAGAGTGTAGGATGACTTTGAGGTGACCTATTCCTTGTTACTTTGCTCTCCAATGATACATTTCTAGGTGTAAGCAACATGCATGAGGAGTAGAGGATGACCTGAATTCTGAGTCTACCCTAAGCATGGCACATATCAAGGATCTTACTCCCAATCAAGGATTCTCTACATGTGTGAGATAGACCTACATAGGATAATAAATCGACCAGCTGCAACAAAGACATATATGGGGAATATGTCCTTGAAACATATTTTCAGGAAAAGTTGCTTCGACCTCCAATGCTAACTCTTTATTATTCTACTCCGTTGTTGTCACTGCATTGTTATCCTATGTCACTATGTTCTTCATTCTTGCACAGGAAATTACCGTTGATAAACTTATCAAAATCTATCGGCTTAAATAATTGGAAAAAAAGTAATAAAAAGCTCATTATCAGAGAACTCATCATATATAAGTACTTTTTCCAAATTTTAGTCTCACACAAAAATTCTTTATTTTGCCACAATTTTCTTTTTTTTCATTATTGCCAAAAATAATTTCACCTGTTTATACCTTTATATATACTTATGACATATTTTGAAAGACATATTTTTTTATGTTCAAACATAAACCATTTTATATTTTCAACAGTTAGGCCTGTTAAGAACATCATGATGGGTCACATCTATAATGCATGTATGTTACGGACTTGTGAGTTAATGATATCCAATAGGGTATAACAAAAACTTACAGAATGAACCATTCTCAATCTCATGTAAATATGGTAATGTACTGTAAGGTTTTGGATATAGGGTTTATCTCAAGGCTTATATCTATACATGTACTTCCTGAGGAACCGTATCACTCAAAATTATAGAGAACAGTCAATCTGTATATCCAGGTAACTCTCTGACCAAACACCTCTCAATGTGAACACTTTCTTTGGTCCCTTTGTTATATTCCACTGACTCAGATACTGATGCCTATAATATACACTTAACCAATCTGACTATGATGTCTTCTCAAATAATCATTTCTAGGCAATAAATGTTTGAAATGTTTCAAATCCAGCCATAGAGACAGATATTACCTAAAATCTGAATACTTGCAACATCTCTCTATTGGCATTCATTGTATGATTTTCATTCAAGTCAGTCAAAACAAATGTTCTATTAAAAAATGCTCCCTGTCCTTAAGTCCATTATTTATCATGTCTATATGCTTTGACGGTATACTTCCTGATGGTGATTATGAACAACAAGAAAAAATAGAAAAAAATATATCTGTAGCTGTACATATAAATTCACATCTTCACACAAAGTGAATGAAGAAAATATACTTCAAGATGAATTTCAAGACTGATAATGAATCATGAACGGAATAATGAGTCCAAGAGACAATTGTTCAAGTAAATATAACACATGTACAGTATGATATTTTATAAATATTGGATCAGATGAATAAGTGAATAGTCTTCATAAAATCATTTTAAATAAAGCTTACAACTGAAATCCAAGCTTGAATAATTCAAGAAAAATATTTTTTTCATATGACTTCTTTGAATATATGACACTTGTGACATCTATTTCAACTATTTCATGAGCTGACATCTATTAATAATAAATATAACTTTACTACTCCAAACAAGATAGATGAAGAGCAATAAGCAAAGGTTCAGGACAAATACAATCAATAACATATCACCTATATACGTGAATCTTTTCATTGGTCGAAACAGTGGACAGTGTTTCAATGGAAACGTTAGAAATAATGTTATTAAGTTCTCAAAGATTCTCTGAAGATTTCTAAGGAGGTAGATGCTGCTTATCTCACTTAATGGTCCTTTTTCCATAAAAATCCCCCTATAGCTTTGAAATCTCGTTTAAAGTCTTGTTTTAATTAGATTTTAGAAGATCTGCATTTTTACCATTAAAGACTAACATTTTCTTCTATTTGATGGCATATTTGAATTCTATGTGTAACTTTCTATCAAAAAAGCTTAAAGCTTTGATTTGCACAGTTATTTGCCTTGATTCAAATTCTGACGATTTTCAAGTTTTCTGAAAAGGGTTGGTCAAATCCCCAATGACATAATGTTGAAAAACCTTAAAAAGTTCATTTACTCATATAAGTATCACGATTTTAATGTTAAATCAAAATCCACGTGTCAATAGGTCCATATAATTTCATTCAAAACATGTTTTAAGTTGATCCAAAAGGAATTACTTGTTAGATCAACAAATTAAGTGACTCTTGTAATACATTTCCATGTATTCTAGCCCTATCAACACCCACGATGCCATCTATTTTTCCATTTTTATTGAAAATGGTCAATTATCCACAACCTGTACATAGCCAAAATATCTAAATGTGCTTTAATGGGGGGAAGAATGAAATTAGAAAATCAATTTAGAGTCAAAGGGGCCAACATACAAATTATCTTATATATTTTTCAATCCAAAATCTGGGACTGTTATGCTATCTTAAAGAACAATGTGTTTGGGGTAAAGCCCATTTTGCCAGCCATTTTGTCTTGTGAATGCATCAATCTATTACTTTCACAGGGGTGAGCAACAATCAACAGCATCAGTTTCACTGTGATTGTGTATTTTAAAAAACTTTTTGGGCAGATTTTTGACCTAACTTTCTTGGTAGTTAATAAAGTAAAACTTACCATGCTTGTTTTTTCACGTGACTGGAATGTGAAATCAAATTCTGTTCCTGATGGTCCCCGTGACAAACATATTGGTAACAACTGCTCCCCGTGTATCACATGACCTAAAAGAAGCATGACAGAACATTAAAAGTAATACCACATGGGCTAGAAATTACATAATGTTGCATGACAGGCATGTATTATGTACATTCTTCAATATATCATTATTGGATAACTTATCATGGATACTTTTAGAGATATATTTTGAATAATATAAAAATACATTGGTTAAAAAAATAAATGCAGTTTGCAACTTTGTCATTGTCTATATCTCTGATTTTAGCTTAAATCGTAGCTTTCAGCGTACACAAAATATACGAACATTCTTAATCTTAATGTTGTTGTTACCATGTGTCACTATGAAAGTTAAAGATCTTACCACAAGAATATTCTAAGATTCTACTCGGTGCCACCCCTGCTGCATAAAACAGTTGCTCTTTAAACTCATCTAACTGAAAATACAATATGTAAGGTATAAGTACACAAGGGTTTCAGATATAGGGTTTATCTTGAGGGAAATATGTGCATTTAGTGAGGGGTCATGTTCTTTATGTATCTTAGTCATTACAGTGAAAACTGTGTACATTATTGAACACATGCGGAGCCACAAAAATGTGTCCACTGTGAGGTGTTCAATACAGAGGGTAATTTATAAAGAAGTCAGTTGAGTATGTGGTATGTGGAGTATGCGGTGTCCATAAGAGACAGGTGCTCACTAAAGAAAGGTGTTCACTAAGACAGGTTTTTTGGTATCATTAATTTTCAGGGCCTCTAGAAAGATCAATATTACATGATAGAGCAACCCAAATTAAATAATATATATAGCACTCAAATTAACTAAAATGAGTACTCAAAATAACTAGGATTAAGAGGGATGAAAATGTACATGTAACAAAAAATCAAAAAATTAATAACTGTGGTATCTTACTGGTTGCATTGTGCCCCCTGCAACAATAACTGCTCTGGCATCTGCAACAATGTCAGCAAAATGAACAGCAGGGTTCAACAGCAAGAACTTGAGACAGCATCTACTCAGAAGATCTGAAACAGGAAATATTAAGTTAATTGGTACATGTGTGCAAAGAGGGGGAATAGCCCAGAATTAATAGATGAATTCTGCGGATTTCTTAATCTTATGAATGCAGACTTTAATCCAATTATTTCCACCATAAGTCTGTATCCAGTTTTCAGTGATTTGATGGGTAGCATATTGTACATGAGTATGTGAGATGGTGCCAAACACTAATTGAATAATTGAACAAAGAATTAAAGAAAACAAAATGTAGCCAACTAATAACTTCAAGCAAATGGTTACAAAAGTGTTACAGATGGGCGCTAATGTAGACTTTATAATGGAATTGTGAGATTCTTTTTACCTTGCTTTGTGAGGACTATGCGACCATCCTTATTTAAATTTGTTAATGCCATAAGGAACCCTTCTATATGCATCATGGGAGATTTGAATATCGTTCCATCCTCTTTGTTAATTTCAGGTACATCTGAAATTTAAGAAAAAGTAATGTGATTGCAGCAAAAATTGGCTCGTAGCAGATATAACTACCTCAGTTTGCAAGCTTCTTACAAAAGATATTGTGAAATAAGCTTTTAAGCTGAATCTGAATTACCCAACAGGAACAGTGCATATTGTTCATTTATTATCATGCACTATGTCAATCCTGAGCAAAAGAGATTCTGCAATGTAGCTGAAGTACAAATAAACAATTTCAAATATTTGAAATTAAGCGACATTTTGTCATTTTTCTCTACATAATGGTATTCCAGCCCTGCGAAAACTACTAATGCCATCTATTTACATGTATCCATCTTAGTTAAACAATACATTCCTTATTCATCTAAATTCTAAAGTAGCAAATAAATAAAATATATGTAATATCTAAACATGTGTACCTTGGGTTACAGGAGACACAGACTTTCCAGAATTTTTGTCACCAATCTCAGTTAGAAAACTCTTCAGTCCACTGTGCTTGGGTTTTTCCTTTTCCTTTTCTTTGGCTAAAATAAGAATTCAGATGAACTCCTTGACTTGACAACATTTTGATGACATCTATTTATTAAAAAAAAAAATTTATAAAACATTTAGTTCAGATTATTCAGTGCAGAACTAATATTTTCAACTAAAGCTCCTCAAAAGTGAGTGCGTTTAGTGTTCCTTGTTCAGAGACAAATTGATAGAGTTCAAATCTCACAGCTACCTGACAGTCGATGAGAACCACTTTCTGCTCTTGGCAATGAACTTGGAAATGCTGGTTGCCTATTGGGCAATGGACTGATTGCCCTTATGTTTATTTGTGGCAATCATGTTTTGAACCTTATATTAGTCATGAACCCTGGACAGGGAGAGAAAACACAAATAAAGTTACTCTGTAATTTGTAATGCAAGAAAACCCAAGAAAAGAGGGCTTCCATTCTATAAAGAGTATTATACAAAAATAACCATATACTTTACCTATTTTCACTTCAGATGGTTGATATTTCTCAACATATCCTTGCAACTGGAACGAAGAAAAACATGTACACTTAAATCCATGAGATTGAAATATATTGAGAAACTTCACATATATGTACTAAACACACAAATTACTGACAAGATTCGTTTCAAAACAATTTCAAAACAATTTAACAACTTTGAGTTTTATATTATAAAATTTAAAAGGGAATAGACTAAAAAAGACCACCTTAAAACACAAAACAGGAGATTACCATGACAACATGTCACTCCCTGTTCAGTTATTGCAAATGATTCAAAAGTGTAACAATTTGTCACAGATACTGATCACCAAATACAAAATGCTAAAAGCTGAATGCCAGTCACAAAAATGGTGCCTATGACATATAATGGCCTATAACATCCAATAAAACCTTGAATATACCTTGAAGTTTGGAGAGTCTCACCTTTTTAGAAATTTGGCTCCTCTCACAGTATCTTAAGACCTTGAAGAGGTTGAGGTTGTCTAGTTGGCACTCAAATACAAAGTCATTCATTGTCATTAACCTTGTTTCTGAAAAACATGACAATATATGAATAATGTTGTTCATTCATTTCATAACAAACTTATTTATGGTTGAGTACTCAGTAATGAATCCCCCTTTATGTGTCACCCTTTATTAACAAAATGATTTTCATTCACATTTTTCAAGTGATTGATTTTGTTTGAAACTGTATCATACAGAATCATTATCACTTTGTAATAAATAAAGCGAAAATAGAGGAGTAAATTCTCAATATTTTGAACCTGTAAATTCATTTTAGTCGTGTTTGTGTAATTGTGTTTATAGTCAACCTGTAAACAGTAAATCATAAGTGGAGTGTGAATATGTACACAAGATACCATGGATCATTTTTATATATTTTTTATCTTATCAGAGGCCTTATTCACAATGGCTAGCAATTTTGCTATACGTATATTAAGATTCTTTATGAATAAGGCCTCTGCAGGTAAATGAAATATAATCGTTCTAATTTATAAGATGAAACATACCTTTTGAATTAAGATACTGCATGTTTGCTGCCTCTCCTAGTTTGCCTGAAGAATTAAGACATATAAAATGGTATAAATATTAAAGACAATGTGTAAAGTTTAAACCACTTCATTTAAGAAAATACAGCATTGATTGTTTATCAAGTTTTTCTAGATATAAGAGAGGTTTCACACAGCACTTTTAGCTCAACGTATCACAAATCTGTAACACATTCATCAGATTTATGTGCAGCAGTTCAATTAAAACAAGATGTGGCTACAGATATGTTTTAGTAATAACTCATTGTGCGAAACCTCTCTAATGGGTTCAGACATTCTAAAAATTGAAGTTAGAAAGCATTTTTATCCCAGAAATGTTGGGCCATAGGAGAGTAGAGGATTAAGAGGATGTATAATAAATGAGATTTTATTTTAATAAGTCCATCCAAATTGTATAATTAAAAAAACTCATTTCTCAAAAGTGTGATATCACAAAATTCTTATGTCCAAAAGCTGAACACTTGTCAAATCATTGCTCTTAGGCTGTAGTATTGAGCCACCTTTTGCCAGTGAATAACTGCATGTACCTAAAAAGTTAAAGACAATTTTAAAGGAAACCTAACCTTGCCTGACTTTCCTATAAAAAATAAAGTAACCTATAATAATAGTATAATAAGTACATGAAAATAAATTCATCTGACTACTTTGAAAGTGCAGAAAGTTGAACAAGATATGGTGAGTTCTCTCCTCATTTTTGGATAAAAAGTTCATGAGCTACTAGAAACACAGCAACTCCAGGTACAAAAATCCCACTGAATAAAATACTGTATAAGTGGTATTTAATCCGAGTGGTTAATTTTCCGAATGGTCAAATTTCATCATTTTCCTAATTTTAATTTTCCTAATGACAAGACACCTCCCATTGAATAACATTATAAAGACAATATTTCCGACATTTAATTTTCCGAACCTGGCAAAAATAAGGAAATAGGCAAATTAAATGATTAGGCAAAATTACCACTTATACAGTATATCTTACTTATTTCCATTTCGAGCTTTTGAGAAATAACACAAGGCAACAGAAGCAACAAACAAAGGACCTTATACAACCTCCATTGGGATCTCCCCATGGGAAAAAAATAATTCATCTGATTTTTCAAAATGAGTATTCTGCTTCAATTATTACATTTATATGCACACTAGTATCTTGTTGACCTTTATTCAGCACTGTATTGATGTATAGGCCACTTATTAGGGTCATAATTCAATCATGAAGTGTAGAGGCATAGATTCCAAACCAGGAAGTATTTTTGTGTCTGTCAAAATCCATTTACATCCTACGCATCCCTGCATCTTATCCAAATATGTTACTACATAATGAAATATAATAGTATAATCTTATCATACAAGTTTTACAAACTTGTATGATATTTGATAATTGTAAAAGTTGTTTTTGGAGCATTTTTCTATAGCCATTTTTTAGGGAAAAAATGATGAAAAAATGTACAATCTTTTAATTTTAAGTATGACCTGAATCGATTGCAAACTTCATATTTGCACATTTGATGAGATAAACCATTTGTGTTGTATTGTGAAATTATTAAGTTTGCAATCGATTCAGGTCATAGTGTATTTTTGGTATTTCTGTGATAATCAATGGAAACCAATGGCCTCTATTGGGATCTGCTGATATCCTCATGTTAAGTCAATGGTGCACAGCCCCATGTAAGTCAATACAATCTTACTGAACGAAATGATCCCTATCTCAGCTTATGTGTGTCCGAGCACTTTCATATTTTCCAAAGTATTATATGACATTTTATTCTTCATGTTACACCTACGTATGATTCATTTTGACCATAGGGATATTTGCCAATAATTGCACCTTGTCCTTTAACTTAAATTCAAAGGATTCTAGGCATTTTAATCTTGCTTGAAGACTGTACCCCCCCCCCCTTACACATCACCTTCACCAACACAAAAATACATGGTGAAGTTGATAAGGGGGGATTCCTGGTCTTAAGCTGAATTTGAGCAATCATTTTTACTAAACAGATTGATGGATAGATGAATATGTCTTCTCTTTATATACCTGCTCAACCATTGATTGGTTGGATAAGGGCAATAACTTACAGAAATGAAAAATGAAGTTGAGTCAGCCTAACTTGTACCTTGAACAGACGACCTTCACTTGAAAATACATGTTATAAATAATCCACAGCCATAATTTTAAAGGCTTTATGTAAAGTTTGAAACCACATTCTTATTCGATTTGATATGGATTTTTTTTAAATCACTTACAGTTTTGTAATCAAAGTTTATCATTTACCAAAAAATATTTGGAAAATTTAATATATGATGATATATGATATTTAATAGTTATTTTTAATGAATCTATCCACCACTATTTATTGTTCCTCCTATGAATTCTTTTGAGTAAATGAAAACATATATCTGGAGCTCGTTGGAAAAAATGTATTACACAATATAATTACATGTACAATGGATCTCAATGATAATTACGAATCCAAGTCTGGCTGTTTAAAAGATGCGTTCTTAAAAAAATATTTGCTGCCAAGATATGAAAGAAATATATATATCAAATATTATAAAATAAATATCAAAAATTAAAATAAATTGTTCATTCTTATTTCTTAATCTCATATAGGAAAAATGCTCACATATTTAATGTCCGATAATTTTGGCTTCATAATTGAACTGTTACGCATAAATCTGGTAAATGTGGTGTGAAACCTCTCTTATATCAAGAAAAATTTTATAAACAAAGAATGCCACATTTTCTCATTTTAAACTTTACACATGGTCTTTAATATTTATACTAAGATATAGTGCAGTCACTATCATGATAAACCATGACATCTCATTTCTTCTCAGCCCTGAGATGCCATGATATAATGAGCTTGATTTGGTGATTCAGGAGAGCCCAAAATTGAGGATTTTTGAGATCTTTCAATCCAGTTCATATTTCATCTAATTGGGGTCATAAAACGTGTGTACCTGTGCTAATATCTCCTGTTAAATACAATGCCTATTATGTAATGTATCGACATTAAGGTAAATGATTACATGATAACTATCACACTTATTGACAGTTATGACTCTTCCATCTGATGTGCTCAGATCACAGAATATGCCTCATAATATTAAAACATGTTTCAGGTGAAACAGAAAGATACTATGAGTATCAGAATGTGCAGTCACTTACATGACATTTTCAAAGTATGCAAATTCATGCAAATTTATTCATATCTAGGGAGTGTTTTGTGAGGGGATCGCTATATGATAATATAGTTCCTAATAGTGACATAGGAGAATTGCCATGTTTTTAAGTCTTTAAAAATAATGTTTGGATATTCAAAATACAATATTTTTACTTTACATAGGGCCTTTAAATATTATCTGGGTTACTATCATACAATAACTAAAGTCCAAACTTCAAAATTGCTACAAAATAATGTACCTTATCAAAACAAAGTACAGACAGAATCTACGATATGAGTTTTCTTCGTAAATGCGTCATAATAACAGGATCCAGTAATGGGATTGGAAAAGCGACTGCTCTCCTCTTAGCCTCCAAGGGTGCAAATGTTATGATACATGGAACTAAGCAGGACTGTATCCATTCAGTGGTGGAGCAATGCAGAAAGGTGGGGGTTAAAGGTGCAGTCTTCCCTAGTTTTCAAGGGAGAATTGAGAGTGAGGAAGTAATGGAAACAATCACAGCGATAGCTCTAAAAGAGTTTGGCCAACTGGATGTGTTGATAAACAACGCTGGAGCTAGACTAAAGTATGACCTGAGAACAAGTCCAATGGCTGATTTTGATGAACAGATCGCTCTGAATTTGAAATCGCCAGTGAGAATGAGTCAACTTTGTCTCCCTGCTCTGGCTGAATCTGGGGGTAATATCGTGAATGTATCTAGCTGTTTAGGGGTGAGGCCATCATCTGTATCTTCGTCATTTTATGCAATATCTAAAGCAGGTTTAAACATGTTCACTCAGTGTGCAGCGCTAGAGTTTGCGAATGATGGAGTGCGCGTTAATGCGGTCTGCCCTGGACCTATACCAACTGAAGCTATCAAAAGAATGGGAATGACAAATGAACAGGCCAATGCATACTACAAGAGATTTTCAACTATAATTCCCACAAAAAGTGTTGGAAATGTGGACAAAACCTCAAAATTGATCGCATATTTAGCATCAGAAGATGCAGCCATGATAAATGGACAATGCATTGTGGAGGATGGTGGACTGTCATTAACAGGACTTCAATATGATGTCATTCGAAGTTTGTCGAAGGAAACACTGTCATAACATTATGTATTTGGAAAGAAAACAATCAAAGAGGCAATGTTATTGCTTCTAAATCATTATGCTATTTCATCCCCAGTTATAATTTTAATCAAACTTGTTTGCTTCTAAAACATAATTCATCCTCAGTAATATTATAAAAACAAGATTAAAGCAAAATAATAGCAAATCCAATCGAACAGCCAACCTAACACCAGAACACCCTGACAACTGTAAAGTCAAATACCGTTGTCACAAATGGCGGACGTAACCATTGCTTCATACTTTAATAATCACTTGGTTTTCATTTCATAGGACCTAATCGTCACCAAGCTCTTGTGATGGTGTATTATATGAAATCCCAATTTCAATCAAATGTGGTTGTGAATCGCTTCAATACACCGTCTTCCACATATCAATGACAATGGAATTTGAATTTGAAATACTTAACAGAGACAACGACACATGGTAAGATGTGACTATGGCCTATAGTGGATGTATTGCATTGGAACATAGGAAAATAACAACCTGAACTAGACACTTTATAGTTGTTTTGTATAAATACCGGTGCTCTATTTGATCTATTAAACATGCAGTTAATAAAAATCGAATCTAATAAGAAGCTGTGGCCACCCTTTGTGACAATTGTATCTGACTTTACCCTTGTCAGGGTGTTTCAGTGTGTACCTAACAATCTTGAATTTAATGATCCAGATTTAATAAATTAGGACTTCCTTCTTTAATACGTGTAGTATAGTATGTGATGCTGTTTGATGCATATGTAATAGAGGGCATTGCAGGAACTCATCAAAACAGATTTCAACAGATTTCTTATTATAGAAAATTTTTATTTGCATATCCTCCCAGCAATGGATACCTGCCCAGCAATAACATTCATGCATTACTTCTGAACCCATCCCTTTCACTTATATTAACAAGGCACAGGGTGAACAATATCATACCTAAACCATAGCAGTGTGGGCTTGTTGACCCAGAAAGCAAGATGGCCACTGAAAAGTTAATCAGCTCTAACTTCTTACCATGTAACATGTGTAAAAATCTGAAGGAAATCTGTTAAGTGGTTTTCCTGGAATCGCGATGACAAGATTTATCTAAAAAACTTCCAAGATGGCCGCCAGAATGCAAAATGGCCGCCAAAAAGCTAATCAGTTCTAGAGCTTCTAAAGTAACATGTGTAAAAATTTGAAGTAAATCTGTTCAGTGGCCAATATGGTACCTTTTTTAAGAAAGGATAAAAATACATGGCAAAAGCCCAATAGCAGATAGAAAACATGTACAGGTACTTTAATTCACAATTACAACCTACATGAAATTGGTAGATTTTGCTTCACATGTTATTCAGATGAAAAGGCTGAGAACCTAATACCTTTTATATGTACCTACCTCCTAAGCACTTGATAAAGCTGGCCAATATATAGAGTAGCTGCTTGATGTACATCAGGTTCTTTGCAAGAAGTCTTGACTTGAACTTCTCCATGTATTGACTAAGCTGGGAATGTGCCTGGCATACCTGGAATGGTAATCATTAAGATTTCAATCTCAGTTTACATATTGTTCAAACATTGTGTTTAACCCAATGATAGAGTATAGAGAAACATATCACTATGGTAGACAATACAAATATTTCATATTATCCTATGCCAAGTAGAGTTTCAGGGAGATAAGTTGGTAAGATATATCCCATATCCTGATTTTGAGGTTTCCATATCCAGAACCTTCATATCTCCCGCCATATCTCACGCTTCGGTGCATATCTTCCCGCTTCCGGTGCATATCTTCCCGCTTCCGGTAATGCAATAAAATGACTTTGCATATGAAAGATTTGTTTATTTTTACACCTTGTACTATTGAAATGGCCATATGTCCCTGAAAACTCTACTTGGTAGGATAAAGCAGTTACGGTCCCTCAGGTAGATATGCATATCTCCCTCTGGATAAACCCTATATCCAAAACCTCCCAGTACATAACTCTCATTTATTAAGATAAGCACCTGCTCATCTTTCACGAGTGGATACATCTCATTGAATACGCCTTTTTCTGAGGTTACAGGCTTGGCCAATGTATACATCTTCTTACTTTTTTGTCAAGTGTAATGAATAGAGCAAGAAGGGAGTGGGGGAATATGCCAGTGGTATTATTTTATGGACAGCCCCGAGTTTGCCGAATATTGACCACAGGAAGTGAGAGCATATATCAAACTATGAAAACTGAAGACTGGTCACCCATCTGGTTGATATACACTAAAACCTGTGAAAGTGGAATGCCTTTGGTACCACAAAATAGTGTCCAGCTCTTTGTTTTAGGAGATGCTCCATTTACAGAAGCTCATTTTACACTAAGTTAATGCATAATGAGACTTTGAAAACCATTCCATTAATGGGGAGCTCAATTTTACAGGCTTTACTTTACCAAGGGTCGACTAATAAGTTGGTCAAATAAGGCAATTCATTGGCATATATTTTTTCAAGAAATCTTTCTAAAGAACACTGTTTTAAGCGTACCTGAGATCCAGTGATTTCTATGCTATATACATTGTTGATTGTCTCAAGCAGGTTATGCGCCTCATCTATAACCACTATATTGTCCTTCAGTTTTACCCCAGTGGCATCCCTTGTTGACTTATGCAGGAGTGTGTTGTATGGAAGAGCAACAAGCTGGAAACAGAAACAATTCTTATATGAGGAGTCCATATTACAACATAACTTGATATTAGTAGACATTTAAGAATTTTTATTATACTCTGACATTACATACTTTGAAATCCAAATCATTTCAATACATCATAGTACTATAAATTGAATACCATTGAATAAAACATCCAATAAGTTCTTGTAAAATACAGGAATCATTGTGGCCTCAATGAATGCATTAAGCACGTAGCATCCCTAATGGACCAACAGAGAACATAAGACATTGAATAAAATGTGTAAGAGCCTCACCTCAGCCCCAGGGATGGAGAGCCTAGTACCATAATAAGGACATGCCTTCATCTGTTTACCCTTGTTCACTAGCTGCTCTATGTCACTCACTTCAACCTGAAACAAAATAATTACTGTATAAGTGGTTATTTTGCCTAATCATTTCATTTGCCTATTTCCTAATTTTTGCCAGGTTCGGAAAATTAAATGTGGGAAATATTGTCTTTATAATGTTATCCAATGGGAGATTTCTTGTCATTAGGAAAATGATGAAATTTGACCATTCGGAAAATTAACCACTCGGATTAAATACCACTTATACAGTACTCCTACATAACAATACAGAAATATAGCATTTAGTTTATATATTTCAAAGTGTTTGGTCTTCCCTTGGATTGACTCGCTAAACACTAGATATCTAAAAGATCCTTGAAAATATGAAGCATCACATATATGCACGTTTGTAGGTTAGAGTATTACTGTATGGAGTACAGTACATGTATATTTGCTATATACATAGCATATGTACATGTTTATTTGCTATACTACTATACTACTTGATTCGACTGATGAATTGATAGCAGAATTGCTCCGTTTCAAATAACAAGAGGAATACAACATTATAGATATACAAGGCTTTAAAATGCAAAATGCCACCACCTGCCATTTGTTACAGACGCCAAATACTGACCTCTGCCCATCAAATGCCAAAACAACAAACACCAACCATGAAATACAGACTGCTGAACATTGTCCACAAAAAGGTTGGAGACTAACGATACACTTGTGGTGGTGACATAAAAATGGGAATGTGTTGAGAATTCTTTACAATTCACCCTATATGCAGTAAAAGTAAGCGGAACACCATTTAAGTGGAACAAATATTTTGAGGTGCTCCCGTGAACTGTTTTGCTGTATGATAGCAGTGTAGTAATTACCAGAGCTCTGTCTCGGAAATCATAGAGAGGATCCTGCTTGTAGAATGGACATCCTGGAACTGACTTCTTTTTCTTAGGTTCAGATTCACCTGTTTTCTTTCTGCTCTCTGAAACAGGGAAAAAACTGATAAAATCATATTGCACAATGCGATACTATATTTTATAATGTATTTCCATATCATTATCTGTACAATACCATAATGTACAATGCAATACCATATTGAACGTTGCAATGCAATTTCACATTTTCCAAAATCTATATGGGCTCCAAAAGATTCCTCATTTTTTTATCTTTAAATCTGATGACATTTCCCAGCATCCCAGGTACATACCCTAAGTATGAATGTCAGCATTTACCTTTTTTCTTCTGCATCTCCAGACAGCGGTCATTCATGAGTGTGAGAGACTTCAGTTTCTTTACTTGTTCATTTATACACATATTCTGAAAGAGGTGGAAGAAACATTTTTGCACATTTATGCCTCAGTCACATTTGATTTACGCCAGCCGTAGCTTCCTAAAATCAAGAGACAGGTGCAGCATAAAATATAGGAATGAGCAGTATGTTGTTGATTTTCTATATCGATCTTGTGAAGCTATGCCCACCGTATGCCCAACGTAGAGCAAATGTGACTGAGGCTTTAATCTATAAAAAAAGTACATTTAGATGAGTTTCTGTACCTGCAGACATATTTTGCTGACTGCTGACTAATCCATACTGTAGTGTAGACTTAACAGTGCTCCATCTTTATATGTACTGAAGGACATTATTTAATCATAATTCTTAGTTGATGATTTCAATATGAAATTTCAGGAGAGCTGGTAATGGAGTTTCAAATTACTCAAAATGAATTTTTATGATTTATGATTTATATATAGGATTCATAATCCATATGATAATGGTGGATAAAATAATTTCACAGCATTACAGGAAAACATAATTTGACAAAAGGTACTTTCTGAAAATATAATGTAATATTCGGAAGAGGAAAAGAAAAGTATATAAGGGTTATGTATGAGGGAAATGTGTGTATCTCCCGAGGGACCGAGGGAGATACACATATTTCCCTTGGGATAAACCCTGTATCCAAAACAGACCATACATAACAGATGTATTTCATACCTACTGAGGTTCTAGGTAAATCATACCTTATGAAGATCCAATATTCCAAAATATACTTAAGGTACGCGTTTTCTTGGTCTTAAAGTTTGCGAGATTTTCAAAAAAAAAAATTTTTTAAAATGTTGATAAAAAAATTTGAAAAAAAAATTTAACAGGAGCGGGATGGATACAGCATGTATCCATCCCCATCCCGGGCCTGGGTGATAGCTCCCTAGATACAGTATATATTCCCGCTCGTTATGTACCTAGAACCTCAGTAGGTATGAAATACACAAATATATGTGCCTAATGAACAAATTGTGCCAGTGACCAATACACTGATTGATATTATGGTGTGCCTATCCTTCAGCATATAAGGATACCAGGAAAAGGGTCATATAGAAAGTTAGTTACCTGTCTGGAGCCAAGTGAGACAACTCTGGTACCTTCCCCATATGGACTTTTCTGAACCTCTCGTATAAACTGGGACAGCTGAGAATGAGTTCGACTGCAGAAGTATATCTAAATAACATGTTATTAAACTTTTTTTTTTAATTATTTATACTGGACTTGCATAACAAAAACACAAATCAAGAAGTACTGTACATGTATATTTGAATGTCATGTTATATCATTTATATTGATACCTATAACTAAAACCCAAATCAAAAGTATATCTAAATGTAGTGCCATTTACATTGAAAAAAAAATATTCAAAATGAAATTCTTTGAAGGACCAAGAGGTATGAATTTGGGCTTGTTAAAGCATGACATACAGGTAACTGAATGAATGCAAGTTTTCAAATGTTGTAGTGATAAGAAGAGAATATATCTTGGTTTAAGCTTATTTGAAGCAGCAGATAAAATACCACTAGAGATCTTGTAACAGGATCAATTCTCTTGATTTCAATGGCTCAATATTTGGTTCATATGATTTTGTTTACCATTTGTCTCAAGGGACAAGTGGCTTCAATTACCTTAGTGACATGGAATTCATCTTCCTCTTCATCTTCCCTTTCTGTTTCTTTATAACATTCATCATCACTATTGTATTCCTTCATGCATATATCATCATCAACTTCAAGGTTACAAGTCTCAGAGTCATTAGCATTGTCCAGCTCACGTTTGAACGATTCTTTAAGCTCCTTATCAGCATCTTTGAATAGTTCATCAAATTCCTGTTCAAGGTTTGGCCTCTAATAAAGATATATACGCATACATGTATATTTACGACATGTTTCTTTAGAGTACTCATAAAGAAATATAGTGGTCAACATTTTCTTTGTTAATTTGCCAATGACATTAAAAATCTGCCAATTTTGCCTGTTAAGCTTTTTATTTGCCAATTTTGACTATAAGAAATCTTGTTTTTCAAAAAACATAAATTAGTTTTTTGGCAATATTCGGAGGTTAAACACAGACATACTTTTCTTTTGCCCTTTACTTTGGGTCTGAGGTTATTCCTAAGTTCCTGAAGTCGAGCTTCACGTTTCAAGCGTTGTTCTTGTGCCTCCTTTAGCTGTTTATTCTTGCTCTCTTCCTCCCTCTTCTGTACAAATGCACTAATCCAATCATCTGGAGAAAATTGGTAACTGAGATAAAATTGCAAAACATAATAAGCTGTCAGTTCTTGTTTCATTCTTCACTTAAGCTTACATTTTATTTCATTACACTTCACCTGTAGTCTTTGGATAAAAGTACATGAGAATATTGATATTGCATTGTTGATATACCTAAAAAATATATTTTATTTATTTACTTAATAAATATTTAGAATCTTCTCATTGGGTTTACTATATGAAGGGAGTGTATACCTTTAGCCTCGGCAGCTTCTTGTTGCTCCTGACTTACAGACTTAGCTTCAAGCAACATCTCAAGTTCTTTCTTCTGTTTCTCTTCAAAGTCTTTCAGCCATTTCAGTGCTCCGCATATTAAACTGAGAGATTTTCCCTATAATAAGACAAAAATTGTCTTGATATTGTTTATCGATTTTTAAAAATATGAAGTTTATATGATATACTGATTAGAAGGTACTGGTAAGTTTTGGATACAGGATTTATCCAGAGGGAAATATGTTTATCTTCCGAGAACTGGTGGGAACAACAGCAAATACATAACTGTATTGTAAGTTACACCAAACAGCCAATGATTGACAGTTAATAAATAAATAAATTGAAATTGTTGGAATTCTAATATTTTAAAGACAAATGAATCATTCAATGTTATTTGAGAAAATAAACAATAATTAAAATACAGTATTATGCATGTCTAATTTGTCTATGTATAAAAACATAGGATAAATATTTACATACAGTGCCAGTAGGACTTTCAAATATGCCAACTTTGCCCAATTCGAGAGTTTTGTAGACGTTTTCCATAAACCCCAACTGGATGTCATAAGGTTCAAATGGAAAGGGGAATTCATCAGGTAACTGCACATCATTGGTTCCTGAAAAAAAGAATATTAAAAATATATGTATAAAATATAAACAATATTTAGGCCAATGGTATTTGAGTTATTGATTGACAGACAGACGTGCGTACATACGAACGGAGCCATTCTATATATCCCTCAAAACTTTGTTTCTTAGTATTGTTCATTTCTAAATCACTTTATATCATTAATGTCACTAAAATATTAAATTAAAAAAGGAAATCTGTAATCGTATAGCATAGGATCTTATTTCATTGGGCAGGGTGTGGATGTATACAAATTATGTGTTGATAACTACATACCATCAAAATCATCTTTCTCTGATGTGTTGTCTCCTTCAACTCCTCTGGAAAGTTCTTCAGTATTTATGTCCACTTCTTGTTTCTTAGTTGGGCGGAACCATTTGTCTAATGTTGGCGAGAGTGGTGTATCTTTTTTTCCTCCTTTTTTAACATGTTCATTACTTGATCCACGCTGCATCTTGGGCGCAGGGAGATTCTCTTTGTGACTATTTCCTTGAATGCTTAGAGGTTGTTTTGGAGGATTGGGCTTGTTTTGTTTATCTTGTTTTGTTTCACTTCTTTGTTTCACACTGGTAAGTACTTGCTGCTGATCTGTTGGTTGGACAGTTTCTTTTGATTGCTGTTGGTAATTTAGTGGCAATGATAGCAAAAGTTCATCATCGATCCCACAATCATCAAACTCTTCAGTAAACTCCATGTTGCACAGACTTCAGGTGATGTGTCTGAAAATATGAGCATGGTCTTTACATAATATTGCAATTTTAATAACTGAGATCATAGGTGCATTCATACTTCTGATTGAAATATCTGCATTTTACTCAAGTTATTCCATGACATTTCTATCTTAAATCTCAAATCTAAAAAACATATCCTTTTTAAAGAGATTGAAATAAAAATTCAACAAAATGATAATATTATCCATAATTTATTGCAAATTGTTCAACATCAATACATACCCATTTTATGAAATATAAATTTATAAAAATGCACATAAAAACTAAAAATGTCCAGCTTTAGACCAGTGCGAATCTCTGATTATCCAATTGTTATCCTAAGACTATCCTATTATTAACTTTGTTCCAAACATGTGATAAGCAGAGAACAACAAAAGAGAATCCTTTGTAAGAGCAACCATCACAGAGACTACCCTGTCATTTACTGCACTCCTAACAAGACACCTGCCCTTACAAATTATATTAAGATGATACGTCTTCATATCATTTACACATCACTTGGTAATATCAAGATTTTTAAAGCTTGATAAGTATATTCCCTAAAATAATTTTTTTATCTTTTGTTGTGACTTATAAAACATGTTAGGGTTGATTAGGAGGTAACTTTGGTGAACATTTTGAAAGGCAAAAACAGTAATATATATGATAATGAATTTCAAGATCTGTATAGCCTATTCATGATTTCAAAGATTCAAGTAAATTCTGAGTGATACATGGTCTGCAAGATAGACTACATTTTCACTGATTTTATGAGGATTTGGAGTTACAGTTATAGCCCATTAAGCTCATTAAAAGTTCATAAATTCTGCCCTTTCTTTCCAAAAGATCAAAGGTCAATTTCTGCCCTTTACATACAGGGTGGGCAATATAATTATGTGCACATTTAGAAGATTTTAATGTTTAGTACAATTTGTCTTTGATAGAATCAATTAGTTCTGCCATTGTTAAATTGAAATCTTCAGACAATAATAACAATTTATATATAAAACTTTTTTGAAAAATGAAGACGTACTACTGGGGTGGTCACAAAAACAAAAAAATCAAACCTTTAAGTTGCATCAATTTTTGTAAAATTGAGAACAAATCTTAAAAAAACATTTTTTGGGGGTTGCTTATGCCACGATCGCACACCCCCCCCCTGACTTATTAATATAGCCATTAAAGGATATACACTCCTCTCCATAAGTTTGGCAACCTTTGCTCCCCCATTGAACTATGTGTTAAAGCCTCTTTACCTTTGAATTTTTATTTACTTAACCTGCGATGAAAATACTTATACTATTGATGGCAGTGTAATTTGACTTTATTTCCAATACCTCCAAATTTTCTCAATTTTTTCATCAATTGCAATAGGTCGAGAATTTATGATAATTTTGACGACTTTTTGAAAAATCGACATTCCCATGTTAACCAATGGGAAATGGTAGGTTTGCCGCAAGTTATATGACAGAAGATCCATCCATCTGAGTCCTTGCAAAAAATAGGTCTTTAAAGTAATTTTTTTTCAAAAAACCTCTCCCATTGAAATAACACAGGGGGTGAAAAATAATTTTCAAAAATGACTTTGAAGCTCTGTATCTTTGTATTCATCAAGTAAACTAAACACTTAGTGTACAAAAAAGTTAGACTATATAAATATATTTTTTGCTGAATTTTTCACTGAATAGATATCCTGATTTCTGATTTGCCCCGAACCCACCATTTCCCATTGGTTTGCATGGGAATGACGATTTTCAAAAATTCACCAATTTTATCATCAATTTTCGACCTATTGTAATTGAGGAAAAAAATTGAAAAAATTTGGAGGTATTGGAAATAAAGTCAAATTACGTTTCCATTAAAAGTAAAAGTATTTCCACAGCAGGTTATAAGTAAATAAAAATTCCAAGGTAAAGAGGCTTTAACACGTAGGGGAGCAAAGGTTGCCAAACTTATGGAGGGGAGTGTAGAAGTGATAAGATAGCAACGAGTTGAGGAGTGTTTTGAAAAAAACTATCATTTTCTACGATATTTTTGGTCTGGAGCGTTCTAGAGCTTCTATGACTGCAAAATGTGGATAATCATTATAAAGAGAAAGAAGTGCAATACTTTTAAGAAAAAAATATCAATATGTTTTCTAAAATCTTTCACTAACTCTAGATCTTTGCTTTCTCTGGATTTATAAAGAACAATAAAACACACAGGGTTTCATGCAGAGTATAAAACATAAGTGGAGGTCCTAAATTTACAAATCCATTTCAGAAGGAACATGGACATTCTATTTAGGTTGAACTACTGCTTATTTATTAATGAATACACTGTACCTGAAGGATGATAGTTCCTATACAGAAAAATCATGACTGATGTGCACAGGGCTCATGAGGGGAATGTTTTCTCTAATTAGCTTGTTTCATAGTTAAGTGAAACATAACATGGTCTAGAACCATTGGTAATCAGGTATAATCAGGTGGGCTAATGCAAGTAAATTTGGAGATCTCAACAATGCACAAGAAGATGTATCAACATCCGACATCTATTGGTGGCTGAATAATAATTGCTATATTACTGATGTGAAATTTGCCGAAATATTGTTAAATTTACTGTCTTCCCAAGGGTATAATGGGCTTGGGGGAGCTTGGGAAAGCTCACCCCTTGCAAATTCCCCAAAAGAGTGCCTTTGGATAGAAGAAGCTCTCGTGAGCTCACCCCTGATTTAATAAATGATCGGTTATACCCGAGTCAAATCATACCCAACATATTTAGACATGAATTGTCTATGTCTGTCTCTGAATCGTGCACAGTAATGTAAATATGATATGCAATGTTAAATTGATGAGTCCTGAAATGGAAAAAAACATTGTTTAGAATAGAAACACATTTAACACAACTGAATCTGTTACATAAAACATCAAGAATGATGGGAACTAAGGAAGTATTTGTTATATGCGCATCCATCAGTATCCTTCTTGAGCTAAGTCATATTTTTTGCGATCAAATTAGTCAGAAAAATCAAGACTGTACTCAAATTATTAAGACCTACATTTGTATGGTTGTAAAGACCTTTGGGTACACCCATCCAGATACAAGACTTAAAAAAGAGTGTGCTTAACCCAGGACCTTTCGCTCTCGAGTCAGATGCTACCCCTGAGCCATAAGGGTTAGTCACTACAGCTGAGACTTTAATAGTGACTTGCTATCGAAGGTCATTATACCATCCCCCTGGAAGACAACGTCCCATTGTAACTGATTCACAAGGGTAATTCCACTTCTTTTTTTTTAATTTTTTTTATTTATTGACATATTTATACAAAGAATACATTAAACAAATGCACATATGCTTGTGGCTGGGCATCAGCATTATCAGCCACGTTATATGATGAAACTCAATTAACAGTATTCAATCAGACATTAAGAAAAATGGTTGTATTTTGTGGAGGGTTACAGTGGTGGGGGTGACCTAGACATTTTTACATCGTTCAAAAAGATGGCACTACATTTGAGGATATTTACGTTTGCAGCTTTAGGTAGTCTTTTATCAGCATTGAGGATAAGGGAGAGTTTGTCTCGTTGTGATCTATATTTATTAGAATATTCTATGTTCATATTTTTTAATTCATTTTCAAATTCACTGCTTCATTTCGTCAGTAGAACGGTAAAAATAAGAAATTGGGTGACCATTGTGCAAAAATATATGGAAAAGTATATTCATAATGTACATGAATGACATTTGTATATCTTGGATTGCTTCTAGTTTGGCTTATAAAGTGTGTGGCCTCTTATATTTGGATGTTTCTCTGCCATGTTATTTTCAATAAGATTAACATGGCTGAAATTCTTCAAATTACAAGACGGCACAGGCTTATTGCACAAAAAACTAAAAAATATACTTTTCCATATATTATTGCACAATGGTCTCCCAATTTCTTATTTTTGCCGTTCTACTGTTGAAATGAAGCAGTGAAATGGACTCTAGAATTTAATTGTACCTTACTACTTAATTGAATTGTTATAATGCTTATTTTTGGGAAGGGAAGTTTCCTAAAATTGATTGTGTGCCTGAAATTTCCTGTTTTTCCCACAGGAGGGACATAATGATCAATAGACTGAATTCTCAGGAAATTCAGTCTATTGGATATAGACTACGTGAACCCCTCAGGCACAATTTCCAAATCATGGTGGTTTCAAAGCCCATAGTGTCCAATATTGTCTATATACATATCCTCTAAAATTTGTTTATTTGACATTTTGTATACTCTCATGAACTGATGTAGTCAAGTTTAATTAAGCTTAGGTGCATTCATGCACCCGAGAGTTTAGTTCAACGTCGTTAAACTCAATAACGGCGTTCTTTATTATTAGGAATTTTGTTGGGGCCGTTATTGAGTTTAACCTCCTTGCTATTCTTTCCTTTGATGCAAGTTCTGAATCCATCGAAACCATTTTTCCGCGATAACGTGCAACTGATACTTGACAATAATATAAAAACACATAACATCAAGCGATTTAACACAATATTTTTGTGTTAAATGTTCATTTATACGAGTAAAATGAGGCCACACTTACCAATCTCTAAAGTGACATTTCCGCATGTTCCGTCATTGTGTCTGTTCGTCTGAGTGTCCCGGATCGTAAAATTAAACTACCAGCGAAACGAAATTGTTGTCAAATAGATTGATAATTATTATCGCGATTACTCGGGATAAAAAGATCAATTTTGAGGATAACGGGTATCTTTGATTAATTTATATAGCGCGTGTATACACGCAAAATAGTTATTAATTGCAAACCCACTGTTCGTTTATGCAGTGCCGTGATGACGGTTAATTCCTGAAACGATTTGCAATTTCGATGTTACCGAAACTGACCGACATTTTCGTCATATTCCAAACCTGTCTCCAATATTTTCGTAATTATGCATCAATAGGGTCTAAGGGGGATACGGGACGGGGTGTATGCGTTTATAAGGTATGTATGCATGTTTGAATCACATTCTTTGTGTAATATTGCCATGTTTTCAGGGTTTAATTTGTTCCGCTTGTCGAAACCTGCTGAACGATTAAATTAACGCATCAAAGGCAAAATGGTCATGGAGGTTAGACCTAGCCGGGCCATAACACATGTCAGATAAGAAACGAGGCCCGCGCTAGGTCTAATGTTGTTGGACTACCGAGAGTTGAAAAATTATTGAAAAAAATCTTGGCCTAGAGTTGGGAAATCCTCACTGCTGCAGCAAGAATTTGCTGCATTTTCTTGTATGATTTTATTCTATGTGCTTATTGTTAGGAAATTTGATGACTTACGTTTTCCATAAGCTTCCGTTGTAATCATTAACTCGTGCAAATCGTTACTGAGCTTGTTTTGTTGTTTTCGATTTTGGCTCCATTTTTAATTTTACACTTCCGCTACAATAATTTGGCGAACGACAAAAATATAGCAATTTGAATATTGTTCGCATTTTGACATCAACAAAGTTATTCAAATTATAATGAGGGAGAGTATAGATTTTAGGCAGACTTATTTGTGATTTCATGTTATAGTGAATACAATTTGTATGGCAATAATATATTATGTGCAAATCTTCCTGCCCATGAAACTCCAGACTATACTCATTACACAGAAATGTTACAAGAGACCGTAATTACAGAAATGCAGAGACATATAAAACATTTTATATGTCTCTGAGAAATGGAAGCACAAATAACTAAAGATACCGAAGCTAAGGAGGAACATATTCAGTGACAGAATAATAAAAACCTGAGACTAACATAAAATGTTTACAGTCTCCGAATATTTCATGGATGGTGGTCAGTGGTTGGCATTTATGTTAGTCTCAGTAAATACTTAGGGGGCCATTAGGATTCCCTACCTCAAATGTTATCGATGCCAACCTAGCTTGCAAACTTGAAACTGAATATTGAGAATTTAGGTTCAGATACAAGAATTTGATATCTAATGCCAACCCCAATCCCTCATGTCACAGATCTCTACGACAAATCGAATACAGCGAGTAGATAACTTTGTCAGAAAGGTTTGGAAGTCGTTATTCGTCAACAAGCAGTCAAATGTTTAAACATTTTAATTTCAACTCAGTACAATATCAAATAAGCAGAACAATTACAAATTGGTGATCAAAATGATCAAATGTGGTCCATAGGTTTCATCTTGAAAGCCCATTGTTTCATGTCCATGCTCAATCAAATGGCAAGATATCGATAACTCTTAAATTCACTTTACATTGGATCCAATCAAAATTTATTGAATTGAAAACTGACAATGAATGCTATACACTTTTTGTCACATCAACATTATTCTGTACAAAGTACATGAGTTGACCTACTTTACTGTGTAGAAGGGGTCTTTGAAAAGTGGGTCATATCCGGGGCCTTTCTCTCTCATCATGGCGGACGACCTAACGGAATCAGAACTCCGTCGTGAATTAACAGCATTTGGAGTGAGTGGAATTGGTCCTATCACCGCAACAACACGCGCACTTTGGGAAAGAAAGCTCAACAATCTCCGTGCAAGTTCTAAGAAGTCTGATCGTAGCTCTCGGACAGCATTGTCAGCTCGCAAAGCTGTCGGTTTTAGCTCGGACGAAAGTGATCAAGAATTTTCGCCCAGTAGCCAAAGTCGGAGACAAGTAAACAATAAAAGAAAGTCCATCAGTACTAGTAAATCTAACAAATTGGGCAATGATAAATCACCATTGATTATTCCACCTATTGCTGGCAGACAGCCTCTTAGATCTAGGCATCGAGGTCGACAGACAAAAGAGGAAAAGACTGTATCAGACTTTCCTGTCAAAACAAAGCCCTCCACTTTTAGTACTGTAACAGCTACAAGAAAAGATGAAGATGAATTCAGTTCATCAGACTCAGATATAGAAAATGTTTCCACTGCAGCTGCAGCAACTAACACATCTTCAAGTTTAGAAACAAGCTATAGAATGGATGCTACTTTAGATGAACGCTCTACGCCTGATTCTTTTACATCCTCTAGATTTCGCAGCAATGTTGGTAAACGTTCAACCCCATCAACGTCAAAAATGTTTGTACAAAACAATCAACATAATGGTCCCCCATATGGCTTCAATACAATGAACCGTGCTAATGATAATAATATCAAAGTACAGAGGACCGCCAATACATCAGCTTACAAGGATATCCTAAGCAATAGCATTTCAATAAATCCCAAACCTATTTCTCCATTTGGGAACCATGTAAAACCTAATGAGGAATTAATGAGTGAAGATACAATAATTAAAAAGGGATTTAAAACAAAAGATGATCCTGAGTCCTATCGCAGATCTCAATATATATCTAAAGCAGTAGTGATATTAGGAATTCTATTCTTTGTTTGCGTAAGCGGAATCTACATCGCTATGAAAGCGACCCTACCCTATGAGGGAAGTGAGAGTAAGTACCAACTTGTTTATCTACAGTTGGGGACATAAATAAATGACAGGTGGATTTGCTGAAGTGAGGATTTCCCATGTTAAAAATAAGAGAATTTACTAGAGGCCATACATCAGTGGATGAGATTATACAAAATGTAAAATATACAAATTTTAAGGGATATATATCTAGACAATATTGGAAATTATGGGCTTTCAGACCACCATAATTAGGAAATGGTGATCGAAAATCGACCTGTCATTTATTTTTGTCCCCAACTGTATTGAAATGTCTGGGAGTCTCATTTCACATATTCCCCGGGAAGTGGTATGTCTGTATAGGTTATTAAGTGCACCAAAAAGACTGTCAACATGTTGATGTTGTTGTATCAGTTTAGAGTGGTTTGAGGATATATATGAAATGTATAAGAGAAAATGTGGCAGTCTAGCCATGTAATCAATGTTCAAGGCTGACTTGTCTAAGTGGTAACTATTACTTTGTTATTATATAAATAGAGGATATTGTATGATTTATGAATGATACATGATTTCTGTCTACAAATAGATATGTTGTCTGCAAGCATAGTCATTTAGTCATGAGTAAATCATAGGATGTTCTCTTTATTCAAAAGTAAAAGGGTCTTCGCAGGGCTCTTAAAACTCTTAATTATGGTATTTTATAATATATAAGTATACATTGTATATATCTGTTTTCTCAACTCAACTTTCAAAAGTTATATCAAAATGGGTCTCTTTGATAGTGTTTGCATTTTTTGTGTGCATTTTAATATCAGAAATATGTGGATCTTATCTCAAATTTATAAATGTCCACTCATCTAAGATAGTGAGCGTTTATCACCAGATTCTTCAGAACCATCTGAAATTAACCTCTTTTTGAGTCACGTAAACATTCATAGTATACTGTTTCGTATACTAACTTTTAAAAGCTAATAAATGGTTTAAGTGAAAATTGCCAAAGCTTTATTTTTCCACTATCTACAAAAATACCATTTTTATCTTTATGGATATCACAGCAACTCATGGAATAATTGTTTTTAACACATGTAATAGTTAACTATTTTGTCTGGATATCTAGTTCACGTTTACTTCAGGGTTTTATTTTAAAGGGTATTAATCTCCTTGTCTAGCCATTGCTATTGATTAGTCTGTCACAATTCATCAAATATCCTAACCATATAAATGTAGATTCTGGTTTATCACTTCCCTCATGGTAATCAAATTTAACGTACCAAGGGTCGACTGGGTTGTCTGTAAGGGAACATATCAATATGTCAGTTTGCACTAAAAACATATTAGCCAATGAGTTGACCGGCTCCCCTCAACATTTAATGTCAAAGGAGGTGGTCAACTTAACATCATCAGTTTCATTTCAGAATAACCCCCTACATCTCACGAAAAATTTAAATGCCATTGTCAGTCATTGATTTACATGTATTTCGAGTTGTTAGTCACTTCCTTTAAGAATTGATGTCACTTAATGATGCAAATCAATCAAGACATATAGAGACATTAGGTCAATGTATGCATTGTCAACAAGCATGGTACATAAATATTATTTTAGGGAGGGAGGTACAACAATTTGTCATAAAATGAGAATACTGTATGTCGTTTCCTCCACCTTAACAATGACTCAATTTTTAATTTAGTATTTAAAGGTTATATTGATACAACCTGGAAATGAACTCCAAAAGAGCAAACTTATGGGCCAACATATTTTGGAACATTATAATGAAAACAAATCTATGTACCATACAAATAATATAGATATTAAGTATCAAAAGGGGTTAAAGGGAGTAAGTTATGTCATTTAGAATGTAACATTCCAGTTGCATTATTCTATAACTGCAGAATATTAGCAACATGTTTCTAATATAAAACTTGACATGTTTTCTGAGATATCTGCACTATAATTAAAGGCTTTTACAAAACATTTACAGGTTTTAAAAGTGTAATATTAGGTTTTCTCATTAACCCAGATTAGATTAGATTTTGGCAATGCTAGGAAATAGGTGGCAATCTTGAAATTTCTACAAAAATTATCAGATTATTTTCAGAAAAGGACTATTTAGAAAATGTAATTCAGTTTTGATGTTATGCACAGTTCTGATTTTCTGTTATCAGTTATCAAATAGACATGTTTTATGAATGGATTTTGCTTCTTTGATAAACTGCGATGTCAAACTGCTATGTTACAGATTTTAAACAATAAACAGCATAGATGGTATTCCCCACATCCAATGCCATTTCCCCTTAAAAAAACTTCTCAGAATTTTATCTTCTGTTGTTGTGGCTATCTTGATCTAATTTCAGGTAAGGTTATGCTGTCATTTGTAGTCTTCGTTACAACTTGTCAAACTGCTAATATATTGAGATTTGTTGAGCATTTTTCAGAATATTGATGGGATGAATGTTATCTGTGGTTCAGGCTTATTTAGAATATCGAGTCCTGATATTTGAACTCTTAACAAGATGTCAAGATAACCTAGCCATACAGTGTGTATTTGCATATACATGTACATGTATTTGTACCTGATAACAACATATCTGAAATATTTTTGCAATGAATAACTTACCTGAATTAATTATGGTATCTCTCTGATATCAAATGTTGAGGCAAGGTGCTAAGATTAGTTTGACCCTGGGATTTATGTGGTTGCTTTTTATGTAATGTGTTGGGCATTGTTATGTTACTATCTATATCACCCAATGCAGATAGAGCCTTTTGGAAATGTTTGGTGCGGCAGAAATGAGCGTTTGGTGCGGAGTCAACGGTCATTTTTGAATTTAAATTGTAGATATTTCTGAAGCTAAGGTGTTTTGGGACTTCAAGTATATTCATTGTTGATTTTAAACAGCGTCTCCAGAATTCATAAAAAGTGGTGTTCAAGATACATTATCCATACAAATTATTTTTGTATCTTGGAAGTCAGACAGTTTCTGCGTGATTTTGTAAAAATTTGGAAATGTTCATCATTTATATTTTTACTATGTCACCACCAAAAGTGGTGACATAATTTTATAGTCTCTGAGTTTTTCATGGATGGTGTCTAGTGGTTGGTGGTCAGTGGTTGGCATTCAGCGTCTGTAACAAATGGTCACATTTTGCTTGTTGATGGCTTGTTATTTTATTGTTTTATTCCTTTGATTGGTGTTATAATTTTTAGTCTTGTACATGTATAATGTCTCTGGTCTTCCCTTCATTCTCCATTTCTTTATATGTAGAGATTATATATATGGGGTATATCCTTATCAGAGTATTCACTTGGAAATTTTAGACCCCTGATTGTTCGCGGTATCGCGACTACTCCTCCCCCATGTGAGATCAGTGATATGCTATTTGTATACTTTTCTAAATACTATTTTACATTATATACCTATTTTAATCACAATATACATTTCTTGTTTGTATCCAGTTTTATGTATTTTTTCACAATAATGTTTTACCACATTTATGTGACATAAATGTAAAATTAGACTCTGGAAAAAACACTCCGGAATAGCTATTATACTCTGGAGCAAGAGGGTCTAAAGCCATTAGACTCTGGAGAATCTCTGAAGTCTAAAAGCCTAGTGAGAACCTTGCTTATGCAGAGATGTGTATGGGGTATATTTATAAAGGATATAAGATATAATCATTTATTTAATATTTTATCATGGAATTTCTTTGATTGAATGAATAACATGTATTTTTGTATATTTGCAGATGATAATGTGCCTATATGCGGTGAGAATGGTCTAACATATGGCAAAAATACAGTAAGTCAAACCACAAAATCTTGAAAAGCTGTAGCAAATGTTCTTCTGACTTCATTGCACTTAGACTATACTGTAACCATTGAGAATGCCCCAACTATGTACATATTAGTAAAAGTGCAATTGTGATCCAACTGTGTTACTCATTTTGGGGCATTATTGTCTTTTTAATTGAATAATATTATTTATTCCATAATACTACTGTTTTCCCTTGGAAATAAAATCATATTATCCCTCTTAAAATCATATATACTCGAAAAATCATATTGTCCCTGTAAAAAAAATCATATATACTCGAAAAATCATATTGTCCATGTAAAAAAATCATATTGTCCCTATTATTTAAAAAAAATATTTTTACAAAAAAATCATTTTTCAAAGATTTTCATTTATTTATAAAAATTTCGTTTTTGAATCATTTTTTAATTTTTTTCAAAAATTTTCAATTTTCTTAAATATTTCTTTTTCCTTGAATTCTCAAAAATTAAATTATGGAATAAAAAGGTTATTTCATGCTTGATTTTCAATATGAATTTTATTCCACGGGAAATATGACATTGACCTCGGTAAATATTATATTGACACTCACTCGCTACGCTCATTCGGTCAATATCATATTTCCCTCGGTCAATATCATATTACCCTGGAATAAAATTCATATTGAAAATCAAGCATGAAATAACCTATATATATTAATCATGTTCCCAGCATCAGCTAAATATCATGTTCTACTGCAGACCAGTGAAGCAACAATCTTAGTTAAAAACCATCTTTCTATGTTTGTACATTGTATTCATAAAAATCATAATTCATCCCATTGCGTGCACTTGTTGTGACTGACTGGAGCCATACAGACAAAACACTCTTACCCAAACCAAAACATCTGATGATGTTCAAAGACCTCCAGACCACCCAATTGCAAACTTCATAAAAGTTTGGTTGAAACTTGAAGAATGATTTGCATCTGAAATCTCCAAACAACTGGTTGATACTATTATTACTACCACAGACAGATCTTAATATGTTCTGAAAACATTAGATCACAATGTAACAGTCGATGCGATAACTCATTTTACCTAACAGTATGTAAAGAATTACTTCTATATAGACCAAAATGATTATATACTTATGGCTTAAACATTGTGTAAATCTTAAAAAATATTCAGTTCTATTCTTGCAGAGTCACTGGGTGCATGATTCACCTGTAATTGGCATGTAGTCCGTATAGGCTACAATTTATTTCAAGTACAGATAACTCTATTAAAACTTATAATACTCAGGTGTTGATTCAGGAAGTTTGATTTAATTGCATCACTGTTCGCGAGGGATACAGAGAAGCCGTCCATCCATTAGCCTACCATTCATTCATAGATCATTCGTCTGTCTGTCCAGGCACATAACGGCAAACAAATTAGGTTCCAATTTTAAATATGGCCACTCTTTTCAAAATGCCACAATTCCTTTTAAAAATATGATTTTTGATTGCTCAAATATCAGTTGATGGGTTTGATTTAAATTTAATTTTATATGCTGATTGCTGTCAATGCTGATATTCCATTACCAATTTGGATCTGCTTACTATATGTATGGCCTGTTATGCGCACTAAAAATAGTCATATCTGTGAAATTGTTGAATATTTGGTGTATCAAAGCTCAGATTGTGCCCCAGTCCTTGTCTTCTAATATATGGGCATTGGGTAAACTAATTCAAAATATAGCATAGAGGTCCTGCATCGTAGAATATTAGGAAAGCGTCAACTTCGATCAGGCAAAGTGTAATTTGTCAGTTATTCTAACAAAATTGTTAATTGAAAAAATATTATTGGAGACCCTGTAAAAATGCTAGGGGTCAGACAGATAACCTAAACTGTGGAGCTCTGACCCCCTCATTAGCCTTGATGGTTCAGTGAAAAATCGTTGGTTCAGTTTTTTAATGCCTGCATGTTTGTTAATATAGCGTAGGCCAAAAATATTCCTGATGTAAAATGAAGTATACCTGACACTAATTTTGTTTTATTTTTATATTCTTTATTGTAACAGAATATAATAGGACGATATGAATAGAGCATAACCCAACCACAAACTAAACCCAGAGAGTCAAAAACTGAACCAAACTGAAAATTATGAAACTGTCTGACCCATATAAATGCTTAATGCATTTTTAGAATATGTTACTCCCAAACACAATCACAGAAAATAGATACAGAAAATACATTAAAGCAAATATTGATAATGTTGCAGAATTTGAAGGTAAACATGATGATAGCACCAAGAGGCAAATTGTGTGGTTAACCACAAGTTCAGAGGCCAAACCACAATGGCACAAAGGAGCATATGCTTCCTTAAAGAAAGAACCTAACCCCTTTTAACCTAAGGAGTGTGACTTGAATGAAAATTAAATGTGTCAACATTTCCTAAGACCTTTATTTGATATCTCCTTTTGATACAACTGATGATTATGATCAGAACAGTATAATTAAAATATCTCTACTGCTCCTGCATTCTCTGATAAAAAATTATGTTTTGAACCCCAATGTATAGCATTCGTGTTGAGGTCATGTTTTGCTATTTGTGTGATCAACACACAAAATGTCTTGCTGCATGCTTCCCTCATATCTTGGTGAGAAATTCATTGAATCTGAAAATAGTTGAAGATAATCGCGAGATTTTTTCTCTCCAAGCGATCGAATGCACTGCGCAAATCGGGTTAATCTGACCCAGACATTGTGTATTATAATGTATAATCAACATATGTTACTTTGCTGAATGACTTCCAAATGCTTTGTCTTGTCTATGAGGAAAATATTTCATTTATGTGAAAAGGCCTGCCTGTCACATTTCTGATTATTGGAGTTATTTGGTATTATATATTAAATGATCTGCTTTGAGAATATTTCATTGCAGTTTATTGAGCAGAACCTTCCTGCTATCAGGTAGACAAGGGGAATACATATTGCAACCATGTTTTATCAGAGTTTTTTTATATGTATGATAAAGCCATTTGTAAACATTCCCCTATTGTGAACTTATTTGATCAGTGTCACAACACATTGTTGCAGTTTTTTGACATCTATTTTTTGTTGCGTGTTTTTCAATAGCCTTAATGGAAAGCCATTTACATCTCTTGTTTTTTCCATGATCATATAACATTCTCCTATGTTCGGCTATTTGTAATCAACATATGTTGTTTCTTTACTCAGACTGACACGTACGTTCTATACCATCCTAGGCGAGGTGATCGTGCGAAATCGCGTTTGGAAAAAAACGATCCTACCAAAAATTAAGAAATTTTGTACCACAAGTTTTGTAAGGTGGTATTGTACATATAGGAGAATTATATAAAATTGTATATTATTTGTAAGTAGAAGATCTTAAACGTCTCAGTTAATGTTTTTGATTGAATCTAATGGGCAGTAGTGACGGAACTGTCAATTCAATTTAAAATTTAGATCTCCAACTAAAAATCACTACCTAATTTTGTCAAAATATTTGTAATTCATTGTAGGATCGTCTTTTTCTCACTTGAATCTGCGCCTATGACCTATATCTTTATCGAATCATTGTTGCATTGTAACATTTCTACATGCCATCTTGACATTGAAGACTACCAGTCTTCTTACTTCCATGACATTTCTCCCAACCGCTGTGACATGAAGGCCCCCCGTGTAATATTTGACACTTCCATCTGTGCCTCTTGCCATGTCACCATGGACCAGTCAATATTGTATGAAGATAATTTGTCTTTTGCGCATGTTGAATTTTTCACTCAAAACACAATTTCACTTCGGGTTGATACGTTTGAATATTGAACAAGAGTCTTGCCTCATTCAAATGATCCTGAAGAACTTTATTTATGCTAAATATCTAGTGTCCCTGAATGGTTGAATGTGCCTTCCGTCCTCTTTTGAATTTTCAAATGGATTTTTGTTGATTGTCAACTTTCTCAACATCAAATGGTTTGATAATGATTTTAGGCACATTTGAAAACTTATTTGATTGGTTTATAATTATCCTGATTATGCATACATCCTGATGACAAGCTCTTTAACAAAATTCTACAATATCGCTGCATTTGGTAAGCATGGCTACAGGAATAACATGCTGCTTATTGCTGATTCACTGTTCCACAACTAGTTACTTATATATCAAAATGGATGAACTTCCTGATTATAATTTGGCACAAAGCTAGGAAATATAGCAATTCATATATTTAACCCCTTGCTTTGTTACATTGACGAAAGTCTTTGACGACTTACATCCTGTAACAAAAGTGATGGTCTAAATGCATCAATTACAGCTTTATTTCAAAATCAAATTCCAAACCGAGAGCATTTCTAAAAGCTAGACTATATTCTCTAAACGTTCCGCCAAAGTAACTAGTTGTGGAACAGTGAGATTTGCACCCTAGTGGGAATTAGAACCATATCAAGCATATGAATAGGCCACCATATTTAAAATGAATGTCATTAATAGAGGGACTGCACATCTCTGGGTTCTTTAGGACAGTTGATCTTAAGTGTATTATAATGTGTGTATGAATGTTACCTATGGTGTGTTTGAGCGTTGACATCTGTTCACCTCGTCAGATTGGCGGATGAAACAACCTTTTTGGGGTTGTCGAGTTGGCTAAGAGCCAATGAACATACTAAGCTAGGCGCCCTCACCGTAACAATGAGGTTGTGAGTTCATATACATGAGCTCCTTGTGTTTATTCATTCATATAATATTGCTCCTTACTCTGTCACGACATATTTGCAAATTGTGAGCCGAAACATTGTGACCTTCATTTTCCTTATGTTTCGATGTTTCATGCTGTTGTGACATCTGTGTACATAATGATTATGTACTGGGAAGTTTTGGATAGGGGGTATATCCAGAGGGATATATGCATATCTACCTGAGGTTCCATAGGGACCAAAGGTTGACGTGCATATCTCACAAGGGATAAACCCCAAACTGACCATATATAACTGCTTTATCCTATATATGGAGCCTCTGCATATGAAAACCTCAAGGGGATATATCTTACCAACTTATCTCACTAAAACTCTACTTGACAAAGGATAAATGGTGATATCTTTGCATTTGGTGATCAGATCTGTGCAAAGGGTGATATCTAGTATATATTACTATCTGGTCACAGTTTTGTAACTCTGAACCCAGTGATGATATTTCTGAAATCTCAGGCCATCTTGACATTTTTGCTGTTACCTGCTAAAACATTTGTGGTGGTATCTGTTTATTCTTTCACTCTTTCGTTGTGAACCTTTTTCCCAGTGTTGTGTCCCGCATTGACAACTTCAAGTAAAAAGCCTGATAAGGAATCCGTTTATTTTCTTATTTGGTGTTATTTGTATAACACAGTTGTAATATACAAACATACATTCATGTATTTATGACATTCTTGTGAATGTGATAAAATGAATGTTACTTCTTTGCCAAATCATGACACTTTCATTTTCTTTCTATTGTGAATTATTAAGGTGTTACCCTTTCCTCAATCTTTTGATGTTTCTTTCATGACATAAATCTCATAATCAGCAACAGCTCTTGTATTGTAAATGATTACACATATGTTGGATAAACAGTTCCGAAGCGATAAAACTTGTTTATTTCAGATGATATAGAGAAGCTCTCAATCCATCCATCCATTTGTTTGTCTGAGCGATAACTCAAATATGAGTTCACAGATTAAGTTCATATTTTATATGTTTATGTCTTATAGGTGTAAAACTTCTGCTTTTCAATGTGGCTGCTTATTTCAAAATGACGCCATTTTCATAAAAATGTTATCTTTGATGATGTTGGATTTGGTCCAAAATATGCTAATGCATAGAGACTTGGGAGCTCTGCTTAAGAATATATTTTCAAGATGGCCACTGAATTTCAAAATGGCTACCATTTTTCATAAAATGTGAAACTTTTGATAACTAAATACCAATTATGGGCCAAATTATAGAATGTTTTTCAAAGCGGGGAGAATGGGAGATATGCCCTGGAGCGGAAGATAAGGCGGGAGATATGGAGGTTCTGGATATGAAAACCTCAAAATCAGGATATGGGATATATCTTACCAACTTAAGATGGCTGCTCAATTCAAAATGCTTGATGGTTGCTTAATTCAAAATGGCTGTTATATTTTGGTTTTTGGTTCAAATTTTATATGGTGGTGCCAAGGTACGCAGGAGGTCTGCTCAAAAAGGAAGAATGTTCGCTGTTTTATGAGTGTTCTCTACAAGTTTAGATCGAGTCACTTAAATAGTATTACCATAGTTTTAAATTTTTAACTGAAATTAACATCATTTCCACGATTTCATGATTGTTCACGCGATCATATTCTCCAATTTGATTGGACTTCATATACTGATAAGCATGATTTATATAATGTTCATGAATACGAAATAATTACTTCTCAGAATCACTTCTGGTTTTTCCATTGAGAAAATACATGTGATATATAAATTGCTACGATAATACAGTCCATACAACCTCTTTTCATGTTATGTATTATAAGAGTAAACTTCTCATGAACCCAAGTCATTGTGACCTGGAGTATATGAGGAAACTTATTTTAAAATTTATAATTCATCTGATTTTGTAGTTACTAAAATTTAGTAAAAACTATTAAATTCTTTCATCTTTAGGAATTCTTCAACAATAAAATCATTTCCTTGTATAAGACGGCATTTCCTAATTTTTTACTCCAATTCTGATTTTCTCTTGCGTTACTTTGCGGTTACGAGATCTTTTATAGCTAAGGAGGCCAAAGTACTTTGTTAAGTGGCATGATACCTATGTGAAGCTACGGTTAAAGGACAGTAGTTTATTGTTAAGAGCTTGTGTCACATGTACATCCATGTTTTTATGTTTCATTTCATCACTAGGTTCTTAAATTGGTCAGAATATACATATTATACTTTAAAATTATGGTTTCAATCTCTTCTCAGGATCTTCTCATTCTGCAAAGGGAAACATACAAAAGTGTTTAAACCTGTAAAAATGGTATCCCCATGTCATCATTAAATGAATTTACTTCTACAGTAAAACATTTCAATTAGTTGTACTTGCCTTCTGCATATCTTCTACAGTAAAACGTTTGAGTTAGTTGTACTTGCCATTTGCATATCTTCTACAGTAAAACATTTGAATTAGTTGTACTTGCCTTCTGCATATCTTCTACAGTAAAACATTTGAATTAGTTGTACTTGCCTTCTGCATATCTTCTACAGTAAAACATTTGAATTAGTTGTACTTGCCATCTGCATATCTTCTACAGTAAAACATTTGAATTAGTTGTACTTCAGGCCTCGAAATTAGCGTTGCGAAGGTAGCGATTCGCTACCTGTTTTCCCAGAACACTACTTGTCATTTTCTCAAATTAGCTAACTTCGCTAGTTCCAGACAGCCGAAGATTCGGTTAAAAAAGATCGAACTTCGAGAAATGAAGTGAGCGATAATAGAGTACTCACACTAAAACGTGATAAAAATGACACGTGTTGTAATTCGATGCATCCTCCCGATAAATATGTATCAGTGGGTCCTTTTCACACAATTCTAAAGTAATATTATCTCAAAATAGGCTGAAATGAATGAAAGAAATGTTCAAATTTAGAGTCGTTTCCGCATTCAACCAAGTAGTCTTTCGCGCAGCTTTTTTGCGCATGTCAACATGACGGTCAAGGTCATGAACTTTAGTTTAATGTTTCCTCTTTCTTTCTAACATTTCTCATTATTCTTACGACTTTTACATGAAAATGAAGATCTATAATTAAACAAATATCTTTCAGTATAATATTAGATCGATATCGAACGGTCTTTAGCGGAATTAATAAAGATAATCAGGGAGAACATATCATTCCATTCGCGGGGCTCCACTAGGGAATTTTGCAATATTGTTTACTAATTTTATTTGTTTATTGATTCTTGGTTCATTTAGCGATCTTTACCGTAAACTCTTTAATAACAATCCATTCCATTATTATACTCCATTCTGGTGTTGCAAATTAGTCATATTTGGAGAGAAAACTTTGCCATACATGAAATTCCCGGGGATTTTTATTTCTTCCATATATCTAATAGAGTGCAGTGTTCTCCCCAGGATTTTATCTGAAGTGGGTGCAAGATTCTTATTTCACAATTTAGACAAAATTTGGAAAAATATGGCTATTTTTCATGTTTTTCTCATTTTCAAGTGGGTGCAAATTGATTCTCAGGTGGGTGCATGCCTATTACCAAAATCTCAAGTGGGTGCAGTGCAATTGCTGCTGGGGAGATCACTACAGTGTAATATATCTTATTATTGCGCTGGTAAGTCATAAGAATAATTCGAAATCTTCACTACTTGGTTCTCTCAAATAGCTACCTGGAAAATTCACTAAGTAGTGAAACAACTACCTGATAAAAAAAGTTAAGCGCGAGGCCTGTACTTGCCTTCTGCATATCTTCTACAGTAAAACATTTGAATTAGTTGTACTTGCCTTCTGCATATCTTCTACAGTAAAACATTTGAATTAGTTGTACTTGCCTTCTGCATATCTTCTACAGTAAAACATTTGAATTAGTTGTACTTGCCTTCTGCATATCTTCTACAGAAAAACATTTGATTTAACACAAGATTTAATGGTACAAATTTTTGCCAAAATGGAACATTTATATGCATTGTTACATATATTCTGCAGATGAAAAATTTTGATAAAACCTTTATGATCTTCATAAAGCATCATGCACATACATTACAAGATGTAACCCTTGGGAATAGAAAAATGTCATGCATCTGTTATGTCAGGTTCATAGCTATATAAAGGCTATATATCTCTAAGGTATCATATCTCTAATTTTGTACAGTAAACCATTCCAGAAAATTAGAGGGAAATGCTGATCTGAGCCTTTTATACCGGGACTGAGTCTTTAAGCCCCATTTGCTTCCAATTATGCTGTCATATTTGGCATATTGAAAAGGATGAAGATATTTTTATAAAATGTTTACATACAGTCTTTGTACATTTGGTCATCATAAGGTCATCCTCCTAAGCAGGTATCCAGAATCCGTACCTCCTTCTTCCCCCTGCTATAACCACTTTGGAAGCGCCCGATCAAACTGAATCAAGTGATCTTATGCGCAATGACTTATACATGATTTCTGTCGCAGTGTTGCGACAGCCAATCAGATTGTGAGTTCTTAATCGGGGAAAGGCTAACTGCCTATCGCAGGGGGTAAAAAGAAAGAATATATTCTGGATTTTGAAGCCCTGTGATCGGAGGATGTCATAAGGTGGTCTACACTTGTAACAGACACTGGATTGAAGTCGAATATAAACTTATTTTTTATGTCCAAAAACTTCAATTTAAATTTTGTTTATTTGTATTTCTAGGATTTCTGTATTCAGCCTGAGGATGTAGAAAGTGTGTTATACTGGACAAATGAACTATACTTGGAACTGAGCATTATAGCAGGTAATGATCCTTTACTTAACTCTAAACTCCCCAGTTTATTTCTATATTCAATACAAGCAACATTACAACTATTCATGATTGTATCCAGAAATAAGTTTATTTCTTTCAATCAGATGGATCAGCAGCCTGGAAAATTGTAGAAAACTTGTTTCGTGTAGAATCCTAGTCCGAAAACAGCTGACTTTACTAAATGTTTACATTTGAGTAGATATGATCAACGATCAACGGAACTGAACTTTACGTTCTTCAATTCCGGTTAACTGTTGATCAACAATATTTTCAGTGCAGTTCACCTTGAAAATCCAAAATATTATTTAGTTTTTGTGTCAGATAAAACATTAAAGGATGGGAATGGCAATGCAATATTGTATCATGCAGCAAAATTATTGAGTCCTATAGGTAATTTCATGAAAATATATCAGGATTGATATACGCAACAAGGTTTAAAAAAGTAATTATGATGTTTTATGGCCTTCGTTGCTTGTTTAATCAACATGAAGGTTAACATGACCTGATACAACTAGATGCAACCCTAGATTTGTTTACTCAGAGGGCATGGGTTTTTTAGTACAATAATATTCATCATTGATTTTCTAAATATCCAAGAGGAATTGATTATAGAGAAAATTTAAATTATCCCCTTAGATATGGGTGGGAGGAAGTTCATTTCATACAGTTGGTGGTAAATCTCTTACATTGCCAGTCAGGAATTAAAAAAGTTATGACAATACAGAGAAACTCCTGAAGCATGTTAGAATCCTTTATTTAGATTGGTAGTGCCAATAACATCCTCATATATCTTGTAATAAAATTGTCATGAATTTGGTCAAACCAAATTAAAATGTGGAACAAGAGAAAAACAATTCAGCCTTTTGGGATGTGATTTTACGTAAATGCCCTGTACACAGAGTTGTTATGTCACCACCAAGAAGTGATGGCCTATTGTTATTATCTCCAATTTTTTGGGGGTGGTTGGTGATTGGCAGGCGGCGGGTGGTAGGCGGCAGTTGGCAATGGCGTCTGCAACAAATTCTTAAAATGTGCAATAACTTAACAAATACTGTTTAGGTCTTTTTCAACTTGCTTCAAATTGACCAATTTTTTTTCAAAATCATCTACAAGTTCTCAGAAGTTCAAATATTAAGATTGAACTATAATATTGTGAGCAACTAGGTGGTGACATTTTGTCATGTTAATGCCTTGTTATAATCCCCTCTGGCTAGCATAGACTATAGTATAGTTTAGCAACCCTACATTTTCTCAACCAATCAGCGAACCTGAAGGAACACATGCTAAATACGTGCTCATTAACCATGCTATGATGTCAGAGGAAATGACCATATATATAGTCATCCATATTTTGACAACGAGCTCTGATTGGCTCAGTGAGATCAGATATTTATTGTGAACTGAAAGAGTGAAGATGAAGCTCTCTTTTAAGAAGTGAAGTCGAATGAATGCAAAGGGTATATGTAAATGCTATGGCACAAATTTATGTTGAGTCAATTATCTCAGTGATTAGGCTTGCCAGTGGTTGAAAATAATGTGTAATGATGTGAAGCGCTGTTTGTAATCTTAGATTTATGAAAACAGAATCGTGTTAATGTAGTCAGCCTATGGTAGTATTTCTGGGTTATACAAGTCAACTTGACATATTCCATGTTTATTAGTTTCATGTCATATGCAGTTCTTTTTTTTCAATAAAACTTCAGACATTTTTTTGTATTGTTTCTTTAATACATTTCTGTTTTGAAGGACTCCAAGTATACTAACTCAGCAGCTAATTGATAGAAAATGAAAGTGTTTCAGCAGGTAGCACTCCTTGATAATTAAAAGCAGTACTTACCTTTTTATAGTCAGTCATTTATTTTTTAGTATGTATGAATTTGAAAATTAGTATCAATACGTAAGATGTGCCTAAAAGTTGATTTTTCAAAACAGCAACTATTTCACACAGAACTCTCTTTAGGCCTACCACCATTCTCTGACAAGTTGAACCATTCACTAAAACTTGCACCACATATCATTTAGAGCAATATATTGGGCACATTTTCTGAAAAATTCTAAAGATCCTGTTCAGTGACCTTTCCTAAGCTCCTACTTTAAGCTATTTTTCACTCACATTTTCAGAGGGCTGAAAAAGTTATTTCATCATGTTTAGGGTCATTCTGACCATGTACATGTACATTATTATCCTGGTCAAGGAAATAATATGTGGAACTAGTTAAACTGACTGGAGGTCAAACCAGAACTCTGTTATCTTGGTTCAGAAAATGTTTGAAATCCAGCATAGTTTTGTCACTTCCTGTTTTGTCATTTTCTGTTAAGTACCATGGCACCTTAACTGTAATATTTTATGATAATCACACAATAAAGTCAGCTGGGAAAATGAATAAATATGTTTACATTGATAACCTAGTTCTCTTCTGTGTTTTATAATGTGGAAGTTCCGTAAATACAGTCGTAAATTGGAATCAATCAGGATGCACTTGAATTTCATTGTCAACGTGACAGCAAACTTGAACTCTGTCAATGTTTACTATAGATCTGGGATTTAAACTCTTGTTATTGTTAGTACCTCAGCTAAAATACTCAATTCTGATTGATTAATTAAAAGTGAACAATATGTACTGTTGACCGCTACTAAGTACTGTTGACCGCTACTAGGTATTGTTGACTGCTTTTGAAAAAAAATTGAAAAAATATTTTGGAAATCTGGCCCAGTCTCGGTCAACAGTACTTTCAAGATTTACAGCATAGGTATACAATTTTGCCAGTTGACCTCAAGAGAGGTCTACAATTGTATATTGTAGAATTTGCCATTGAATGACCAGATGTTTTCCCATCAATAAACTTTAATTTGGTGCTGTTTTTTTTTTAATCTCATGATTATTTAATTTTATCCAGATCATCATTTTGGTTATTGATGTGTTTTATAATTATCTCAATCTCTACAGGGATTTAGGGGGTACTTCTCGTAAACATATACTTAGAGCAACGAGGTTATATATATATTCTAGTAGCCTCTTATACCACAAATTCTATTTTAAAGTAAAAGTATGCCATTTAATTGAAAGATCATTTTCCCACATGATATATATATATATCCAAATGATATATCATATATGATACCATACCATATACATGTAGAGAGTTTGGATGTAGTTTGGGGATTTAGACAATCGATGCTCTATACATTTTAAACCCTTTACATCATGAGAATTTATTGTCAAGCATTTTAATGCAACAATGTGATTTCAATAAAAACATTCAACTTCATTTAATGTCTCAAAACTTTATTCTAGGTAACAAGCAATGTGGCTACTCACACAAAAGTGCAATGACGAAACCAGAATTTCAGGCATTCTTAAAGAAACAAGGCCTGAAGGAAGATGAAGAGGTGAGAAATGAAATAAAACATCAGTGGAATTCATGGCGGTTTATTTCTTGAATTTTTATTGGTTTACAACCATCATATGGAATATTATCTGAAGGAAATATTCATTCTAGGTATATTGTTATTCTATATGGATAAACTATTGCTTGATAAAGCATCGTTTTTACATCTAAGTTGGGAGAAGCTAATTTGCGTGCTTTGAAAAATGGAGAGGTAATCGTCAAAATGCACCCCCTGGTGGTGAAACTGCCCCTAAGGTTATTAAAAAGTTCAAGATATTCATATTTGTGTCTTGTTTCTCAAGTGGGTACAGATTTCAGACAATACCATTTTCAAAAGGGTACAGATGTTTGGACTTAGAAAAAGTGTCCTTATTGAGAGTGATTCCAATTTGAGACATGTTTGTATGTTTCACTCTGTATATCGCTCCAAATCTTACATTATGTTGTTTCATATTAATGCTTCGCTTTTTATTTTTAGAAAATGTCCCAATATCTACTTGAACTTTTGAAGAAAAATCCACATTGGAATATGAGGTACTGTAGTCCATGGCTTAGTTTTACTTCTGATAATTTGTATTTATTAGATTTTGTAACTTTGGAAAGCAAATGTGAATATATTATTGAAAAACATGTTATTGTGTCTAACACCCAATGATTTGGTGATAATTTAATAGATAAAATGAATTTTTTGATATCTAGTTTATATTCACTTTGAGATCCTGTACATGTATGCTGACTTAAGCAACATACAATATTGTGTGAAATTCATCAAAACATTGTTTTATTGTATTGAACTAATGCCAAAGTGTTTATTTAAACTTATATGATAAATGCGTTTCAAATGTGTAATCATATATCATATAATGACTTTGTTAAAGGTAAAATTTGAATGTTGAACCCAGCTAGAATAATTCAGCATTATAATTTTTACTACAAATGTTTATTTCCATGATCTCCTATTTAATGATTTTAGAGTGGAGACAAAGGGATCTGATCTGGTAGAGCTTGAATCCATGGTGCCCTACATGTCCATATTTTGCCGTATACATAAAGCATTCTCTAAAGTCCTCTACTGGATTTTAGCTGCATTAGCAAGTAAGATGTTATGATATCCTCTTGGAAGACATATGCACTGTTTTTTTTTTAATATGGTGTTGGCAATTTTCTGAGAGGATGATGTGGTCCCTGTGGTTGTATTATCAGAGCTTGTGCATTGAAAAAAGGGAGATCTGATGAGTATCAAAATGAGGGAGTGTTGTTAAAGATTTTCAAAAATAAAAGTTGCTCAATATGTGCATTAACTACTTAGAGTTCAGGGAATGGTTTGAGCGAGCAAAAATAAATGCTTAACTTGTGTATTTATTTACTTTTGCTTTTGAAACTGCGTCTCTATTCCATAGTTATCTTTGTATGTTATTACATTTTCAATGTGAATTGTGTATTAGATATTGGTAATAATATATTTTGCAGTTGTGTTATTCACATGGCTGGGAGTTCTCTATATGAGATATAGATGGCGTCGTCAAGAAAATGAGCTCCGAGAAGTCTATTCAATGATAGACAGAATTATGGGTAAAACTTATTTAGATACAGACTTAACATGTGTTTAATTATGAAGCTTTGATGTTTTAAATAAATGAATGAAATATGGCTGGTCAAATCCCCATTCATAAATAATAAATAAATAAAATAAATAAATTCCATTCATATTTCAAAACTTCAACTCTTTTGGTGAATTTTTCAATTTCCGCTATTAGGATTTCCACCTGTCTTTTTTATAAACAAAAGTTGAGATTTACAACTGTATGTATTTGTTGTAGATGTACTAAAACAGCACCATGATGCCAGCCAAGCTAACAAAGAGTTGGGTCTGGAACCAACCCTAGCTATCTTACATGTTAGAGACATGCTGATCTCACATAAAGAAAGGTTTGACATTTGTGTATTTAGTAAAATGTTGATGTTGTAAACTTATAACAAATATAGAACATGAGTAGACAAAACATTTAACCTCAGAATCCCAAAAGCAATGAAAACATTATTTTATAGTGTTTGTACAAAAAAGAGATACTTTAGATCAGTAAAAAATGATTTTTGTGTGTGTGGTTATTTGGAATATAGCCTCATTTACATCTTACTTTCAGAAGACATATGCAACCAATTTGGGACAAGGCAGTCGCATTTCTGGCAGAAAATGAGTCGCGAGTGCGTGTTGAAACACAAATGATCTCTGGGGAAGAATATGAAGTCTGGCGTTGGCTCCAGGTATGTATATGAAGATTATGTAATGGGAGGTTTTGGATACAGGGTATATCCTAAGAAAAATACAATATATCTACCCGAGGGACTTAGGGTAGATATATTATATTTCCCAAGGGTTGCATCCTGTATCCAAAACTAGGCATTGAATGGGAGGTTTATTCTATACTGTTTACAGCATTTGTATCATTCAATGCACAAAAATGCATCGAACGAAATTCCCGGGGATGGCTGAGCGGGAGATATATATAATATCCTCCCCTCAGATATTGAGCAAACTGCTGAAAATCAAATATAATTTAACATCACTAAGTCATTTATTGATCATAGTCTTTATCAATAGGATGATAAGAAATAGTTATTCACATGTAGGTTTTATAGATTTCGTTTAATACATGATCTTTTTAGAAACATTCTCTTGTCAAATTATGATATGCTATAAATTTGCTGACACCTTGATGATGCTTTTGTCTACAAAAAGTATGAGTTAATGAAAGCACAGAATGAAATCATGAGTTATACTGTTGTCTAGTTTTAATATGACATGTCATTGCAGGCTTACACCAATGGCAGCAAGAACTATAAATGGCAGGGTCCTGCATTTGGTTCCAACTCTGAATCTGGTGCTAATCCACTGTCCTATAATCTTACACCTTGTTTAAAGATAAGGAACATGTTTGATGCATCAATGTAAGTATGTCCTATAAATATAGAAAATAAGAGGTACAAACTGAGCAGAAATTCATTATATCGTTTCATTTTGAGAAGTGATTACCGACACTTTTAAGATGCTTGTTGGATTTCCTGTGCCTTGGCATTGTTGCCATCTAGTTTGTTGTATAACAAGCATTTTGATGAATGAATCTAAGAGTACCTTTTGAAACAATTTTCTGAATTTCTGCTTGGGTTAAAATCGACAAACCATGTGAGGAATTGACAAATCAGAGTTAATCAGTCACAATCTGTTTTGGGGAGCTGGGTTGTTAACTTGATATGGGTGGCCATTATCTATACATTTTATAATTCATTATTATTAAATTTTTATCATCACATTTTCAGAAGTATAATCTAAAATCTGTCTAAAACCAATTGATTTATTTTGTTTTTCTAGTGAATATGAAGATAACTGGCACATTCGAATCCAGGATGCTATTCTGGACAAGTGTGAACAAAACAAATGTGACATCGTACATATAGCTGTGGACAAAACATCTAAAGAGGTTGGTATTTGTCGCAATAACATTGTGGTTGTCTTTTATATTATAATGCACTATCCTGTTGACTTTGAATTTGCATAGTGCCAGGATCTTGAAATGAATGAAATACTAAGAAGATGAAATCTTTTCATTTGACTTATTCTATGGTTTCACTCAAGTGTGCAATGTTTGTATTTTGCCTTATTGCCTCTTATGCCAAGCTAAACCTTGCTCACACGCTGATGTGTGATACTAACATTTTGTTCAAAATAAAATGTTATAAAAGTGTTACTTACTAGAAGGTTTTAGATTCAAGGTTTGTACACATATTTCTTGAAGGATGAACCCTATATCAAAAACCGACCATACATAACACATGTATCCCATACTGAGTTTTAAGGGACATTCTAACTTCTAAGGTCCCAAAATTTAAAAAATGGATAAATATTACTTTGAAAACTTAAAAAGTAATAGGTTTAATGATACAAATTATTTATTACACTATAATATAAAATATAAACTCATTGTAGGGGTGTGTTTACTTGAAGTGCCGTACTGCAGAATCAGCTGGAAATGCATATAAGCTCTTACATGGCTGGTGGTTTGATGGTAAGGTCTTTCAACAATATCTAGAATACTGTACAGGAAAGGGCCATAGATAATTCAAATTTGTAAAGTGAACATTTTAAGGTATTTGAAACACTAATTCATTTCAATTTAATTTGTTTTTGTTTTGTAGTATTCCATGTAATATATAAATGATCGAGTCATTTGGTAAAGTTTTTAAAATAGAATAAAAAAGGATGTTACATAAATGGCTATCAGTTTTCACTCTTGGTAATGGACTCGGAAAAACAATTGCCTGTTGGGCGATGTACCAAATACCAATACGATATATTGTGACAATTTTTTATTTCCAGGAAATTTGGTAACTGTGAAATATTTGCGAGAGGAACGCTATCATGAACGTTTCCCTGATGCTAAGTCCTCTGCAGCCAATTTGAACCCTTCAAATAACAAAAAACTGTCCATGCAGCAGCCTTATTTCAAATCAGCGCTAGAAATGTCTTAATTAGTTCAGCAGGAATGATGATTTGTAGCATATACAGGACTGCTGTTTCCAGCAAGGTGTCTTCTATTAGTTCAGTGTGTGAATGAATGGATGGATGGGGACATGCAGTTTAGCATCAGGATTCATCCTTTTTAATATGTAGAGGTCGTGTTAAAACAGACAATAGTGGAGAAGTATAGAATCAGCTTGAGTGAAGAACTTGGACAATACATGAACTTGGATATATTGACAAAATGGTGCATTATACAGTAACATATTGCCCTTCCAATTAACGTCATGAACCTGATATACTGTGTGGATTGCTCTGATCAGACTTTCTATCATAAGGATTTCACCTAAACTGGTTGTCACAACATTTCCCAATACATGCTCAAATTATTTACTGCTCCATAGGAAAATTCCCTGGTGTTGACCAATGCCCATGCTACTTTGCATGCTACATTTTGCTCCCACTTGGAAAACATTTTACACTCCTTTTAAAATGAGAATAATCAATATTGAAAATGAGAATTATACACCCACTAAGGAAAACTTTCAGAATACTTGACAATTTGAATTTATTAAAGACCAGGTGAATGTAGCTAGCAGCATGTACATGATGATGTAAGTACGGTTGCATGCATGTTATACAGGACCGGTGTATATAATAAGGTCTCTATGGTGAGACATCTATTATACTGTTCCTTCTTAAGTTAAGCTGAGTAGAATCTTGAACATGGAGACCAATGCTGATGTCATTCAGAAGGACCTGTCCAATTATCCCACTCCACTGAAAATACAAAGGATGAAAGTAGAAAATATTTCGCCTATTATGGGAGATACTTCAATTCAAATGGAGTTAAATTGCCAACAATTTAAAGATAAACAATATAGTTGATTGCAACTTACTTGATGTCAGCGTTTTGTGCTGATTTTGTTGTTGCTCAAGCATAGTATTCCAGAAATTCTTATTTGCACTGAGTTCACCAAGAAATGAGATTTCAATTGGAGACACTGACAAGACTTATATATTGTTGGTATCCTACTTGAAATGTCTGTATAGAAAATGCCATAGTATGCTTTCCTCAATGCAAGATATATTAGGGGCACCGTGCTCCTGAGTGCATTTTTTGAGTGCCTTTAAAATGCAACATAAATGAAGGACAAAAAGATTTAAGATATTTTATTTCTTTTGTGTAAACAAGGTATGTTACCTTGTTATAGATAATCAAGAAACTTAAGTTTGTATCATTCACTAGATTTCCACATTATTGCGGTAAATGAAGTCGGTGATGGGTATTAGAAGAATGCACAAATGAGAGTTAAATTGCCAAACAAATCATAATGTTCTGCTGGATTTCAAAGTCAGGGGTATGTTACCATAAGAGTAAGTAAAGTTAAAGGATTCCTCAGTCAATTGTCCTTTTGCTGTGATGTCATGATTCCATAGCAACAAGAATCAATTAGAGGAATTTTCACAGATAAAGGTTCTGCTTGCATCAATACAGGCTCCATTTGAAATTGCAGTGATATTGTAGCTGTACAAGCTCTATTTGTGGTACTGTAGAGGTAGAAGTTCCAATTGGGTAATGTAGAGGTAGAAGCTCCATTTATGGTATTGCAGAGATGCAAGCTCCATTTATGGTATTGCAGAGGTGCAAGCTCCATTTATGGTATTGCAGAGGTGCACGCTCCATTTATGGTATTGCAGAGGTGCAAGTTCCATTTGTGGTATTGCAGAGGTGCAAGTTCCATTTATGGTATTGCAGAGGTGCAAGCTCCATTTATGGTATTGCAGAGGTACAAGCTCCATTTATGGTATTGCAGAGGTGCAAGCTCCATTTATGGTATTGCAGAGGTGCAAGTTCCATTTATGGTATTGCAGAGGTGCAAGCTCCATTTATGGTATTGCAGAGGTACAAGTTCCATTTATGGTGTTGCAAAGGTGCAAACTCCATTTATGGTATTGCAGAGGTGCAAGTTCCATTCATGGTATTGCAGAGGTGCAAGCTCCATTTGTGGTATTGCAGAGGTGCAAGCTCCACTTGTGGTATAGATAGATTCCATTTGGGTATTGCTAAAGTACAAGCTCCACTCATGGTAGTATTGTAGAGATGGGGACTTTTTCATGGTGGTATTTAAGAGAAGAAAATTCAGGACGTGAAACATGTGCAAGATGGATGGAAGAGGAACCTGTAGATCTTACTGAGACAAAATCAAAATGTATATGTAACTTTACACGAAAAGATATTTTATGACTTAATCCTTTTATACTTATAACATATTTGTAGCGACAAATACCATATTTGTATCATAGCTCATTTCTAGTATATGTAAAACTGTATATTAATTAAAGGTTGTTAGATTTTACTTTATTGTACAGAATCATGCTTAGCATATTGTTTGTTATATTTTATTTTATTTTACAAGGTCTGAGTTTGCAATATTCTATCTACTACAGAATGTGACGTCTTGTGATTGTATAAACCGGACTCTAACAAAGGAGGTTATCGTATCCCAAGGTTGTATCTCATTCTCTTAATGAGTCTAGTGTCTCTTGTACCCAACAGCAGGAAAACATGGTCAATTATGTATTTATTAAACCATGTACTAGGTAAACCAAAGCAATGCAACTCTAATTTTGGAATAACTCAATTATGGAAGTGTCTGCTTGAATTTGTTGTTGTTCAATGACTGGCATTAGTTCACTCATTTCCGGATTGCTTTCATTTATCATATCTTCCACTTTTTCAAATATGACTTGCTAATTTGATAAAGACAAGATCTCTAATTTTTGAATGAAATACTTGATGTCCAGAATCCATACCTCCTTCTGGATCTTGGAGCCTTGCAATTGGAGGATGATCTCGGTTTCACACATTGGACACTCCATCTACACATTATTATGAGAAGATTCCATCATAATTGCTGTTCAAAAAGAGGGTAACTTTTAGATCACCCTGTACGAGACTGGGCTTAAGATTGGGAGTTAAACTGGTGGTCTTTGTTTGGATTAATCAAAGTTGTCACCTTATTCCATGTGCTTTCTTTAAAAGATTTGGTGAGCACCTGTGGGAGAATTGGGTAGATCACATTTCCAGAAATGTTACCGCCTTTAAGATGTTGTGTAAGACTTTTGAAGTCAATAATCTAATAGGGAAGTAAAGCTACACATTTTTTAAGAGAAAGGTGTGTAATATGATGACCCCCAGGGATTACTGTCTCCTTGACAATTTGGTCTTCCAGGGACTTAGTTACAATATTCTCATTATTCCGTTATATTCAATCGGACAACTAAACACTACGAAGGTGAGAACTTATCCCTAGAGGACCATAATTCTACATATTCTCAAACTAATTCGCTTCAAAATGTGTCGCTTAACCTCCCTATTATATCTTTGAATTAACTTGTCATAAGAAGTGTCCCAGTAAATTCATACCTATCCACTTTTATATATAATTGCATTGGATGAATTGAGTTTACTGTTTTAGGGATTTGGGTCGATGTTCGTCAATTCCATTAAGAGGTCAAGGCTCATTCCATTGTGATGTCATTGATTTTTGCAATATCATAGTCCTAAAAGCTTAAAAATCAGTTTATTTTTCTATAATAAATTGGTGTACAAGCTTAAGACAAAATGAAATTCTTTGATTGACCTTGAGCCAACAAAAAAGTTGTTTGTAAATCATCTCCATAAATAGTCTTATAATTTACTCATTGATCCACAAGAGACTGGTTTCATGTAACATGTGTCCATCGCTCTTGTAATTAAAGTAAATGTGTGGTAGGGCATTCTGGAAGAAACGTTTTGTAAGTAATATAAATAATTGTATTAGGCTATATATGTAATGTGCATTATTGAAAGGCTAATAAGAAAAAATAAATTATATGCACACATACTAATGTTTTTGCTTTATTCATTCTTATAATTCAGTCACATATTATGGTTTATTGAACATGGCATAGGATCCCATCAGATCAGGGAACTTTGTTCATATTATGAGGATCCAATAACATCCATGTAGGACCATTTGAAGCTCACACACGCTGTCAAGGTTCATGAGAGATAAAGCCTATCAGTTCCTTTCTACGCAGAGATAGCTTATTATCACATGATTAGGAGTGTCTAAGCATTTTGATTGGTGTATATTCCGTATCACATGACACGTGACTAATTTTATGATAATGTTATACGGTGGGCTGTACCACTACGGAGTCAATAGCAACGATGTGACGTCACTGATTATGTCACTTCTAACTAAGGAAAACAATATGGCGTCATACTATTTCACAAACAAGTACAAATACAACGGTATGACATATTCTTTCAAAACAAAATCAAAAATTATAATAGTTACCAGGAGTACAGGGTACTGAACACAATCAACTGACCAAATCAAAATGCTTCAAAATTCCTAGACATTGTGATAAAATCGTCATCACACGTTTCAGCTTATGTGATACAGGAAATATTCCACTCGGGTAACAATGTATCACCACTCAAGCTTCGCTTTCGTGGATGATACAGTATTACCTTTTGTGGAATATTTCCTGTATCACATGCTGAAACGTGTGATAACTGATAGTATCAAAAGGTGACTACATGATATTCCTTAGAATTATCAAATATGGGATGTCATTATTGGATGGAGAGTGAATGTCATCCATATCCATATGCAAAATATGAATTCAATGTCAAATAAGACTTATAGTAAAATGAATAACAATGAATTGCATAGTTGTGTCTCAGGTAAAACATGAATAATCATCCCTTAATTGGCTGTATGGAAGACTGAGTATCAGTTATTTAGATGGAGTTCTTTATGTAGTTGCATCTTAGATATAAATTGAATCCAATGACATTTCAAAATAGACGTAGAAACATGAAGTCGATTTCTCCATATAACTATTCAATCCCATAGGCTCACTGTGAGCCAATAAATAGCACGATTTCAGCCTGAAGGTTTATACAAGCACTGATGTCTTTCCTTTTGGAAAAAGTTTACTAAATTCTTCTTTTGCTTGAACTGAATAGGCTGAACATGGCACTTGGCCAGGAATCTCACATATACATTGTCTTGAATAGCTACTGCCAAAGTTAGCTTCATTTTGTTTCTTTTGCTTTGCTACAGCTTCAGCTTCTAATGTGGCACTGGAAAAGAGAAATGAATATTTTTAAAAACAAATTATGCAAAAACACCATTTCACTGAGGTTAAAACCTTTTTCCATATCAATGACAAATATAATACAACTCGAAAACAGTGGCCAAAATCGACCTTCAAGTTTCAAAATTTCATTGTCTGACCTCTTTTAGAGTTTCCTGACCTGTCCCAAACCTGATCCAAAATTAACAATTTGATATTATTTTGGCCAGTATTGTAAAAAGAGGATTTTGCACCTACATGTATTGGATTTGCATCTACATATTACTTTGAGGTTTGTTTATGGTTGATTGCCATGTAACATGGCAAAATGCTTATGTACAGGGTGTCAAATAAGTCCCGTCCCCCCTGCTACAGCTAAAACCTTAACAGATGGTACCTAGTGTGATATACCATTGGAAAGATCATCCAAAGTTATGTTAACTCAGCATCTCTCAAGTATTTTGGATGAAATTTACCTATATTTTTATGATGTCTTTTATAGTTAACGTACCCTCCTTTAAGTAGCTTTTTTGGGTTAAAATGACAAGGATATGACCTCAGAAATACGTCAAAAAGTTAATCTTTTTCGCATTCCACTTGTTACAAAAAGGTTTTCACCACTTTCCTTGCACCCCTATTTTCTACACATCTAACCCTATCCAGAAATTGGTTTAATTCATCGCCATAAACATATTTAGTCATCTTTTGGTCCCTTGACCTTTCAATTCTTAAAATCCTGCCAAATACGCCAAATTGCCATGTTTCTAGGCATATGGTCACCTCAATTGATACAATGTAAAAATTTGTGAGATTGATTGACATGTGTCAGATATATGCCAATCAACGTAACTTTGGAAGACCTTTCCAATGATATATCACACTTGGTACCATATATCTTGGTTTTGGCTGTAGAGGGGGGGGGGCGGGACTTATTTGACACCCTGTATATAAATATTAAATATTTACCGTGATTTTCCAACAACTTGATTGAGGTGCTCATATATCTGGAACCTGTCTTTTCCCCATGTGTCAATCAAAACACTTTCACCATCATCTGGAATATCATGTCAAATGTAAACAAACTAAAAACCTATCTCGAAAACTAGAAAAAACAACTTATGTGAGAACAACTGTATTATTATCATGGTATCTTTATTTTGTTTATACACAATTTGAGATACTATTGTTATACATGTCTGCCACACTATCTTACAGAATTACATTTTCCTTTGCACAAAGTGATTATGATAATTTGTATAACTCACCAAAGTAACATTTGATGAATGGAGAAGGTGTGAGATTTTTCATCATTACCATCTGAACTCCGGGATTCTTGTACTGTATCTGGGGAAAATGCCAGAACAAGAATTCTCTGAAAATACATGTACAATTAAAATTACAACACAATTAAATAACAAACTTGACCAATTATATATAAATCTGAATTATATTGCCAGTGTTTTCTAATGTTATCTTATACATGTACTGCATTTTCTCAGGAGTTATTCAGTGACCACATGCATGTCTGAAAATGCTATTCTAGAAGACAGTGCAAGAGCACAGAGATCCAGTTTTAAGGCATCTACTTTAGCTCGTTGCATTTCTTTATACCTTGTATTAAGTAAATGACAAGAAATTTAATTATCCATATCATGTTTGTTCCTTTGTTTTTACCATGGGCTTTCAACTAGATCCATTCAAGTGTCAATGCTTTACGCTGTCCAGTGCATACAGAAACATATCACTTCTTGGGTAATCAAATGCTGTATAATACATAACAGAACAAAACATTTCTACTCAAGTGTTAAAACATACTTGAGCAACCAATCTTATTCAAATTTAATTTATCTAGCATAATTAGCATGCAAGAATGTGATCAGATGTTTGAGATTAATTGGTATATTTGTTTGATAGCAACACTGGACAAAACTATGCCTAAATTGTTATGACTGTACTTGCAATGGTGCCCCACCCCCATTCTAAACATATGAGTGTAAATAAACAGACGACAACGGATGTGAGCTTACTTCAAGGCTGCTGATCCATGTCATTGCATCTCACCTGTAGGCCTTTATTTATATATCTGAGATTTTTTGGGTCTACTTACTTTGTACCTTGACTTTTTTCATCCCGAACATTGTAATTCACAGTTACAATTTTGACATTATCTTTCAAAAGTATTCTACCCTTATCCAGGTACCCGATGGTTCTACGAATAGCTGCAGCACCCTTCTTGAAGGGCATATTGTTACGTGAGTCAGCTGTCACTATATGTTAAGGTTAGATAGAAAATACACCAAGATATTTTTGGAAAATGTGAAAATTTAAGAACCGGAAGTGCGACCTAAAAATGGCAGACGTAAAATACGTACTTATTTTTGGCATAGTTTCCCCCTGTAATCGTAATAAGCCCAGTGATAACATATGTTATGTGAATATAATGGTCATATATATCGATTATAAAAGTAATATACTTTTATTGAAAAAGGTGAATAATAAAATCTTATTTACGACACTGAATGCAGAATGGCTGACAAGAATATTGTGGGGTCGAAGCTTGCTACTTTATTGGCATTTTCAGCTGGTGCCTTGTACTTCACCTACCAAATAGGACTTAAACTTGCTAGATCATCTAACACTGAAGACGATGGTATGTTATTTTGAGAGAATCAATGATTTATTCTTGTAAATTTAGGTTGTTAAGAATGAACTTCTGAAATTAAGAAATGCAATGTTGATCATCTGAGAAGGAATTCACACTTGTATAATGTACACTATCCAGTCTCCAGAACCTCAGAATGGTTCTGGTACGTTTCACTCATACTATCAGAACTGTAGAATGCCCTACTTTTACTTCCTGCGAAAGCTATTTGGATTTTGATAAGTTTCAAAATCTAACATGGCTCTCGAAGTGAGTAACCCTTACCTTCTTCTAAGGCCACTGTATCGTGGCCTTCCAGTACAGATATATTCCTGCATGAACAACTGGTAATGTCGTAATCATAAAATTTGAAATCATATGTCCGCCATTTTTCCACATCACAATTTGAATTGCGAGTTTTGGTCTTGTTACCTCACCAAAAATTCCAAAACACACACAAAGTGATCAGTGTATTAGTTCACATCTTCTGGATCGCTAACTTAGAATTTACAGCCAGTTACTAATGTCAGACGTAACGACATTTCGTCCAGTTTTCGAACATCGCCATTTTTCTTGGAGCCATTTTGTTTTAATTTTAGACGAAATCCTGATGAAATCATGTCATATCTCATCAAGGATTTGAGCTGGGTCCGGTTTGATTAATGATTTATTTATCTGGCGATTTTTAAAATATTCAATAAATTTATGACACCCCGGCAGCTTTTTTCAAATAGAGTTCACAGTATTCCAGATGAATCCCCTCTAGCCAAGTATTGGCTAGAGACTCGAGTAAAGTAACCCTACTTCACAACTGACATGTATTATTATGTAGGTGCTTATCTATAGTTGATATTTGTTTTGTTGTTCTCTCTGGAATTAGTTTCATCAAGATGGAATATCCATTCAATTTCAGCTAAACCAAGTAAAATCTGAATTCCAATTATTCCGTCATGTAAACAATATATAAGCAATGGAATGCTCAAACATACCCAAAAACGAATGGTTTTGCTCAGGATGATATAAACTCAAATTACTTTTTTGTCATGATGAAACGCTATATAGTGATGAAACAATCTCAGATGGTGGTCCAGGGGTATGATACTAATTGTATGAGAAGAATTGCATATCTCTATTGAGTTAGTTTCATCAATGATAAAGATAATTATGAGTTAGTATCATCATCTATTACAGTTCGGGACATAAATAAATGACAGGTGGATTTGCTGAAGTGAGGATTTCCCATGTTAAAAATAAGAGAATTTTCAAGAGGCCATACATCAGTGGATGAGATTATACAAAATGTAAAATATACAAATTTTAAGGGATATGTATCTAGACAATATTGGAAATTATGGGCTTTCAGACGACCATAATTAGGAAATGGTGATCGAAAATCGACCTGTCATTTATTTTTGTCCCCAACTGTAGTTAATGTTTCCCGAGGGGTGATGATGATAGGGTGTAACCCCCCCTCCCCACCCCCCATAGTATGAAATTGCTTCTTGGATTTATTTTGGTCTACCTAAAGTATTACACATTATTACAAGCTACAACAGCAAATCTGCATTTTCATCACAGAGCCAAAATTTATTTTTGGCTTAATGGTGAATTGGTGCTATCGAATACCAAGCAATTTATCTCTACCTTTCAGAAGCCTAGCCCTTTCAAAAATTGTTCACACTAGATTTATATTAATTCATATATGTGTCAATGAAATAATTGCTACATTAGTTAAAAGATAGGATTAACATTTTTGATATACTGTTCTGTATAAATATACGGTGCATATAATATGTATTTGCTGAAAATAAGCCTGTAAGCAAGTCCTGTTTACTCCCAAGAAGTTTCATCACTATATATATTTTGCTGTAAGGTGACCTTCCTAAGGTTATTTAGAACAAATAGGTAGTCTTTTTTGAGATCAAGTAATTCATATGGAATAACGTACATAATTTTTATAATATAAATCACAGATTTCTCTGTGTTTATTAATGTAAATCCTGGTTGTGACATATTGTTAGTCTCCAACATTTTATGGATGGTGTTCAGTGGTTTGTGTTTGGCATTTGTTGGTTGGTGTATGTAACAAATGCCGTGTAATTTTTGCATGTTGATGCTTTGTACATGTAATTATCTTGTTCTGCTGCTTACATTAATATGATATACTATATTCACATTTTATTCTTTACACATTTTACCCATTTATTTTTCCAGAAGAAGAGTCTGAAGATGAAGAAGAGGAAGAAGAGGAAGATGAAGGTGAAGTACCTCATGAAGTAGAGCAGAAAGCAAGAGAAACAAGATCCCCTGCACTTTCTATATGTGATCCCGATGACGTTGGACTTGATGTTGTCACACAAGAGGAGATCAAAAAAGTACTTTTAGATGAGACAAGGTCTAGGTCTGGTACTGTCACTCCAATATCAGGAGCCCAGTCTCCTTATTACTATGGAGCCCAGTCTCCCAGATCTGGAGCCCAGTCTCCCGTATATTCTCCTTGGGCAGGAGTTCAATCTCCTAGTGCTTATGGGGCTATGTTGCCAAATGCTGGAGCCCGTTCTCCCGAGCCATTAGAACCCACACAATCTCAAGGCACAATCCAAGGTGCCTCAATACAAAGTGTCCCTCCACAGGGTGGCTCAACACAAAGTGTCCCACCACAGGGTGTCTCAATACAGCAAGACCAAGAAGAATCTTTAGAAGACAAAGACGGGACAAATGAATCTCCTTCTGAGAATCTGGAACAAATTGAAGAACCAACTTTGAAAGCCAGTGAAGTAATACATGTTGAAAGTGAACCACTACCAAGTGCAACAGGACAGAAACAGTATGATGAGACACAGGCAAATAGTGATATCACTCACAGAACTGAGGTGCAAGATTTAGAAAGTTTACCAACAACAGAGCAAGTGCAATTTTTAGAAAGTGCAACAGATGAAGTGCAAGATACAAAACCTGCAAGGGAAGAACCAGTAGAAGAAGATTCAGCTGCCACTGCTGCAGTTACAGGTAGTTTGCTTTTAATTTGTTTACTTAGGTCATTCAAAGTTTATTCCAATCTTGACATCCTGATGATGGGCCTAATGGGCAGGAGGTGAAAAAACAAACATATTGAAAAAACCTTAAGTCATTTTATTTATATTTTTCAAAAGTGAATATTCTATAACACCTGGAAAAAGAGTGATTAATAAATTGATCGCCCATTGAGTTCACATGATATTTTGTTATGAAGACATGACCTGAGCTGATAATGAAATACATGTAGTTTTCAATCTTGGAACTCCTTGCACTACAATATGGTCTATGATAGTAATTTTAAACTGCTATTATTATTTGAATTAAATGCAAGTACATTTATGGGCACTTCAGTATTTTGTTTGGTTTCTAAAAATTAGCCGAAATCATAGAATGGAGTTGACATTAAATATAGGCCTTACTTCAGGATTTCACTGCAATGATTGCTTCAAAACATTGGACATGATGTCTGTTAGCTATATCAGAATAAAAATGTCTGGGCATATCCTCCATATAATGTCCTAAATACTGTAAAACTTGTCTACTAGTAATCCGAACACCTCTGGGACCACCCAAAAGTGTTCATATTAGCAGGTATTCACATTTCAATGCTTTATAAACATGTAAATTAATGGGAGATAACAAATTTGGGACTGAGAAAAAGTGTTCATATTGAGAGGTGTTCGGATTGGTGAAGTGTTCAGATATACATTTCACTGTATAATATCAAAACAGCATATTTTAGAGTTTCTAGCCTCATGGATAACTGCACGTACGCATGCTAAATACTAAAGCAATTAAATGATTCTGTCAGATACATGAGATCTAACACTGAGCACTGGATGAAATCTTGCTAAGTGATGGCAAATATATGTGAAGTATCAATTAACAGTATGGCATCATAGTTCCAATATTTCGCAAATGAATAACCAATTCTGTTAATGCAGAACTTATTTTTCACAATTTCATTTTTCGACCATATACGTATTTAGAATCCTATATCATTCTTTATCGTATGATCTGTAAAATGAAGCCTTCTGATTGGTCAGTTCTTGTGCTGTACCAATCTGTATTGCTACTGAGGTTGTCCCCGTTGATCATCTCCGTCGCAATACAGAAAATATTGGTACGGAGGGGACAATTTCAGTAGCAATACAGAGGATCACACGATAAAAACGTTATTGAATGATTTGAAGTGCAATACAGGATATATTCTGTCTCGATATTCTGTATTGGCACTCGACTTCGTCTCGTTCCAATACGGAATTTCTCGAACAGAATATATCCTGTATTGCACTTTAAATCATTCAATAACTTATATTATTAAAAATTTAAAAGCATGAGTACATGTACAAACCCATACACATGATGTAGGAGGATGGAACCTGAGTATTATTATTATCAGGATAGGTAACAATATGCATGAATGCTTTTAAATCCAGTAAAGAATGACATGGTTCACAAAATTACATTCTCTGGTTCTTTATTTACCAACATAGGGACTGTTCAGATCATTATAAAACCATAATGTACTGTTAAATAATGTTTCCACTCAGTTGTCCATATACTTTAATTAAATGCACTGAGATACTCTGATTGGCTTAGACACACTTGGCATATATGAATGCATAATAATGCAAGGTTCATGTTGTTCAACGATTTTAGCCCTGGACTCAGTGCATTGTGTGCTGAATCATACTATGAAAGTGTTGTTTAGCGGGAATGCAAAGTTTAGGAAACAACGCGTGAGTGGTATGAAGCAGCTACAATGCATTGAGTCTTGGGCTTAAATTCTTTTCACACATTGCAATTTTTCTACAAAATCATCCAAAAGGAAAAAAATCACTAAAAGACCACATTTTCAATGAAATTATTTGCAAGTGTCAAGTTAGCAAGTCATCAAAAATCCAATTTGAAAAGTCCATTCATCACCATGACAACTGTTTAACTAGTGACCTTGCATGTGTTATTGATATTTCACACACTGTTCTATATGTGAAATACTGTGTTCGGATTGGCTGGTATCGGACACACCTTGCCTATCTATGTGTGAATGACATTTTAATTTTTGTTTCAACGCTCCACCTGGGTGTCCAGGGGCTTTGGTATTGTAGACAAGTCTCAATTTTTATTAATCATTCATTCATTAACGCTATTATCGCTTGATACATTTATACCTTGATAAATGAAAAATATGTCACAAAACTGTGGTAAACTGTGTTTGAATTTTGAACAAGGGTCAGGTGCCTAATCGATAGTCTAGCTACAAGCCTTTTTAACCCCCTTCCCCACTACTACACTCTCCGTGTGAGAAGATGTGTAGTCAAGTAGAGGTGGGGGGGGGGGTCACAGAGGCTTGTAACTAGACAATAATATACAGATAACATAGCAACCATATTTTAAACTCAGGTTGCTCATAAACATTTCACTCTTTCAAATATTTGTAGGCTATGTACAAGCATGTACTATATTTCTGCCAAGTTTTGTTATTAGTCTAGACATGTTGTTGTTATTATAGACATTTTTTGATCCGTATATTCATTCATTAATGCTGTTAGCACTTTATATATTACATGTCCATAAAGGATAAACATGTCTCATATTTGTTTTGTAGAGAATGTTCCACTAGATATTTCCCAAGACAGCATAGACCTGATACCTGCCTTAGGAGGCAAAGCAAAGTCCCCCTCCCCTGCTGACAGCCTCAAAGTCCCCACTCCTAGCCTCTCTGTGGAGAGCAGCCCTGAGCCTGATAGTCTGGAGGAAGATACGGGTAAATCATTTATACTCTATACATGGAGATTATTTACATGACATGTTATTTCTCAATAGGGTGTTTACTCCTTATTTTTACATGTTTTGCTCAAAATTTTTCAATATTTTTTGTAATATGCCATCAAATATTTGTATGAATAATTGAAGAATTATAGTATTACAATACTGATAAATTATGTACAATATTTTAAGGAATTATTTGTTAAGATTTTTTAGAAAAATCAGGTTTGTGTAGATTTTGTGCAAATATACAGATACATGTACAAGTGCTTGTATTGTAGCCAACAATGGTCTCCTTTTCTAGGTGTGATTGATGTAAGAGCAACCTCTGAGGAAGCTGAGCCTTTACTCGAGGATCCTCCAAGTTCCGTCCCTATTAATCAATATGACTCCCAGTTCCCTGCCCCTAATGCTGACCCCACACTTGATGTCCCGACACAACAAGGTTTCTTTCTACATGGAGAAAGTAATGAATCAGAGCCATCTATTCAGCAAGTCGATTGTAGCCCAGCAGTCGTGCCACCAGGCGGTCCTGATGACGATAGTGCCCTCTATAGTGCAGCTATCGAAATAACAAATAATGCAGTTGAAAATGCAATAGCACGATTAGAATCTGAGAAAAAGGACAGTGAATCTCATCCAAAAGATCTTGAACAATTAGAAGCTATTAATGAACTCCAAAGTAAAGTGAAGTCCAACTGGGCTACCTGGGGTGATGGAAACATAGACAATGTTGATTCAAATGAAAGCAGGGTGGAATCTGAGGGTGCTAGTTTAGTGGACTCCCTAGAAGGCACTCTAGATGTACAAGATGGTGACCATCTAGGAGGAGGAGGCGAGGGACTAGCAACATACAAGTCAAGCAGCTCTAGTAGCTCATCCTCATCTTCAAAATCACGAAGCAGCTCAAGAGAATCAACTCCAAACTTCTCCCCAAATGAAATAGAACAAGCTTTAGAGTCAGCAGAAGCCAAAGATATCAGTCTTAGGGATGCCAGAGTGTTGGTGCAGCTTATGTCTACCAAGGACAATAGACAACTCAGTAAGCTGCTCACCACAATATCCAACTGTGCTACTTTCACCAACAACCAGGTATGGAGTTTTGTAAATCTTGGATTACATTAGTCAAGTATGATTCAAACATTTTTATCATACCTAGAATAGGTTAAATATTGTTATCTCAGAGGTTTCTCTGGATGAAAATCTAGAACTGATTTAGTTTTTATGTCCATATTATTAAAGTCTACAACCTTTTTGTGGACGATGTTTCAGCGCCTGTAGCAGCATCTGTAACAAATGGCATTTGGTATCTTTGATAAATGGCAGGTTGTGACATTTTGCATGTTAATGCCTTGTTGATTTGGTATCGCAGACTAATGCCAACGTCTAGATCATCAGAATGTGCTATGAGATATATATATCATGCTATAAATGTCTTGTGTATCAGCTTGACTTGTCTAATAGAAAGGCAAAGATCAAAGGCTTAGTTTATCATCCTACAGTTTACCTGGAATTCTCATAGACTGCATATATTACATTCACTAAGAAGCAACAGGATCTTCTATACATTATGTTAATCAGTTGTAATTGATACAGCCATTTAGCATTTCTTATCAAAGGTTACACTAGGCTTTAGGTATAACCGATATGTCTGATGTCTCTGATATATGAATATACTGTAAATCATTAATAGCAAAAGCCTTATACCAAAGCGGTTAATTCTGAAAAAAAATTACAAAAATCTTTTTAGATTTAGTCATGTATCCAGGAATATCTTTGTCACAATTGAAACAGGAAATTACCATATTTTCCCTGGAGCTAAACCTTAAATGAATGCACCTTGTATTGTTTACAGGATTTACAATTAAATTAAGATAACATGCTCCTGTTCATTTACATTTTAATCACCTATATGTAGCTTGTAGTTAAATCAATAGTTAAACGCATTGATTTTAAACTCAAATGATAAGGGATTTTCCTATGGACAGATTAATGCTAAGTTGGTCATCGGATCTCATTAGACTTTGCTGAAATTCAAGGAATGTGACACTTTCACATCATGATTTAGAAATTAAGAATCATTTGGGTCATTTTTGTCCTGTAAATGGGAAGTGATTCCTTACAGCTTTATTCATCCGACTTTTCAGCAAAATCTGCTTTCAGTTTTTAATAGACTGATTTAGATATGTTATAAAAGGATTGTATGAAGTCACTATAAATTCCTATTAAGGAGATGTCAGCTGTGGATTAATTTGTACATTCTCACCACGAGCTAAAGGATTTTTTGAAGTAAGTTCAAACTTTGTTTAATATACCAATTATTGGTATAGTCACTGATTTTTGTGACACTTTGTAATTTGCAAAAACTTAAATTATGCTCATATCTCAAATCATATTGATCAAAAGAGATACTCTTCTGATGGTGTTAATGGAAAAAAAGTATTTCCATTGGTGTCTGTAACAAATAGCAGGTGGTGAGATTTTGCATGTCAATGTCTCTTATATTTTATGGATCAAGATGGTTAAATATAAACTATTTAAGGACATTGAACATTTCAGATAGATTTTAAAATTATGTATAAAGTATTACATGATATGGACCATAGCATCATCCTATTGGTTACCATAGCAACCACAAAATGTTAAATAGTAAAAGAATATGATTGAAACCTTGAGAGTGAAGGAGAGGAATAAGAAGAAGATTAGTTAACTCTGATACGTGATTGTGTACATCATTTAAAGCTAATGTTTCTCAAGTGATGAAAAATGTTTGTACTCGACTACATATGTTGTGCAATATTGACATCAACAAAAATACATAAAGCTAATTCACTTTTTGCATTTCCAGATAAATCAATATCATAATACATAAAACACAGCCGTACTTGATAAGTTAATGAACTCTTCCAAACACCTGTTTGATGCCATATCATTTGGGCCAATGTTTCTTATTAAAAATGTCAAGGATTTTACATTTTTTAAAAATGTTTGGTATCATAATCAAAATATACAATTGCTGTTTGTTTTCCCTGTTTATATAAAATTTAAATATACATTGAGCTTAAATTAAATGTTCCAAACCAATAATGCAATGGAATTCATTTTAATATTACAAAATTTTTATTGATTTAAAATGTCTGTTCACTCCTCTTGTAAATACCAATGGTAAATGTTATGCGTTTTTAATGTTCAATCACCATTCTCAACACAATGTGATGATAAGGCACATTCACAATTTGAAAATGACATATTCAAAATTTATTACAAGTTAACAGAATAACATGATCTGTACTAGCTACTCTCATTCATTCTTTAGATAGGTAACATTTTTAATTCTTTTTAATAGTTCATTTCTTGCAAACATACCTTTTTCACAGTAGCCCCCAAATCTCCACCATTTATCAATGCTTTCATAGTGACGTGGGGGATAATATTGTTTTATATGTAACATTGTACATAACCTACACCAACTTAATGTGTTAATCATCATTCCTTGTTGGTGCCAGTCAAAATAACTCTCAAAAAGTTCGTTATTTTTGTCAATTTTGATGAGGTATTTAGCAAGACTTTCAGGATTTTTAAAATCTTTGACATGGATGAATGAGTTTGGTGGCGCCATCTGCACATAGTTATCTCTGCGTCCCCCCATTACGACTGGAATTACATGATTTCTGGAATATAAGCAAAAAGTGCAAAGATATAAATCATTCAAGTTATAGCCTCTCATAGTCTGCAGACTTCTTATATTTGATGCATGTATAGCAGTAATCTTTTCAGATAATATGATTTTCAGTAGGCCTTGTAGCTGATATTTTTTTATCGATTTCTGACCAATCAAGAACTTGCAGTATGCTGTTACCTGAGAGCATTTTCAAAGAACTTTTCAGTTATATACTGCTGGCAGTTGCTGTTCTCAAATGCTAGGTAGAATTTGTAATGTTTCTCTAGCAGCTCTGAGCATTCGTTTTCCCTTAGTTTAGAACATGACAGGTCCCCACATTGGCCATAGACATCTACATTGATGTATCGTTGAAGGTCATGGATGTATCCTAACCTATTCAAAGAAAATCACAAATCCAGTCTTTTATTTGTGTGGTAATATTTTGGAAGTTGATTTATAGCTTTACATAAGATAAAACAAAAAATTACATCCTTTAGATTATTTTCTTTCGAAATTTTTATTTCATAAGCTTGACGTGTGCTTAAGATAAGAGATAAAAAATGGTGGATATCTCGATAGCTCTAGAATTAGTAAAGCATATTATACAAACCTGTTGTTTCTTGAGAAACAATTTGACATAAATACTGCAGCTTGTCGATCCTTGGTCATCCTCTCATCATTCACTTTGTACATATCACGTTGTTTGTGTTCTTGGATTTGTGATTTTAAAAATGGATATTTTTCACTGTCGGAAAACTTAATGTATTTTCCGTATGGTATAGAAATTGTAGAATGCTGGTAGTAAGTCATCGTCCAATTAATAATAGGTCCTGAAAGTCTATGTTTTAACTGGTTGGCAACCCAAGCCGGCTCAAGATTATAAAATACCCATATTTGGTCAGGAGATCTATTATGAGATGGAAGAACGAGTTTCCCGGTAGATGTCATTAACATAATAGCATCAGCAGCTTCAAGATGGCTGCTCTGTCTGTTCCACTCAACCTTACAGGATAATGGGCAATCTTTGAAATATGTCGTTCCATCATCTGCAATTACATTAGGGTCTTCAGCAAAACCAGAGTATAGATTTATGGTTTTAGGAGCTGCATTGCCCAGTTTGTTTGACAGGTGATATGTTAAGCTCATTTGTTCGAGTATTCTGTCATCATTGGGCTTGTCACAATCTGGCCAAATATTGAAATCTTTAATGTCTTCCTTTGTCAACACATTCAAGGTGCCATTTGCTCTGTTTAGAACTCTGTCTTTCTTTGAAATTGTCACTATACTGGATTCCATCAATTTCTTCAATACCATTGCTTTATTTAAGAGATGTGTTGTTGTTGTTTGTTCCTTGTATTGATATTCAGCATTTTGTGATACGATAGTTGGACCACTGAATACCCTGACATCATTTGATATCCTGTGAAAGTAATCATCATTTGATACTGTTGTTATATCATTCATAGTAGTAAATTGATAGAGCCGGGTGTTCTCTGTGTATGGTGGCATAGCATAGTCTCCCTTGAATAGCTTAATTATACAATAGAAATTCACTACAATGAAAAATAAACAAAATAGTTTGAATAATTTTATAATGCCAAAAACCATGTCAGTTGACCAGAATGCAGGTTCAGCTTTTACTAAGAAGGTAAATGATAGTCGTCACATAAATGTGTCACATACATGTGTTAATCCTGTTTAATATGTTTTCTGTAAACAACATATTGTCTTCTTTCTCTCTTCACAGTGGAATTCCATGTAGTACGATAATTTGGTTATGTACATGTACTATTCTAATATCTTGTTTTGCTACTGTGAAATATGTCTTATTTCCCTATCCACCGTGGCTGAATGTTTTGGTTATGTACTTTCCTAATTTCTAATTCTGGCTTCTGTAATCAGTATAGGTATATCTTCAAGCTCACTTACTGTTTATGTGACATGTTGCAACTTTATAGCACCTGAGGATGAGAGAACACTCATAAATCATATCTGATGTCCATCAAGAAATCCCTTACAAAAACTGATGATTCCCTTACAAAATACTAATAATGATTAAAATTGTGATTCATTTCTCAATTTGAATTTATGTGATTTCTCAGATTAAATGCAGAGATTCCAAATGGTGTCATTGTGATATATTTACGTCATTTCCTATTGCAAAAGAATTATAAATCTTTTTACCCATACAGACCCACCTTGACACTTCTTTGTATAAAATCATTTAATATTCAAAAGATATATTTTCAGAACTTTCTGAGGGAAGCTGGCTGTATTGTTAAATTAGAACAATTACTGATGTCCCACAACATGGCCATGAGATCAGGGTTCAGCACTTCTTCAGCTGTTGTCTCTGACATCACAAACACAATCACAAACCTTGCAGTCAATGAAGAGAACCAAAAATTATTAGAGGTACAGTAATTCACATTTGAAATGTCAAAAATGTTCTCTGCTCATGAGAAGGGGATAGATTGCATCAATATGCAAAGTTATGTAACATATAAATTTGCTAAGTGCAGTTTTATTGGTGGAAGGAGTCTTGCAGTCCCTTATAGAAGCTAGAAAAAGCTTGTCAAACTGAGTTGCCTTATAAATAAGCTCACATCTGAGCAGTCTTCCCAATTTGTATATAGCACTATATGCTTTAATAGTGACATTTGTTTTGTGATGTTTAGTTATTTAGGTTGCCATCTATAGTGCAAAATATACATATCTTATCTTCCAGGATTGTATTCCAATTTTAATCGACATAACTCTTTGGGAGAAATGTGATGCATCAACGCAACTGCATTGTTTACAAGCTTTAACGAATCTCTCAGTGACATCTCGTCACCACAAGTACTACACACGCATCATTGAACGATTGTACGCTTGTCTTGACATGGAAAGTCACACCCTGAAGTTGCAGTCTCTGAAAGTGCTGGTTAATCTGTCCTGTAATCCTCATATGGTGCCACATCTGCTAGCTGCCAAAGTAATACATTTTACTTTAAAAGATTTGTTATTCAAGGGGCATTAGCAGAAACTTCGTAGATTTCAAAATTCCTAAACTAATTGTTGTAACCATGGATATAATGACATCATAGAAAGAGAACAATGGATTTAGAAATTCTTAACAATGAAAAGTTTCTGTAAATGACCTACAAGTTAGGAATTTGAAGAATTTCATTTATTATTTGTTCATAATCATAGTTTCACAAATGGTTTAAGTTTCAAAGAATATTTGAGTAGTTCATTGCAGTTCATTGAAGCTGATTTATTTTATGTGTCATTGTGGAATCTATTTCAAATCTGAATTCTGTTTGTACCTTTCAAGATGTCCACATCTATTAATATTAACAGGTTCTAATAACATAGGGGTGAATAAGATATAAAACTGGAACTGAAAAAGTGTTAATATTTTCTCTTTAAAAAAAGCTGTTCACATATATATTTTGCACTTTGTGTCATATTTCAGGCCCCAGGCAAGTTGCTCCAACTTTTGGTACCTGACAACGATGAAGCAATCCTTCTACGATGGACAACGTTTTTAAGTCATATTATTCAGACAGCCAATGAACAGGGCATTACTGAAGCTACTCTCCCTACTGACTTTAAGGCTGCTTCTCCAGAAACAATGCATACTGCCTTATATGGAATTTCAAACTCAACGCAACTGAAGAGTAAAGTGTTTATATTGTGTCGCCATGGCAATGAGGACATTAGTTCTCATTCAAGTAAGCTCTATGGAATTTTAACCCAGTGATGAATCAGAAATACATGAATTTTCATGCATTTTGCTGAAGTCATTTGGAACTAAGTCACGGGAGAATTATTCTATTGGAAGCATAGTGTCCTGAAACCTTCTAATTTTATAGGGCCATATATTTACATCTATTTCGTGAAGCTAAAAATTATCACCTTATATGGCAATTTGTTAAAGTAGATAATGCTGACAAATACAGTGACTTGTAGGTGAGAATAAAATCTGAAAAAGTCATGTCTTGAAAATGACATGATCATGTACAATATGTAAAAAGAATGCTGTAGGAGTAATATGTGTGCAATTAGAAAGCAATTGGAGCAACAATAATCGTGAAATTGTAATATCTCATATTAATTTCAAGAATTGTTACATCTTTTTGAAATACGAGGACTGATCAATATGTTCTAGTAAAAGTGATCATTGCAATAGAAGCATTGCCTTCTGGATATCAATTGCAGTGAAATTATTCTTACAAAAATGGACATAAAATATTGTCAACTTGCAATCATTATACAAGCTTTTACTGTTGCTCTGATTGTTCATTAGTATGTAAAAATGAATCAATGATTAGAAGTGCAATATGTAACATAAAATATAATTTGTATTTTTGTTATATGATGATTTATAGATTTTTTATCATAACATAATTTTGTACATGATAAATTCATGATTTCAATTAATATGATTAATGAATATTGAATGTACTGCTATTAAATGACTGGTCAGCTTAACTGAGTCAATGAAAGAGTATTGAGATTAAAATGATTTTTGAATGCTTGTCCACAGTGAGCATGATTCAACAGAGACCGATTTGTTATTAACTATTATTTGTATTATTATTAATTATAAATAATTATCATGGGATGTGCATAAATTAGACATTGGTAATAGTAAGTCATTTGAAACTTCCGATATTGATAACACACAGTATTATATTATCATGCTAATATGTGCCAATCAGATATATAAGAACTATGGAATTAAGACTTTTGTTCGCATCTTGGATACTGTTTTCAAAAAATTGACAAAATGAGAAACTTGGTGTTCACTTTATTAGTGTTAAACGACAGTAATAGCAATGTTTTAAGCTATTGTATATTTGCAAAAAACTAAACTACATTTTTTGTTCATGAGAAGGTCACATATATCATTTGATTTGTAAACCTGCTGTTGACCTTTTACAGAATATGTTTTTGAAAAATTACTTGTGATTGATTTTTAATATATTTTCTTTCTTGGATAAATTAAGTTCACGCAAATTAATTCAGACTGAGACAGGCTATAATCTGATAGTGTTGAATAGAAGTCTTTGGTGCAATATTTTGTCATTAGCCTTAAATGTAAAAAATCCCTTATTTTGATTAAATCTAACGCAATGCTGAATATATTGATCTATGGATTGTTGTTGAAGCCCAAATAAATTTATTCTTAATTTCAAAATAATTGTGTTTTTTTTCTTTGATTTAAAGGGCAGAGTCTGTATCATCGTAAAACTCAAAATAATTTGTAATTATCTGTTACTTGCCCCATCAATGGACTCATACGAAAATTCTTTACATTGCAAGCAGTAGACAAGTTCTAAATTGAATGAACTACTTGTGCCTTGTTTATTTTGAAGGGCAATTGCATTTCTACTTGTGACATACTGATATCATTTTGAATTAAAAATTTTAGACTAACAGTATTTAGGATGAGAATTCCAGCTATTAACCCTTCAATTAAATTTACAAGAATTGAATAAAGGTTATTGTGACAAGCAACAAACTGATGCCATGTGGCAGAAGAGGATATGATGCATTTTACTGTGATACAGAACATTCCTTTAAGGTAGATAATGAGGGGATGGACAAATTGGCAAAGAGGAGATAAGCCATATAGCTCATAGTTGAGCTTCATGGTTAACCTCTTTCTGCACATCACTCCATGTCACATCCTCGATCTATTTTCAGACTGCCACACAAAGACAAATATATTATATAAAATAACTCAACTGAAATCATCTGATGGTGCAGGGGACAATATATGTTGAATGGCAACATTCTGAAATTTTACTGATTAATAATAATACTGGTTCCAATATCTTAGAAGAAAATACTTATGCCTGGAAGATTGTGTTATTCAAAAATGGAATTTCTACTCGACGGATTCAAAATTAAAACCAATTGTTTGGATGAAGGGTTTGAGGAAGATGAGATAAAGCATATAAGTTAACAAAACACAACTCATCCTTTTTCTATAAAATGGTCATATTTATATTTATTTTGCAGTAGTGCTGAGAGAGAATAGACTATATACATGTACATTCATAAAGTATATACATGATAACTTAAAGAAATATTACATACATTTTTATTCAATAGTTTAATATATACACTATATTGGACTTTGTAAATTATTTTCATGATACTGTACATATAATTTTTTATGCGAGTGTATTTTAAAATTTACCCTCATATTAAGGTATGCAGAGATGAATGATTTTTGGACCTGTTGGGCATAGTGCAGTATGGTATGCAACCCTAGATTTCTCACTTGACTCTGCCTGCCTAAATAACATCTTGGGACACAGTCACATAGGACTAAGAATGAACATGAACAAATGCAGTTCACGATGCCAAAAGATCAGTAGAGACACTTTGGTGAATTAAGCCTTGTGTTTAAAAATCACATCATGATTAAGAAATTAAGAAATGATTCGAGAAATTAAGCGTATTTGATACTTGCAAAACCACAACTTCCACTGAATCGTGATCAAATTGATGAGTAGCTTCACTCTCTGGAGAGCTCTCTTATTGACATATAATTCATACGGTATTTTCCTCAAAGTGCTTTCTATTCCACAGTGATGTGAGTTTTTTTTAGTATGGTAAAATGTACATTGTAGTCCCTCCAATTAAGTGATTTTATTTGATTTATTAATTGATTTTAATCTGATAGGAATGAAGCTGTTTTTTTCAAAATGAGCATTTACTCCCTTAGACAACCATAAAGTGAAATTAATTAATTAATCTTTTCTATGATATGATTTGATTGATTGATCACTCCAAAATGTTAATGTGACATCTACTATTGCAGTAATCATAACAAATATTGCAGAGTGAAGGATGAATCAAGTGAATTTAACAGGGTATTTGCATATTCAGAACAACTCACCAGGATTTTCTTGACTCCTTCAGTTTAATAACTTTCTCAACCTCTGGATGGAACCCTTAACTCTACATGATATATGAGTTAATGCTGTTCATTCATATTCAAATCTCATTTCTTATTAACATTTCTCTTATACAGCATCTCTGTGTCTGTTTACACAATTTCTAAATTTGAGGCTGGTGTATGTAAACCATTGAGAACAGCTTTAGTAAGATATCTGGCTTTAGTAAAGTACATTATAATATGTACATATACACATATCAGAGCAGATCTGTACCCAGAATTGAATAGTAATCATATAATTAGTTAAATGCCTGGATTTGAAATTAGTTTTCTTCAAATTTTAATTTTTATCATTTTTCACCACAAAGTTCCAGTTTTTTTATTTTTCAAACAGTTAAGTCACCAACTTGCCATTTGCCTGGATGATAGGTTTTGGAGAATGCTCCATGTAGGGTCTTGGAAAAATGTTCAGGGTCATAACAATAAGGTCCACCATATTGCTCAATATATAATACTCAACCAACATGGAAAATGTATATACATTTAGGGAGGTCTACTGGTTTACTTGTTTGCAAGGTAATAAAATCCAAAATTTCAAATTTGAGAGTAGCGGATACAATTTAATCAACCTTTCAGATGCATAAATCTGGGTGATTTTAATTCAGAATTCCATCCATTGTATATTCAAGGAGTCCATAAACTAAGTCTCTTTACACTTTACACAGACTTTGTATTGTAATTGTAAAGAGACTTTATGGTCACTATACAACTTGGGTCTATGTATTGACTGTGTTCGCAAGGGATAAACAACAAATATATCAGTGTAATGGTCTCTGTCCATTTGGAGATCAAGCATTGATCATTTCAGTATCCTACATTAATCCGGGAGCTTTGAAATAATTTACTTGTACATCTCTGTTGACGGTGATACCTTAAATAATGCACTTCTTCCTCTGTACTTAATATACATGTTAATTGTCTCAATCTGTGTGTTGTTCCTATCCTTGTTTTTGATAGTAGAATCCAACATACACCATAAATAATAGATTCATGGATGTTTATGTGTATTTTTAATTTCCTCCCTTTTTGAAAGATGTCACTAGTGTTCACCTAAATGCACCTGTACCTGGCCCACTGGTTAAGAATGGGAAGGCCCCCCCAAACTGACTGTTTATCGGTGTCTTTGGAGACTGGCATGTATATAGGAAGTCAGAATCTTCAGATTGGAAGTGAGTCCTGTTAAATGTTGGCTCAGAATTGCAACGCTTTATTTTCGGCACTGAACGAATTAAGTTCTCTAAACTAGCTAGAATCTGAAATGAAAAGACAATGTTTAGTAAATCTATATTTAGTAAATCTATATTTACTAATGATAACATTCTTTGACCATTATGTAAATAAAATGAGAGCTCAAGCCGTGACCTCATAAAAATCATGAATCATGGGTTCATCATGAATAGTTCATTCTGGATAAATCCTATATCTTAAACCTCCCAGTATATAATCCTTATGCAATTTAAGTTACCTGTTGGAAAAGGGGCCTCTCTTCCCTGTTATAGTCTATACAGTCTGTGTAGAGGCGCTTCAATGCTTTGGGTGTATCATTCCTAAACCTACTGATGTCTGGGCGCAGATAGCCCTTGCCAACCATGAACAGGATCTGGAGCAGAAAACATGTACAAACATTTAGAACTTGTCATTTGTGAGCCATTTTCAATGGGACTCTTCATTTGACATTAAAATAACTTGAAAATCTTATCTATATCATTCATTCAGATTCTTAATACATCAGGGCTCAGAAACTTAGTTTGGGGCTTATGATTTAGACTAAGTGCCATGTAGGAGAGAGTTATAAGATCAGGGTAGTCTGTGCCTATCTATGATACAACCCTGCTATTTGATATGATAAAAGTTGTTTGACGTGTTAAAAAGGTAAATATAAACAATCAATATTGAGTCTATTAGCAGTATACAATTTGTCATATAAGAAAATTCTTTGTTATGAATTTTGGAAACTGCTTCGTCATAAATTCAGAGCACACAAGGCGTTATTAAAGAACAAACCAGGTGTACAGACAGAATTGGCATTGAAAACTTTCCACTGATCTGATTGGATAAGAAAATATCGGATGGTTGTTTTTGGCAAATTGCCACCCTACACCTTAAGGGGATTCCCCATGTGTTTCATCACACCCAATATCTCTCCTACCAAACATATAGTCCTGGGAATTAACACTGCGTGCTTTAATGTTTTAACAACGAGGCAATATAATATGAACATTCTTAGAACTGCGCAAGTGGGTTTTAAGTTAGTGTTAAACTAATCCAAAACAGATTTCACTTTCAAACAACATTTTGAATACAACTCAAGACAAGAAAAGCTACATCACTGCGGAGTGATATTTCAGAACTACTTCATAATTATCATAAAAGATAAATATTTTGGACCAAGCACAGGCATAATTCATCATTTAAAGTGTATATTCCTACCTGGACAACAGAAATGAAGAAAGCCTAATAATAAACTAATAAAAATTGAATTGAGGTGGCAAGTTTGGATAAATAATTCCCCATCATTCTGGAAAGTGAACAAAGAGGCTGATGCACTGAGGGCAACATAGCTAATGGCGGACTCTCAAGGTATGTACTCTACTATGATGAACAAAATTAAAGTTGCACAAAGTAAAGAAATCGTTTTATGTTATAAAGCATGGGATGTATCATGTAAATAATTCAATTTGATTTTGGAGCAGTGGAAAACAACAAAAACGTGAACCCTGTTTATCTGAACACCTCTCTAATCCAGAACCTGTCAATGAACATTATTCTTGGTCCCTTCGATCTCCCACTGATTCAGATATAAAAAATCAAAACGTGATAATCTGAACACCTTATGCCTTTCTTAAAGATGGTGGGGAGTCTGATGAACTGTATGAACTGGAAAGTCTGGGAGAGCCTGGGGACAGAGCAGCTGGTGACAGAGAACCTGTGAGAGCAGACACAAGGAATACAGTGGGTCATGGGAGAGATTTCCATTTTGGCAACAGAACAACAGTGAATATTAACAGCACAGGTATGCAAACATGAAATGTGATAAAGAATGTGGACCTAATAATAAAACAATAGATGTACATTTTTGTGTATATATTTGTCCTTTGTCTTGAACACTATTACATTTCTAAGCTGGACTATATTAGCAACTCTATTACTTATAAATGTCTATTTCTGTAAGTAATGAATCATTTTCAGAATATACTTTCTATTCCAATGAAGGGTGAGTGAATGTGTAGAAGTTAATGTGATAGATTGCATTTAAAATCTAGTGCAAAACTTGAGAAGACCCCTGAAAATACTGACATAGTTACATCATAAAATACAAATGTTAATCTTTAGACTGGAAAAACAGATCCCTGACAAGAGATTGCTACATGCGCAGAATTCACTGTACATTAATATAGTTAATCATTTTGACTTGGTTGTAATTTTAATTCCAAATGCTTGTCAGCAATGTAAGACACTATTTCAGCCCAAATGAAATGAACTCTTTATTAAGGTTTAATGCCATTTTTAAGTTATCCTGTTTCTATTGCAATGTCTATAGTTGATTTTAGGGCCAAGTGCAAACCTCAGAAAAGTTATATTTATAGAGCTTCTTAGAACCAGGAAGAAGAAATGAGATACCAACTCTCACAACCAGTCCAGACAGTAAATACCATATCTTATATAAACAAAGGCTCATGTCAATGTGTACTGTACATGTTCTTGAAATTCCATTGAAAGGGAGACTCCCTTGCAAATATCAGAATATTGATAAGGACCATGTGCATATGTGGGAAAATTCCATTTAAATCAAGGCAAATATCAACACTTGGAGAAGCATTGGGATTAAAGTTATGGTCTGGTTTTAAATGTTGATTTCTATAAACACTGGTACAATATGCCCCCCCCCCCCAACCAGAGTTTTCACATATCTGTCATTTCCTGAAAGATTGATATTTTATCAAGACCAACTTTCTCAGAAAAAAGCATTTTAAAATGGACAACAAAACTATGATATATGTGTTATATATTTTCAGAAATGCACTGCCCAAGCACTCCCCAACTCATTAGAGAAAACCAGAGGTTAAAGGTAAGCATAACATTTGTGTATTATGAGGTCTCGGAGCCGTTTAAACAAGTAAACTATTGGAAAAGGTTCCATTTCTGTTCTATTTGGACAAAATCCAAAACTCTGTGCTGTATTCAGAGGGATACTCAATCCAGGTTAAACATACAATCGGAGTTGAAACAGTAAACAAAATTCTAGACTTAATAAAATACAGCTCCATCTTTCAATAAATGTTAAACTTGAAATACTTAAAAGTAAGGCATCTGATTTCCTTTTGACATAATGAGGTATATGATAATGTACCAAAAATCTAAAGCATTTCGGACCTTAATAAGACATGCTATAGTGAGAATAAGGAGTCTTCTCAGGGTTCAGTACTGTATAAGTGGTATTTAATCGGAGTAGTTGATTTGCCGAATGGTCAAATTTATCTTTTTCCTCATTACAAATTTCCTAATGACAAGAAACTTCCCATTAGATAACATTATGTAGATAATATTTCCGATATTAAATTTTCCAAACCTGGCAAAAATTAGGCAATAGGCAAATTAAATGATTAGGCAAAATTGCCACTTATATAGTATTCAATCATAACCTTTCAGACTGAGCTTGAAGCGGAGCAGCGGAAACATGAAACAACAAAAGATACCCTGACAAATATCACAAGCCATCTCATGCGAGAATTGGAAAAAAATAAAGATCTAGAAAAGAAGAACAAAGAGCTATTAGCATCTGTAAGAGCTCTGCAAAATCAGCTATCAAAGCTGACCCAGAAAACAAAGAAGCAACAAGAACAAAACAGAGCAGAAATTGCCCAGTTGAAACAAGAGGGAGAAAATCTCCGTCAAACAGTGCAAGAGTTACAACAAACGTTAGCCAATGAGAGAAGTCAGCATCTGTCAAAGTTGGAAGAAAGTCAGAAAATGATGATGAACCTAATTCAACAAAATGCTACAGAGATCAAAAAAATTGCTGAAAGCAAAAGAACTCTATGGCAACTCATCAAGGATTTCTTCAAAAAGAAGAAGAAAATGCAGTCTGAGAATGGAGGGACTATTTGCCAGCCAACTGATGCTGCATGCAACATTCAGTCTCATAAAGTGTCAATGCCCTGAAGATTTTGACTGGATATAAATTCTGATATAGTGTCAATGCCCTAAAGATTTTGACTGAATATAAATTCTGATATAGTGTCAATGCCCTAAAGATTTTGACTGAATATAAATTCTGATATAGTGTCAATGCCCTAAAGATTTTGACTGAATATAAATTCTGAAATAGTGTCAATGCCCTAAAGATTTTGACTGAATATAAATTCTGATATAGTGTCAATGCCCTGAAGATTTTGACTGGATATAAATTCTGATATAGTGTCAATGCCCTAAAGATTTTGACTGAATATAAATTCTGATATAGTGTCAATGCCCTAAAGATTTTGACTGAATATAAATTCTGATATAGTGTCAATGCCCTAAAGATTTTGACTGAATATAAATTCTGAAATAGTGTCAATGCCCTGAAGATTTTGACAGAATATAAATTCTGCATGTAAAAAGTATCCTTATTTTTTTGTTCCACATTTTTGCATATACAATTGTAATGCTTCAAGTACTTAATCAGGAAATCATTGTCTTGGGAACATTATTCAAAGGCTACTTTAATATTAGACATGCAGTCTGAAAATGATGCCAACGCCATCTTGCTAGGAAAATAACTGTCCAACTACATCTATGGACATGAAATACAAATACATGGCCCATTTTTCGAGATGGGCTGGTAATGTACAAAAAACCTTTTGGGATTGTTTTCATACAAATTATCAATGAAGTGTCCAAATGCTACGCAGGTTCAATATAGTTTAGATTCATTCATCAACTTCCAGTACAATAGTATGGTCTTCATCACAATTAGTGAGATTTCATTTTTATACATTTTATTAGATTTTAGTTTGAAATTTATGTTGACGACCACTTACAAGTATTGAGTTGAAATTAATTGTTACCAATTCATTTACAGTACTGTACATTTCATAGTAATGAACTTCATATCTGAACAATGTATATATTTCTTTCCTTCAGTTTTCTTCGGACATTTCAAGAGTCTGGTAACATGGTAGTAAACACTGAGAGGTTTTATTAACTATTCGAACATGACTGTATTCACGCCTTCTATAAACTGTAAACAAAGTCAACATTTCATCTGGGATATATTCGCGATCAATACCCCAGTTAATACGTGTAATGTGTGATGTCATAAAGGTGGGTCGTAGTAATGGAGGACCATGATGAATATTTGAAACAATTTGGTGAGTTTTCATGTTGGAATCGTAATATAGACCTCAGAGCTGGGGTAATATCGTCGAATACACCCCTTGGGTCTAGGCACAAAAGCTTTCGAACCCCTCACTCCCTTCTGTCGTTCGGGGTACATAAAACGTTTGTGCCTATCCCTGCGGGGTGTATTCGACGATATAACCCCTGCTTTTCGGTCTATATTTCTTAATTAGGAGTACACAAGAGAGGTGTTTACTAAATTGAAGTAAATTCTTGATAGGGGTCAATAAAATTAGATGTGCAATGAGAGTTGTTTACAAAGTGAACTAATAAAAAGAACATTAGCTGTACATAATATTGCATTTATAGAATTGGATTTTCTTCCAAAAATGCTATGATTTGCTTATCTGTGATGTTCATTAGTACATAGTAGATAGTCTGAAATAATGTATGTTCGAGTGTAGTTGTTCAATCCCTTTGAATGGAGCAGCATGTATATTACCTTCAACAATGTATGTACTTCAATAAAATAGATATCTCTTTAAATAAAAATAAAATATCTACTTGTTATACCCGAGTTTTTATCTCAAATTTATATTCCCAATGAATATAAGAGATGCATACATAGGGGTTATGCACTGGGAGGTTTTGGATACAGGGAATATCCCGAGGGATATACAATATATCTACCCGAGGGACCGAAGGGACCGAGGGAAGATATATTGTATATCCCAAGGGATATTCCATGTATCCAAACCGACCGTGCATAACTGGTGTATCTCATACTTGAGTGGGTTTAGGGTAGATATTACCCTTTCCACCTTTTTCAAATGACAAGATATTTATATTTAACATTTTCGTAATATTCTTTTTGTTCAATACAATGAAATTGTAACATTTAAACTTAAAAAAATTAAATTTTAAATTAAAAAATTAAAACTTATGATATTTAAACTTTTGAAAAATTCCCGGGAGCGGGATGGATATATTATATCTGCCCGCATTTGGCCAGGAGCGGGACATATACAATATATCCTGCCCGCTCCTCAGATACGATATATATTCCCGGGTGATATCTACCCCAAACCCACTCAAGTATGAGATACATATACATTCATTCACACATTTATAGACATCTTAGACACTTCAAGCAAATTAACAATTATTATGAGGTAGAAACACTCTATGCTGAAAAGTGGACTCCTCTTATCAATTCAAATGAATCTTGATGTTTTTGTAAATTTAATCTTCAATAACGTCTTAGTATGTCATCAGATATCTCAATATTTTTTTATAAAATAAATAATGATAGAAAAAGGAACAAACATTTGAATTATTTTTGAAAAAATCCTTCCAACATATACCACTATCTAGCCTTTGCTGCCACTTTAATTAACCACTGAAAAACAAAGCATTAACATGCAAAATGTCACAACCTGCCATCTGTTACAGATGCCAACTACCAAAAATCATCCACAAAAAAGTTGGAGACAATATAATAGATAATAGATAGGTGGACTATGGGATGATATCTCACCAATAAACTCCGAATATTTCACCATATTTTTAAAGATTCTATTAATAAAGAACTTACCTGGTCTTTGTTATTTATATTGGAGTAAGGTAACTGGCCAGTCATCAACTCATAGAGGACAATACCAAAGGCATAGACATCAGACTGGAACGTATAGGGGTTAGCCTCTTTCATACGGATCACTTCTGGTGCCTGCAAAAGAGACCGTAGAATAAGAGAAGAGTAGAGACTAATTCTTGTAGAGATTCCCATTGTCGCAAGTGACAGAGATGATGTTCACATAATCTCTCCTAGTGGCAAATATTCCACTGCTTCATGTTTGACTTTAAACATCTCTTTCATATATCTATACAAGATTCCGCAGAGAAAAATTATGTCATTACAGCCTGAATATTTATTTGTAAATTCTGACACCTACCATCCATAATATAGAGCCTGTAGGTTGCTGGAACTGGTGTGAGCCGCTCCAGCGTGTTTTCACTGTTGCTAGACCAAAGTCACCTATTTTTACTGTACAATCATCCGTTAAGAAGATATTGTTCGATTTCAAGTCCCTATGTATTATTGACTTAGCATGAAGATAACTGAAATTGAGAAGGAAGTAGGTTTACATATAGTGTGCAGTACTAAAATAAGTTTGAGGACAATTTCTTAATAAAAATAAAAATACAATTTACTCTTAAATGATCTGCCTTGCATACACATATACATATTGAATATATATAAACATATTGAATAGAAAAACATATTGAATATATATAAACCTATATGACTAATGTGAAAGTGTATGTATCCTATTAGATTTTCATTTCTTTCCTCTTGTATTCTCTGTCTTCATGTTTTCTGAGCACTTAGTATATGTCTGAGCCTACTTGTAACACATAAGATAAATACAGTATATCATACATACTCCATGCCACGTTGATAGTACTTAAACAAATATATCATACTTACTCCATGCCCTGTGCTGTCTGTCTCCCAATATCCATTAACTGCATCATATCATACTTTTTCTCTTCTACATGTAAATGTTTATACAGACTGGAGCCTTCGCACCATTGAGTAACAATAGCTAACTGTGGTTTCGAGGTACAACCCATAAATAATAGCACATTCACATGTCGGGTTTTTCTGCAATTGAAAATAAGTTATCATGTATGAACAAATATCCGCTTTTACAAATACAACAGTTTTCTATTGATTGATGATCAGGTTATGATTAATATTTGAAGGTAATCCAACCAAGGAAAATACTTGTAAATGTACTTGTTTCTGAACATTGCAAACACAGTGAAAGATTTGGAAGTTATGCAAAATGTTCTCTGCCAGGAACATTACTGCAGTAACACTTGAACACCCATGGCTTGCTCTGTTAAAAACACTTCAAAAATTCATGAATTGATGTAAATTTAGGTTCACCAATCTTCGTAACTCTCACTTCAAGAGGTACATTTTTAAAAGCACTATTATTGTTTGATATGTGGCAGTGGCTCATAATATTAACATGCAGATGAATGGTGTACTTCATCATGGTGTATGCAAGTCTCTAGGAGCAGGTCTCACATTTCACTTAGAAATTGCTTAAGAAAACATGGACAGTGCCAGTTTCCATCCAAGTTGTCTCAGACATACCTTAAGACTGCAACTTCATTTTTAAAGGCCTGCAACTGTGCTGGAGTAGGGTCCACAACATTTAACTTTTTAACTGCAACAGGGCCATGCCATAGCCCATTAAACACGGTTCCAAATGATCCAGAGCCTATTCGCACTTTACATTGTATTTCTGACTCAGGAATTTCCCAATCTTCATTGGAGTCCCGCCTTGATCTCTGAAATATGAATATTTCTTCCAAATATTAATTTTCAGATTTCTAACACTGATCAGATGAGAATGCCATCTTTGATAAATTCTCACAATATTTTACTCTACAATTCTTACCATTTTTGCTTTGTTGACGTCGGATTCGGATGACCGAGGAGGTCGTCGTGACCATTTTGTAGAGCTTGTAGGTGAGGCCTGGGCACTGTGTGATTTGGTCGGACTACTTTGGGGGCTCGCGGCTGACTGGTTGCCATTGTTACCACTCAGATTGTTGCTATTACTAGTTACTGCAGGGATCAAGGTCGTAGATATATTTGAACCTAAAATACAAACACAGACCTGATTAGAACCAATTGAGACATTCCTTCTAATAAGAACCAACCTATTCTTTTCATATTTTGAAGAAAACACAAACAATAAAATCTTTGAAATTACATTTTCAATTACTGTATTAGTGCCCTGGGAAGTTAGAAATACATACTTGGACCATTCTTATAAGTGCCTATATTATCTGAAAGAAGTCAAAATTCTCCAGGAATTTCATGTATGGCATTTGCAGCATCAGACTGAAGTAACAGTATATTTTGACAATAATGATATTGGATTCTTATTGGAGAGTTATATTGGAGAGTTATGGTAAAGATCGCTAAATAAACCAAGAATCTAACAAAACAATATCGAAAAAATTCCTCACAGGGAGCCCCTGCATTGAAGGAATTGTTTTTCTCTGATTATATTCATTATTTCTATAAGAGGCTGTTGGATATCGATCTAAAGTTCTACCTTATGTTTTTAATTTAATCTAATGTGTAAAAGTCATGAGAATAAGGAAAAATGTTAAAAAGAAACAAGAAAGTTCACGACCTTGGCATGAGCAGAAGCCTTTTTAGTTAAATACCGAAATAAAACTTAAATTTGAACATTTCTTTCATTCATTATGAACTACTTAGAGAGAATATTTAGTTAAGTATGGTGTGAAATGGTAGATATTTATTGGGAGGATCAACTTTTACAGCATTAAGTACTCTATTATCACCCACTTGATTTCTTCAGAAATTGATGGGATGGGCACTAAATACAGTAAATATGGTAGATTCAATTTCAACATCATTAAAAATTGTTAATTTTAACCTGATATTTTTGAAAATCAATCAGTACTACAATCTTACTATATAACATAGAAGTTTTATCCAGTATTAAAAAGATGATTAGGAGTAGAATTCAGAAATCCATTCCGAAGAAAGAATAATATTAAACAAGTATGATTTCACCTATTGATATTCACATTGATTTTAACAACATTTTTAAAATATTTTATCTAACATGCAGAAAGCGATGACAATATAAACACTTGGATAACATATATTATCCTACACTTAGTGTACTAAATGTATAAAAACATTAAAAAATAAATTTGATATTTATTGGCAAAATGAATAACCGGAGGATATCGTAAGGATATACTCTGGGCGGAGGATATCATGACAATATACTCAGGAAAACCCAATATTCGGAGGATATTGTGACGATATACTCCGCTTGTTGATTTCCCACAAAATTGACTCTATTTGGCATGAAATTCATTTTGCAATGATATTATACATTTCGTACACTCCTTGTAAGTGTTGGATAATAAGAACATCCTATGATTTTTTTCAGAATATCATTTTAATCTACTCTGTGATATTGATATATGCACTCGTTCGCTTTGCTCTCTCGTGCAGATATCAATATCACCTCGTAGATAAAAATGATATTCCTCAAAATCATAGGATATCCTATAATTATGTTAATAAGATGCACATGTGTACACTAAGATTGAATTAATTTCCTGAAGTACATCTATTTGCACATAACTTATGCTACATATCAGACAATAGAGTGATGCTGTGATTTGAAACACATACATTGTATGTACCACTGTTACAGTTTCAAAATTGAATAATGTTGATTTTGGTATTTAAATCAAAAGTCAATAATGAAAAAAAAATTGACTGAATAAGTATGGATTAAAGGTGATAATGTACGTGTAATAACACATCGCCTGTTTGAAAAAATTTTTTATAATGAATGAGAACAAAATTTTACAGCAAAATAAAATTTGCTAAGCACTTATCAAACAAGAAATGGGAATGTGACCGTGAAACAATAATAGTAAATAGAAAAAGTATTCCTATTGGTATTGGATTCATAAACATTTTGTCAATGAGCTCGTTTATTCGATGGACACAAATTACTCAAAGTTAAAAGATGCGGCTGAATCAAAATATGTCAACAGGAGGCTTATATCAAAGCTAAGTCATAGAGTGGGGAGGGGGATTTTAATCAAAATACATCATGGAAGGGGGGGGGGGGTAAATCAAACTATAACATAGAAAGGGAGGGTTAAATCAAACAATGATAGGGAATGGAGGGTTAATCAAACTATATGGAGGGAAAGGATTAAATCAGAGAATTTCATGCATATTTCATACAAATAACTTGAGGTATAATATTGAAACTATAATTAAGCTGGACTTGAAGATTTTAGCTTAGCGTACTAGGATTTAATCACAGGGTGGCATAAAACTGGCTCACTAAGCGGTTGTTATATGGGCAACACAGGAGTTTATGACTGGTCAGCTTCATTCTTGACTAATGTAATTTTCCCTTGTCCAAAACCTCCTTTGGGCTGATTTCTGATGAGGTTACCTTCACAAGTTTTACATCGATTGCATGCAATTTTCCTCTGACATGCATATGTGAGCAAATGATGACCAAAAAATAATTACAAAAAATTACAAGCAAGACAACATTTAGCACAAACTAAAAATGAAATGCTATTCTGTTTGGTGTGATAACTAGATAACGGCAACTCCGCGGAGTAGCAAATCCCAACGAACAAAATATCAGTTACCGAATTCCAATCAATTATACTCATTTCTTTGGTTAAAATTTAAAAAATTAGATTTTAGAATTGCGAATTCCTGCAAAGCAGCCATTTTGAATTTTTGGAGATACAAATCTGAAAAATAATACCATAATTGTGATCTACTCCAAAATTCTTTCAATTCGAGTATAATATAGCCATACTTTGAAGGGATCGAAAAATTATTGCGAAATCGTACATTAGACAGCCATTTTGAATTTTACGAGGCTCGAATCAGAAAAAAGATACAATATCTGCAATCTACTCTTAATTGCCTTTCATTTGAGTATAATAAAGCTATACTTCAGAAAGATCTAAAAATTAGCGAAAATTTCTGTTTTCCTGTCCCCCCATACACAGCCCCTGGGGGTCAGGATGAAAAACACTGAATATATGTGAAATAGATAAATGTGGTGAATATACTACCAAAATTTCAAACAATAATATTAATTACTTTGGTTTAGAATGAAAAATTTATGATTTTCCGTCATTTTTAACTTTTTTTTGCGTAAAACTATTTACCAATATACATCTTTCCACTAAATATGAAGAAAATCCATCTACTAGTATTTGAGTTATCTTCCGGACAGACGGACGGACTGACTGACTGACTGACGGACGGACGGACGGAGGGCTTCACTATATCCCTACCGAACTTCGTTCGTTGGGATCTTTCCACTAAATATGAAGAAAATCCATCTACTAGTATTTGAGTTATCTTCCGGACAGACGGACGGACTGACTGACTGACTGACGGACAGACGGACGGACGGAGGGCTTCACTATATCCCTACCGAACTTCGTTCGTTGGGATAATTATCATTACAATTTCATTACCATTGCTTAAACAGTAACAAAATAAAGAAACATCTACTACTTTAAATGTACATTCGGAAAAGATGTCATAATGATTTAAAATTTCAACATATGATCATTGAACTTGAAATTTCTTATCATATTGCAATAACACAAGACTTTATGACATCTCATGTGTGAAGTGCACATCAAGTAAAGCATTGTTTTCATATCCACTAATACACAGGGTGGCCCAAAAATGTCCATGTTTTAATTTGTTGATAACTTTTTAATATGCATTAGATATCTTAAAAATAGTTTTGATAGAGATGCAGAAATTTTGCAATTATTTCTACATTGGGATTAGTCAATCTGCGGGGATTTCCAAATTAGAAAGGTTGATAGGCATATAGGGTCTAAATGAAAATAAGGTCTAAGGATAATATTTGAAGTAAAAATTTTACACTGATATTATTCATGCCTCAAAAAATAGTACCAGAATGACTTTTTTAAACAGTTTGCCAGAGAGGCTCACAGCTCTAACAAAAATAGCTCAAGCAAAAAAAAATATGGATGTTTTTTGGCCCACCCTGTAAATCCAGAGATTTCAGGCATTCTGGCAATCATCTACTTTTCAAAATGCCAGGCCATGCATTATTCAAGAAATTGCAGTTTGCTAAGGTGCTATTTGCTTTCAATGTGTCAGTGGGTTGTCTCATAAGCTTGCATGCTATATAATGCAATATTTGGGTGTTCAATGATGCAAATAAAAAAATGCACAGAGGTTTGCAAGCATTATATTTAAGTGATTGGGAATATGAGTGTCTCATTGAAGATATATCAGTGAACTCCCAAGAATGGTTTAACCAATTGATTTGACAATGCCAAAACATAGTGGTGAAATGGATAGATTCCTTAGAGGTGCAGTGTCGAGGATTTCTCAAAATAGTGTTGGAAAAATATATCATTAATGGTATGGCTTTTTGTGAGTGTCGATGGAAAGTGCCTAAAGATCAGTTTTGAATGCCTCAGTGATGATGAGTGTCCACATGAATTGAAAGTGTCATCATTGAATTGAAAGTGTCATCATAGAATTGAAAGTGTCAGTGGAGATGAACGTGTCAGCTTGCATGCTTAACTAAACCTATATTAGCTTACCCAACAGTGCATAGAGAGAGCTGGCACCTAAGGAAATCAAGACAACTACATGTAAACCCTTCAAAATGGATTAATGATGGCCATAGACTTTCACGATATCTCTAATTATACAGTGAGATGTGCAGATGCCCACATTTCCAGTGATACTATTGAGAAAGTATTTGACCATCATACAATCAAATGCAAATTAAAGCATTGCATGGTTATTAAAATAGCAACTAAATTATCAATATTTTTTATCTAATGCACAATTTAAAGGTTTGTGTGAGAACCCCCCCCCTCAAGGAGGGATATAGTGGTAGGTAAACAGTGCTGGTTTTTTCTAAGCGCTAAGTACAATGTACACTTTTTCTAGTAGTAACAATTCACAATAAAATGAACGTGTGGTTTCATCTAAAGGTTTGAAGCTGAGCAGAGGGAAATTGTGCTATTAATTAAAATTGCAATAAAAACTCTAATTCAATAACTGATAGTTAATAATATAATATTACAAAAATGGTTAATTAAAACAAGTTGCCAAAAAAAGACAGGCAAAATCATAGTTCTGCATATATAGATACACAAAGCCATAAGAGAATGACTAGATGCACCAGTAGATGTTAACAATGATAGTCATTTCAATTTTATGGGATGAGGTCGCCAGATTTGAGACAAAAGAATCCTACAACTCTAGGTTTCACTTCCAAAGTTTTCAAGTAACATATCTAAATATTACTTAGTCACCATACAGTGAAATTAAAAAGTTAAAAAAGAAATTGTTTAGAGAGTGGTACAACATTTTCGATAGCTTTTACTCCTAGCATTATTGAACCTCAAAGAGAAGTGAAGGTTACTCGCAAATGATATACCCATTGCATGGAGTAGGTTATTTTCTTTGAAACATTGGAATAAGGAAAAATAACCAGATTTTAAATTTTTTTTCAAAAAATAGCTTGAACCCTGTAGCAGACAAATCTGGCGACCCCACTCTTTGAATTTTTAACATAAACACAATCTGCAAACTGTCCGTTTCTTGAAACGCGATTAAAACACAGAAATCCTTGGTGGAGATACACTTGACATACAGTATTTAAATAGAATTCTGTTCCTCTCCGATGTCTGTGTTTTGGTAGTAACAGAATGTAATGTATTAGACGAAAACAGCATTCTTAGTATAATGTGTTTAATGGTGTGTTAGTTTAAAAAATAGAGTCCTTAATAATGGTTTATATTAGTGTCATTTCTGAGGAGAATGACATCATTAAGACAACATTAAAAATGCAACATTTGTTGAAATCTTACACAGTGAAGCATACAGCGGGCCGAGATGAGGGCCAAATCTTTCTACTAAATCAGCTTTCAATTCTAAAACAGATCGCATTTCATTAATATCAATTGTCAATTCGAGTTTCAAAAAGTTAAGGGTTAGTAGCATATTATGTTAGTATGTTTTGTTAGATGTTTGATAAACCACACTAGCTTCTTTCACCATGGTTACGGTTGGTCATTTATTCATTAGTGACTTTAAGAATTAGTAAAAATGTTTGGGGTTTTGAACAATTAATCAATGTAAGTAATGTTTAAAATCAACAATGTCAATGGTTACAATGCAAAGGACAAAAGTTAGCAAGACCTTAATCTTGTATCATTACAATTGAAATATGTAAACTCTAAGATTTTTTTCTGACTGTATCCCCGATCCATCTTGGTAAAGATTGTTTATTTCAATGCCACTGATTTGCTTAATTTGAGAACTGGGTGGGAAAGTGTCCTGGGCCAAAGGGACAAAGTTTCAGAATGAAATTTATTCCGATTTATTTATTATTACACACAAATTATAATGAGACATTAATGGTGAATCCATATGTTTTATCAATCTTTCATCTCATGGAGGGTTTGCTAAATAGCAAATAGTCCATTAACTTAGTAAAATAGTCAAACTAAATAGAAGAAGCATGCTAAGCAAATTATTAGACATTGATCTAATGAAGCTGACAACAAAATGAAAAATAGAAGAATTTGTATTTGAGTGAAATAGCTTTTCAGAAGAAATTATGGCAATTGCTTGAAGTTTGTGGAGATACGCATAGATGTAGCTCAGATTGTGCTTCAAAATGGTTTGTATGTTATTTTTATTTTTTCTGGGAATTCTCATTGATTAGAACTTCAAAAACAAAACTTTTGGGATATGCTCTCCCCCAGTATTTCCCTTTTTGTTTGTATTTGATAAGACCACGCAGCATTTGATTTCTTGTATACTCTTCATGGAGTCTAAGCAGTCTGTAACAACTACAACATCAGACATTTGCTCCCTGGCTTAATACATGTACAGTGAGTACATCTTATGAGTTGTATTATTCTATTAAATCATATACCTTTACTTAGTGTAGAATGGGGAAAGTGTCTATTTCTGACAGGAGTACAACTGTCGCTAGCATGACGCTTATTAGTATACTCTTTTTGAGCGCTTCGTACAATAGGTATAGTGTCTGCAATGGAAGACAACATATAAACAATTTATGTCACTAGGTCTCATAATGGCGATCACATTTAATCGCACATGCCTTTTCAGACGATATTGTCATGACCTTAAAAAGCTTATGTCCTTAGACAATTATATAATGTCATTTTAGGCAACAGCATTATGTCTCCTCCATGGACAAAAAATTATGCCCTTTAAACTAAGCATACCCTATAATAAATAATGGTCTCTGAATATCTCCCTCAACAAGATTATGTCCCCCCCACCCTAACCAAATGGCATTATTAATATGCAAAATTTCCGTATGATTGATAAAATAAGTAAATGAATTTATGTATAAGCATTGCAAAAAAGCTGAACATGCAGCCATGTAATGCTCACTCAAATATGAGAATGTGGTTCTAAGAAGGCATCCCCCTCCCCCCAGATGGTACCTCACCATTCAAAAGACCAATATGACATGAATTGTTGTTACACAAAGCATGAGCTATGAGGAGGTACAATTCTATGCATAAATAACAGATATTCATGTCTAAAAGTATCAAGCATGAATAATAATAATCAAAAAGAAGAAAATATACAATGTGGTACAATATCTCCTTATTGAATTGGCTAATAGATACATGATATGTTTGGAGACCAGTAAATGTATTGCTATATTGCTGGAATATGCAGAATTGACAAGCGGCACTCATTGCCAGATTACGTTTTGCTGATCCTGACCCCCAAATGAACAAACCTAAAGTATAAACCCTTGTGTACTGCCAGAGAAGGATATAAAGTAATTGACAAAATGAACAAAACAGTAAGATGAAGCTTACAAAAAAAGAATGCACAAGTCTAGGTACTAGGCTTAAAAACAGACACAATAAAAAGTTACATTTCTGTTTTCCAAAAGTGTATTTAAAATACAAAGACCACTGCTTTGATTGATTTTAAAACTTTGTTGGATACAAACAACAACAAACATTTACAGAATTGTCATGCAAAAGTAACAGCAAAAATCTGGAAAAGGCAGTATTTATTCTTTCAATTATAATACCAGTATACGCAAATATGACAAAAATATGAGCCAAATAATTTGATTCAATATATTGACCAAACACTTCTGGTAACTTTCTACTGCAAAGCTTGACAATTAAAGAAAGAATTAACCAAACTGTTAGCTCAACCTTCCAGTATAATACATACAGATCACATGTAACATACTCATACAGACTACCAATTCTAATTATGCAGCATAGCACAACCTAGACAGACTACCAATTCAGTTAAATCCTGCATTGTGGATTTAGACTACCAATTCAGTTAAATCCAGCATTGTGGATTTAGACTACCAATTCAGCTAAGTCCAGCATTTCATGGACCTAGCCAGACTACTAATTCAGTTAAGTCCAGCATTTCATGGGCCTAGACAGACTACCAATTCAGCTGAGGCCAGTATTTCATGGGCCTAGACAGACTACCAATTCAGTTAAGTCCCGCATTGTGGACCTATACAGACTACCAATTCAGTAAATCCAGCATTTCATGGACCTAGACAGAATACTAATACAGCTAAGTCCAGCATTTCATGGACCTAGACAGACTACCAATTCAGCTAAGTCCAGCATTTCATGGACCTAGACAGACTACCAATTCAACTAAGTCCAGCATTTCATGGACCTAGACAGACTACCGATTCAGCTAAGTCCAGCATTTCATGGACCTAGACAGACTACCAATTCAGCTAAGGCCAGTATTTCATGGGCCTAGACAGACTTCCAATTCAGCTTAGTCCCACATTGTGGACCTAGACAGACTACCAATTCAGCCAAATCCAGCATTATAAACTTAGACAGACCACCAATTTAGCTAAATCCAGCATTATAAACTTAGACAGACTACCAATTTAGCTAAATCCAGCATCATGGATCTAGACTGGCTACCCATTTGATTAAATCCAGTGTTTCATAGACCTGAATATAAAGTAGTCTGACACAGCATTGAAGGTTCTGCCAATACATTCACTGGTCCAGTTGGTGTATCTATTTCCAGCCATTTTAAACATGCACTACATAACACATTGCAGTTTACAATATCGTAAATATATCTTCTGGACATGATTTTTACAAGATCATCAATAGAAACATATTACGTGAATGCTTTAAAGTCAATGTTTGATTCATGATCATGTAACATGTTACACCCACAACCAGATTGGTTAATGGAGTGTTAAAAAGTTATTGTTTTGGGTAATTTTGAAAAACCTCAATCATTTTATATAACTTTTGAATCAATTTAAACACAAATTCATGTAATTAAGAAAAGAAGCTGACAGGGTAGCCTTTTAATAAATACCCCTTTTGAATTAGGTTCAAATTTCACAAATTACCCAGAACAGTTTGTTAATTGTATGTGTTAATAAAAATATTATTTTTTCATATGGTTTATATAATATATAATAAAATAGGCATTTACAAAATACACTATTAAGCTAGCAAATTATGAAGAAGTAAAAATAGTGGCATTACAACATGAGGTGGTCTTCTAATGCTTTTTTGCTTTTCAAATCTCTGATTTTCTGAATTTCTATTTTTTTAAGAGCAAGAGAAGACCTTCAAAATGCTAGAAAATAGATGATTCTACATTATATATAAACAAATGAGGGCTGTTTTATGTTAATGTAAAAACATTAACAAAGTTAAATTTTCTAGCATTGCAAAATTTCTTTTAAATTCACTATACATAATAAACATTGAATATCTATCATAAAATAATAAAAATGTGAAATATACAAATAGATTTTAGAGCAGTGGAGACTATGTTGTACTTACCAGCAATGGCAGCTGCGTTCCCTGCCTGCGCAAACTTTTTAGCGAACTCCTGAAAAATATTATTTTTAGAAATAAAATTTGAATCCTACAATATGAGAATGAACTGTAATGCTTTTATGAGCTTCAAATTCAAACATTGCAAAATGGACTTATTATCTGAATGCTGTATATCAAAGTTGATAATTGTATCAAAGAGTGTTTGTAGAAAGGAATACACACTTCTTTAGCCTAAATAGTGCTCTCTGAATATCTCTCTCAACAAGATTATGCCCCCCCCACCCCCACCCTCACAAAATGGCATTATTAATATGCAAAATACTGCATGATTGATAAAACTAGACAACAGCAACGCCAGAGCGTATCAAATCCCATAGAACAGCCATGGCTGCCATTAGAATATGCCATCTATTGGACAGTAAGTGTATTATTTTTCAAAGTATTCACATATTAAATTTCAACAAAATCGCTCAAATACTTTTTCAGCTATAGCAAAAAATGGAAAATGGTCACCCTTTTTAAAAATGGCAACTTACAAACCAAAGCGTCATTGGAAAGTTTAATGCTTCTAAAAATTCAGATATAAAATTTCAACAAAATCGCTCCATTATTTTTCAAGTAATATAGCAACAACATAAACATCACACATATTAAAATGACTGCCATGTTTCAAAATGGCTGCTCACGAGCCCAAGTGTCATTTAGAGCAGAATGTATACTCACAAGAGCCATATACATATAAAATATGAAAACTATATTTGGCAAAAGGTATTTGAGATACTGCCCCAACTGATGAATGGACGAAGTCGTTCTCTGTATCCTCCTGCACTATGTTCAATGGGATAACAATTTTTATCAAACAACAATTTTTGTGCTCCTCCTTCAAATATGATGTAGTATCCTGACCTCTCCCCTCAAATCTAATTTAGTACTAATTTTATGATCTCTACCCTCAAATATGTTGTACTGGTATCACGACCCCTGTCCCCAAATGTTAAACATCCACGAACAACAATGCAGACATTCAAAATGCATTTACCAAAGTTACCATTCTAAAGCTCTGCATTTTCAATTGAATTACTGATTATCATATGAAGGCATGCATTTCAAATTTCATTTTGACATCAATTATAAATTTATAAAGTGATATTCTTTGACATGTATACAACATGCAAAAGGTTTGCTCAGTAAAGCTTATAATACAACTAGTATGTAGTTGTACAATGTAATAAATTGTAAAAGAAAACAATATATTTCTGCTTACTTTTAACATGGCAAAAGTATTCTATTAGAATATATATCTTAGAGTTTTGAGAACATATGGGAATACACAATTTAGGTGTAGATAAACTATACCAATATTACCACTGTCCAGGCAAAAATGTACATGAAAAATGTTAATAAACACTATTCAATGAAACTGATCTGATCTGGGTCCGCTGGTGTTTGCATTCCCTGGGATAATTTGAAGAAGAATGCATCTGAATTGAGAGATTTACTGCTCAAAAATCAAGATGTTTTTGATTCAATATTTCAATAGAATACTAATGCCACATTAAAGCTATATAGAAATCATGCATAATATAGTCTAATATAAAATATAAATAATACCATGGGTACTGGGCTCACATGGGAAAAGTGCATTCTAGACATTATTGTTAACACTAAGTTGCCTGTATAATATAATTAAGCAAATCAATGCTGAAATACGTTTGCATTAATAAAATATTTGTGACTACATATTTTGTGAAAAATTGTACGCATTATTGGTCAAGTACCTGTAAAATTTCAAGCAAAAGAACTGGAACCATGATTTCTCCAAAATAAAAATGGCGGCCATTTTGAATCATTGCAACATATTTTGCTGAAGCTTGTAGGCATTATTGATGCCCTACAAATTAAGGCACATGTACAATTTCAAGCAAAATTGATGCAATAACTGTACATGTAGTTATGACAAAAGAGATAAAAAATGTGTCATTTTGAAACAAGGCGAGTTTTTGATACACCACTTATGGAATAATTAAAGGCGTCATATTAATTGTCGTGGAGGAGTTTGATTTATCTACCGATGTGTTGACAGACAGATAGATGGACAGACAGACAGTAGACAGTCATTACAATAGCTCACCAATGTGAGGTAATAATGCAATAAATAATAAAATATTTTAATAAATAAATTAATAACATGAAGTATACAAACAACACATTGATATTTTATACTTTGAAATCCTGCATACCAAATACAATAACATTTGACTAACAAATGGTGTAATATAATTTGTAATTAAACTACATTTCCTTAATTTGAATTTTTTTAAATTCAATAAAGTGAGTTTACAGGCATTAACAAAGATATAAACTATCAAGAAAGAGAGAAAAACAGAGAAAATAAATAATGATAAAAACAAAAATAAAATCTTACCTTAATTTGATGAGTGAATAGTGAGGTGAAGTACTACTTAAAACTAAACTTTTCGAAAAAACTACTCAACTAAAAAAATCTGAAAGGTATCATGGCAGAGATATTTTTTGCATTTCTGATTTAAATTTGAAAGTTGAGAAAATGCAGTTCCATGCATTAATTAAAATTCTCAGAAAAAACATCCCCACAATGACGTTTCTTATTTTGTTTGAGGGCAACTAAACAAAAATCTGTTGCATATACATGATTGCAAATTGAACCAACAACAATTCCATTGTTTTAAAATAATCTACATTATGAATATAAAAATTCAAGTTTATATTATCTTAATTTATACATTAAATCCTCATTAATTTTGAAAATATAGAAATATTAGTTAGCCATGCTGTGCAACAGATACATCTAGCTTGGGAGTTATGCTGGTACGAATCACAATAGTAATCATTACATTTATTTAGTAATTAGTATTGTTTATTTGGTAGATTATCTTTACTATTCTACAACACAATTACCATATGAAAAAATAAAAAAATCCCACATGAAAGATATACAATCCATTGAGTAAATAATAACTTCAGCAACTTTTGATGTGAAAAATTAGAACAGGACATGTACCCAGAATATCAAAGAAGACAAAGGAAAGCCTTGCTCTCAAAAGCCATGTTTGTACCCGCAAAAAAAACATTCAAAAGCTCCACCTATTATGAACCAGCCAATACAACAATGTCAGAGCACCATGGGCCCCATGTGTCTCTTGACACTAATTACATGAGTAAAACTGCAACCCCATTTCACATCGATTCAATTGGCTTGATTTCAGCAACCCTATTCCCGCCACTTTAACACATTCTAATGGACTCCACAGGGCCTTTGATCTTGGGGAAACATACTATACCTCAAGACAGAAGCTCTGCGTTGGATTGACAACGTTATGAACATTGGGCACGGAGGTGGATCGTTTCTCGTGATCCACTAGAGGGAGCATTAGTTGGTCTTGAATATCCTTGGTCCCGGCATAGCCGTCATATCGACTGAAACAGCACTGCAAACTAAGCATAGATCTAGTGAATGCAACATTTGGTTAATAGGGGAATAAATAAGCATTAGTCCTATCCTGGCAAATACCACAGCTCGGTTGGGATAAAATAAGCAATAGTCATATCCTGGTGCCCTGAAATAAACCATCTTAACTAATACTTACTGTTGTCACCAATAAAACTATCATGGTGGAAAGCTGTCATAAAAAATCAAGTAGATGAAAAAATCAAGTTGAAATTATTAGATAATATAAAATAATGACACGATTATTCTACCATGATATTTTTAGGGGTGAACTTATGTCATCATTTGCAGTTCCTGAATCCGCCAAGGGTGCTATACTTAAAAGTGGCTAACAGCAGAAGCCAAAAATGCAGAGAAAAAACATGAATTGTGAGTATGTCCACCCTACCGTACCTCGAGATCTTGAGGGTTTCCAGGATTTGCAAGGTTTATACAGACATTCGGAGCTGATGTTGATCGTTCCCGCTGAGAAAGAGGGGGTGCACGCTGCCGTGGCACTGCTTGGGGCATAGAGCGTGCGGGTGATGCCCAAGTAGAGCTACCCTCAAGGGTCCCATGGAAATTCGAAGAGAGCGTTTCATTAGCATCTCCAGCTAGTAAACTGTAATCAGACTTGGATTTGAATTTCTGAACATACATTACAGAGATCTGATCAAGAAAAACATATAGTGAAAATTATATAAATTATACAAAAATTCATTTTAACAAAAAATTAAAAAACACAAAAATGTTTTTCAAGATTTTTAGTCAAACAGAAATGTGTAGGTTAAAGTCTTGAGTGTGACATTCTTATTCTCAAGAAGAGATATTTTGTGTGTTTTCATTTAAAGCATCATAATTTAAAATCTTCATATAACTTTTGTACTTATGAATGAGCTGGGCTTAAAAGGCTTTATAATCCCAGGTCCATTGCAAAATAACACATATATTTATTAATCATAGAGACAAATGGACAAATTATGCAATAAGTTTTACATACAGTACATGGTGAAAATATGTTTCAAATCATTGTGTCATAGATGTACATAGTACTATTTTATATCTAAGATTGTATTGTTATCTTATTCTTTTGGAAAAACTAAATAAAAAAGAGAAAACAGAATTTGCATTCAGCCTTCTAATATCACTTGAGATTGCAGGGTAAATAAATAATAAAAAAAAATATATGGAACAAAGAATGAATGATATTATAGAGAGGGTAGGTTTTGGGATTACATACTGTTTAGCACGCTCTCTCTCCCTAGAATCTGGTTCCACATCAAAACTGAACACTTCATCTTTTTCAACATCGGAACATTTCTGTGACGAACGTTCACCACAGCGTTGGTGGACTCTGTAGTTACATGTTTGACATCGGAAGCCATTGAATAACAGCCTTCGACAGTAGTCACAAAATGCCAGTGTGAAAAATGTTTTTCGGACCTACAATAGCAAAAAATAATTCTTTAACAACAATATCAATGTTGTTTTATAATGTTTTATGAAAAGGCAAATATCAGAATTGTCTGAGTTTAAAGATCTCGATTAAAAACTAATGACATTGAAAAACCATGATTTTTAAAAAAAGTTCATTAGGAATGTATCTAATTAGCCGCTGAGTATCATTTGAAACACTACCTGGCTAAATGAAACTTACATAGTTGTGTTGAATTCCTCCACGTCTAAAGCTCTTTTCATGGTCATGCTCAAAGGGTGTATCTTCAGATAATTCACTCATCAGTTCAACAAGTAATTCTTCCCCTGCTAAATCCTCCATCTCTGTCTCCCAATCAACAGGGTACCTGTGCAAACAGTCAGAACATGTGTAATGCGAGTGCTATCAAGTTTGAAAAGAACAGCAAGGGCTACAGTATATTGCTTTTGATAACCGATATGGCAAACTGGATCAGTTTCTGATGACAAACAACTAAAACAAGGCATTAACATGACAAAATGTCACCACCTAGTTGCTCACAATATTATGAGTTCAAACTTAATATAAGTCAGATTTGAATTTCTGAGAACTTGTAAAGTCAAATTTGAACTTCTGAAAAGATGTAGATGATTTTGAAAAAAAAATTTGGTCAATTGAAGCAAGTTGAAAACAGACCTTTTTGACCTTTTTTGACCTTGAGAAGGTCATTAAAGGTCAAATGTCAAATCTAAAGTCAGATTTGAATTTCTGAGAACATGTAGATGATTTTGAAAAAAAATTAGTCAATTTGAAGCAAGTTGAAAAAATACCTTTTTGACCTTTTTTGACCTTGAGAAGGTCAAATGTCAAATCTAAAGTCAAATCTAAAGTCATATTTGAATTTCTGAGAACATGTAGAATGTAGATGATTTTGAAAAAAATCTAGTCAATTTGAAGCAAGATGAAAAAATACCTTTTTGACCTTTTTTGACCTTGAGAAGGTCATTAAAGGTCAAATGTCAAATCTAAAGTCAGATTTGAATTTCTGAGAACATGTAGATGATTTTGAAAAAAAATTAGTCAATTTGAAGCAAGTTGAAAAAATACCTTTTTGACCTTTTTTGACCTTGAGAAGGTCAAATGTCAAATCTAAAGTCAAATCTAAAGTCATATTTGAATTTCTGAGAACATGTAGAATGTAGATGATTTTGAAAAAAATCTAGTCAATTTGAAGCAAGATGAAAAAATACCTTTTTGACCTTTTTTGACATTGAGAAGGTCATTGAAGGTCAAATGTCAAATCTAAAGTCAGATTTGAATTTCTGAGAACATGTAGATGATTTTGAAAAAATTTTTTAGTCAATTTGAAGCAAGTTGAAAACAGACCTTTTTTGACCTTGAGAAGGTCAAATGTCAAATCTAAAGTCAGATTTGAATTTCTGAGAACATGTAGATGATTTTGAAAAAAATTTTTAGTCAATTTGAAGCAAGTTGAAAAAAGACCTTTTTGACCTTTTTTGACTTTGAGAAGGTCATTGAAGGTCAAATGTCAAATCTTAAGTCAAATCTAAAGTCAGATTTGAATTTCTGAGAACACGAAGATGATTTTGAAAAATTTTTTAGTCAATTTGAAGCAAGTTGAAAACAGACCTTTTTGACCTTGAGAAGGTCATTGAAGGTCAAATGTCAAATCTTAAGTCAGATTTGAATTTCTGAGAACACGTAGATGATTTTGAAAAAAAAATTTAGTCAATTTGAAGCAAGTTGAAAACAGACCTTTTTTGACCTTGAGAAGGTCATTGAAGGTCAAATGTCAAATCTAAAGTCAGATTTGAATTTCTGAGAACATGTAGATGATTTTGAAAAAAAAATTTAGTCAATTTGAAGCAAGTTGAAAAAAGACCTTTTTGACCTTTTTTTACTTTGAGAAGGTCATTGAAGGTCAAATGTCAAATCTTAAGTCAAATCTAAAGTCAGATTTGAATTTCTGAGAACACGTAGATGATTTTGAAAATTTTTTTTAGTCAATTTGAAGCAAGTTGAAAACAGACCTTTTTGACCTTTTTTGACCTTGAGAAGGTCAAATGTCAAATCTTAAGTCAAATCTTAAGTCAGATTTGAATTTCTGAGAACACGTAGATGATTTTGAAAAAAAAATTTAGTCAATTTGAAGCAAGTTGAAAACAGACCTTTTTGACCTTTTTTGACCTTGAGAAGGTCATTGAAGGTCAAATGTCAAATCTAAAGTCAGATTTGAAGGTCAAATGTCAAATCTAAAGTCAGATTTGAATTTCTGAGAACATGTAGATGATTTTGAAAAAAAATTTAGTCAATGTGAAGCAAGTTGAAAAAAGACCTTTTTGACCTTGAGAAGGTCATTGAAGGTCAAATGTCAAATCTAAAGTCAGATTTGAACTTCTGAGAACATGTAGATGATTTAGAAAAAAATTGAAGTCAGTCTAAACAGTATTTGTTAAGTTATAGGAAGTTGTAAGAAATTGTTACAGACGCCGGACGCCGGACGCCAACCGCCGGACGCCAACCACCAACCGCCGGACGCCAACCGCCGTCGCAAAAAAAACGGAGACCATAACAATATGTCACCACTTTTGGTGGTGACATAATAAAAAAATGATCAGAAATTGTAATTTTTACATACAAAGTTTCTCGAAAACAAGCGATTTTGGTAGAAAAGCCTGAAGAAAATCATATGTAATTGCCTACTGCCATCATGATAAACCATGACATCTCAATTTGTCTCAATGTGAAATGCGATGGTATTATAAGTATCAGATTTGGTGATCAAAGTGAGTCCAGATTTTGGATCTGCTTATATTTCATCTAATATGAACAGTGGTCATCAAACTTGTGGAGATTGTATCACCTGAGCACTAAATAGAATACAATACCTATATTTAATGTTCGTACATTAAGGGCAATGATTTCATGATAACCATTATACCTATATCAGATATGCCGATATCAAAGATATGTCTCATAATATCAGAGCATGTTCCTGGTGAAACAAAAAGATGTGATGAATATCAGAATGACCAAAAAATGTTTTTAAATTAGCGGTAATAGCAAAACTTTTGATAATAGTGATATATATTATTGCGATAAGCTATATTAACAAAGGTTTCCGACAAAAAAGATTTTTACAAATTTTGACAAATTAGCAGAATTAGCAACACATTCATTAATCCCATTAAAATAACATGGGGTCTGAAAAATTAGCAAGTAAAAGTGACATTCCGCACCAAAGGCTTATTCTCATAATAGGCCCCCCTCACTAAATCTCATAATGTACACAGGCCCCTAGATAATGAATACTTCTCATTAAATACCTGACAGTATCTAATATTCTCTAACAATGTGTGATATTGAGATTGTTGGCCTCTGTAGAGCCTCCACAATTACTTAATTGTTCCAGCTTAACTTATCTTTTAGCCCAAGAGCTCAGACAGATGAATGTGCAGATAAAAGATTGAAGAGATTGTAAGAAGTCATGAAAAGCTACATTAACCTATTTCTCCAAGGAGGATTGGCTCCCACAATCGAAGTAGATATTTTCCAAAAAACGCTGAAATGTTGTTATTTTCTGAAATTGTAACAGATTATAAATTCAAAATAAAAAACAGTTCAAATCTCAATCATTTCTTGTGAGTTTTGGAATTTTTCGTTGGGAAATAAGACCAAAATTCACGATTCAAATGTTGAAGTAAACAAAATGGCGGCTGTTTGGATTCAAATTTTGTATCACGACATGCCCATATATGGGACAGAATATCGATGTTGCACTCTGGGAGCCAATCCTCCTTGCTATGTCTCTGTATAATATTTGCTAATATAAGTGTCTGTGAGACAAAATATGGAGTTGTGGGGTACAGAACTAGATCCAGGATTGGGAGGTAGGAGTCCAGATTTGAAAAATCCAGAATATGACTCTCTCCCTTGTAATTATGGATTTCATTTGGTGACCTGGCAGTCATTTGAGATCGTTCACCTCAGCTTATATTCATCTAATTAGGGGTCATATAACTTTCTACTATGGTATTATCAAATTGCTATGCCAATGCATATATGTCATGTTAGAACATTAAATGCAATGATTTCATGATAACCATAATAACAGATGTAGCTCCTTGTATCAGATAAGCTGATATCAAAGATACGACTCAGAGCATGTTTCTGGTGAAACAGAAAAAAAATATATATAAAGATTATACTATATAAGGTTCAGGATATTGGGATTATCCCGAGGCCAATATAATATATTTGCCCGAGGACTGCAGGTCCCGAGGGAAAATATATCATATTGGCCAAGAGATAATCCCAATATCCTGAACCTACTATAGGATAATATGTTTATCCCATACCAATCTTGGTCATCTGGTTCACACTGTTCAATCGTGGAAATATTTTAGAATATTCATGTCCAGTTTTGTTTTCTTGGCCGTGGGTTGATTTTCCCGTTCTCTCAAATATTCCCACATTTATTTCTCGAATTTTTGATTGATTACGTGGATGCTCCTTCCCTTTTATAAACCATCAAACAAATCCCGATTATCTGTGTTTTCTCCATTGTCGTTTACAGTCATTACGCGAACATTACAAATTATGGACAAATATGCAAGCGGCGATTATGACGTAGCGGTCAGATATACTATATCTGCCCGCTCGGAGCGGGACGTAAAGCTATATCTGCCCGCTGATGAAAATATAAGTTTTTACAAACTGGCTTTATGTACCTGTAACACGTCCAAGTATGGGATAAATATATATATATCATCCTCTAAATACTGACTTCAATTATATTAGTGTTTTCTATTTTTGTCAATGATTTTTACCTTTGAATTAATAAAATACAAATGAAATTTGAATGTCTGTTGATTTTTTTTAAATTGTCCCTGATGAGGTCAAAATATCGTAAACATTTGGGTTTTTATCTTCCATTTGTCATTTGCTTTTTAATAATTTTTAGCACCATTTCTGTACAGGATATACCATGTCAAGCAATAAGTTCACGTTTTTATGATTGGAATAATGGTTGGAAAACATTTATCCTGAACTTTATGCAAAAACCAATGATAATCCTGCCGAACAAAAAAACTATCCTCTATCTATGACTATAGATTTTATGAAAAACTAGGAGTTTTTTCCTGTGTATGAAGGTTACCTATGGATATTGATTGGAACTTCATTTGAGATAGTAACTTTAATCTTGGCTAGCAATATAAAACATGATAATGTACAAGCACCCTCTGTTCCACCTCAAAGTGCATATACGTAAACTGCTTATACACACACCTTTTAATAGACAAGCAGTCTGTAACGCTTTTTAAGTAATTGTGTTCAAAGGATCACAATATTAATCTATAACGAGCAGAATTTCTTTTCTTTTATCTGGGTTACATCAATAAAATCCCAGCATTACATCAATTTACAGTGCAAGAGTGGGGGTGTTTGCAATTTGCAATAGGGAAAATGGATCAAAAATAAATACCATGTACTAACTTATTTAACCCTAGAAGCATTTGAGATACATAAGTACATAATGTGCTTAGATTCAAGGCACTTCGAAATAATTCCTTTTAATTCGACTTGTCCATATTTCTTCTGATGAGGGACGTGACCCAACGCCATTTACCAGCTGATAAGTGCTCCCTCAACAAAATGTCACTTTATGACCCCAACTAAATAGATAACAGCTTTTAATGAATACTGGGGACCAGAGGGCTTTATTTCGCTATAGCATTGTTTCTTCACATCTAAATAATCATGTTATTTTATTTACATTATGTTAAGATGCAATATAATACGTATCTGGTATTGAAATTTCTTATAAAATATCATGCCGCAGTATATTGATCAATTTTATTGAAAGAGTAATGAACTGGCCAAGGCCATTTACAAGTGCCTGGGAACTTTGCGTTAATATGAAAATCAATATGAAACCTTTACAGTGCTATAAGACAATGTATCATTGACGAACAGACTGCAAGCCAATGAACTCTCTTTTTAAAGAACAATCCATCTTTTGATCTTTATGCAAAATGTTCTGTCAAATACTGGGAAACGCTGGAAAAATTAACAATCTCTGTAGATGCATTTTGAGTTTAATTATATTAGAATATATTATAACATCCGAACCTTGTTTCACAACAGAATTTAATAGAAAACAATACAGGTTTTATAATATTTATTGGCAGATGACGTAAATATGCCTACTCCCATCTCAGATATCCAAGGGGTAATGCTAAGTAAGAATAAGGGGTCCAATTTATCCTTATTCTAATAATAATGGTATATGGAACTTGAAGCCATAACAAGCATGTAGAAAATGTATCAAAATATATATTCATAGGTCTATACAATGATAATGGTTTTGTAAAATATGAGACAAAATATCACAAGGCTAGATTAACTTCATTGATTTCTATATGGAGACTAGGGGTACCACGAGCGCTCGAGTGCTCGAGCAATTCACCTCCGATACGAACTGTATCGATACATAAAATGAATATCGGTCTTATCGTTTTTTGACCGGAAGTCCCTTCTTACTTACCCAAAGGAAGGGAAAAACTCTTAAAGAGCTTAGAGATGACAGACAGTCATAGTTACATATCTTGCTTGCCACCTTCATTTGCCCAGCTAGTTCCCGAATACTACATATCGTTAAGATGTTTTAATTGATGTTAGCATATTTTACACCTTTCTTTGTCATGATGTGAAATAAACGTAATCCGGCTGAAGTACTTCACAAGTTTGAATAAAAATTAGAAAAAATCTCAGTTTTACTTCAACTTACGCTGTATCATTGTATCTTTGCGTTCGTATCGTATCGTGAGGCCAATATCGTAGATACGTATCGATATTCAATTTCTCGTATCGTGGTACCCCTAATGGAGACCTAGAAATATCATCCTCTAGTTCTCCGACATGTATCTTATAAATTTTGATAAGACCCATGTTACTCTCGCATTTCTACAATTTTTCTCCTATCATGTTCAACTACCTTTTGTGATATATCACCTTATATGTGACACCTGTGTCACCTTATGTGTGACACCTGAACCCAAACACGAAAAGATGAAAAGGGAATTTATCATATGAGGTTTTTCCTTAGGGAGACAATTATTTTTATGAAATGTCTCCTTCGGGAGACAGTCTCACCTGGTGAGAATAGGGATTGAATTCGGACAATATGAGGCTTCATTAAAAGTTGCAATTTATATACATGTACATGTATATCAATAAGAGCTGGTTAACATGTGCTTGAAACACTCTTTGTGCATAGTGACTCTGCTTGACACATAGTGAATGCCCTGAAAACTCCCGCAGCTAAAAGTGACTATGTGAAAGTTACTTTGACATAAGGTAGTGCTATAAGTACACCAAGTAAAAATATAAATTAACTTACCTGGTTCTACTATTGGTGACGTAACACTTCTCAGCCTCCAAATCCCTCAGTTTCATGGCTTTAGCTAGACCTTCTTTTAATGTGATTCCCGATTTAATAGTCACCTGAAAATAAATGACAAATCGTAATTTATTTTAGATGTAATATACATGTTAAATACCCAGTATAACAGATCTAAATGGATTTCCAAGGTAAGTTAACAAATGTACACTGTGAGCCTTGGCCCCCTACATCTATGTTAATCTCAAGAGTGTTAGGTAACAGGTCTATCTAGGCCTACGGCGTGCGTCTACGCGGTAGCTAGGCATCGTCGTCAGTCCAAAACAACAACAAAACAATGAGTGTTTGTAAAATATAGTGACTTGGTCGGCGGCGTGCGTCTACGCGGTAGCTAGGCATCGTCGTCAGTACAAAAAACAACAACAAAACAATGAATGTTTGTAAAATATAGTCATTTTTTTTTATAATTGTGTTACAATTAGGTGCTAGGCCAATTTTGGTCGGCGGCGTGCGTCTACGCGGTAGCTAGGCGTCGTCGTCAGTCAAAAACAGCAATATTGTTTGTTTGTAAATAGTGATTATTTTCAATTTAACATTTACATAATTTGTATAAATGTATCTCCTTTATATAAAGAACAATAAATACATACATACAATACAATATGATTCAGTCATTTTCTAAGCAGAAATATGCCTTTTTTAATGCAATAACATAACTCTTTATTACATCTCTCAGGTTGACTATCATTTCATTCTTAGATATTTGGTTCTAGAGACTTATCAGGACTACCAGAAACTTTCAGTACTGGGCTACTGCTATGCATCTTTTGCATTTAAGCCAGTTTTCTAAGGAGCTCACAATGTCAGGTAAAAAAAAGACCAATCAAAATCATAGAGATTTTAACAGAACTTCTTTCTTGCTGAGGATAGGTCATTTTTATAACAACTCATTTTATATACTGTCTACATCTTTCACATTTGCACAAAGAGTGCACCGAGGGAATTAGAAAACAGTGAAGTGAATACTTTTTATAAAATATATAAAAAAGGAAAAAATAAAGTGACCTACTTATTTTTACTATTAAAAGTAGGTCACTGAATTTTCTCATTTTTCATACATTTATAAAAAATATATTCTCCTCAATCTTTTCTAGGTAAATTAGTGCACTCTTTGTGAAAAACTGAAAGATGTAGACATTTTGGGGAAGGAGGAGTTCATCTTTGAAAAGTAACATGTGACTATGAGGATTGCATCAAAATGACCCTAAAGGTGATTTTTTGTTATTTTTTGCATTGCAATTTCCTCTGATGTAAGAAATATGAATCGGTGATCTCCCCAGCATTAAAGCAAGTAGGCGAAAAAATCTATTTGCACCCACTTGAAAATGATAAAATTAATGAAAAATGGGCATATTTTAAAAACAGGCTTGCACCCACCTGAAAATCTATTTGCACCCACTTGAAAATGAGAAAATTAATGAAAATTGGCATATTTTGACCTATTTCAGTCTAAATTTCGAAAATTAGAATTTTGCACCAACTTGAGAAAAATTCCTTGGGAGAACACTGTGAATGATTTAAAATATAAAATAAATGGTCTAGATAATTTTGCCTTTTGCAAACATGTCTACTGCATTACCTGGAAATTCAATTGATTATAAATATCTATGTCTGGTTTTGTGGCTTGAAACCCAACACAGCCACAAAATAATGCAAAAACCATGATGATGTCTTTTTCTATGTTCCTGTGCTACTTATTTTACGTCCATTTGATTATCGATCTCTGATTTAATATGTTGGCATCCAACAATATTCTAACATGTCTTCATATCATGCATTATTTTTCACCTCAAAAAACATATCCAAATGTTGTAAAATTATCCTATTGTTCTATTTTTCTGATATGATATTAATATTTTTCCATATTTATCCTTACTGGTATATAAATGTTTACTCCTATGTTCCTGTCATGAAATATGAAACAAAAATATAATTTATATTTTTTCTTGGTCTTACAACCTTGCTAAACAAACAAATCAACAGTTTGAAACAATAATTATTAATTAGGTGTAAATCTGTCAGGTCAACAAATGCCAATCATTATTATCAGGCCAATAATAACAGCAATGTTTGCAAATGTCGTCCAATTCAGAATGCTGATTAGCCCATGTACCAAACTATGGTCTCGTAAAAAACAGATGTGTGCCAAATATGTGATCAGCATTTGGAGATTTGGTGATGATCTTATAAATACAATTATGTCAGTGTATACTAATATATACACAATATTATACATGTATAGTATACTCCATTGGCACGAGGAGATTGCCACATTTGTGGTCACTAACCATCTGCTAGTTCTTTATTCAAACAAAACATTGAATTCCATTTCTTTTAATCATGACTAAAGGTTTATAGTTTATCTCATTTAACACGGAATACATATGTCACCAATATATGATATCGGTGAAATCAAATAAAAGAAAATTGAACTTACTGTTGTTATTTGGTGATTGGGCAGGTAGGCTTTCAACATTTGCTTCATTGGCGATTTTGGAGCAATAGGGGTAGTTAACTTATCAAAATTCTGTAGATTCTGTAGATTTGAAGAACTCGTGTTAGGTGTCATGAATAATGGCGTCCCAGGATGTGGAGGGGGAGACGATACTTGCGAGAATATCTGATGCTCTTCCAGGCTGGTTTTCCTGGGTAGAGGGGGTGAGTCCATATCTTGGGGTGACAGGGTCGGGATGGGGGAGCTACGCTCATCGCTTGTCTGCTCCATTAGTTCTTGTTCTTTCAACTGTAGCTCATGAATCTTGTCAGTAAGCGCCTCATACTCCTGAAAGGCACAGATTTGTGAATATGTAAATCATTTACACATTCAACAACGTAGCATTTTCTACCGACGGGAAAATCTCCCAATTTTTCTTCATAAACCTGTCTTATAGACAAGTTTTGTGTAGTTTAAGTTTTGTTTTGATATATTGCGGTATAAGTTAATAAAACACAAGACTTACAAGTCTGAAGGACATGTCTATGAAAAAATATTAGGAAATCCTTCTATTGTTTGAAAATGCTATGCAATCAAAACTGTAAATGATTTTTTGGACCACCCTGTATATACCCTGTAAGTCTATATGCAAGTGTTAGGAGGTTGTTTTAGGCCATCTCATACCATTGCCCTTGGAAAATATCCTACTGGTACTTGGCATAAAACCTAGATTGTGTAATCATATTGACCCTTGGTATAAAACTCATATTCAGTCCCTCCCAATATATAACCTCTATTTATCCCATTATCATATTATATCAATGTCAGGTATGTTTAGATAATGAATGGTTTGTGGTTGTATTCATAATTTCACCAACTTATGTTATTGTACTGCCCAGGACAATAACATATCTTTAACCATAAAAAACAAACATCTTTTCAAAATAATGACTTATGCCATGGTCACATTTGCCACGATTCATGGGCCGGTGCCCAGCCAATGGGGTATTCTGTTCAAAACTGAATATAATTGTGAACATGTTATTCAATCTGGCCTAGCCAATGAATCTGAGCAAATGTGACCTAGGCATAATGAGCAGTATTGCATCAAGTCAATATTTTTGAAGAAAAGTGTTTTGTACATGCATATTCATAATTTTTGTTATCATGAAATACTCTCATTGAAGCCAAAAGGTTAATTATTTTCCAGGAATTATATTAATTTAAGATATGCCTGTGTGATGAGACTGCTACAAACACACATTCTATCAATCTGCACTGACGTCTCTTAATCGAGACCAAACCTATTTTTCAAATGGTAAGTTCTTGATTTTAGTTCGAATTTTCCAATGTTAAATTTCAAAATAAGGCACATGACGTGAATGGAATCACACTACCAAACAGAAAGGCATTAACATAAGGCAATGAGAAGATTTATCAAAAAAAACATTTAAATGGACCCCCTAGAAAATGAGATGGATATCCAAAAGTAAACTAGAAAATAGAACTCCAAGGAGTACCATCTCTCACCTAACAAAACCTATTTTGATAGATAGTGCCCATCGAGACAATTTTTTCTTGAACAGAGTTCATTGGTCCCTAGGTATTAGCATTTAAAATTTGAACCGTTTTGAAATTCAGCTATCTTGAACATTCCTTCCCTACCAGAGCTCCTTTGTCTTTGTCCCTATGCATCAGCATATAAAATTTGAACCAAATTCATTCACTGGTATTTGATTTAACAAAGATTACGTTTTTTACCAAAAATGGTGGCCATTTTGAAATTCAGTGGCCATCTTGAAAATCTCTTCTTGAGCAAAGCTCCTTTGTCCCTTATCATTACCGTATAAAATTTAAACCAATAAATGGAACAGTATTTGAGTTATCAAAGATTATGTTGTAATGAAAATGCTGGCAATTTTTAATTAAGCAACCATATTGAAAATTCCTTCTCGAACAAACGAATGGACGGACGAACCAATGGCTTCTCTATATATCCCGTTTGAACTTTTCTGTGGGATAATCAGCTCTAGAATTTGGTATCCTCTAGCAAGTAAACAAATTTGAAATGAAAAAACCCCAATGAGCGGTTTTCCTGGAATCGCTATGACAAGAGTTGGATGGCTCACGATAACAATTATGATCATGGTGCCAACATGACAACTACACAGCATCAGTGGTGTGATAAAAACATGGGATAAAAGCAAACACCATAACATCAGTGCAACATTCCAAATGTTTAAAGAATTTAAATTGACAGCCTCCTCCAGAAAAAGTACAGAAAACCTCTCATTAAAAATACTTAAAACTGCTTATGTCTTTTGCTGAATCAGTTGAACACAGAATAGAATCAAGACTGGTTGTCTTATAGGTGATTAAGGTGATAGTTGGAATGAATTCACAATCAATAGGTGTATATCTCTTTACACATATTTTCATAGTACTATTCTCGCACTGAACGTCAATGTGACGTTAGTCTCTCAATATGGCCAGAAACTGCCATTATAGATGCATTATCACCCATTAGGTCAGTTTTAAATCACGCAAAGGGGAAATTACGGCAACAATATATTTCTGCAAAAAATATCGAGATAACACCTTGTTTCATTTTACATAGAATATTCAGAATATTGTTCATATTAAATGCTTTGTCCATATTATCTCTTATATTTTAAAAAGGTAATATGATGTAGTGTTGAATCTCATAGTCTCCTGCTGTAGTAATAAAATTTTGTCTCAAAGGACATCATTTAATGCTGACATGTAATTATCTCCCCAAACAATACAATTGGATGCCTTTTCTATTTTTTGAAGCAAACCTTGTTAGCTTATATCAAGAGCATAAGTATAGCTCCTACTTTAGAAATTAATATTTCAGGATAAATAGTTTTCTTGTGAAAAGTTTTGGATATAGAAAATATCCCATCGGAGGACATGATACCAGACACAATTCCAAATTGTTTTTTTATTTATATTATGATTTAAATTTTATAAGGAATTTGATTTTCTAAATTTATCATGATATGTCTCCCATTTATTCAATCACAATATGCAGGTTTAATAATTATTAACAAAGATCAATGTGACATAATATGTTGAAGTTGATCTATAAAACACAATGTTTGACACGAGTAATTTTCCTCCTATCGCATCAGCAATCCAAATATGTTACGATCTAGACAACACAATAGCAATGAACATGAACTTAGTAAGTCCTAAAATAAAAAATCAAATAAAAGAGTTCAAAATAAGTCAAGAGTCATCTAATTTTAGACAAAAAATGGAATAAGATTATTGACCAAATATGGCTAAGAATAAGATTAAGAAAGATCCCATTATTAATATCAAAGCACGATAATATAAATATATACAGCAACATGGTATCAATAGAGTATGACGTAAATTAACTTCAACAATCAATTAATTATATTTTGTCAAAAGAAGGTTAGAATGACCTAGTTTTAAGTGTACTTATTTCATCTCCAAAATGGTTCAACTTTATTTACTTCTCCCAGTTGTCTGTTTGCAAACAGAAAGCATTTTGCACAGATTCGCATTTTGAATTTTAATTAAAGGGTTACTTTAAGCTTCCTGTATAAAAACAATATGGCGGCTCCAGGTGAGTCTATTGGACCAGTCTATTTTCAAGAAATAAGATGAGTTTTTTTTCCAATTTATTGTAATCATCTTGAAGATAAATCTGTTTCACAATGATTCTATAAACATGGGGAGAATGAATCCAAAAAATGCATGTGCATCAGCCAATATAAACCCTTGTACTAATCCAAACTGCCTTGTTTCATTCACAGGATCTTCATAAGACCATGCTATGTCCTAATACATGATGGGTTAATCTAGATGTCAATTTTTCCTATTAAACACAAATAGAAGATCTTGAAACTTCACCCATAAAATATTAAATTGATTTGCCATTTAAAAATCTCCCTTCTAAAAATGTGTGACGATCTTTCTTATACTATTCCTACATAAACAGGCAGGTGTTTACGCACTGACCGCCGCAGTGATATATCACTGCACGGGAGTTCGCTTCAACCTATGAACCATTGAGTATTATTCCTAGATTGCGTCTTTTATACTAAATGGTGAGCAACACCAAAAATGAGCATTCGCTTTGCTAAACGATATGCATTACCCTTTAAATGCCCTAGAATTTTCAGCAAAAATGTGATAAACAATCAGTAGTACCTGGAAATTTCAAATATCAATGAGGCCAAAAAATATTTCAATTTGCTTTTCTGTAGTTTTATTAGCTCTAGAACAAATGACTATATCACAATATTTTTGTCTTTTAAAGCCAGGAGAAATCCCTCATAATCCACCCTTTTTACTCGCAGAATCAGTGTGGGTCTTACGATTTTTCTCTCACTCAACAAGTGGCAATCCACTTGCGTTTTCACACTCGTCAATGAAAAATTACACTTGCCACAGTGTTGCAACTAATGATAAATTATATGTATATTCACAGTTTTCTTGTAAATAAAAATCTTTAAAAAGAAAGTAATATGTTTATGAAAGTACTCAAAATTGACTTTGATGTATAATATTCAACAATGGCGAATTTCATGTTTTTCATGTTAGATAATGTGGCGAGGCACTTCAATTTTACACTCGACTTTGAATGTTTACAACTGCCTGGGACTACTGTCGAGTAGATATAACCCACACTGAGAATTCATCATTTCAACTTGCAGATACCTCACTGGAAGGGAGCATTGTCATGAGATTCAAATTATCACTTGGGTGACTCACAGTTTTGCATTTTGTTCTGGCAGGTTCAGTAAATTATTGTTAAGTATTACTCTGATATCATTTTCATGGCATCGATGTCATCACTTTGGCATCAGAGAGTCCAATAAAGAAAAACAATTAAAAGCCATCTCAAACTAGGTACTTTTTCATAAAACTGATTTTGAAGAGACGACCTTAAATGACCTTCAAGAAAATCAATGTGGTTTTCAATTTTGACCTTTTTGCAATATAAAGAATGATGAAAGAGTAAATGACTAATAACAGAGATCTAGATCTTTAACAACCGCTGTAACTATCTGTGGTGCTCTTATTCGCTCAACCAATTAATATGAGATGGTCATACTTTTCATTTTTAAAATTCTGCCTTAAATCTCTCAAAACATGATAATTTTGCATGCCTCTCATTTTCAACCAGGTGAAAATTCATCCATGTTTGCTCATGTAGACTCAACCTATCAAAATCTCAATAGTATAGTTTCCATATAGCTTTTGAAATCTCGCTAAACCTCGTTTTTCGTGAGATTTTAAGAGATCCGCATATTAAACCTCCAATAACTTACATTACCTTCTTTTAAATGGCATATTTGAATCCAGTGAAATGTTTTCTCCTATAATAGCCTTGATTTACACAGTTATGTAATTTGAATAATTTTCTATGACAATTTAAAAAACTCGGGCCAAATGTCCATAGATGCAATGCTAAAATTCTTTAAAACCTTGGATTATCTGTATGTCAACCAACATTTGCATGTTTAATCACAACATGTACATAAATAGGGTCACGATGTGGTATATCATTCAAGTTTTATACAGATTCAACTAACACTCTTTCATAAATCATGAAATTAAGCCATTTTTCCAAGATTTTAGCATGTAAGTGAATGGAACTCTAGCCCAAGTTAAAAGCTGAATAAAAGATGGCAGCACTAGATTTCATTGCTTTTTCTGCTATTTAGAAACTATCCTATTGGGAGCAGTGCCCACTTGCTTCAATTCTAGGGAGATCACTGGGAGTAAAAACTGCAATAATCAGATAAAGAGAGGTAAAATGAGAAATATATTGAGACATACCTGTAGGTACATAGACGGAGGATGCTGATGTTTCCCAAACTCATCATTGAGTGCCTCAAGATTCTCCTTAGTCAATCTAATCACATTTTGTATGTTTCTAATCTGTAAAAAATAATAAAGAAGTTCTTTAAGCACTTAGTCCATATATTACATGAAGGTGTCTGAACCTAAGCATATCTTTGAACCAAATACAGTAAAACCTGTCTAAGTGGAATACCTCTAAGAGTGTTCTACTTGGGAGGTGTTTCACTGACAGAGGTTCATTTAATATCATGTCAGTTGGTCTTGTGTTCCGCTAACAGAGGTGTTCCACTACGAGAGGTTTTTCACTTTACATATTTCTACCTCTCAAATCTGTCGATATCAAACATAAATTTTTGTGACTTTGTTCAGCCACATTCTGTTTAATTTATCTTTTTTCCATTTTATAAAAGTAGATAGTAAAATAGATAAACCAATGTGATATAGATTTTAACAACTAGATAAGTTAAGCCCATTGCATGGGGAAGTTATAAATTTAAAAAAAAGATAAATATATGAGGTGATGAGGTGTAAAAATGAAAGATTTTTGTTGTGTCTTGGAAACACTCCCCCCCCTCCCAACTCCCCTAAAAAATAATGTAACCAAAATCAATCTGAGATCTTTTGAAAGCCCATGCCTAAATTTAATGATACTACACTAATTTTGTTCATGAAACAGACTTTTCCTATCTCTCGCATTGTTTGTATCATATTAATAAACTTAAGTCAAAAGATATCATCAATTGCATTTACCCATCACTAATATTGGAATTTCTGAAGAAAACTTTGATGATTGTATCCTTACATGATATAGATCAGCAATTAAATTATATAAACTCCAAATCATACATAAAACTAAAGATCTACATGAGTTAATAAACAATAGAAACGGAATGCCAATAAAATTTTGAGATGAGTCACCAAATTATGATAACTATGTATGCTGTTTATATTTAGATATATCAGCTTTACTCTTGAATATTGACTTCTATCTGGAGCGTTTATGTCATAATTTGACACAGTTACACGTTATTTTAGGGAAATATTGACACCTTGTTTATTTGGGTCTATATCCAGACCCAAGAAGACGCGATATATATTTGTAACATGGATGTTTTTTCTTCCTTTGGAATATGCCCATATATCCATTGGGAGCACATTTATTTTCAAGACATTCTGCTTGCCACCAATGCTTTTTAGACCAATACTAGCTTAATCCTTATGAAATGTAGATCAAGTCTAAGCTTAGTCTTCCCAAGGGGAACACAACAAAAATGCCCAATCATTCTTTTGAAAGCTCGAATTTTAGGTCCACAGTTTAGGTCCACAGAAGAAGAAGAACAGTTTTAAAATATTTTACAACCTTCAAATAGTACCCTGCCACATTTAGAAACAGTATTTTTATCTGTTCTCTATTTCTATGCCTTTGATTCTAATCATGTCAAAATATTTTCCATAACATTTGAAAATCCAGGTGGATTTTAGATGCATACCCTAGAAAAGTATTTCTTCATCCTGGGAATACCAAATGACAATACAATGATTCTGTTACTATTGCAAGAATATATGGTCCACATACCGCATACACATATTAATGTAATATCTCTGATTTATGAATTATTATATGACAAATAATGAGGAAACTTTGCAAATATTCATTGAAATTTTGCATTGTTCAAAAAATAAACACAATTCAAAAATGGAAAGATTGGTGGAAATCATGTTCAAATGGGTCTCAAAATTGGTATAAATGTAGATCATTACCTCGTCTTGTAAAGTAGTGGGTTCAATATCCTCTTCTGCGCCTATTGTGAATGTAGGTAGCTCACCATTCATCGTCGGATGAACGGCGGCCATGTTCCTAGTTTTTCAGAAGTGATATCATTCCTGCAAACGCCAAATTTCATAATAATGTGGAATTGTGAATCACAACTTTCATCAATTGCGCATTCCTGGTTCTTTCAAACAACAATCATTTGACGATTATGAGTGTGTCGTATTGGATTATGAGCCTCAATAATTCTATTTTGATCTTTAATATTTTGATATCTCCCATTTGCTTACAAGTTTATGTATGTCAAAACTTGTCACGTGATCAAATAAAAGCGAAAGTGAAAGTTAAATTCCTTAGTCTGTATATTTTTCATAACACAAAACAGATGAAGATTTTAGTCTGTTTCATGTTGGTATAAATAGATATTACTTATGTTTACGTCTTGTCTTGGGCAACATTTGCATATGAATCAATATATAAGCATTTGGCATGGGCTTTTTGTAGGCAATTATCATTTTGATGGATTGAGTGCACTGTTACATATCTCATTAAATGTATCAATTTCTTTTACTTGAATTATTTTCATATATGGTATAGTAACATATAGTCACATAAAGTGGGTAACAAATATGTAGTAAATTGACATCATGTGGATTACACATGTTGTTAAAGTAAACTGACATATAACCATGCGTCATATTGTATACTGACATCTAGAGGACAACATATGTCATTATGTAGTACATTGACAACCTGTGGATAACATATCTTTATGTACTACACTGACATCTATTGGGTAATATATGTTGTTATGAAGTACACTGACATCTAAAGCGTAGCATACGTCATTATTTAGTACACTGACATCTTAAGGGTAGCATACGTCATTATTTAGTACACTGACATCCAAAGGGTAGCATACGTCATTATTTAGTACACTGACATCTAAAGGGTAGCATACAGCATTAATTAGTACACTGACATCTAACGGGTACGTCATTATTTAGTACATTGACATCTAACGGGTAGCATACGTCATTATTTAGTACACTTACATCTAACAAGTAGCATACGTCATTATTTAGTACACTGACATCCAAAGGGTAACATACGTCATGGTTTAGTACACTGACATCTAAAGGGTAGCATACGTCATGGTTTAGTACACTGACATCTCAAGGGTAGTATATATCATTATTTAGTACACTGACATCCAAAGGGTAGCATACGTCATTATTTAGTACACTGACATCTAAAGGGTAGCATATGTCATTATTCAGTACACTGACATCCAAAGGGTAGCATACGTCATTATTTAGTACACTGACATCTAAAGGGTAGTATACGTCATTATGTAGTACACTGACATCTAAAGGGTAGCATACGTCATTATTTAGTACACTGATATCTAAAGGGTAGCATATGTCATTATTTAGTACACTGATATCTAAAGGGTAGCATACGTCATTATTTAGTACACTGACATCTAAAGGGTAGCATACATCATTATTTAGTACACTGACATCCAAAGGGTAGCATACGTCATTGTTTAGTACACTGACATCTAAAGGGTAGCATACGTCATTGTTTAGTACACTGACATCTCAAAGGTAGCATATATCATTATTTAGTTAACTGACATCTCAAGGGTAGCATATACCTTTATTTATTACACGGACATCTAAAGGGTAGCATACGTCATTATTTAGTACACTGACATCCAAAGGGTAGCATATGCAGACTTGCAATATTGAAATGTATATAGTAAACATATATATAATTGAAATATGAAATATTTAATTTGGTGACTACTTAATTTGGCAGATCTGCCAAATTAGAATTAAGTAGAAGTACAGAATGAGAAATAATTTTTCTTGATCTTGGTCTAATTTATACAGAAAGGTTGAGAGCCCCTTTGACAGGAGATTCAAATTCAGATACAGAATTAGTTTCGACAATACAGGAAATAATATAAGGAAATATTGGAAAGATAAGGACAAATATAAGGAAAATAGGAAATATTGTGTAATTTTTATTACAGCCTTTTAGTTGCCAACGGAACAAGGGGATACACTACAAATGTTCATGCCAACATTTTAAAAAATAGTCTCAATTCAGATTAAACAAGGCATTAACATGACAAAATGTCACAATATTATGAGTTCAATCTTGAGTCAGATTTGAATTTCTGAGAACTTGTAGATGATTTTGAAAAAATAAATTGGTCAATTTTGAAGCAAGTTGAAAAAAGACCTTTTTTGACCCTGAGAAGGTCATTGAAGGTGAAATCTCAAATCTAAAGTCAGATTTGAACTTCTGAGAATACTTGTAGATGATTTTGAAAAAAATGGTCAATTTGAAGCAAGTTGAAAAATACCTTTTTGACCCTTTTTGACCTTGAGAAGATCATTGAAGGTCGAATCTCAAATCTAAAGTCAGATTTGAACTTCTGATAACTTGAGGATGATTTTGAAAATAAATTGGTCAATTTGAAGCAAGATGAAAAAGACCTTTTTGACCTTGAGAATGTAATTGAAGGTCAAATTTGTTTTGACCTTGAGAATGTCATTAAAGGTCAAATCGATAGTCAGATTTGAACTGATGAAAACTTGTAGATGATTTTGAAAAAAATTTGGTCAATTTGAAGCAAGTTGTCAATACTTTTTTTGACCTTGAGAAGGTCTTTAAAGGTCAAATCTCGAATCTAAAGTCAGATTTGAACTTCTGATAACTTGTAGATGATTTTTTAAAAAAATTGGTCAATTTGAATCAAGTTGGAAGGTCATTGAAGGTCAACTCTTAAGTAGAAAGTCAGATTTGAACTTCTAAAAACATGTAGATGATTTTGAAAAAAAATTGAAGTCAGTCTAAACAGTATAAGTTAAGTTATTGGAAGTTGTAAAAATTTGTTACAGACACCGATTGCCAACCACCAACCACAGTAAAAAAAAACAGAGACCATAACAATTTGTCACCACTTTTTGGTGGTGACATAATAAGAGGATATAGTAGGACATTTTCTTTGCAAGTCAAGTAAAACACAACCTTTCATTTATTTTGTATCTTTTCTACATGTATTTCATATTCATATCAATATCATGACAATTTAATTATAATTCAATACATGCATCACAATTCAGAAAATATAGAACCAATACATATCAAGGCACATTTTAGTTCTCACATCTTGAGACATTTAACCTCCACCACTATGCACAACTCCAGAGTACAGAGGTCATTAAATCAATTTTCTTCAGTTTAATGTAGGCATTAAGTAATCCCCATATACTTCTTTGTCACTAATCTGCTGTCACAGTGTACACCATAGCATAATAATAGACCAACTTTCATACCTAGCCCAGATACAATAAATACACACTGTCTGATGTTCTTCAATTATCTAAATGGAAAACCAGATTCCCGTTTTGCTTCTATACAAACCAACCATTACAGGTGCCCCGTTAAGAACAGGCCCGTTGTTTTGAGGAATTTTCCAATCATTTCAATGTTAAAAACTCGAATGAATTTGCCTCTTTTCATTTGTTTTGCTATTAGTCAAAACTCCAAAGAAACTCCTACAATAATACGAATGGTACACTATAAAACTAGTGTGTCTTTAAAAACTTGAGTTTGAGAGTTCAAAAAGAATATCATCATCATCGTCATCATCATCGGGAATATTGTTCAGATCTAGTGACTCATCAGAGTCAGAGTCCGAGGAATCAGAATCTGAGGAATTGTCTTCAATCTGGTCATCATTGTTTTCATCTGGAATGATAAAAATGAAAAGCATATAGAAAACAATTCAAACTGCAAGGCCACATTCGCTCTAAGAAACCAACATTCCATCTCAAAAAGTGAGTTAAACCCTTAAATCCATTTTTAATTTTTTGGATGCTCTTTATAAAAAATTAAGGGTGTTAATAATAAAAAATGAGAATTATTACTACCATCATCATCATCGTCATCTTCATTGTTGTCATCATTGTCACTACCATCCTCATCATCCAAAACATCATCCTCCTCTTCCTCCTCATCTTCCTCGTCTTCTTCCTGAAGGACAGAATGATAAATTAGAATGACTGCTAAAACACTATACATGTACTTCACATTGTGCCAAAACACTAAACATGTACTACACATTGTGCTAAAACACTATACATGTACTACACATTGTGCTAAAACACTATACATGTACTACACATTGTGCCAAAACACTATACATGTACTACACATTGTACGCTAACATAGCACATGTACTACACATTGTGCTAAAACACTATACATGTACTACACATTGTGCTAAAACACTATACATGTACTACACATTGTGCTAAAACACTATACATGTACTACACATTGTGCTAAAACACCAAACATGGACTACACATTGTGCTAAAACACTATACATGTACTACACATTGTGCTAAAACACCATACATGGACTACACATTGTGCTAAAACACTATACATGTACTACAGACTGTGCTAAAACACTATACATGTACTACACATTGTGCTAAAACACTATACATGTACTACACATTGTGCTAAAACACCATATATGTACCACACATTGTGCGTTACCATAGCACATGTACTACACATTGTGCTGTAACATATAGTACATGTACTACACATTGTGCTTAAACACTATACATGTACTACACATTGTGCTAAAACACTATACATGTACTACACATTGTGCTAAAACACTGTACATGTACTAGACATTGTACGAAAACACTATACATGTACTACACATTGTGCTAAAACACTATACATGTACTACACATTGTGCTAAAACACTATACATGTACTACACATTGTGCTAAAACACTATACATGTACTACACATTGTGCTAAAACACCATACATGGACTACTCATTGTGCAAAAACACTATACATGTACTACACATTGTGCTAAAACACTAGACATGTACTACACATTGTGCTAAAACACTATACATGTACTACACATTGTGCTAAAACACCATATATGTACTACACATTGTGCGTTAACATAGTACATGTACTACACATTGTGCTGTAACATATAGTACATGCACTACACATTGTGCTGTAACACAACACATGTACTACACATTGTGCAGTTACATATAGTACATGTACTACACATTGTGCTGTAACACAGCTCATGTACTACACATTGTGCAGTAACATATAGGACATGCACTACACATTGTGCTGTAACACAGTACATGTACTACACATTGTGGTGTAACATAGTACTTATACTTCACATTGTGGTGTAGCATAGCACCACATATTGTGCTGTAACATAGTACATGTACTACACATTGTGCTGTAACATAGTGCATGTACTACACATTGTACAGTGACATAGTACTTGTACTTCACATTGTGGTGTAACATAGTACATGTACCACAATTTGTGGTGTAACATAGTACATGTACTACACATTGTGGTGTAACATACTACATGTACTTCACATTGTGGTGTAACATAGTACATGTACTTCACATTGTGGTGTAACATACTTCATGAACCACACAATGTCCCGCAACGTATTACATATATCAAACGCTGTAACAAAATGGTATGTGTGCATCACATTATGCACTAACATGGTAATGCACTAAACATTTTTTTGTAACATACTACATGTACCACTCATTATGCTGTAGTATATTGTTCTGTAATAGAGTACATGTACTACGCATTGTGCTGCAACATAGTAAATGGAAAACACATTTAGCTGTACATAGTACATCCAAAACACATTATGCTGTGTCATAATGGATGTGCAACACATTCTGCTGTAATAGTACATGTAATGCACATTATACTTTAACATAACACATGTACTACACTTTGTAGGATAATATGAGTAATAATATACTATTTAACAACTTCACAATAAATTACTGTTCATGCACACCTGGATCAGTTTTACAACAAGGGAAAAGATAATAGTGAATAATTACCTGGTCATCTTCAGCGTCTTTGTTGCGCCCAACCTCATAGAGGTGACATATACTCTCCTCAGACAATGTCTCTTCATTCTTTGAATTCTAAAATGACAGAAATACAAACATGAAGGCAGTACCAATTTGTTCAATATAGATGTTGACAATATTTAATTCTTTAAACAGTGTATTTATCTCATTGATTTTCTATTTGTATGATATCTTGTGGCTGACAATATGATCTGTACCATCCAGTATTCTATGAACAACTACATTAGAACTTCCAGGCAAAGTTTTGACATCTAAATGAAGTCAACACAATCATGTACATGTACATTTAAAAGCCCTCAGTAACTGGGAATATCATTCCTACATTTCCAAATGTAACATTATTGCCTTACCTCAATAACAGCTAAGTAACAGTCTGATACATCAGTACACATATCAAATATGTTCTTTTTCACGTCAATTGTGGCTGAAACACATAATGATTTTCATTATACAATTATTACACACACATATAGAGTATCAAGGTGAATGGACTCATACAAATAAAAGCAAAGTAATAATTGGCCACAAGTAGTTTCTGTTTTGAACTAGCCCTCTCTTAAAAAAAACTATATCATATTTTATAATTTATTTCTGGAATATGCTAACATTGGTCATGAAATAATCTGTAATTAATTGCTGTCTTTCAAATAACCTCTATAACAATTGTGCCCCAATAACTATTACACTCTGAATCAAGAAGTGAATTTGGTCGATTTCATTTGAGAAAATGATCTTAATAGCTTCTTGACATTCTTTAATTTATTCTTGTCCACAATATTTTATTGTCATATTAAATTCCTGCCAATAGTCATTTACATGCTGAAACATGTACCTATATTTGAATAGTCATTGGCATCAAATGTGCGGAATGTTGAACCATATGGACTCTTTATCTTTTCTTCTTCCCTGTCATCATCATCCTCCAGCTGATGTATTGCTGCAACAATAGGAGGTGTCATTTCAGTCATCGCCATGAGATATCAATGAAGTCACACAATAGATTGTTATTATACAGCATAGATTTGGTGCTTGATTGTCATTTTGATCATATCAGTTGATATTTTATTATTTATTGACAGATTGAGGGAATACATTTGTTTCAAAGTTAATTTTTTCTCATTAAACATTTTTTGCTTCGTAATATCTGGCTAAAATATGACAACGTTAATTAAGTTTAAAGACAAATTCCTTATAGTTGTGCAATCCTGTATGACTAAAATTCACATAATAGGTCAAGTAACACACCACCATATATGACGTCCCCTGCCTGATTGAAACGTATCCGACACTGGTCGAGGGCTGGAACTGTATGCAGGAGATGGTAAGACCGCAAGTCCCACTAATACACAGTCAAGGATAGCAACAGCTAAGTTCATACAAGGCTGAAAATTGATATTTAACTGGAAACCCATGAAAGTTCGAACACACTGAATTGTACTGAATACATAAAGGATGAGTCTGGGAATGAGTCAGGGTATCGACTTAGAAAATATTGAAAATTATAATGTCTGAAAAACCAACTCAATCACACATATTATCAAACTTCAATATCTTCTCCTTCTTCTGAGATTTCAAAACTATCAATTTGTATCACAATTGATGAAGGATATTGGCATCAAAGACAGTGCATATCACTTTGTCAGAATTGAAACAAATTCAATGGCAAATATTAAATGAATTATTTATACAAAAAGTTTGAAACATATCCTCCAAAACATTGCTTACTTTCTTTGTATAGACATTGAAAGGTATTTCTGGATAAGTGAATTGGTGTTTATCTGGGTAATCAAGGGATTATAGTCACTCAAAGTTACTGAGCATCCAGTTTTGAGACTTCAATTGTGTTGGTGAAGTTGCATATATTTCAGTCAAATTCATGCTGAGCACAACATTTTGGTTTCAATTTTATAATCTCTATACATGACCCTGGTGATGAAGAGTCAGAATCAGTCAAAAAACCTAAACCGGAAAACTGTGCTCATTGTGAAAACTAAAAGTGAAGCAACTTTTTTTCTGATATTTCTTACATAAAATGGCAGCCATCTTGTTTTTCCCCCTTCAAATTAAACTGGCGGGAAATTCAAAAATTTGAAGTCCTTAAATAAATTTCAAAAATATGATTTTCTTTTAAATTCTTCATGGGTCTAAAGTTATTTCTTCTTTGTATGTCATATATGTTGCCATTGGTGTTTTTTCTATGACAATGACTATTTTTGTTTTTTTTAAGATAGTTATTCTGACTCTCAGAAGGGGGTTAACTATGCATCAAAACTCGCGAAAAAGTAAATATATTTATCAAATATAACTAGGACAGTAATAAAAATCATATTTCACATACATTTGACTGAGGGACCAAAAGGGCATATACCCGGACACATCCTTTCACATAAATTTTCCAAAACCTGCTAATTACAACAGAAAACTTTTCTTACTTCTATTTTTTAGTGTTATTCTGTTGTTTGTATTTGTCATTGATTTTATATGACTCTCTCTAAAGGATACAACTTCTGAATTGATGATTATCTCCAGGCCCATGGGATGGAACACACCACTGATGTTTGGGTTGAACTTATCGAACTTTTGGATCAATTTCCCGCTGTTCACATCCCATAATACTCCATCATTTAGGACGAGATCATCTGTAGGAGAAAACGTTGCCCGATTGGACACATAATTGTTTGCTTTATCTTGGTCAAAGAATGTTTGTAGACATCTACCAGTCTCAACATCGTAGATCTAAAAGACAGGATGGTAAAAAGCTATGATTTATATACACATTTCTGAACAACTCCAATTGTCATAGGGTACAACAATTCAATTATTTCTATTCCGTAAAATAGTTGGTTTAAATGCTAACTTCTCTGGCATAGAAAAGGTCACATTTCAGCTTTATATAAGGTATTTGGTATTTTATCACATCAATATATACATGTCTATCACCATATTGCTTAATGGAATGTCTCCAAAATATTAGGTGAAAAAAAAGTATTAGGTGAAAACAGAAACCCTATATCAGGTATTGATGCAAACTCACATGAGCAGTTTCTTCTTTGGTTGCTACAATCCTGTCTTGTGTCTGCTTGCTGAACTCAGCATAGGAATCTTCCTCAAATGTATGTCTGAAAATATTTATATCTATATTGCATCACATTTACCGTTAAAATTGTCATATCAAATAAAAAGAAATGCTTTGTTAAGAAATGTGTCTGCTAAAAACAAAAAAACTTTGGAAAGCAAGTGAATCAATGTCTTCATATCAATCAAATGACGTCATTAGAGGGTAAGGCAGGAACACACCCAATGGACTGCTATGGAGTTATGCATTTTCTGCAATAAAGCTTCTCCTGTCCAAATATAGACTTACTTCATTTCAAACATATCAGTCATGGTCCAGAGTCCCGAGAGAGGTCTACTCCAAGATGATGATGTCAAAGCCAGCCGTGTGTCCTGCAATATATAAATAACAGTGAGTGAATAAATACTGGGGTATTCAGGTTTTAAAAAGCAAAATAGAAGAAAGGCATATTACATCTATGCTTATTGTAACCTACAGCCAAAACCATAATTTTATATAAGTGCAAGAAAATCTATTTATCCCATATAATCAGTAAGGATTCTGATCATATCCTTCTATTTCCCTTTTATTTAGTACATCAGAACACAAGACAAGACTCGTCCCTTTGCCTTATTTACACATACACACTAAAGTCGCCTGTAAGAAATCTAGAGTAAATAATAATAGCCTACTAAACATACCCTGCTATGTTCTACATGGGTCAATGGAGAAATCTAGAGTAAAAACCTACTAAACATACCCTGCTATGTTCTACATGGGTCAATGGAGAAATCAAGAGTAAAATAGCCTACTACACATACCCTGCTATGTTCTACATGGGTCAATGGAGAAATCTAGAGTAAAATAGCATCCTAAACATACCCTGGTATGTTCTACATGGGTCAATGGAGAAATCTAGAGTAAAATAGCATCCTAAACATACCCAGCTATGTTCTACATGGGTCAATGGAGAAATCTAGAGTAAAATAGCCTACTAAACACACCCTGCTATGTTCCACATGGGTCAATGGAGAAATCTAGAATAAAATAGCCTACTAAACATACCCTGCTATGTTCTACATGGGTCAATGGAGAAATCTAGAATAAAATAGCCTACTAAACATACCCTGCTATGTTCTACATGGGTCAATGGAGAAATCTAGAGTAAAATAGCCTACTAAACATACCCTGCTATGTTCTACATGGGTCAATGGAGAGCTATGACAAACATAAGCTGCCGATTCCTCTGCTGTCTGAAGATTGTACATCTTTAATTCACCAGCGTACGTTCCTAACATCAAAAACTGCTCACATGTCTGCAAAGAGAACACAATGAAAAATGTGTGTTTTTATGAAATAGGAGATTTAGAAGACACTCTGTATGAGAAAAATTGGCCTATCGGACATATAATTATTTGCCTTCCTTTGGTCCAAAGTGTGTGTAGACATCTACCAGTCTCAACATTGGAGATAAAAAAAAAAAAAAACAGGAAAACATGAGAAGCAAAAATAATCTCTCATGACAATGTACACCAAAACTATGGTATTATTAAATTATGAAAATAAAAGTTCTACTCACTGAGAATGTACAGCAGGTAAAGCAGCCATCTTCTTCAGCATCCCTATATGATCGCACAGGTCGAAACCTACAAGTCAGAAACAGCGTAATTTGTTTATTTGTTTCATACTCTACTTCAATCATAATATAATTAATAGATTATAATTAAAGGGAAAATCCCACTGAACAAAAGCAATAATTTGGGGGGAACATGTATTTGCCTCGTGTATGGAGTAATAGCATCAAAGAAATTGTTTCCTTCTTTGTGAACAAATAAGTTGGTGTCATCAATGTCAGTATATTCATTAATTTCATTTTACACACAATACTAACAACACCCAACCAATTCATGGTTCACTTTGTATCATTTTGTGTTAAACTTTCAAGCACAATAATTTTTGTTGTTTTCCGATACACCTAGGTGTTTTGAACACAAACTTGTAAAAATTGCATATTTGAAAAAAGTATATACATGTATTTCAAAAAATGATTGTAAATCATCTTTCTGTATATTACCTGCTATAAACATATTTTCTGTTCCATCTTCTCCCCTCAAATCCTCCATATTTAGGGAAGTACTGAAATCAGATAAAGATTATTTTGGGAAGCAAATTCTAAATAGTTCATGGATTCATTTTGATATGACTAGAGTATATCACTGAACATATAGATCAGAAGCAATTTGGTTCAAAAATCAATCCCACAGCAGAGTTGATCACACATATAAATGATAACACCAAAACGATCTAATGTATTGAGGAATACTTAGGGATGGATTTCATACCTGTCTCCTATAACAACGAGATGTCACATTTTCTGGCGCACAGCTCCTTCTTTTTGGTTCTGGACATCTGTGGGGTCTACAAATTATAAATCAAGGCGTTTTAATATAGGTTCCTATGGTACTTACCTTAAGGGTGAAAATACTTTCTGTAAAAGAACATTTATCAGAATGGACAATATCGAAAAAATAACTGCATATACAGATGTCACGACCACAGACTACGACTCGTAATTTTTTTCCAAAAAAGAGAGAATAACTTACTCTAGAAGGGAGAATGGTGGACAAGTGCCTACAGGGTTAGAACACATCATGTGTTGTCTTCGAAGATATGAAGTGACAATCTTGTCTAATGATATAGAATATGACTGTTGACTGCTGGTGTGACGATGACGTGACGATAACTGGCTGTTAAATTTGATGTTGGAAGCTATCTCAGATTTCTGACGGAAGTACATCTTTTGTTTTGATGGCTGCACCTACATTGGGTGAGAAATAAAATATTTTACAAAATTAAGTCATACCTTTTGACATTGGGTCACAATAATTCATATGCATGGTATTGCAGCATGTATTTTGTTGAATAAAGTTCTTGAAAGAGAACGACCCCTTGGGAATATTTCTTGAGGATATTTTCAGAGTTAACAGGGAAAAATCTTAATGTTAAACAGGCTTAAAGTGAAATCTCATGAAATGGACCTAGAAGTGCTATAAATTGATAAGCTTGGTGCCAAGTATTTCATTTAAGTAATTGTACAGGAATAGATACTATTTATTGGATTATATTCTGTTTTTTCAAGTATTAACACTAAACGCATTTTTGGACATTTGTAATTACTACAGTACCTTAGCATTGATATTTGAGACTGGGGTTTTGTGACTGATGATGTTGACCTTGATAGAGCCAGGGGTGCCAATACTGGAACCAGGAGAGCTTCGTAACGTGGACTGAGATCCCTGGCTTGCAGTAGGGGTGCTACGAGGTGTCACAGCTAATCGATTCTAAAACAGAAACAGAATCATTTCACAGAGTTTTTTTTTCAATATCTGTCACAATTTTAGAATTTGAACACATTTTTACATCTTAAATAAATAATTTGATATGATATGGCAGATAGACACTTCATAAATGTGCACTTAATCTTACCAATTTAGGTGTACTAGGGGCAGGGGTAGAGTATATATGTGGACTAGATGGGTGTTGTATAGGTGGAGACACTGGTGCTGGGAGGTCAGCCTCTCTTTGAAGTGCACTGGCAGTTTCCGAGTACCCTGAAATAAATATACATAGAAATATTCTTATTATGACACTCATTTCTGAAAAACATGTGGGAGACATTTTCGTAGATGTTCAAGGAATAATTTCTGAAATATAACAAACGTTGTAAGGCATTCTGTGCCAAATATGTAAGACTACGATTGAACAAACTGCTTACCTTTCTGCAAGAGGTGATCATGCATGAGTTGAAGCAGTTCCTTCTCTCTGTATATGATCCTGGTTTGAGCTACAACATCATCCTGCAACATACATACAATAACATGTACAATAACGCATACAATTACATGTACCATAACACAATACATGCATTTCTAGTGTCGAAATACTTAAGATATCAAATGTTCAACATGTCAATATTCAACAGTCCCATAAGTCATGACATATTAATATTTAACACATTAATATTACTTGATGCACAGTAGTATCAAGTGCCCATTCATATTCACTCAAGAGATTGGGATATTTGGAAAAATAAATAAATAGCATATCATTTGGCCTACCTTTCTAATTTGTTCTAATGTTGCTGCAAAGTCCGCATTTTGTGGCTTTCCCGATACTCTCTCCAGTACAACATTAGCATATTTACAAAACTTCACATGTTCCGCTCTCTTGTCATGCAACACTGGTTCTTTCATTAATACTGCAACATAACAAACATTTGTGTAAACGTATATACAAATTATACTTAATTTTCATGTGTTATATAAATCGTTATGCAATTTTTTCATCAAATGTCTATATCTTTCATTTGTAACGGTAGCCAGTAAAACCTGGATAGATTAAATCCAAGTGTTTACTACCATTACTACCATTGGAATTCAAGTAATAACAAAGCATTAAAATGCAAAATGTCAACACCTGCCATTTGTTACATATGCTGTATAATTTGTTACATACACCTTATTATAGACACTGAAAACTGTCCACAAACAAGGCACAGACGTGAACAATATCGTACCTAAAACACAGCATTGTGGTCTTGTTGACCAAGAAAGCAAGATGGCCGCAGAAAAGTTAATCAGCTCTAGAACTTATCACTCTGTAACATTTGAACGGTTTGGCTGGAAACCTGTAGACAAGTCTTGAAAGTGAAGATTTTAGGACAGAAAATCCAAAATGGCCACCTTAAAATTTACCCAGAATGCCCAAAAACCAATCAGTTCTTGACGTTGATATGTAGAAACATCCCTGAAAATTTCAGATGAATCCCTCAAATGGTTTGGCTGAAAATCTGTAGACAAGTCTTGAAAGTGAAGATTTTAGGACAGAAAATCCAAAATGGCCACCTTAAAATTTACCCAGAATGCCCAAAAACCAATCAGTTCTTGACGTTGATATGTAGAAACATCCCTGAAAATTTCAGATGAATCCCTCAAATGGTTTGGCTAAAAACCTGTAGACAAGTCTTGAAAGAAGATTTTAGGACGGAAAATCCAAAATGGCCACCTTAAAATTTACCCAGAATGCCCAAAAACTAATCAGTTCTTGACTTTGATATGTAGAAACATCCCTGAAAATTTCAGATGAATCCCTCAAATGATTTGGCTGGAAACCTGTAGACAAGTCTTGAAAGTGAAGATTTTAGGACGGAAAATCCAAAATGGCCACCTTAAGATTTACCCAGAATGCCCAAAAACTAATCAGTTCTTGACGTTGATATGTAGAAACATCCCTGAAAATTTCAGATGAATCCCTCAAATGATTTGGCTGGAAACCTGTAGACAAGTCTTGAAAGTGAAGATTTTAGGATGGAAAATCCAAAATGGCCACCTTAAGATTTACCCAGAATGCCCAAAAACTAATCAGTTCTTGACGTTGATATGTAGAAACATCCCTGAAAATTTCAGATGAATCCCTCAAATGGTTTGGCTGGAAACCTGTAGACAAGCTGAAAAGTGAGACGCCGCCCGCCCGCCGCCCGCCAAGCTGACTACAATATTGGGTTTCCGGACAACTCGGACCCAGGACAACTCGGACCCTGGACAACTCGGACCCAAGACATCTCGGACCCAAGACAACTCGGACCCAAGACAACTCGGACCACTTTTTGAAATTTTTGATTTTTATCACTATATTTGGTTTTAATTATTTTTTATGTTTATTTTGACATATATTATATATTGTGAATTCATATAGTATGTTAATTTGATGAAATTGTTTTAAATTAATGTTTTGATGAGAGTTAAGAAGTAAGAAATTATTGAAGCTAAAGACCCAAGACAACTTGGACCACTTTTTGAAATGATGGTTTTTATCATTGTATGGGGTTCTAATTTTTTTGTTTAATGTTTTTTATGACATATATTATATATTGTGAATTCATATATTGTGTTAATTCGATTAAATTGTTTTAAATTAAATCAACTATAACTTCAAAAAGTGGCCCGAGATGTCTCAGGTCTTCAGCTTCAATATTCTCTTACTGGTCTTACTTCATAACTTTCATCAAATAAGTCAAATTAAAACATTTTCATCAAGTTAATACAAAATATGAAGTCACAATATATAATATATGTATTAATTTTCATAAATGCAAAAATAAAACAACACATAATGATAAAGATCATTATTTTAAAAAGTGGTCCGAGTTGTCTTGGGTCCGAGATGTCTTGGGTCCGAGTTGTCCAGGGTCCGAGTTGTCCTGGGTCCGAGTTGTCCTGGGTCCGAGTTGTCCAGTTACCCAATATTGTACCTTTTGTTAGGTACGATAAAAAGTTGAAAACTATAACAATATATCACCACCTCTGGTGATGACATAATGACCTTCATTGAACTATGAATATCAGAAAGTAGGAATGGTTTAGGTGCTTACATTGCAATTGCCCATTATTGTAGAGAGGTAGTTTACTTATGATCTGTCTAACCATTTCATTCCTAGCAAGCCCCATCAATGCCTTACAGGCCAGGGCACGAATACTATCTGCATGCGTGATGGGACTTCGTGTGTGGAGTAACTTTAACAGCACCTACAGTATTCAATATACATTATAAATAGTTAATTCTCATGTGAATCAATTTTGAAACATTTTTAACTCAAAAATTAGAAATTTCTTGGGCCACAAGACAGGTTGGATTAACATATAACAATAACAATAAATAAGTGCTGAAGACTTCTGTAATTGTGCTGAAGGAAATTTAATGAGTTGACCTGCTGCCCACCCACTTTTACAGGTATATTTTCTACAAAAGTTATTCCACAATGTGAAATGTGTTAGTGAAATATATAGTGCTAATCTTGTCACTATAGGGCTGGGTCGTGTCTCTGCTAACTGGGATACTGTTATATGTCTTACCATGATTCCATTGTTACTCCTGAAAGCTTCCCACACACTGGCTAAAACATTGCCATCTGCCTTGAGACTGGACCGCCTCCTTGCGCTTCCCCCACTGGACAGACATTGATACTTCCCCATTCCACTAGAATACTATAACACATGACAGAACATAAAACTGGTTAAACCAAGGAAATACTGATGAAATGCGAGTTGAATCTGATTGTTACACAGTCAATTCGCAACTTGAGTTGCATAATTTTTACTTTCGAATAAATATAGAAAAGCTGTATACCTATTTACAACCCTCCAAAATGACTAAAATGTGTATTTAAAAAAAAAACGACCTGTCATTAGCTCTATAAGAGAAGGAAAGAGATATAATTTGATTTTCTAAATAAAGAACCTTTTGAAAAATACTGTAAATTCAGTGTACATACCCTAGTGATTGGACCACATACACAATTCATTATAACATTAAGAGCAGCTTTCTGTACATCAGGGTCAGGTATAATCTCCCCCTCAGCAACCCCTAACAGTACGCTGCAAATAAATAAGGGTTTTATAATGGGAAATTTTCGATAAACGGCATATTGCTTCTGTTAATGCAAAAATTTCTAGGACAATTGGTATTTTATATAGAGTTAAACAACTGTTGAATATCAGCGGTTTTATGAGTATCTATTATTCACTTATATATTCCCATCTTATATATGGCAATGTTATTTGGGGTGAAACATGTAGTTCATTAAATTCCCTATATCTTGTGCAAAAGAAATTCACCCGCATTGCAACAAACAGCGATTATAGGGCTCATTCCCTACCATTATTCAAACAGTTAAACCTTTTGAATATTTTTGACATACACAAACAACAGAAATGTTTATTCATGTATAAATGGATAAATAAGCTTGATAACTACCAGAAAATTTTTCCTAACTTCTTCAAAATGGTCCAGGCGAGACATGATCACAATACCAGAAACAAGGATTCTTATGATAAACCTAAAGTAAGGACGAACTATGGCATTTCAATGTTAACTTTCACGGCACCAACAATTTGGAATCAATTACCAAACAAGATTAAATCTTCTCGAAGTGTTCACATCATGAAAAGAGAACTGAAAAAGTACTTTGTCAATAATTGATTATCATTCGTATACTTTATATTTTGGGCTCTATGACACACAATTCATTTACCATCCATTACAAGCATTTGCACACAAACAGATCCCCCTCTGTTTCTATGTAGGCAACTTACCACCCTGTCGGGAATATACACAATTTGTGTCACCCGCTCATTGTATGTATTTCAAAACTTAGCTTACTGAATAAATAAATAATAATAATAATAATAATAAAGGGTTTATCTCGAGGGAAGTATATGAATTTCAGCAATCCCAGCAATACAATACAAATACTAGTAAATAGATATTTACACTACAAAGACAAGCAAACACTACTCTTAAGGGAATTGCCTCTATAATTAGGTTTGACAAGTTTGTGAAAGTAACACATAGAGGGCCTTGATACAAGATTACGCTTATTATACCTTATAGCGGGAGTTGTAAGGTTCTCTGGAACGGGGACAGAGTCACAGAGACACAGCTGAGCACGAGGCATCACTGTACACACAGCCAGAACGTCAAGAGCACTTCTTATGGTCTCTGCCCTGAAAATATATTTGGATACTTTTGAAGGCAGAGTACAGGGACTAGAAAATGGAATATTACGAGGCTTTTATATTACAATACAATATTACATGAAACCTGTATGTGATGAACACATATTGCTGTTATCTGAAGAGTTAAGTATAATGTAATAGGTTTTCAATAGAAACAGGTATCATTCAACATATTTTCTTCACGATGTCATTGCTTATAATAATATTTGTTTCTTTAATTCCCATTGAAAAAAAATCTCAATGTGCCCCAAGAAGATCAAATAATTGACTTTAACATGTTTTTGTTTGCAATATCATATACATCCAGGTCCTGAATGACCCTACTTATACTCTCATACTTGTGAGTGGAAAATGTACTCACTTCCCAGTATAAGCATTCCACTCAGGGGTGAGAGCGATGAGTTGTACCAACAACTTAACACCCCCTAGCTTGAGTAAGTCATCCACAGGTTTCCAGTGCGCTCTAACAGGCAGGTTGTCTAGCAACAGTTCTATGTTGTCCTGTACTGTCTGACTTGAAAACTTTGCAGCCTAAAACAAAATAGCATAAAGTAAGTGAAAAAGCTGTTATGTGTTATATCAAACATGTATCTTTTAAACATGTGAAACCATTCATAGTACAGTAAACTTTTATATAATCTTTAATTGAGATTAAAAAATTAATTGAGAAAAAGTAAATCATATAAATCAATCAAATAAAAAATGCTTGCTTGGTTTATGCATAGCTATGGCCCCCATATGGGAAATGTTTCTTTACATAATTACAAAGCCTGTTACCTTAAAAGGAGGTGTCTCAGAGACATGTTGAGCACCTGTATCCCTAGCCAGCGACCGTCTTACTATGTCTGCCTTGATTGAAAGATGGGCCTCAAAGTAACGTTTCAATGCAACACAAACATGGCGTGCAGCTTGACGACTGGTGAATATGGCATCTTCAGTAATCATAGTGTCTTGGTCGTCAACAATGAGAATCTCAAGTGTGCTTATCTGTAATACAAACATGGAATCTATATAATGAGAATGGCATCCACGTTATAAAACAAGGCATTAATATGACAAAATGTCAATACCTGGGAAATTATTGCTCAAAACAAGATACAAATAAAAATGATTTTTGATGTTTCCAAAGATTAAGTGAATATTTGGTATGACAAAAAATTTCATTCTTGTGAATTTTCAGACAATTAAATTTAATGAACAGATAATTACCAATAACCCAATACTCACAACATTATAGAGCTTCCTGAGTCCATCCTTCATGTCGAACAGCTCAATGATAACTCTGAACATAAAGGAGGTGCTGAAGAACATGGTGGCATGGCAACGACCTGATTCATGAGAACACTCCAGTAACCAGAGAACATAGTTGACAAGATCTGAGAGAATGTGATGAGGTAGAAGGCATACCTGAAATAGATGGCTCTGATACAGGCGTGCACATATAAGACCTTATGGGCGTTGAATTGAAAGGTTTTCTGGTACAAGGTGTTGTGAGGTTCTCTGGTACAGAAACCAGCACAGAAACACATGGAGATGTTTGATACAAGATTTCTTAAGGTATAAAATATTATTTAAGTTTACAGTCTATTCTTGAAACATTGTGAGACAAAATATTACATTTGAAGAATAGAAGCTGGGTTAACATAATATGGATATACACTGTACATGTGTATTTCCATATATGGACATATTGCTATTGAGACAAATACTATACAGATAACAGTAAGCAGTATTAATTCCAACAGAACTCTGAAACATCTATGAAATCCCAGTACATACCCTTTCCATGGCATCTTCAAAGTAAGCCAAGTAGTACAGACACATTGAGACTCCAGTAGCAGCCACTGACGGCCTGTAGACTTGGAGAAGTTTCTGGACTCCACCCAGGTTGATGAACTCTACAGTGAACTTCTTGTGGCACAACAGAGAGGCTAGGTACTGGAAAATTGTCAAAATAATGTCAAAAATCAAATGAGTACATGTACAGGTTTTGTACTGCCAGGCAGACATTGGGATGGCCGAATCTCCCACATATGTGCCATTTTAACAGCATGCTGTACAAGTGGTGATCAATTAGTAATGGTTACTTTTTTACAGTTACTTATTGAACGCCTCTTGTTTATAGACCATCTCAGTAATTGGTGAGACTCTGAGCCAAAACTATGTTGAAAAAATCATTTCTCCACGGAATCTAAATACTCATTTCATGTTCTGCTCTTCCTCAGCTTGTCCAATGAGAGAGCTGCTCTCATGTCTAAAGTATTTTACAAAGTATTTAAAAATAAAGAAATTATTTGATTTCGACAAGCCTGTTCCCCCATACTAAGAAAAACATAAGAAAGACTTCAAAATGATGTTTACCTTTAATGCCTCAAAAGCCAGCCTGACATCTCTGTTCTTAGATAAATCTATAGTAGAAGATCAGATCCATGGCTTTCTTTTCAAATACATGGGTCAGTAACTGAAACAATACAACATAGATAAATCTATATAGTAGAAGATCAGATCCATGGCTTTCTTCTCAAATACATGGGTCAGTAACTGAAAAAATATAATATACAACTGCAGTGTTCACAAAACACGTTCATACTCCATACCATTGGGAATTAAACTGCCATTTATTAAGAGCATACTTGGCGAAGATCGATGGTAACGTTTCCAGAAAATATTTGTCTGAAGGTGGAAAATTCCATCAACATGCTTGACAAATGACTTCCATCTTGGAAAAGGATTGAAACTGAAATAAAGTTATGTATTATGTTTAATTATGGATTATTTGTTTATCAAGTTTCTAGCCAAGAGGAGCTAGCCAGGATCTAGGCTTAAATCCTGGTCTAGTTATTTTTTCTTTGATAAACCGAATAAAATTCACATGCTCTTAAAGGTTATTGTATGAGGAAATATAATATAAACACATGTATTGTTGAATTTTTAAGTCAACCCATTGGTCTATAAAATGAGTTCAGCGAACACTGATTTAGTTATCTAAAGGACTTTGAAGTTGTTTGCATCACATTTGAAGTGCTTTACTGAATTTTTGAAAATAAATTACATCGATAAATAGAATGTTCAAGAGTAGAATTAGTTGGAAAAATAAGTTTTAATCTAATCTGAAAATACAGGTCAAGCTATACTGAAAATATTATTATGCTAGACACTTGATTAAAATATTTCAGGTCCTGGTAGTATATAAACACACCTTTTTTAAATTACATTTATTGTATAATTAGACATATACCTAAATGATCGAACACTCATAACACTACACTATACCACAAGCCATACACTAAGATTATAAGACAATGAAGCTCTACATTCTTGTGACCCTGGTGGTAAATATTTGCTTGGCTGTTTGTACTCCAGTCATTACAGATACGTCACTCAACAACGATACCAAGACAACTTTGGATAATGAGACAGTGCCTTTGTCTCCGATAGATCAACCAGAATCGCAAGGTAACATTGAATATTATTTCTAAAGCCAGTTCGCAATTATATAACTAAAATAAATAAAGATAAATTAAAAGCAGATAAGGTTTTAATTGTAAATTCAATTCAATACTTATCTTCAGACAAACTGAAAGGTATTGCCTCATGAAAACAAAAATTTGCAAATTCAGTAACAAAGAGGTTAAGCGACACATTTTGAAGAGAATTTGTATGTAAATGTGTAGAATTACGGTCCTCTATGGATTAGTTCTCCCCTTTGTGGTACTCACTTGCGCAACTGGGTATAAAGGTTGAAGAAAAAAAATAGTTGTAATTATTAGGTCTCTGGATTGACCAATTAGAGGTGGACACTAATCCCTGGAGGTCATTATATTGAACATTCATGCAAAAGTTCTCTTTAAATTGTTTAGATGTAGTGTAGATAAATCTCCTCGATATCCTTATCTAAAAATTACAGTACTAATGGAATCATAGCTTATAATAAAGATTCCATTAAATTCATATTTTTCAGCCAGTGATTCAGCATATAGGCTATATACAAGAGGGCCTTGTCCCTATGGCTTTATATACAATGCTAACCAGAGGACCTGCTATTCTCTCAACACCAATAACCAAGGAGTAACCTGGTTTGAGGCACTGTCCTTCTGCATGTCAATGCATGCTAATCTTGTTGCAATAGAGTCTGAGCAAGAGCAACTGTACATATTAGGTAATAAATTAAAAGAACAAACAAAGCCATCAATAACTAGAAAACATAAACTCCACAGAGTAGCTAACCCCACTAAACAAAACATGTTTTGATAGATAGCGGCCATCTTGAAAAGTTTTACTTGAAGAGAGCTCCTCTGTCCTTAGGTATCAGCATATAAAATTTGAACCAAATCCTTCCACTGATATTTATCAGAGATCATTTTTTGAAAAATTTGCCATATGAAGGCCATTTTGAAATTCAATGGCCATTTTGAAAATGCCTTCTTGATTTGATCCAAATCCTTCTACTGATATTCATGTGAGTTATCAAAGATCAGTTTTTTTTATAAAATGGCAGCCATTTTGAAATTCAGTGGCCATCTTGAAAATTTCATCAACCTATAATCTGCCAACCAGTATTCCAATTATCCCCTGGACACATGAACAAACGAACTGACGAATGAACAGAAGGCTTCTCTATATCCCCCCAAACTTTGTTAGATGGGATAATAATACAATAAATATGCAAGTACTGTACAAATATTGAAGCCTCTTCAGTTATTTTGGAGTCGTCATATTTCTCCTTAGACCAGCATATTTCTTCATCAATCATTAGATATAGAGGTAATAGGTAGATGTAAATTATAATGCATTTCGGCATCTATTCTATTTGCCCGAATTGACTCTAGTCTTGATACACATATTTTTTGCAAAACACACCTATTACATACTAGTTTTTGCATTAAAGGCATGCTTCGCCACTTTGAACATGGGGACTCTACTGTATGGACTGGCGGCAACACACTGTCTAAACATGGTAACTGGTTTTGGGCAGGAGGCCTACATGCCCCACAAAAGCGCTTCACATACACAAGATGGGCACCTGGTGAGCCAAGTAACCATGATAACCATAATAATTGGGAAAAGTGTGTCTACTTGGAGAGTAAAAAAGAGCACAAATGGAACGATGATAGCTGTTACAGGAAACTTTACTTCATTTGTGAAAGGGGTGTCAAATAGCAAGACTTTTATGATGCAAGTGTGGAACTGTTACAACAGAACACACATCATATATACTGTACTGTAAAACATTTTGATTTACTGCATTCAAGTTCTTGTGTCAAAACTCTTACAACAAAACAAGTTTATTCTAGTTACATACAGAATTTATTTTTCGACCAACGAACAGTTTATTGAAGGATGATACAGATGTAGATAAATACTTTTATTGGTGCTTAGCACATAATGTTACTAAAGAGACTAAGTTAATAGTTTTTCAATGGAAATTTTCACACAATATTGTGATAACAAATGATAAACTTTTTTAAATGAGAATAAAGGAAACGCCAAATTGTAATTTTGGTAATGAAAATAAAGATGATTTAACTCACAGATTTATAACATGCAATTTTGTACTCCCAATATGGGACTTTATAAGAAACAATTGTGAAATAAGTTTAAATGAACAAACCATCTTTAAAGTTATTTTAGGTAAGAAAAAGAGTATCTTAATCAAGTAATAATTGTTGCTAAGTGGACAATACACAAGCAAAAGTTGGAATTGTACCAAAATAATAATATTTTACATAATTCTAAAATAGAATAGATAAAAGACATTGCATTGTAATTGTAAAATTTTAAAATGATATGAAAATAAATTTTAAATAAAAAAAAGTTCTTGTCTAGTTTTCAATGACAAACTAACTTATTTGCAGCATGGTAATTTCACAAACTTATTGTTTTTAAAAGTAAATTCAGGACACATGCACAAACAACATATTTACAGCTCAGCTGATAACTATTACTACTACCCTGCGAATAAAGGATGATGAAGGCGAAGTTCTCTTTTAAGAAGCGACATTGAATGAAGGCAAAAACTTCTAAGTTTTACTTAGAATAATATCAGTCTATCATTACACCTTCAATGTTACCATGACTTCAAGTATGATGTCATCAAATCATATTTTCTTATTAAAGGGCTTTGTGTAAATAAATATATTTGGAAATAAACATAAACTGATTAATAATTGTTTAATCAAAAATTATTGAAAATTGCATCCACCAAGTGTTATTGTAAACCACTTGCAAGTATTTTCTTATTTATTGGGGAATGTTTTAATGTGTTCTATTATGTTATCTTATGGGGTATCTGATGATGAAAGTGAATGCTACCTAGCTATGCGTTACCCCAAAGAGGCGCAGTGGTCATTATAAATGTCTGGTGTAATAGCCAGATATCAGAGAAATTATATAGTGTACTTGCACATGTATATCTAGAGAGAGATTCTCAAAGTTCTTGAGAAGGATATCATATTGTCTTCTCCAAGAAATTCAGTTTAATATCAGTGAATAGATGATCTGATGCAAAATAAAATACAGTGAAATGCTCTCCACTTTTAGAATTACCGAAAAGAATCCTAAAACTCAATGAACGAATCCCTCAAGTGATAAGTTCAACCATTTGGCCCCTTGGTTGGTTGCATATCTTTTGGATAGATCCAATAATCAAAACACCTTCCATAACCATCACCTTATAAATATCACCTCTAAATAAGCCCAAAAATGAGAAAAATCTTACTTCTTGGTATTCTCCCATAGGTGTGAGGTATTTTAGAATGAGACGTTGCTGCATATCACAGGTCAATGGAGACATACTGTAGGTGCCTAGAAAATATGAATATGGAATTCAATTGCAAGAAAATAATTCATAACAGACAAATTACATGATGTTCATCCTATATTCAATGTTGCCTTACTCTAACAATATTTCAAAACACAATACACAATGATTTGGTTAAATTCAACAAAGTAATGTTCATCAGGATCCGTCTATCCTCTTGTTTAATACACTATACATGCAAAATTGAAAGCTTATTCCGGTCTAAGCAGAGATTACATAAGAATTTACCTATGACATAGGGCTGCATCTCTGCCCAGCTGCTATTGCTGCATTCCTGAACTAAAACAAGTAAATAAATTATTAGAACATGTGCTCCAATATATTAACTATGGTGTTATAATTTTCTGTATGGTGTAAGCTATTTCTGTCACCAAGAGGTTGCGAGTTTGAGACACATCTGCTCCTTGTCTTTATTCATCATTAATGATGTTTAATGAGGCATTTAAAAGATCATACACAATAAGCTCCTATAACATTCTTTAATGTACATAATGACTTCATTAATATTTGTTTTAAAATGATAATGCAATTTAGAGTTGCGATTCCATAAACATGTACATCTAAGTAAACAAAAGAATAAAATAAGAAAATGTGAAATATGAAAGGAATGAGAAGTTGAACTTGTATAGGATAAAGAATAAATGTGATACATGTACTAAATAAAGTGATGAGACATTGACCTCACATAATAAATTATGACTAAGATAGAGAATTTAACAGCAGTATTAGATTATTGGGAGTATTAGAAAATTCATCAGTGGTCTCCCCATTGTTTTTTGAGTGAATAATTCTTGTTTTCAAAATTCAGACAAAACAGGTCAAAAATAAAATATGCCCATTTTTAAGATTTTTCTGATTTTCAAGTGGGTGTGATTGGATCTCAGGTGGGTGCAAGCCTTTTTTCAAAATCTTAAATACACCCATTTGCACTTGCTTTAATATTAAGGAGAGCACTGGACATGAACACAATGAGTTGACTTGAGTGGGTTAATTTACCCGAGACGTCATGCCTGGGTGACTGTTTGAATGGACTCATACTACCATAGGGCATATGTATGCTTTCTGCTCTGGTGGGACTCCCCTTGTGCCTTGCCAGCCGCTTTACAATTGAGACGTCCACAGATTTACTAGTATCAGACTGTTCACTGTTTTCATTAGCCTTGCTTTGAACGTTCATTTGAGGGATTTCTCCATTTGAAATAATTTTTTCATCAATACTGCAGTTCATTTTGACACTTTCACTGTCACTAGTTTTAATAGATTTTATATCCAAAGAATCATTTCTATTTTCAGAACATTCATCTAATTCCTCCTTGGAAGTAACAGTTTCAATATTTAGTCTGGCACCATCATGATCTTTGGCACTATTCAGTCTCCTTCTCTTTCCACCAGGAAATGAGGAATTTGTATCATCTTCAGTATCAGATTCAAATAGCTTATCATTTGATTCATTTTTACTAAACTGTGCAAAAGGTCTTGCAGGAATTTTAATAGAGTCAGCAGTTGATTGTTTTTGGTTGTCCACAGCAAACTTTTGTGGGTTTTCTTGTTTCTGTTGTATGAGATCATGTAACCTTGTGATCATCATGGGAACCTGGAATATGTGAGATTTACACATGATGAATATTATGCTGTATACATAAATCACATGTCTTTATTGCTACGATTCTGTAGTGAAACACTGACCTGAGAACAGTTATTAGGAAAACCACTTTTATTCAGAGATATATCTATATGACGTGACTATATAAAGTTTCATAAAGTTTGAAGATTAAATAGTTCAAATAGGTTTTCTTCTAAAATTTGTGTGCGGGGTTCTAATTCATACCAATCTTGAGTTTGCTTCTTTAAAGTTTGCTGCAACATCTTGCACTTCCATTGAGCCAGACAATAGTCCAGTGGCATAAGATCTTAGAGGCTCAATGGCATTTTCTGCCCAACCAATCAATCTACGCACTAATGGTTCCTGCAATGAAAGCATTTCACAACTATGATGATGGTAACTTGCCAAATAAATATGTGACTATATACTCTTAAAATATTAACATCCTTTCATTTAGAATGACATTCTAATAAAGGTGTTTCAACCCATACAGGAAATCTGTCACAGTGATCATATTACCACAAGAAAATAAAGGAATTCTAAAACAATAAAGGAAAAAACATAAAATTCTTTTTCAAATGTTTCCATCAGAAATAATAGAAAATCAGACACTTCATTGGAATATAATACAGAACTGAAATGAAGTATTGATGTATGTTACCCTACTATCACACCAAACTAGTTCTCACTGCGTTCTCGAAAACGGGCTTCAACTATATACGAACGGACTGGACCTACTAAGAACCGTTTGGGATCTATTTACAAACTTCATCGAACGTACTCGAACAGGTAGGTCCTCTAGAACTTAGACAATGCTCAAAATGTTCTCGTGGTCGTCACGTTCTACAATTAGAACGAGTGACAACGTACTAACGACGAGCTGGACGTATTACGAACGGAACCGTCGTACTTCAATCCTACTAGGGACGTTTTAACAACGAGTTTAACTGTCTGCGGACGTGTTGAGAACGAGGTAGAACTAATTGCAAACGGGTTTAAAATGATTAAGAACGTATTTAACACTGCTTATGAACGAGTTAGCAAACATATAGCTATCACACCAAACAAGTTGCCACTGCGTTCTTCAAAACTGGTTTTAAACTGTTTGCGAACAGAATGAACGTAGCTGCAACTTTCTAAGGTCTATTTACGAACTTTATGAACGTTCTCAGACGGGAATGTGATTTTAGAATTTTGAATCGATTCAAAATTCGATGACGACCATACCGTTCTGTAATCAGGTCACGTTGACCTTCTAGACTAAGGGACGCGTTCTAAGACGTTGCACTCCGACGTGGTGCGACCTGAACGAACTACGAACGAGATGGACGTATTGAAGACTGTTTAAGAACGAAGAAGCTAATTATTTCAGACATATTTCCCGACCACAGCCAGATTGAGCCCGTTTGACGACGTTTTCGTAGGACTGGCAAGAACGGGTAAGAACTAGTTTGGTGTGATAGGGGGGTTACATAAATAGGAAAAAGTAAAATCGTGCAACCATGTTACAAAAGCAATTGAAATCACTTATATCACCCTGGACGAAGTGATAAGGTCAAAACAAGTGGCTCTGATTTAGGAAAAAACGATCTTCCTAAAAATAAACATGGCAGAGCAGGGGTGAGTTTATTTCTTTAAATTATACCCTTTCTTGGCCACCTGACATGTTCAAACTCGGTACATTGATCCAAGACATATCCACCTCTCTATATATAATATTGTAACGATTAATACTAAGAAACGAAATGAATACGAATTGAAATAATATATTTTTGTAAATAACCGCAATATATTTTTTTGATTATTTTCGAAAAAATGGTAGATACTTTGTTTCAAATGCATTGATATTTGGCGATATGATAGTTTATGAACCAGGGAATGTCATATCACCATTATTTTTCTAATACAAGAAGTAATTTACGTCCCTGAGACGAGATTAGATTTATTTTCTGGAAAAAACGCGGCTCTGATTCCCACAGAATATATGGAAAATACGTGGAATGGATGTCTAATTAATCACTTGTTTACTTTCAGGTGTGTAGGCTTCCAATGCTACCATTGTGACGGGAAAACAAAACAATTTAATGCAATAATACAACACTTGATTTTAAAACATCCTGAAAATGAAATGAAAATCAGAAAAATTATTAATGTGAATGGAACGATTAAATTGATAACAAAAAATTTCTCAGATGTGATTCCCAGTGAGATCGAAGCCAGTGGCAAAAAATAGTGATTCAGGATCAGGACTCCATGACAATATCAATAGCCCAGTACTTGGACAGTGATGTTCCCCATGTATCTAAATGCTCAAAATTAGATATTGACAGTAACAATGAAATGAAATGTCGTACAACAATGGATAATAACATTGAAAAAGAAAATGAAATTGAAAATAAAATTGAAAATGAAACCACCAATGAAATCACCAATGAAATGAATGATATAATAAATTTGAAATCTTGTCACAGCAATGAAGCACACAGTTCCACAGATGGCAATGCAATGATACAGATGCTAGATGAAAATATTGAAGATCTAATAAATGAGTTCACCAGTGTGTTACCTGATGTCATTCAACGACTTGCCGACGATGGATCTATACGCACAATACTTAATTTTTTCAATCTGGTTAAGAATAACTCATTTCCATTGCACAACATTGCATATAGGTGTTTTCTTGACGTCGTGGACTGGATGGGATGCGATATGAATACCCAATTCCGATACAAGGACCCTACCACTGTACGATTCTGGCGAATTGGGTATCGCTTATTCAAAGGAAAATTTCTATATTATGTTTGTTTGGGGCACTGTATATGAAATATATACTAGATAGCTCTACATGTTTGACATGTCATAGATAGCAAATTATTTTGTTACATCTGTTTTTATTAATTTATACTAGGATGAAGAAAATCTAGATTTATACAAGTGATGATTGATGAAGTGAAATATATTTTTGATAATTCATAAATTGCAATTTAAGAAAAGGGTATTCTTATATATATACTTTGTCATGATTCTGGTCATACAATTTTGTAATGCATACCTAATGCATACCTGACCTTATTTTTATAATAACTGTTAGTCATAACTATTTGAGTAACAATTTTAATCATATTTTGGAATAATTATTATAGGTAATTATATGATTATTAAAGGTAATTACATTAATATTATAGGTAATTATCAACACAAAAGTGCAAATATCAACACTGTACTGTAGTTATTTGTTTTCTTAATTGTATAGTTCTTTACACAGATATAGATGATAGAATAAAGTTTATTTTTGAAAACTTTATTAATACTATTGTTATTTTTTAAAAAAGTGGAACTTTAACAAATACATTATATTATTCCTTTGCATTCATTAGACTAAACTGCTTAAAAGAGGGCTTCATCAAAATTAATGAGATTGAATCAAAAATCTAAACAATCACTGTGACTGCTTCTCAGACTAAACAAAAGATACAGTAAGGCAAATGATTTGTTCTATAGTAAATGTCCAAGACGATTTACTAAAATAGTGGACATAAACATAATTCCCATTCATGTGCAATGGCAGTGTAAATAAAGGGGTTGTTTTGACATCCAGATCTTTGGACTTTGCGTTGACAACGGGCATCGTACGTCTAACAAGCTGCATGTATCTTAGACTCTTATTTCATCCAAAGGCCACTTCCACATGACTTGATGTAATATAAAGAGATTTTCGACGCTTCATAACGGCGATTGTCATAGGACATGACTGGAAAACGTTAAATTAATGAAACTAAATCAGGTATAGAAAGCCGCGTTTTATCACAAATCACCATCGCAAATCAATAACCGTTTATTTTCCTCAAATGTTCATCGTCGGGAGTAAAACAATAGGCATCACATCAAATTGAAATAACTGTCGATGCTGTAAATGCACATATGAAAAGAAACATACAATCTTGGTGTGCATGAACGTTTATATGCATCATTGATCATCAATGAAAGATATTTTGACAATATAAAATCGTAATTTTTAGCGGGAGATATAATTCTCAACTTTAATTTACACTCCAGCCACTAATGCGCGTTCCATTCAATTTAAAACACACGAACTGAGTAGTTTAAGATGTACCACTTGAACATAATACAAAATTGTATATGATTCTCCTCTTTGTCCACAAGAATTTAACCTTGCAAAAATTGGGGTACAAAAATTATTAATTTTTAGGAAGATCGTTTTTTCCTAAATCAGAGCCACTTGTTTTGACCTTATCACTTCGTCCAGGGTGTATATATTTAAGTATGGTGGTAAAGACTTACATTCTCTTGGAAGATGACAGTGGTTTCTAGCCCTGGCATAATGTCAAATAAAAGCCTACATGCAGCTATATGTAGGGCTTCCTTGTCTCTAGGACTGGAAACCAGGTAATCACTCACCAACTAAATGGAATCAAAAAATACAGTGATAACAATGTTTAAAAAGACTATTAAATATATTGGAGTGTTATTTCCCTTACAAGCAAGTAAATGTATCTGAAGATTTTATGCTTTGCATATGGATTGTAAAATACTTAAAAAAAATAATATTAACATCTCTTGTTAAATTTCCCGATAAATAAAATATTAGTGAACCATTCTAACCTTATTCATAAAGTTGTCATTTTTGAATAAAGATTTCAGGAGATGTCCAAGTCTGCATGACGGGTCTGCCCTTCCTTAAAATCAAAATAATTATTAACATACCTGTTTACATTACAAATTCATATTATGTACAAATTACATTATATTAATGTTTATTAAAGCTCACAATAGAGCTCAATGGATAGAAGGGATACTATTAGTATATATAGTCATCCTGTTTTAGTGACCATGTGGAATGGAAATTATCCAGAGTGTATTGATGTTTGATTGATTGAGGGCAGATTGTCAGGCACTGAAAAATGCTTGTGTACCATTCTGTTGCACCTGTAACTCAACTGTAGTCGTAGTATTACTGTAGTACTGTACCTGCACCTGTCGTATTTTTTTCATCCTGATAACTGATATAATTACATTGCATTATCAGCATTTTCTTAGAGTGGGAAATTAAAGATAAAAAATGAAGATGAAAAAAGCTATAACTCTCACCTGGGTGCCGGTCATCAAATGGATCAGGGTCCATCTTGTAGTACTCCTCGGTTTCATGTTCTATCAAGTCAGCAAGTCTAAAACAGAGGTAACCAATCATGTTGGAAAATAGCATCTGCACTTATCTTCTTTATAATATACTATAACCGACTTTAAATGAATATTATCTAGCTTTAATTATGATGATTATTATTGGCCATATTTTTGCCAACACAATGTATTTCATGTAAAATATAGAATTATTCTGGAGGACTTGTGGTTTAGCTAACAAATCTGCGTCTTCTTCTTCAAAGCACCTAGTACAGATGGATATAAACAAACAAACATTCTTTGATACTTCTCCAACATGCTATTTTCTAAAGAAATGTATCATGGGTAAAGGCCACATGTTCACTCAACATGAAAATAAATAACAAAAGTTTTGTTTCTGAAATGTGAATGTATAATATTGCAATTTGTTACTTTGATTACTTATTTTTAGATTTGACTGACTCACAAAAAAGTAATTCAGCCAAGAGTAAAGAAAGTTGACAGATTAGCTTACTTGTTCAACACTGGTAATGGATCCGCTGCACTACCATCGTCTCTTTCCCATTGTTCTAAAGTTGAAGCCAATTCGGCAGCAGAGTCGATCGCCGCCATTTGATGTTTTCTTAGTGGAATTGTTTTTATTTCGAAATTTTAAATTTTTGCTATGATGAAATTTTGACACTGTGGTCGATTTCACGCAGCTCTTGCTACAATCAAGTAAAACTATGGTTTTCAAATATCTATATATTAACTAAAAACACACTGCCCTCATTGTAACTACGATGAAAGCCAATTGACTGAAATATTTAGATAAATGTGCACTATTTATGAAAAAACGTGAATGATGGCCACCATCTTGGAAATTGTGTAAGAAAGCATGATTTTGATTGGCTAATTTCCTTTAGCTTAATTGAATAAAACCAATCATAGTAGAGCTTACAAAATAGGATGTTTGTTTATGTAGTTCAGTGTACTTGTAAGACCGGGGATGGAAGAAGGGGATTGTAAAACATGACATTCTTGCATTCTTTTTTGAAATCATGTGACTGTCTGCACTTCACAGTTCAAAATCAACTTCTTTTCACGAAAAATAACAAGTGACAACTAACACTTCCTCCAAGAAGGGGGAGGGTGATTTTGGAAAAAACATTGGGCCCCTTAATTCCAAAATTTGGAATTTTGAAAATTTAAGGCCCATTTTTGGGTAATTTGGCCTAAAACGGCCCAAAAACGACAAGTAATGCCCAAAAAGGCCCATTTATTTAGGCCTCACAACATTCTTTGGCCAAATTTGTTTTTCTAGGCCCTGCAGTACTAATACATTTCTTATGATCTAAAATATAATATCTCCCAAAGGCCATACCCGCATTATGTTAATTGATAAATGGAGAAAATGTTCAATTCTCACAAAAATAAATGTGGTGACCAAAATATGATGAAGAAAAATGAAGACATTATTGTAAACATTTTAAAGACCCCATGCAAAGTTTAAAAAGATGTTTTTTATCATTCATTGACTATTTTAAACTACTTAAGTTACTTTAAAGTTATTTTAGATTTTTCAAAATAAAAAAGAAATATATTGAAAAAAAAGTTATTAGCCTTCTATTTCTCAAATATTCAAATTTCCCGCCACTTTTAAAATAAAAGTTGAAATGTTAAATCATAAAAATTCCACTATTCATTGCAAAACATATTATATTTTTAACACGAAGATTGGACAGAGGACTATTCAGTACAGTAATCTAAACTTTCAAAATAAACCAATCTTGATTGCCCCACTAGGTTGAAAAGAAAAAACTATGTTTTTAATATTACTGTACCATTGATTTCTATGAAAATTAAAATTTTCTTAATTTTTTCGATAAAAACGTGAGGATGAATGCTAATCCATTGGTTTGAATTATCGCTTATTAATAGATACGAATGACCTCTAAGTTTGAATAAATTCATGATTTAGCGAACAAAAAACGTCAAAAATGCATTTATCTGAACGATTTCAAATTCTTAGATATTGTTTTTCTTCTCTTTAGTTATATTTCAGCTAAATTTTGAAATATCCTGCAAGCATCTTTTACCATGCATGACACTTTGAACTTTAAATTAGCAGATTAGGGGACATATCAGTAATACTAAAGTTTAGGCTATATACTTTATCTGATGTTTTTAGACAATTTTCAAGTAGTAGTAGTAAGTCCCTAATTTTCGGTATATTCTTCAATTTTAGCTTTAATATCTGAAATCTCGCTAATTTTAATAAATCGTCGACCGGGTGTTTATTTTCAAAACGGCTCTATCGTCAGTTAGGTTAACATCTTAATTTTCCTAATATAAGGATAACCTCTTTTCAAAAATTAACAAAAACATAACTTCCGAAATGTTTTATTCTTGTGTGTGATAGACAACAAGATTACATATCACATTCAAGATTACATCCATCCTTTTTGATTTTAGACGAAACTGATTAACTTTTTATATATAGCCTATTATTAAGTTGATGCTCAAGATACGAGAATTTATCACAAGACACGGACGTATCCAAAGTTGTTCAACATTATGGAAGTTAAGATAAGCTTACACGTTTTGAAACGTGTACGTGAACGTGATGGTCCTCTGTGGATTTGCCTTCTTATTTGTACTGTTTACTTGGCCGATTGTATACGATATACGGAAAATAATAGACTCGATGCGAGTAGAAATAATCTTGATTTACGTCATTAAATATTCAAAATTCGGTCAAAGTGATGTCATATTTGAAATTCATACTTTAACAACTTTCTAGTCTATACCCGCCATCATTCTGATACTCGAAGCATCTCTCTCTGTTGCATCACATCCAGAAGGATAGAGATGGAGAGGGCGTGGCTTACCACGATGACCCGCCATGCTATCTGACCCGAATGAGCCACATGGAAGATCTCTGGAACAGTGAATTGAGTGCGGGACAGAATCTCAGGTTCTCTTAAAACGTGTAACTTAAAGAGAGAATCAGATATAGCGAGTAGGCTAAACAAAAAATTGTTTCAATTTCAGAATATTTTTGGTTCATGTCATTCCTTGTCAAGTCTATTTTCAAAAAATCATAAAAAGTGCATACTTTATTACAGGAAAACTAAAGATCTTTACAATAATGTATTATTTTTCTATAAGAATGGCTTATTATTTGGGAGAATTTAAACATTTTCACTCATTTTTGCACTTTGAATCATTAATAACTTCACCAATTTATAACATATTGTGAATCTTTTGGGAGATATTGTATTTGGAATTGTAAGGAATAGATTGGTAGGTCATATATACACGTTGCTTGTAATTTTGTCACCCCCTATAGATCAGATTCTGCCTTTAACCTCCCTATTATAAGATGTAAACTGTAAGAGTCAAAACATGCAAAACGGAAGCCTTATCAATGAATAGGTATAATTAATCATTGATACAGCCAAATACTATTGCAGTAATACATGCAGTTGAGTGTTTATTAATATATCGTTGCTATTTTATTACATTGATTACAAATCAAAGTTCAAGAAACTAAACCAGACACACTAATGATTAAATATAAGCACACCCGGTGATCGTGAATATGGGACGGAGGGGGGGAGCAGGCAATTTCTGCTAGGAAATTCAACAAATCTGGAAGATTTATTTTTTCAAGAAAAAGTTTACTATTGAATTGCTAAATGGATAAGCGCACGGTATGGTAGAATATGTTAGGTTTTCTGGGATTTTTTCTGAAACGATACGCATCTAAGGTATGAGATCTATTAAAAAAGGCGCAAGGCCATCAACAGGCACAAATCAACGTTTTTGCTATAAATCAAGCAACAATGGTCTGGACGACCTGTATTAAACACTTGTAAGTGATGTTATCATAACTAAATTAATGTCATTGCTGAATTTATAAAATAAGTTTCCATATGCGAAATAAAAAATAATCGAAAATAATGAATTTGGGACGGAGGGGGGGAGGGGACGGAGGGGGGGAGCAATATGTATATAAGACATGATTAGAGATGTTTCGCGACTTTAAGTCCTTTTACTCCAAATGTCCCCATTTTTCAGTCTCCAGGGGTATATCATCCAGTTTCTTACTAAGTTAATGAGTTCATTTTTCAAATACAAGAATTCGTGTGAAGTTGTTTCACTTTATAGAATTATTGCTCCCCCCCTCCGTCCCCTCCCCCCCTCCGTCCCATTTTAATTATTTTCGATTATTTTTTATTTTACGTATGGAAACTTATTTTATAAATTCAGCAATGACATTAATTTAGTTATGATAACATCACTTACAAGTATTTATTACAGGTCGTGTAGTCCATTGTTGCTTGATTTATAGCAAAAACGTTGACTTTTGCACGTTGGTTGCGTTGCGCCTTTTTTAATAGATCTTATATCTTAAAAGAGTATCGGTTGAAAAATAATCCTAGAATACCTAACATATTTTATCATACCGTGCGCTTATTCAATTTGCAATTCAATCGTAAACTCTGTCTTAAAAAAATAATTTTACCAGATTTGTTGAATTTTCTAGCGGAAATTGCCTGCTCCCCCCCTCCGTCCCATTTTCACGATCACCGGGCGTGTAAGTTACAATATTATATTGCGTTAATGGGTTATGGTTGTGCCATAATTTGAGTGAATGAAAATGCAATGAAAAACCATCCTGAATTTACCAATTTTAAGATGAAGATAGAGCACATGGAATCCTTCGAATCGAGATGAAAACATTTTGCAGAAAAATATTGTTTTATATTAGGGAGGGGCGCTTAATAGGCCTTTTTGTTATTGCTTGAAGTAAAGTATAGTGATTACGAGGTGCCTGATTACCAATCAAATACAGCATTTGACTTTATTTCTTTTGATGAGAAATATTCTTATCACCCAATATTATTGATAGACAAAATTAATGATAAAACTTGATCAACTACTTAAAATAGCAATTGAGATAAAGATATATTTTGTTTAAACAAATGTTTTAACATATATACTTCATTTATAAAAGCTGGGGCGACTTAAATCATCATGTCTGATGTGGTTATAGAGCAGCCTGGACTACAGGGCTCTCCCGTAGGATGGATAGAACAATTTGCAGATCTCGAGAAAGTCAATGTTATACAAGAATATGACACAGGTAACAAACAATACTATCAATTTTTCAATTAAATGATTTCTTGTTTTTGTCTTCAGTACACAATCTGACACAATGTAACCAGCTTATATTCGCGAATGCAACTAACGGCTGTCGGCTACCGGATTAACCTACTATTTCATGACAAATTAAATTCATTTAAATATGAATGGAATAGTGGCAGGTACTATTCATATTTAAATGAGTTCTCCATAAAATAGCAGCTTAATCCGATAGCCGACAGACGTTAGTTGCATTTGCGAATACAAGCCAAGTATAACTAAATTTTTCCTTTTAACATTTTCACATTTCATTATAGATTTATTTCAAAAAGAGGTAAGATACAAGGGAAAGCCTGGAACAAATTCTAGTGTTATGTTAGAGCCAGAGTTGGGGTTTAACATGTTCGTATCTCTTGTAGAGATTGGCCCAAGAGTCAGTATTTGCATAAGAGTCTACATATATGTTCAATTCTCACGTAGGAGTTTTAACATGTTATTTCTCTTGCAGGTGGTAAGGAAAAGCCTTTAACATGTTCTATTCTCTTCCAGGAATCGAGGAGGAGCCTTTAACATGTTCTATTCTCTTGCAGGTGTCAAGGAAAAGCCTTTAACATGTTCTATTCTCTTTCAGGTGTCAAAGAAGAGCCTTTAACATGATCTATTCTCTTGTGGGTGTCAAGGAAAAGCCTTTAACATGTTCTATTCTCTTTCAGGTGTCAAAGAAGAGCCTTTAACATGTTCTATTCTCTTGCAGGTGTCAAGGAAAAGCCTTTAACATGATCTATTCTCTTCCAGATGTCAAGGAAGAGCCTTTTACATGTTCTATTCTCTTTCAGGTGTCAAAGAAGAGCCTTTAACATGATCTATTCTCTTGCAGGTGGTAAGATAGAGCCTTTAACATGTTCTATTCTCTTGCAGGCGTCAAGGAAAAGCCTTTAACATGATCTATTCTCTTCCAGGTGTCAAGGAAGAGCCTTTTACATGTTCTATTCTCTTGCAGGCGTCAAGGAAAAGCCTTTAGTATGATTTATTCTCTTGCAGGTGGTAAGGTAGAGCCTTTAACATGTTCTATTCTCTTGCAGGCGTCAAGGAAAACCCTTTAACATGATCTATTCTCTTGCAGGTGTTAGGGAAGAGCCTTTAACATGTTCTATTCTCTTCCAGGTGTCAAGGAAGAGCCTTTAACATGTTCTATTCTCTTGCAGGCGTCAAGGAAAAGCCTTTAACATGTTCTATTCTCTTCCAGATGTCAAGGAAAAGCCTTTGATCTATTCTCTTGCAGGTGGTAAGGTAGAGCCTTTAACATGTTCTGTTTTCTTCAAGGAGCTAAATGATTTCAGGGCTGTGTTCAGAAATAGACGTTAACATGTTGTATTCTCTTACAGGGGCTAACTGCTTCCAAAGCTGCCAGTGTTGTGTACCAAGCTGGAGACACAAGACTTTCAAAATCACAGATGAGAATGAACAAGAAATACTCAAAGGAGAGGATGGTATGTATTTTATGTTCAGTCCCCTCAAAGAGTTTGGCAACATTTGGTCTACTATTGAGATATTTCTGAAAGCCTATTTTTGTTAGCTGATTAAAAGAAAACATCAAAGACATAAACATCTTAATAAAAGTGAGGTAAAATGAAGTTTTGAAAAGTCACATGAATACCAAAAAATGCATACAACTCTTGTAAGTAATTAGAGCAAGCCACACCTGAATTATTCAAGTAAACCCTTAGAATCGTTAATAGGGTATTTCTTAATCAACTAATTTCACTTCATTAATTTGTTTTTTTTAGTGGAGAATGACTTTTTTGGAGACTCCATGAAGTCTTTTAACACATTCTTATTCTGTTTTGTGTTCTACTTGTAGAGACAGAAGGAATATTCTGCTGCTGTTCTAGTGTCATCCTTGGATGTTTTGGTTGTGGTCCATCATTAACTTATGAATTCAAAGATCAACTTGAACAAAGGGTAGTACAATGGATTGTGTAGCATCCTCACAATAAAATTGAATTATATCAGTAACTTTAAGATTCACTCGACAGTGTTTTGTCACAATAATAAACACTCAATTTTGACAGTTTTTATAAACCAAAAATTATTGTCTTTAATCCAGAACTTGGTTGTAGGTTTTGAAGCTGACCCATCCAATCCGGTGTTGTGGCAGAACAATTGAGATGTCAGGTCCAGATGGCAATGTTTTGGCAGCTGTTAATAAAACGTAATTCATGTAGGGTAGACCTCCAATCATAATACCAAAGTGGGTTATATGGAGAGGCATTATCAGGGATCCAGGTTATATGAGAGTATAATGCCTAAAATTTATAACTTTTTTCAATTCAATTTCAAACCAATTTCATTACATAAATTATACTGTACACATACATATGATGTTTGTACTTTGGTATCTTGATGTGACCCTTAATTGCAAGTTATTTAATAATGCAAGGTGAATATGTATGTCTATCAGAATTTATGGAAATAACTAAAACCATTGTATGTATTGTATATTGTGATTGTATGAAATAAATTATTAGTATTTAATTAAAACATATTTTAAATCTTCCAGTTTTTCCATATGCAGTGCATTGGACTTTGACATAGTAGACAATGATGGTGAAACAGTGTTCAATGTTAGTGGCCCATCCTGCCTGTCCTGTGAGTGTGGAGGAATCACATACAATGTAACTACAGGGTGAAAGAATTTCCCAAACCTCTAATTTTGGAGTTTTCTCAATTGGGATGAAAAAACATTTTTTAAAAAGAATCTCAGTCATTGATGTTATCTTAATAACAACTATTTTAAATTATTTAACACACTAGCTGCTCAAGAATATACATGAAGATTCCATCATAATTGATAAAAAAAAATCCATAATTAGAGGTTTCCAATTTTTGTGTTGGGCTTTGTGAATGGAATATCATGCTACATAATGACATTTAAAAATGAAAGAAACCGTGATAATGAAATTACTAACACTGAGGACTATTTTTAGGTGAGGAAGGATGACAATGATGTTGGTGAGATCCTAGTGAGCTGGGATGGACCATGTGGGTGTTGTTGTTGCGGATGCTGTGACTGCGCCATGTGGAAGTTTGAAATCAAATGTAAGTAAAAATATAGAAATTAAGTGTTTAACTAACTCTGTTATTGAACACTTTGGGAAAGATGGCTTTATGCTATAGCATAGGAGCAATGATTTGATGAGTGTTCAGCTTTAAAGGACATATAGTAACTTGATGACACACTTTTGAAAAAATTAATTTATAACCTCCTGCAGAAACATATATTGGATGGATTTAATAGATTATACCAAGCCAAGACATTTTTACTGTATTTTTGTTTATCATATTCAGGTCTGTAAATATTCTTTCAGGTTTTAAAATTAGGGAAAGAAATTGGAATGATTACAGATTTCTACATGTAGCATCCATGGAATCATCCAGTAAAATTTGATCCCAATTTTCAAATTTTGCAAATTTTCACCAAATATTGCAGAAATCATGTGACAAACAGTAATTTCAACAACTAATTTATGTTTCAGTTCAACGAGACATGGATGTCTACCAAAAGTTGATGATGGTTGGAAGTGTCTTCCTGATAGAAGTGATGGCGGAGAGAATGAGGGAGGGAATTTAAATAATGGAATGGCGGACAGAGAGGATGTGTAAAACAATAGAATAAAGAGTGCAAGAGAAAGAATGTAAAGATTGGACATATCGTATATTGGTTATATACAGGGTGTCCAAAAAAAAACAGGACCGTAAGAAAGTTGAATAACTCGGTCAATTTTGCATATTTCGCCTTGAAATTTCAGAATTATTTTGTTCATTCAATGTGAATTTTGTTGTGAAAGTTTGATAATAATCTACCAATTGAGTCAAAAACTACAGCTCCTTACAAAACATGCCCCAAATGTGCAAATCTCATCTTTATGCACAATTCAATCCGGCGAACAAACCTGTTGATGATCCTCCTACACACATGTCTTTCTGAATGGACAAGTTTGTTCCAAGAACAATTGCTATTGGGGCTTACATCCTACTGATGAAGTGTTACAGCATCCATTGCATTCTGAACAATGCTCTCCCTGGGTGGCAATGAGGAAACATGGAATCAGCAGTCCCTTTTGGTTCGAAGGTGACTGGGGACTTGCTATCACCATGAACAAGGACCAGTAAGTTCTCACCAAGTTTTGGGGGTCACTAAGCACCAGAAGGGACATCTAAGGAGATAATTAAGCAGTGGTTTCAACAACCCAATACCATCCCAACACTGCAAATGATATGCTGAAATGGTTTAGGCAATGCTTTGGTGGTCAGCTCATCAGTTGCAGAATGCAAACCATATATGGGCAGCTCATTCGCCTGATCTAAATCCCCCAAATTTTTGTCTTTGAGGATTTCTCAAAGCCAATGTGTATACTGACAGGACCTTAACAATCTTAAGAGAGCAATAACTACCCCAATATTTACCATCCATATTAATATGTATAGGTAAGGGTCATTAACAACTTTGTTCGCAGGAACTCGTTTGTGCATAGAGAGAAGTGCCCACTTTGAGCATGTTTTGTAAAGGACTGTAGTTTTTGACACAATAAACAGATTATCATCAAACTTCTAGAACAAAAATCACATTGAATGAACTAATTAATTCTTAAATTTCAAGGCAAAATATGCAAAATTGACCGAGTTATTCAACTTTCTTACGGTCCTGTTTTTTTGGACACCCTGTATAACTGAAATTGAGAATATACATTGAGAGATATTGCATAAGATAAAAGTGAAGAATGTATTTACATAATATACATAAAATACATGCACATATTATCAAGTACATGTATTTCTTAATCCAAAATTCATGAAACATGTTTTCACAAAATAAACAGTCAATTGAAAACTATACCCTTTGCATTTGTTTGAATTGGCTTCTTAAAAGACAACTTCATCTGTGTTAGTTAAGAAATAAACTCTGCACTCTAAAATCCAAAAAAGGAATTCACCAGCACCCTAAAAACAACTACATGTACATTCAACATTAGTAAACTTCAAAATTGCTTAAGCGTTAAACAATATATTTGCTTCAAATAAGCTTATTAGCCTTTTCAGAATATCAACATCATAGACATAAAGACATTACATATTCAAAGAGGTTAATTTTTGCTGTTGCTGATGTTTTGCAACTTGGATATATAATTACATTTTCTTTTTCAAGACCTCCAACTCCACAAGGCACCAAAATGTTTAACTAACTATGAACCATTCTGCCATTTGGATATGTTACATAACTTATATAAATATTTTGTTATCATGTCGATTTTAGATAATTTCATTAGGTATTGTGTGCAATGTCTGACTTCTATTACTGCGTATTGTCAACTCATTCCAAATAATCAATATGGAGCAATATCAATGATCAACACATCAATTAGAGAACAACTAATATATTAATCATTCTTTGCTTTCCTTTCTGATAGACATTGATCTCCGTAGATTATGTTATAATTGTCAAAGATCTGAATTGTTTATAAATTATAATACAGTACATTATATTCCTATTAGTACGTAATAAATGATAGCTTTGGCACGACTTTAATGTCTAATGTTTTGCTATTTAAGATTACTCTCTAGCAACAATGAAAATATTCGTCAGAGAAGAAAATCTACGAATCATTATAAAATAATTTGGTGCATTTGTATTGCAGTATAGATAAGGTACATTCACAGTTATCCTGAGCGCAGAATGTAGCTAAAAGTGAAGATGATACTCTATTTTATGAAGCGAAGTCGAACAAATGGAAAGAATTGAAAATGTTAATGTGCAATAGAAAAACAAGGATGGACTATTTGTTCACTCAATAATTTTGATTTACCTTAACTATGTTCTGTTTACCAGTAAATGGATTAATTTCACTAATATATATTCTTGAAACTACTCAGACAGCAATGAAAAATTGCTCATTAAAATCTGAAATACAATAGTAACTATAAGATTATCACAGAAGGTTTAAAAGCTCCTAAACAACAAACACAAATATCTTGAGGCTTATAAAAGAATGGATCTGCCTAATGTTGATATTAAGGATGAAATTTTGAATGGATTTCAGTAATGTATTAGTGGCTTTAGATAATCCATTTTATGGCAATGGGGGAAGAATTAACATTAAATACTCCACTTTTTGTTACCTGTAGTTTTAACATTACATTTACAACTAAACTAGGTAAGTTAATAATAGATAATTAATAATTTAGTTAAAGGTATATTTATTTTGAAATTTATGGACAAAAATGCAACATTTACATTTAAAAATAAAGTAAAATAATTGAAGTGAAAGTGACATTTATTCATTGATATTTATTGCTCAAATTTTAAAACCAAACATGTTTCTAACTAGATGGTATAACTGACTCAGAGGTGAAATTGGGTGATGTAGCAGTTGTCATAGTAACTGGAAATAGTTCTTTGGAGATAATTACAATGCCAGAAAATTCAAATGTATCATCAAACAAAGAATGATCATCAATTATAACTCAATAGTTTTACCTCTTAGAATTAAAACTCAATTTTGCATAATTGATGATAACTTAGCTATGTTCTGTTTATAATTTGACAAGATTCAATAAATTGTGGTTTATTGTTAATATTTTTAATTCCTTTCAGGTCCACTTCCTTGCTTCAGGAAGAATAAAATATAGGATTTCAAAAGAGAGGAACCTGAAAAAGGAAATAGTCTATTAAATTCAGAGTAACTCTACAATCACATCCTTTAAGCCCATGAGGAAAATCTATAACCACTTAGGAGACAGTTATATTCAATTATCTCAGAAGTTTTTAATCAAAAAAAAGTTCATAAGTCAGTTGACATAATTGATCCATTTACTTTGCACAGCCTCCAGTAAATGTCATGTCAATATTAGAAATTATGGTTTTCTTGTACGCTGAATTTTATGTGATGTTACCACGGAGATGATTAAGGGCGTCAACATTACTGAAGGAGGTAACAGTTGGAGGCAGTTCTTTAAAATACAATGGTTGCTCTTATCTACTAATTCAAAAATAATAGAAGCTAAAGAACGATTCTAATGTCAGTTTGAACTGGAATGTTCATAAAGGATGTAACAACCGACACATGATCAAAAAGAGGCATACTAAATCGCTATGAAAGGATACAAACAAAAAGAGGATAATCAGAATTTCACATCTGAATTTTCATTAAAGACAACTTAAAAACAATCAGAGAAAAAAAACTTAAAGAAAAAAGTCCATCGTCAAAATTCAGATGTCAGGAGCACACAATGAGGCTAAACCTGCAGTGTGTAAAGCAGTTGACTTTTCAACAGAACTCCGTACATATAGCAAAGATGTACTTCCTTTCTCAAAAAGATTTGAAATTGAAAATTGGTGTGATGATTCAAGAAAAATCCCCAAAGAACGCTACTTTTTACCATATATTGACAAAAATGCACAAAATAAAAAAACAGTTAGAAACCCAAAACGTAGCCGTAGAGTACAACCAAGACCATCTATTGATTCCTCATATGCTATGTCAACAGTAACCTCCGGAACATACAGCACGATAAGTGAAACTGAAACTGAAATCACATCACATGAAGATGGACTTCAACATATCAAATACCCAAAGAAGTCACGACTGAAGAAAAAATCCCGGGTACCAGAGTTGTCATTGATTTTGGAACAGGTTGAAGATAAAGGAGTCAGTGACACACGCAGAGTTATGACACGCCATTGGTGCAATACTCACTCACTTAAACATGTAAGTGATTGAGGGAAAAATGTGTTATTTTTCATTTAGATATGGATGATCGCAACACTCGGAATAACCCACAACAGTTTTAACTAGGAAATGATGGAAATATCAAATACTCCTGAATATCGAACATACCACCCTCCATTTGCAGAGCTCCAAAATCTAGAATATCTTTTTTCTCTTTTGATGGGAAGGAGGCTCGGATTCTGGGCACCTGTTGAGGAGGATGCTAAAATACCAAAGACAACCAATAAGACACTTTTATTGGAAATGACCTTGGGTTATTAATCTAAACCATAATTATCTAGAAATACCCTCAAGATAAAGATGAGTTCAATGTAACTTTCAAATTAAAGGAGAAATGCATGTTGTCGATATGATAACTTATATTGTACTCATGCAAAAATACTTATTTATGTCATGGGCTTTCAACTAGAAAGCCCGAGTTTATGTACATGTGTACCTATGAGAATAAATAATAATTTTGACATTGCACATGTTGTGTATCTCATGTAACCCAACACTAGGCATTTGAACCCACTATTAATGAGTCGGATCATGCATTAGTTGTATTGTATACAGTAAGAGGGAGGTCAATGGATGACTTTTTTTATATAGTTACACAATTAAATTGAAATGGACATGAGCATTACTTCAGTCAATTGTAAGTTTCTATTTGTCCCAAAATTATTGCGATGGAAGGACAGACGTGGGCAAAATTCAAAGAAACTGACTTGGGTTCTACAGTAGAACCATCTCCTCAAAAAGTTTTGATTTGGTCAATTGATTAGTGTCTCAGGAACATTTCAGTAAATAGTTTCATGATCAAAGAATGCGCATCAATAGTGTCAGATTCAGTCATTAATTATACATGAATAAAACATCTTGTGTTTGAACAGATGCATGCCTAGCTATGTGTGAAACTTCATCAAAATTACAGTACATTAAGAAGTGTATAAATTAAAAATAACACGTAGTTCCATTTTTATTCAACATTTTTTGCAAAACTTTTAACACAAAATGTAATATGGTTTACATAAGATGCGCTACTAAACAACACCAAAATATGTTTCCTGAATATGCAACATCAACAGGTCTTTTTCCATTTTCCAATGACTACTATTTTCTGGTCATCTTACAAAAGGTACTCGATCACTGAGTTGTTAAGATTTGTTTGGGTTACCTTTTCTGGCTCACCCTGAAGTTCAAGCATATTCACGATATAAAGTATAAAACAAATTTCTAATCTGACATGCACTATTATCTAGACATCCTGGTTTCACGATTTCTGCATACTTAAAACTCAGCTATAGATATGAAACATAGCACTGGATACATGCTTTCAGAAAACGTGTGTTGAACGAGACTTATCGAAAGATAGACAGATAACAGATTTTGTTTTTGTCTGTATTTTAGAAATGAACTCGTGAAGAGATTTCTCATACACTAAGAAAATATATTCCTTCATCTTCATCTTGAAGAATGCATATCTTGAAGAGTATATTAGAAGGATAAATATACAATCTATTATTGCATCATTTGATATTACACGCTTTATATCAATTTGGATTTCTGATAAAATAAAACACAATGCAGTATTTCAATACATTGCATCATATCAGTCACATAATAAGTGTCAATGTATAAAAATCTAGTGTATAAATAGAAAAATAAATTGTACATCATTGCAAAAATTACAAAAAATGTTCATCAGTCAATCATCCTTTAATATTTTGAGAGTTTTACAATGGCCCCTGTATACATTGTATAGTATATATTTACATGGGGCCTTTAACAGATTTTATTGCCATCTATTCATCTATGAATAAGTACTGATCGTTTAGCCCTGATTTAAATGTGTTTATCTAAACATACAACATTTAACACCCCCTAGTACAATCATAGCAACAAACATACATTTTTTCTACAAAGCATTTTAAAACTACACTATCACTAAAATGTGTAGATGTGAGGTCAAAGTTCATCTTTTGTGTCTTCAGAATATTTATGATTCCTAGCCTCAATAAATGACGGATGGTTTCTCACATGATCTGCTGCATTGTGTACCATTCGCATAAATTCACGAACGTCAAAAGCATAGTTTGTAAATTTTTTATGAGCTCCTAGTTGCGGATGATGTCCCTGAAAAAATGAAAAAAGAAATGTTTTATACAATATGAGGAGAATAATCACAATATAAATTATATATTATCCCAAATATATCAGATTTTACTTAAAAGGCTGCCATTAGTTTGTCCCTGTTTTCCAGATTCATTAAGAAGCAGATTACACACAAGAACATATACACTGAAGTAAGAATTCAATCTCAGTTGTCCACATGATCCAACGGCTAGCATAGATAGCACAATAAAAGTTTGCATCCTTATTGATTAGTAAGATTTTACCTCATCCTCCTGGTCTAGTTTGTCTATGTTCTCCCATGTCATGTACTTCACTCCCCTCAACCTGGCCAGGTCCTTGTAGCAGTTAGCGTCATCACAATTATACCTAAAATGCAGAGGTTGTCATATATTATTCATCACATACTACTAAAAATGTTTAAAAATATGAAAATCTTCTCCCATGGAATTCAAACTTACGCTTCAAAGAGAACTCCCCAATCAGGCAGGAAGAGACCATGCGTAAGTCCTGACCCATGCATGCCTATGAATATATCACTGTTGTGGGTGGATCTCAACTGATCAGGAAATTTAAATGTTCTCCTGAAATAAATTTATAAAAAATACAAATGAATTTCTGTTCATACATGGTCTTACTAGTAGGTTGTGAGTCTATTACAGTAAATGAAGGACCAAGAAACCAAAGAAGGATCAACAAAAATTCTTGAAAAAATCTAAAAGATGGCTTGCTGACGATTAAACATGTTTTGGTATCTGATAGAATTAAAGCATTTGTAATTGTGGCTCATAAGAATGGATGTTTCAGCAAAAATTCAAAATACAAACATTCTGTCAAATAACAAACATCGTAAAACACAATAATACATGATGGGATTAAATGTTTTTGAGGATTAAAATGTTCATCGGTTGTTTAATTAGGATGTCACTCACCAGTTATAGTCTACTACATTGACTTCATATTCTCCCACACTCTTCATGGCAGACACCAGCTTAAATAAAATAAAAATTCAATTTCAATATGATAAAATTTCACACAGTCATATTTCTATAAAAATCAGCCTTACAAATACATTCTGGACATCACCTTAAGTAAATGAACTTAATAATATTCTACGCAGAAGTGGTCAAAGAAGTGGTGAAAAAATAAAGGACAAAGCCATACCTCTTCTTGATTGAGGAACTTCCTGTACTTAGTACTCCGTGACAACAATGTGATTCTAATCTTGGACTTCTGAAATATTATTACAAAATAAACCTTTATTAATATCTCTTGATTCATGACCTGAAAAGTGGAACACCTCCATAAGTGGAACACTTTTCAGGCTCCTATAACATACTGACTTACTCTTGATTCTGCAACAACTCCCAAGTGGAACACTTTTGAGAGTATCTAAAAGTGTTCCACTTACATAGTTTTTACTGCAAGTCAATGGCTTTCATAATCCTAATCACACCAAAGTGTTCAGCAAGATTTATTGTATCATTGTCATATTGTATCTGATAAAATATAAGTCACAGTCCCACCCCTATGTTATTCCACTATCTGTTTCCTTAAATATATTCTATTTCTAATTTTTTAGATTTCTATAATATTTTATAATGGCCTACCAGTGGGCCTGTCTGCTCTACATCCAGTCTGTGTAACACATGTTGTGAGAAAGCCCTAAATAAACTGGTACCATAGCAACCAGGGACCTGGCAACAACATATTTCAAATACACAATACTATTTCATACGCACATAAAAATTTGATAATTAGATTAAATCTATAAGGTTCACAAACTGAGTGAACAATTGTGAAATTGACCACTTTTTCATGAGTATATGCATCAGACTGTCTCATTATTGAAAATACATGAACTATACCGGTACTTGTTTACATTCTTTTACAACATTCAAAATTTTTATTTTACAATCCATATACAAATTAAGATATGAATGAAATAAACACTTACTAATGGCATGTTGTAGTAGAGGCCGCTCCTCATCCTGGCCAGCAGGGAAAACATGCCTGACTTGAAACAGACCTAGAATGAAAAATATGCCAGATTTGAAACAGACCTAGAATGAAAAATATGCCAGATTTGAAACAGACCTGGACATGCACAAGGCTAACTGGGCAAATTGTTTTTGTAATATATTATTAAATCAGATATTATCTTACACATGATTCCATTGTAATCAACTTTTTCTCCTCTGACAATCACTGACAATACTTTAAATATCAAACACTACAACATATGTACCTTTTTGCCATCAAAGTCTTTTAGATGAATCACTGGATAGTCAGTAAATGCCTTCCAAGTGTCAGAGAAAAAATCTCCATAACCAGTATAACTCTGAAAGTTAAAGATAGAATCATCATATATCATAGCGCAGCAATCACTGTATCTAAGCTTTCGTATGATATATGGTGACCATTTTGAATTCAGTGACTTTAAAATTTTTCTTTAAAATATCTCCTTGACTAGAGGTCTAACATCCATACAATTTAAAACAAATCTATGATCTGATATTTGAGTTATCAAAGATTATTTATTTTACAAAATCTTAAAAAAATGGAAGCTTATTTCGAAATGCCATATTGGAAACCCTTATAGAGCAATACCTGAAGTCCAATACCCATGAGGTATCAACATTTGAACTAAATCCTTCAACTGGTATTTTAGTTATCGCCTGGACAAACAAAAGGACAAATGGACAGTCAAATGAAGGGACAGCATCTATTTTCCCACCCAGACTTTGTTTAGTGGGATAGTGAGCAGAATAATATGTAAGAGTAAAGTACTCACCGTGTCCCACATGACAATGTGGATATCTGTTGAAAATGAATTGTTCATATGCTGACTAGCATAAATATTGATGAAGTCACAGAAATGATGGTACATGTTCACCCCTGGAAAACATTTAATCGATAGACAACATATACAGTATTTAGAATTTTCAACAATTATATACTGAAGTTTTTTCGATATTTATCAATGGTGAAATTTTCTGAAGAAGGAATCTCTTGTGTCTGTGATTTGCATAAGTACATTTGTATAGAAAAGTTTATTTTAGAAAAACATTTGTAATTTTTTAGGAAAATGTACCTGCATCAAGTTTGATGAATATGACAGGTTTATCATAGCTTATATCACAGTTCTTTTTCTTAGATGGATTGAAGTCTAAAGCGTCAAACTGTTCCATCTCTGCATACCTGGAAGAGTATCACAATTCACAATACCCAGACTGTTAGCTCATGCATTTTCAATTTTAAGAAAATGGCAAAACTGTGTGACCCCCATGACACTCTGACCAAACTTTTATATAATCTGACCTACATCCTGAAAATTGTAATCTAAAATGTCAATCCACTCCATGGAAATCTTTTTGAACTAGATTTTAGTTTTTCATTGACAGTTAGTTTTCGAATGGTGAAGAGGGCATGTGACATCTGACATCCTCTTAACTATTCAGGTTATGAAAAGGGTTGCCTCATTTGACAGATGGTTGAAGCTTATCTTAAAAAGAATAACAATGAGCTAAAGACTTAATTATTATGCAGGTTCACATAAGTTTATATTTACTCACCATGACTGCAAGGCACTTTTATGCATACTTTGTTCAGCTAGCTTTCTTCTGTCCATCTTACACTTTCCTCCTATTTCTCCTTTACTAAATATATTTTCTCTGAACCTGAAAACACAGAGTTGAAATTGTATCCTTGTTTATCTAAGATATCACATATGGTTGATATCAAGAGTTAAGTGGTGAAACTTATTAAATAATAGTGCGATGGAATACTTTAGCCTTTATCTTGGATATTTTCATTTATAAATGTCTTTTTGAAGTTCTTTTCTACACATTTTACTGTATTTTTCATTATACTTATATAAATTGGTGTATACCTCAAATTTATTGTGAATTTAAATAAATATCCTAGGCAAACAAAAATTATCCTTTCCCCCTAACTAACGTATTTACATTGTTTACTTGTAAATAAATATATTGATAAGTTCTCTTACTTTTCACTAAATTTTTCAGATCTGAGATTTTTAAAATCTATGTACAAATTCTTTACTTCACAGTATCTTGCATATTTTGTACACCTGAGTGAGGAGTCCCCCTGGAAAATAAAAGTGTAGAGTTAAATGTGTAGCTGGTTATAGAGGGACTGAAAATGTAAAACGTAAAGCAAGATTGTCTATAATTTACCATTGACTGCAAGCTTGAACATTCCTAATGTCAAAAATAGTAATTGAAACCCCTCATCACCTTTGACTGAGGCTGACACAGGTCCATGAGTTCAGATTTCCTTTCTGAGACATAGCCAAAGTCTCCCTGTTTCCAGAACATTGTCAGTTGGTCAGCTTTAGTCTTTGCCCTGGGAGACAAACAAAACAATTGATACGTTTAACAGGTACATAATTAATAATTAGGATTTATCACAAAAAAGCGGAATCCTATTTTTTCCCATTTTTATGAAAATATTCCTAACTTTTTGACAGGCTGCGAACATATTTTCAACAGAGTGACAAGTAAATTTCAGATTTTTATAGGCTTCAGTCCTTGCTTGATACAATGCTGGGGAGATCTATTTAAAATAGTTTTATATTAGCATCAGGACTTACCAAGCTCTGCTATCCTCTGGACAGGAAGGCATTGACATTCTATCAACTTCTCTACAATTCTTCTCATATCCCCAACATTTTTGAGTTGATGTATATTTCTGAAACAAATATCAAATAAGTGATTATTCTAAATTTTGCTTTAATTAAAATATTGAATACTCTATCTTGTCTTATAAAGGACAATACAGATACACAGTACATACAATGCAGAGTTCTCCACAAAAAACTGGTTGTAAAAAACTGGGTGCAATTTCTGAAAAAATCGGCCCTCACTACACTCATGATATCTCCAGGTGGCTGCTTACTTCAATCATTTTTCAAATCAGGAGTTGAAGTGCAGGTCCCTACTGACAAACTTGTAAAATAGCTAATGGAAAACAAAATGACCACTAAAGATTTTACAACTTGGTTCCTTTTTAATATATTTGAATTTGAAGAAAATCTGACATGCAGTTTTCCTTTAATTGCAAAGATAAGATTTGAAAGGTCCAAATCACCATAAAATCATGGGCTTTCAACTGGATCTAATTGAAAGCCCAAGATAAAATGAAGTAAAACAAAAAAATTCCTGGATGACCCAATGGACTGACGCCTAGTTATTCCCATACACTGTGTGAGGCAAAAAATGTCACCCACATACCTTATATGGACATTGATCATCTTCATTGCATAATTTCTTGAGCTGTTTGTTATTATTGAAATAATATGGAATGTGTTCCTCTGGTAGGTTGAGACCAGTCCATCTTGTTGGTTTGGATTCTGTGATTAAATATCCAAGTATAATAGTCAATTGTAGAAATATCATATTGAAGTTCACCTCATCCCATTTCATAATGCAAATATTGATGAAATGTTGAACTGGTTAATTCAGATTACACTGCAAAACAATGAAAAAAATAATATAACAAATATTCAATATTAAATATTCAATTCCGTGCTATTATCTTGTGTGTTAAGACTAGCTGACAAGAATTAATAAAATGGTTTGAAGTACAAGTGTTCAAAATAAATAGTTTGGTATTGATTATCTTACTTGTAAACACAAAATTAGTTTATCTATCATTGATTTCTAATAAATATGTTTGATATTGTTTATCAAATGATATTTAATTGCCAAGCTTAGATTCATCAGATCTTATCATAACAGTCAAGCATATACCCTTTCAAATGGTTTGGATTGAGTGCTTTACCTAATCGTACAATGTGTAGGTTCAGATACAGGGTATGTAGGATGACATCTTATAAAATGCTTTGGGCTTATAAGGGGAATAATTGATATTGTTAGTACCTCAGTTGAAATCAGTTTGATTGGTCAACGAGCGGTGAATAATTTTAACTGTACACCGCGCAATGCATTGCCGGTGAATAATATTCCCAGCATTCCACTAAAATGACGTCATTATCAGACGATAAAATGGCCGCCCCTAGCACTAGCCGTTTCAAAAATGTTGAAGATGAGGATATTATTAGTCTCTTAAAGAGTAAAGACAGTCAAAATACAAAGAAAAATCTAAAACTTTGTACAAAGCTTTTAGTGGACTTCGCCCAGGAGAGTAATTTGACTCCATTGAGTGAACTTACTGCCGTGGCAGATGTAGGTCTGGATCCAACTTCAAGTCAACTTCAAGGGTCAGAAAAATCTTTTACTGTCAAAATTATATCCCTCGACTGTAAACCTCGACCTACGGTCTCGGTTTACAGTCTCGGGATATAATTTTGACAGTAAACCTCTGGAGAGGTCAATAATTGTATATTATTATAGCGGGAAGGGAGTACTCTCAACCAATGGATGAATCACATAATTGACATTCTGATACTCATAGCATCTCTCTCTGTTGCATCGCAGAATGATAGAGATGGAGAGGGCATGGCTTACCACGATGCATAATTGACTGATTTCTGAAATCCAACCTCCCCTCCAAAAAATGTAGCAGCCTGTAGCATATACTTATACAAGCAATAGTCTATAAAACAAATACTAAAAATCAATGGCTGATAGTGAGAAATAAATGGCAATTAAATGCTTATCTAGAGAGCAGCATGAGAAAGACCTTCTTCAAGCTGAGATATTCAAATATTTGCATCAAAGTGTATTGATGGTGAAAGTAACAGATCATTGTGATATTTTTTGATTTAAAGGATATTTGAGGTTCAGAAATGGAACCTGACCCACTCTAAAGCTACTCAGGTCTGGCCCTCTTAAAAATCAGATGAAAATAAAATTGAAATAAACATTATACCACTTATTTTTTGAAGTATAGTACTCATATACAGCTTACATTTCTGTTTTACCAGGGTGTTCAATTGGAATAATTCGGACAAAGTTCAAATTTTTTTGATTTCAGTGTAATAATAAAAAAAATAAAAATAACCCTGATTAATGGGGTGGAGCAAAATGATTTCAACAGAATATCAAAAATATAGTAATTGACCATTAAAAACATGTATGTCATTAACTAAACAAGAAGTTTGGATGATTATGTTTTCCCCTCAGCTTATAACAAACTACATAAGAAAATAATTTTTCTTTATTTCAGTCAAACCACATGCAAAGAAAAAATAATACAAGCTGCGAAAAATATGCGATGAGATGAGGAATCAATTTATCTGCAAAATTAAGTTCAAAAAATCAAATTCTGCAAAAATTTTAAAATCCAAAATTCTGTGTTTTTCTGTGGTGACGCAGAATCACGGCATGAAAAATGAAATGACAGTGTCTAAACTGATATGACGGAGCCAGAGAATGAGATGACTGGACCAAAAACTGAGATGATGACACTTTTTCGAACTTTTTTTATTTATTCATATATAATATATTTTAACTACAGTGTACAATGAATGGGTGACACAACTCATGTATATTCCTGTGGTTTTGATCATACATGAAATGAACAGATTGCTTGTATGACGAATGCTACTTTCTATGCCTGGTTAATACCAAGAACTAGATGAAACTCTTTAAAGAGGCAATGTGTTCTAATAGGAACACAATTAGAGTACCCCCTTGATATCTTTGCATTAGGAGATGTAAAACAGTTTCATCAATCTATTTACTAACTGTCAGATCCCTATGTTTGTTGTCAATTTCATAATTGTACAAGGAAACAAATTATTTACTGGACAGTCAGAATATCGAAAAGAAACATCTCTGAATCTGAATCGTTTTCGATACTAAATAAGTTAATTCTAAATTAAGATGAAAATACTTTGGGAGCATAATTTTTTCTGATTTCATTCAGTGAGCAGATTACTGTAATACTAGAGCATCAGTCTAAAGTCCATTAGAGCGTGGGTTCAAATCCTGGTGCTGACATGTTTTTATTTTTATTTTCTTCATTTTTGAGCCACAATACATTTTCTTGATATCTTTCTATAGATGTATTTATTACTTTCAAGGGTCTTAAAGTATAGATAAAATGATTGTATGTCGCTTTAAACTAACTGCGTTCAATTCCAGTAGCCTACACAGTTTGAAGCTATCAATATTACAAACTTGCATAATATTTCCTGGGGGGGAGGGTAGACTATATCCTCTAGTCTGATTTTTTTTTGAAATTCAGTCTATTGGATATAGACTAGTGACAACAGGGCCGTGTGTAGTTCAACGTCGTTAAATCCAATAACGGCGTTCTTTAGTATTAGGAATTTTCTTGCCCGTTATAGCCGGGGCCATAAGACATGTCAGATAAGAAACGACGTCCAGGCTAGGTCTAATGTTGTTGGACTAAGTGTCAGTGTGACTGTGCAGGAGTGTGATAAAAAAAACAATTCATTTGCCACAGCCTTTATTTCAAATGCAGCCAAACTTCCACATTTCAATTAACACACAATGATTTTATATCAGTAGAACGTATTCTATTACTCACCCAGATCCTCATATGCTCAACCATACGGTCTATAAAACGCTCATCTGAAGTATTTTAGTTCAGCTTGCTACAAACCCGGAAGTACCATAGTCTGAGTTCTCTTCTCGCGAGATTTCGTTGCTCGGAGAAAGTAAACTACAAAATTTTAAAATTTGTTAAGAAGATAGGTATTTAAAATGAAAATATGGAGTGAGTTCCAGTATATAACTGATTATCAACAACTCTAAACAATCAGTAAGTTGTAATTCTTTTATAAACACTGGTAATTCTGAGTCTTGATCTAAACAAATTCGACCGTACTAGATTGAAAGACACCTTGTTTTCAATTTATTTTCAACAAATCAATTGAAAATTTTGTCAACACACATGTGCTCACTGCACCTTTGTGAAGATGTTAAATGAGTTCTAGAGAATTCACCAGTACTGGCATTTGTTGCAATAGTTAATAAACACACTGAATAGTTGCAAATTTACCAAAATATATTTTCTTTTTTTACTGAAATCTCATTTCAATCACATTATACTGTACCGAGACCCTATCTGTTGCAAGACTAACGCCTGGCGTAACCGTCACCATGTTATTCAGTGTTTTTTAAGTAGCGCAAGGATCCTGCCATGACCGTGGTAATGTTATCGTGAAAGCCTGGTATAACCGCGACAATGCTGTATTATATTGCAATGCCTGCCATGACCGTGACAATGTAATATAGTTCTGCAAGGCTTGGTATGACCGTAACAATGTAATATAGTACTGCAAAGCCTGGCATGACCATGGCAATGTGATATAGTATTCCAAGTTCGGGTATGAGAGTGGTAATGTAGAAATTTATGATTGCTATAATTGACCGTGACAATGTGTATTTGAAAACCTGGCATGACCATGACAATGTATTATGGGATCGCAAAGCCTGGTATGACCGTGACAATGTAATATAGTATTGCAAGGCCATGTATGAGGGTGGTAATGTAGAGATTTAGGCTTAGTTCCACTATGACCGCTATAATGTATTGCAATGACTAGTAAATATGTATGACATTAATGCCAGGAATATCCTTAACAATTTTAAATGATCCTCATTACAATTAAACAGTTTAATACTATGATCATGGTGTTTAACTACTTTAATCATGTCAAAATCAAAATTAATCAACATTAATATTCACATTCGCTTATAAACCACAATAAAGGCTACGGTCGCGCCAGGCTTCCACGATAACACTTCCAGGGTCATGACAGGCCTTGCAATAGAATACAGCATTGTCACGGTTATACCAGCCTGTCACGGTTATACCAGGCTTACACGATAACACTACCACGGTCATGGCAGGATCCTTGCGCTACTTAAAAAACACTGATTAACATGGTGACGGTTGTGGCAGGCGTAAGTCTTGCAATAGATAGCATGTGACTGTACCTGTTCCGGTATTGTATTTTGTTCACAACCAATGAAGGTGAGCAATTCCTCTTGGCTATATACCGTCTTAATTGATGCAAATAATTCTGAAAGACACTCAGACCCCTCCTCGAAGGAGTCCTCTGTTCTTTTATGTGCACTCATGCATACTGTAGGCATAAAAGTACAGGCCACAGCCTTTTAATGAGTCGTGGACCACTCAGTCAAACACCCTGAAGTACATTACGTAACAAGCAAAGTGCCTGAACTGGGGATCGAATCCAAGACCTCTGTGTAATTGGCACATGCTCTAACGCTGAGCTACATGTATATGTGTGTAGCCTATTGAATAAAATCATCATGATTTGCTTAGACTTCCTCTTGACGCTTTCTAGCTTCCAAGACTCCCATAAATTTGAGGGAATAATGGCTTTGAAAACCAAAAAGTTTCTCTGCCAATGTTGAATTAACGCTGATGCGCTGTTGCTGTTATTCCAATTTATTCAGTATCTTCTGCTTTTAACCTCATCCATGTACATGTATGCATAAAGAAAAAGTGGAGGAAATGAGATGGTAGATTAATGGGGTAACAATGCAGCACAAGAGCATTTCTGTTTCACTGACCCAATTTCCATAGTTGCTCTTTTCCTCTTGGTTTTTCTAATTTTCAAGTGGGTTCAAATCGATTTTCACATTGTTGCAAGACTTTTTTTTAAATCTCAGGTAGGTACTGCACCCACTTGCTAAACTCATTGGGGAGATCACTGAAAAACTATCTCTCTAGAATAAACTTTATCAATGTGCTGGGTACTTTCATTTTCAGGTCTGCACATATAGATGTAATATGGATAGCATATACAGACTCTCGAATAGTGAGAGAGTGAAAGATGGAGAGAGTGAGCTTATCAGGGACCTTGCAGAACTGAAGAATGAACTTGAAGAAAATGAGATGATCCATCAGGTTACACCTAAAAGCACAAGGTATATTCAACTTTGACATGTTATTTAGAATATTTTACAGTCCTGCAATTTAAAAATAGCCAAAGATCCCCATTTATCTCCCCAGGGAAAAACTCAAATAATTGACTCCATACTTATAATACACCTTGATTTTATTGAAATATCTATTAAATCATAAAGTTAAGAATTTCTTGCTCTATTTTGGCTCTCTATTTCTAGCTCTATTTTATCTTACTATGATATCCATTATATCCATGGCTACAACAATTGATTCATGAATTCCCAACTTTACAAAGTTTAATGACTCTCAGATTCTTTAATCATGTGACAAACCATCAAGTAAAAAACACAAATCATTAATTGCTTCTAGCTCTATACCAATTCCAAAAGATGCAGAACATTTTAAGAGGGAAAGGCGTCTTATATTTGAAAGAGCTTTAGAAGTTAGTGAGGCTCAGCCCCTGGTAGTTCAGGCACAGACGATGAAAACAGAGCTGGAGAATGGCGAAAAACTGGAATATACACCTCAGAGTCTACCACTGTTATTACATCAGGTATTTTCTTTTTTTCATCATAATTATTACTACTGTATATAAATGAATGTAGATCATCATTTTTCTAATTAGAGACACTTTTATGTAACCATGCATTGTTGCACCTGTATTCATGTACATGTATTTATAAAAAAAGTTAAAAAATACATTGTCAGTTGTCACAAATATGACATATGGTGTGTCTATATGACATAATGTGTGTCTATATGACATATTGTGTGTCTATATGACATATTGTGTGTCTATATGACATATTGTGTGTCTATATGACATATTGTGTGTCTATATGACATATTGTGTGTCTATATGACATATGGTGTGTCTATATGACATGTGTGTCTATATGACATATTGTGTGTCTATATGACATAATGTGTGTCTATATGACATATTGTGTGTCTATATGACATATTGTGTGTCTATATGACATTGTGTGTCTATATGACATAAAGTGTGTCATCCTGCATTCCAATCGAAATAGTTGAAAAATAAATCATTTTTTCAGCATTTCATTGATCGAATGCACCAGCTAGTCCAGTGTAAACACATGCATATGTTAAGATGGAAGAGATTCAATGAACACACCAGTACAATTGAGGCCCTCTACCCACTATATCAGGACAGACTAGCGTAAGTACATGTACACTTGAAGCAATCTAGAAGGACAGACTAATGTAATTTAACAATTGAGGCACTCTACCCATAGGCCACCAGCTTCACCCCAAAATTTAGGTTATCGGTATCAAATCAGGGGAATAATCGCCATAGTGATTTTTGGGAAGGTTAAGACCTCTAGAGTAAGAAACTATGTGATAGCATTGCCACAGTTGTAGCTAAATGGGTGTTATCACCCATTTTTCAAAATGGCCGCCGGTGCACGTATTACAATATAAGAGTGGGTATATCTAAGCATACTGAGATGCAGAAACTGTGATTTTAGGGCCTATATTGAGGTTTTAGGGGTCAAGGATTTCATTTATGCCAAAATCTAAGTCATCAAGCAATTACTTCTTATAGAAATCCAAGATGGCCACCAAAATGGGTGCCAAAACGAATACCGGTATGTAACCATTGATTTAAGCTCAAAGAACAGTTAAGAACAGTGATTTTGGAGATCATGTCACAGTTCTCAAGTCAAGGATCTCATTTATGTCTAAATCAGAGTCATCAAATAATAAACTTTTCATAGAAATACAAGATGGCCACCAAAATGGATGCCAAAACGATTGCCAGTATATAACCATTGATTTAAGCTCGAAGGAGAGTTAAGAACAGTGATTTTGGAGATCATGCCACAGTTCTAGAGTCAAGGATTTCATTTATGTCTAAATTGGAGTCATCAAATAATTACCTTTTCATAGAAATACAAGATGGCCACCAAAATGGGTGCCAAAATGAATATGTAACTATTGATTTAAGCTCAAAGAACAGTGATTTTGGAGATCATGTCTTGGTTTTAAGGGTCAAAGATTCCATTTATGTCTAAATCTAAGTCATCAAACAATTACTTTTATAGAAATCCAAGATGGCCACCAAAATGGATGCCAAAATGAATATGTAACTATTGATTGAAGCTAAAAGAACAGTTAAGAACAGTAATTTTGGAGAGTCTGTCTATTTTGTAGGGGCCAAGGATTTTATTTATGTCTAAATCTAAGTTATCAAATAATAATTACTTTTTATAGAAATCCAAGATGGCCACCAAAATGGGTGCTGAAATGAATATGTAGCTATTGATCTAAGCTCAAAGAACAGTTAAGGACAGTGATTTTGGAGACCATGTCCAGGTTTAAGAGGCCAAGAATAACTATTTTGTCTATAATTAAGTCATAAAACAATTCCTTTATTTTGATATCCAAGATGACCGACCACCAAAATGGCTCCAGAGTCACGATTTTGAGGACTGACTAAAAAGTTTATCTTCATCAAACTCTTTCTGGTTTATCATACACTTGTCTTTGAGGAATTTCTTGTGCTTGATCTTCTCCATCCAATAATCTACTTCTTCCCATGTGCAGTCTACTTCTTTCTATAGTCAATGTTTATGATACTGAGCCACCACAAAACTAAGGGAAAGGAAGGCAAATTACAGTAATATTGCTAATGCGATGATCATAAGATTTTATTTCGCAAATCTTCATGTAATTGTTTGTTCTTATTTGACCTTTTATAATATTAACACTTTGGCATCCATCTTGAATTCTGATATTAATCACAGATTGTTTGGTGATATATGTGGTTAAATGGATATGAATTCATTTTGGAGGCCATCTTGGATATCCATATAATTAAATATTTGTTGATTTTATTAAAGACAAAATTAAAATCATTGACCCCACAAACTTAAAATATCAAAAATTAATGTTCTAACTCCTCTATATGTTTGGATAATAAATCTTATTTTCACTTCGGCAGCAATGATGGAAGCCATCTTGGATCTTGGATGAAGGAATTAGTTATAGTTTTAGACATAACTGAAATTCTTGACACCAAATATCTTGACATGGTCTCAAATTACTGTTATTAACTGTTCTTTGAGCTAAAATCAAAATTTACTTGTTATTGGCACAGTTTTTGGTGACCATCTTGGATTTCTATGAAAAGCAATTATTCGATGACTCAGACTTAGACATAAATGAAACCCTTGACCCCTAAAACCTAGACATTGTCTCCAAAATCACTGTTCTTAACTGTTCTTTGAGCTTAAATCAATAGTTAAATATTCATTTTGGCACCCATTTTGATAGCCATCTTGGATTTCTATATAAAGTAATTGTTTGATGACTGAGATTTAGACATAAATGAAATCCTTGATCCTTTAAACCAAGACATTGTCGCCAAAATAACTGTTCTCAACTGTTCTCTGAGCTTAAATCAATCAGTTACATATTCATTTTGGTACCCATTTTGGTGGCCATTTTGGATTTCTATGTAAAGTAATTTTTTGATGACTCAGATTTAGACATAAATGAAATCCTTGACCCCTAAAACGCAGACATGTGCTCCAAAATCACTGTTCTTAACTATTCTTTGAGCTTAAATCAATAGTTGAATATTCATTTTGGCACCCATTTTGGTGGCCATCTTGGAATTTTTAATTAAAGTAATTGTTTGATGACTTAGATTTAGACATAAGTCAAATCCTTGACCCTTAGAACCTAGATATGGTCTCCAAAATCACTGCACTGTTTTTAACTGTTGTTTGAGCTCAAATCAATAGTTACATATTCGATTTGGCATCCATTTTAGTGGCCATCTTGGATTTCTATGAAAAGTAATTATTTGATGACTCAGATTTAGACATAAATCAAATCCTTGACCCCTAAAACGTAGACATGGGCTCCAAAATCACTGTTCTTAAGTGATTCTTGAGCATTAACAGTAGTTACATATCCGTTTTTGCACCCATTTGCATGGCCATCTTGGATTTCTATGAGAAACAATTGTTTGATGACTTAGATTTAGACATAAATGAAATCCTTGACCCCTAAAACCTAGACATAGGTCCTAAAATCACAGTTTTTGCATCTCAGTGTGCTTAGATATACCCACTCTTGTATTGTGACACGTACACTGGCGGCCATTTTGAAAAATGGGCGATTACACCCATTTAGCTACAACTGTTACAATGCTATCACATATTTTCTTACTCTCGAGGACTTAAACTTCCCAAAAGTCACTATGGCGATTATTCCCCTAATTTGATACCGACCAACCCCCCAGGCTGATGGCCTACCACTATATCAGGACAGGCTAGCGTAAGTACATGTACACTTGAAGCAATCTAGAAGGACAGACTAATGTAATTTAACAATTGAGGCACTCTACCCACTATATCAGGACAGGCTAGCGTAAGTACATGTACACTTGAAGCAATCTAGAAGGACAGACTAATGTAATTTAACAATTGAGGCACTCTACCCACTATATCAGGACAGATTAGCATAAGTACACGTACCATTGAAGCAATCTATAAGGACAGACTAATGTAAGATCAATGGTAAAATGTCACCATGGTGAGGGTTTTGATATACCATTGGAAAGCACAATATAGGCCACATGTGAACTGCCATTTTTTTTATTTATACATACAATGAGGTTATTTCGATCACTGTGTACCTTGTTCATATAAATTATTATGACTACATTGACATATGGGGATAATTTTAAATGCATGCCATTCATGTTATGATTAGCCTAATGCAAATTAGATACAAGATCTCTTTTTTTCTTCTTTTTTTACAAGACCTCTATTTTATTAACATTATTTTCGTTTGCAGTCACATCATGTCGGAATACAATGATGCTACCCAGCGTGCAGAACGGCTCTCTGTTGCTAAGGAATCAGTTCTTGCTGGCAATGAGAATGCAGCCCAAGCCATGAAACTGGATGACATGATGATCTACTTGCGCTGGTTGGTCTGCCACTTCAATGCCACTAAGAGGTTCAACCAGTTCATGAAGACGATGCAGTGGTTGACTATTACTCACAAGTTCGATATTGTCCCAGAGAGAAAAGAACAAAGTCCAGATGTAAGTTGGATTTTATCGTCTTTTATGATATACTGCTTATAACATGTACCATATAATACTAAAGTAAATCTGTTTAAGTGGGACACCTCTCATACCTCTAGAAAGTGTATCACTTAGAAGGTGTTCCACTTTTAGAGGGTTCATTTAACGTTAGTCAGTTAGTCTTTCACTTACAGAAGTGTTACACTTTTAGATGTGTTCTCCTTTACAGGTTTCTCTGTACAATTATTGGGTTATCTACTGGTTGAAAAGATATATATTTCAGATATGCCACGTTAAAAATTTAAACTGGTTCAGTGGTTGAGGCTGTACTTGGCAGTGGAACCAGAAAACAAAATTAGCATTTCTTATCAATCTATCAACATTTCAAGATTTGATTGACAGCTCTATTTTTGCACCTTCCATATTTGGTAGTGAAATTGATGTCCTTTGTTAAACTTCTAGGTCATGCTGATCTGGTCACTCTTTAAATCAGTTTTAAGTTTCAGATTTTTATTGAAATTTATCAATTCTGTCTTTATATTTCTCATTTTTAACATATTGATAGAGAAAATGACTTTGTAAATCATTCTTATCTATCTTTTATTAGTTTATTTGAGAGGTTTAATCACAGTAATTTTTATTTAAAATAAGGTTTTGTAGTATTTTTAAGATTGATTTTGTCAAAGAAATTCAAAATGGAAAGAACATATGAAAATCAAGTTGAATTTTATTGTCTGAATTTCATAGAAAGAATTTTCTCTTCTTTGTTCACGAGATAAAATAAAGGATATTCTCTTGGATAAACTCTGACTGCTGTCTGTGACTAAATAATTTAATTTAGACACACTTTAGATTTGTATTCATTTGTGCCAAGTTTGACCTCAATTTTATTAATAAAATAAAAATGCTTTCTAGAGCAGGAATCTTTCCTACATTGGCATTTGTCTACATTGACATCCTAACAATGATTTTAACATTGCATCACGAATTCACGATGCTATTTATCTATCCTAAATGAGTATTTTCATACCCTATATTTGCTGCTGTAGGATGATTTTTCAACACAAACTAAAATTCCATCACGTTACAATGAGGATGAGAACCATGTGAGTGCTGCACCCAAGTCAGCCAGCTCACGTCCTACTTCAGCACGATCTCGACCTTCAATAGCTGCAGTGGCTCCACCTATGGCCCCTGTCCTGAACCCAACATTGCATACAACAGTTCCAATGTCAGCCTCACAATTTGCATATGCTGCAGCTGCTTCAGGTATGAACTTTGAAATAAAAAACTTAAGCAAGACTTTTCCTGGCTAATGTAGTGATGTAACGCAGTAATGTAATTGTAATGTAATACACCTCACTTGTTCATTTAGTTCAATTGTGCATGGAAAATGAAAATGTAGCATTGCCTTGAAGTTTAATTTTTTTCCAGGGGGTGGTATTGCATCTGATGAACACTCGTCAACTCTACCCTTACACTATAATGAGTTTGATCATCTCAAGCCGCATTTAAGTTTCTTTGTGAACATCTATGGCGTTGGAATAGATACTGATGCAATCCTGACATCTGGTGATGAAATGGAGCTCTACGGAGCTGTAAATCGTAAATTCAAACAAGTTTATGTTAGACAGGAACAGATGAAGACCTTTAAAACATATGATAAGGCAGAGGTGAGTTTTAGATTACCATATTGCCACAATATCACATGGTCATGCCACAATATCACATGGTCATGCCACAATATCACATGGTTATGCCACAATATTATATGGTCATGCCACAATATCACCTGATCATGCAACAATATCATCTGGTTATGCACAATATCACCTGGTTATATACAATATACAATATCACCTAGTCATGTCACAATATCATCTAGTCATGTCACAATATCACCTAGTCATGCCACAATATTACCTGGTCATGCCATAATATCACCTAGCCATGTCACAATATCATCTAGTCATGTCACAATATCACTTAGTCATGTCACAATATCACCTAGTCATGTCACAATATCATCTAGTCATGCCACAATATCACCTGGTCATGCCACAATTCACCTGGTAATGTCACAATATCACCTAGTCATGCCACAATATCACATGGTCATGCCACAATATCACCTAGTCATGCCACAATATCACATGGTCATGCCACAATATCACCTAGTCATATCACAATATCATCTAGTCATGTCACAATATCATCTAGTCATGTCACAATATCTCCTAGTCATGCAACAATATCACATAGTCATGCCACAATATCACCTAGTCATATCACAATGTCATCTAGTCATGCCACAATTCACCTGGTCATGCCACAATATCACCTGATCATGCTAATACTTCACTGCATTTCTCCTTATTGAATAAAATGTCTTATGTTTCACTTCATTCTTTTTTTATGTTTATTCTAATTCATGAAATTCCATCGTTTTTTGAAATTGCAATATAATACTATTCACATTACATGCATGTTAAGCTCTGCAGTACACTGTAACACAAATTTGTTGCACATTGAATTTATTTTTTGTTCCTCTTTAAAATGCTCTTAATTCTCACTGATGTACAATCAGCTGGGGAAGATTGACGTGGGAAGGCCAAAATATTTATTTGAAAATCCCTTCCAGACTCGGAGAGGAAATGCACACTTTTAGAAAAAATTGGCCAATTCTCTCAAAAATTAAGGCCCATTATCTCATAAGATTGGCCAGTTTTTGAAAATGAGGTCAAAAAGGGCCTTTTTAGATGCAAAATGAAAGATAATTTTGTCCCTTCCCCCAGACATGACATTGCTGCAGGGTTGTATTTCTTTGGTAAAATGCGACAATTATATATTCAATACAACAAGCTTTGTGCACATGGCTTAAATTGCACTTGTGTTTTAGGATCCCATTTTGAATATGGTAAGTGCCACACCAATGTTTACAACACTACAGTATTATAGTGCACATGATTTGCTTGCATGAATATAGTGTCTGACATGATTTGCTTGCATGAAATAGTGTCAGGTTGCATAAATCATTTTAATTTGCTTTTGCTTTGACTGTAAAATCTGCCTCATTTCAGAATACATATTACACCCAGTGGTGGCTCGTAAGTGATTTCTTCAATACATTGTCTCAAGGTCTCATGTTTGATGTAGATTTTGTTTTCATAGGACTTCATCTTCTATATTATGTGATTGTAATATACAGGCTGTTAAAAATTGCATTTTTGAACACCCTGTAGTTATCTGATTCAATGATTATACCCATGTTTTAGCATCCCCTTTTTAATGTTGTTTCAGGCTTGTGTTCAATCTTGCTACAAGAGTATATTAGGAATAAATACCTTGATGCCATATTATACATGTAGTTATAGTTTATTATTAGTTTGATAATTCCGCAGGGAGTAAATTTAACTCATGCCAAAGGTAATTTCATGATTCCACGTTTGATATGAATTATCTATGGGAAGTTAACACTCCCCCCTCTTTATAGCTGTATACTCAGTATGGTTTTAATCTTTAAGTTATGCCCAAAGGTAAGTATACAGCTATGAAGAGGGAGGGGAGTGGTAACTTCCTATCGATAATTCACATCAAATGTGGAATTTATGAAATTACCTTTTGGCATAACTTAAAGATTTAAACCATGCTAAAAGAGTTTGTCATAAATGTAGAATGGAATCAATCAAAATTCTAGATTTGTATCTTCAATTTTAGATTGATTAGATCATTTAGTTTTAGAAATGTTTTATTTTTGATTAAGGGTGCAATTCAAAAGTACTTTGTCAGATTGCTCGCTGGTGAAATTTAACATTTAGTCTTATGTTTTTCAAAAATGCTATTTATCAGCATTTGTGTTTACCAAATTTAGCCACATCTAGGAAGGGGAGGTTTTAATCCAATTAACTAAATATCTAAATTAGTTTAGTAATTAATATGAACTTTGAATTGCTCCCTTCTATTAAATTTGTATTTCTAGATAGATTTTGAATACAGCCATATTTTTTACTAATAATTACTTTCTTTTTATTCGTGATTTTTATCATAGCAATGGTGTCATGTAATACGTGTAATGTATTTATTGAATTTGTAAAATAGACTAAAATATATTTCATCAATAAATACATCATATATGCTGCATGAAGAATGTAAATATAAATAGTTAAAAATGTATATACTTTGTACTTACAATCGTTATCATTGTTCAGGTAACAGATACAATTGACACTAACTGCAAAATTGCAATCATAGCTAGGTATATTGAGTCAACCAAAATTGAATAAAATTGAGAATTATTTAGGTTTTACCTGAATTACAGTACTTAAGAATTCCTGAGCTTAAACCTGCAAAGAGCATGATACAGTGACATTAAAAAGCATTGCTCTTTTTCATTCTCAGCTTGGTTCTGAAAATTGGGGATCCGACCACTCTACACATGCCCTCAAACAGGAGTCTAATTGGCTCCCATTTCTGACATTGAAAGCTGAGCGTGATCCCAATCAAGAGAAGAAAATGACCCAGCTGAGGCAAAATGGGAAGGTTGATGAACTTTTGAGATGTCAGTCTAAGTTTTTACAACTCCAGGATTCAGAGGTAAGATACTTTATAGGTTTTTATTATTCTGTGAGGTTAACACCCTTTTACATTGTAGTTAAATGTTTTTTATTGATCGTTTTAAATTTCAAAGAAATTGATAACATGACACAAAAAAGAAATATTGGTCAAAAATGTGCTACATTGTGAAGAAAATATTAATCCCAAGATTACATTGATTAATCATATATTGCATTCATCATCTCTTGACTGCTCACCTCTGTGTGTTTGTTCGCTTCAGAGAGTCCAGAATGCCTTAAAAGACCATGCCATAGCAGTGAGAGACCCACCCTCTACACAACCTGTCTCTGTTACTTCAAACAAAACTTCTTATCACACTGGACAAATATGGAAGAAAATATATTCCAACCCCGAGTTGTATGCAGAGTAAGAACAAAATGATATAATTAACTGCCACACAAAATGCTCAAACTATGTGCACATTCTATTGCTGAACCACTTTCCTTACTTTTTAATAGAATATTTCAAGAAAACACTTTTCCTGATATTTGGAAGGAAGGGACAATTGTCCCAATTTTCAAAAAGGGAGATAGAGGACTAGTTTCTAATTACAGACCAGTGACCCTGCTTAGCTCAATCTCCAAAATTCTAGAATCAATAATCCACAAAATACTCTTGACTCACCTTCTGCAGCAAAATCTTATTTATCGGCTTCAAAGTGGTTTTCTTCCTAAACATAATACTGTCAACCAACTTATTAACATAGTGCATGATATTCATGAAAACATTGATGATAACAAAAATGTCAGATCAGTATTTTTAGATTTAACTTCTGCATTTGATTTAGTCCCACACAAATTATTAATATCCAAACTGAAGGGTTATGGATGCAACCTGAACTTTGTCAAGTTAATGACGTCATACTTAGAAAATAGGAGAGTTCGAGTCAAAGTTAACAGTACACTTTCAAAATGGTCTTCCAATAGTATGAATAATCAAAATGAGCTTAATATGCAGACCGATAATTTTGTTATCAATGCTGGTGTTCCACAGGGGTCTGTCCTTGGACCCCTGCTATTTCTAATATATATCAACGATCTGCCTGACGAGTTAGTTTCAAAATCGTTCATTTTTGCTGATTACACCTCAATTTATTGTCCATACGAAAAAAATGAAGTGTTTTTCAATATTCACGAGCCAATCCAAAGTGATCTAGACAAGCTTGCTCTCTGGGCTGCCACCTGGAAGATGCAATTCAAAGCTCAAAAAAGTGCAGATTTTTTCTAGGAGGAACATTTTATCTCATCCACCACCTTTGAGATTAGGTGCTGATGTTATCCCTAGCTGTGAGAATCACAAACATCTTGGCCTTAATTTTGACAATCACCTTAACTTTAATTATCACATTGACCAGATTACAAAAAGAGTTAATTCTCTTTTGAGACCGATGATGAAGCTGCGTAAAATTTTAAATAGTCAGCACTTAGAGATATTATATAATACTTACATTATGCCTCATTTTGACTATTGTGATGTCATTTACAACAAGGCATCTAACATGAAATTACAAGCTCTTGAAAGACTTCACTACAGAGCAGCTTGCCTGGTTTCTGGGGCTATACATGGTTCCAATACTATCAAAGTTTTAAACTCTTTAAACTGGAAACCGTTAACAACCAGAAGAATTGAGCACTTAAATATGTTTACTTTTAAATCCAGGTATAACATTAATCCTCCATTTATTTGTGATTTACTTCGGAAATATGAACATATACCGGTCCGCCCCTTAAGACATCAAAGAGATTATGTTCTACCAACTCGCCTTAGCTTCTCTTTTAAAAAAACTACCATCTTCCAATCTATAATTTTGTGGAATAATTTGCCATCAGAGACTAGAATGGGTCAACCTATTTCTAGGTTTAAAAGATTAGTAAGAGAACACAAGAGCCCAGTCTCTTTAATTCCAACCTCTAAACTGAATGTTACCTTACCCAGACATCTTGAAATACCATTTAATAGACTCAGGTGTGGCCTTTTACTTAAAGCACACCTTTATGCACATAACTTTAATGACATTAGTGACCCTTTGTGTAAATGTGGTGTTCCATTGACTTCCTTGCATTTTCTTTTAAAATGCCCACTGCTCCATGATGAAAGAATCAACCTCATTGCAGGCCTTCATACTTACAATTTAGGAAACTTTTACTTTTTGGAAAAGATGATTTAGATGCATCAACAAATGAAGATTTAATTCATATTGTTAGTTATTATATATACATGAGTTTCAATATCATATCAAGTCTGTGACAACAGGTTTCGTTTTTTCATTTTTCTGCTTTTTCCTTTTTGTCATCATCCCCGCCCATGGGATATCCATGATTCAGTGATTTGGAATTAAGTATATATGTAAACCTTTTGTATTTTATATTGTATCTATTATTTCATTTATGTATATATTATTTAATTGCCGCTAATGTTGTAAAACTTTGGCAATCAGCTGACTGTGTATATCTATGTTATTATTTGAAATAAATCGATAACATGAAAAAAAAACAACTAAAATTTTACAAAAAAATTATATTAAAACTTTTGTTTCGTAGTATTTCCTCTTTCTGTTAAAAGTTTTGATACCTTACTTAACGGGCAATACCCTGTTAATCTTATGATTCATATTGCTAAAATCTAACACAGCTGTTAGCTGTTTGAACAAAAATGTTTATGTATTTAAATTCTATTTTATAGCAAAGATTCAGATGGGAATCCAGAAGCGTTTGACTTTGATGAGAAAGATGCTGACAACGTCAACTTTGGCAAACGTGTAAAAAGTGGAAGAAAACGAAGGGACAGTTATGATTACCATGAAGTTGTACAAACTTTAGGTGAGCTATTGCCATCAGATTGCAAGGTTTCTATATACAGTACAGTCTCAGTGAACACCTCACCCCAGTGAACACCTCTCTCTAGTGAACACCTGTTCCTAGTGGACATCATTTCTTGCTGCATACTACTTTTATTTCTGTTTAAAATACCTACAATGAAGAGCTTTTTGTGATTTTTAAAAATATTTTTAATATAAAGTTTTTTTGTGCTACAAATAGGTCACTATGACCTGTACATATTTATCAAAAATCATTTTCTAAATTCTTAAAAATAAAATTTTGAGCATTACGAAACTTCAATTCTGTTTCAAGCAACAATGAACTTTTTATACTCTTCCACACAGTTCAAGATTTTGATTGACAGCTCTATTTTTGTACTTTCCATATTTGGAACATGAAATTGATGGCCTGTGTTAGGAATCCAAGGTCAAGCTGATCTGGTCACTCACTAAGACAATTTAAAAACAGATTTTTCCTAGAAATTGAGCAACTGTACCTGTATATTTCTCAGTCAAAACATATTTAAAGAAAAATTGACCTTCCAAACCATTTTTGTGTATCTAATATCAGTTTAAGTAAGAGGTTTTAATCATGATTATTTTTCTCTGAAAAAAGATTTTTGCAGTGTTTTGTAGGACTGTTTTGTGAAAGAATTTCTGATAATTCCCAAGTCTTCACAAGTTCAGGGTTTCATAAAAAAGATTTCTGATGGAATAATCATTTGTGGCTTTGCTATTGGTCCTACTTTATTTTTCCAATTGATATAGGATTGGATGATGGGGAAAATGACAGCAATGATCCCTCCAGTATCCAGGGAGCATACCTTTCTTTCTTGATGTTGCGACATTTACGTATCCGAGACTTACAGAGAACAGTAAGTAAATACAAGCTCACTTTGTTTATAAAACATGTACTTTTTACGGTTAAATTCTCAAATAGTATACAAAAGTAATTTTAACTAAAGTATTTTTATCATTTGGATAGAACTGAATGCCCATGATATCCTACATATTTGTTGATTTGTTTTAGTGTCTTAGTATAATTAACTACTTCCGGTCAGTCGAACGCACACTGACAATCAATGATGGAGGTCTGTCTTTGGAGTCTGGAAATTTGAAACGTGTGAGCCACCAGAATCATCGCAAGAGCACGATTCATGAGGGTGGTCTGGGTGGGGGAGGCGGACTAGGGTCACATTTATACATGCACAACACACCGAGAGATTACAAGTAAGTTTCAAATGGAACTCACAAAATTTTGAAAAATTAGAATTAAGATTTTATCAAAAATGATCTTAAATGGATAAAGAATGCAGATTGGATTGCAAGCTAAATAAAATGCACAATTGATTTATATCATTTCAATTTCTGATCTTATAATCAAACATTTTCTAAACTTTTCATTTTCAGAATAAGTGAAGTAGAATTTATGGAATTCTCGGAGGTGGAAAATCATGACGATTTTTACACAACTGATGAGGGCAGAGTACATGTACAAGATCAGCGTGGTTACTACATCATGTATGACTCAGCCACAGATGAACTCAAGTAAGTGCTCTTTCAACCTGAACATATTAGGGTCATACATTTAAAGTAGAAACATAGAAAACAGTAAAGTTAACAAGAAAAACAATGCATATTTTTAAAAAATGAAAAGCATTTGACAGATGTGAAATGTAAAAAGTGAAGTCCCTTCCAATAGTAGGAATTTTTCTATTGTAGCTTTAGTAAAAAGAATAGATATTACATAATGACCAGGTCTTGTTCAATATGAAACAATGTATTATGATTTATATATGATTTTGTAGGAAATTGGAACATGACCTGTTGCTCATAGCAACCACTTACATCGAGAAAGACAAAGATATGAGAACTGCTTCTGGAATTCAAAGAACTCCAAATTCCAGGAGGCGCAATGTAAGTTTTTTGAAAATTCACTATTTTTTCATTGGTTTTATCAGTAATTCAGTGAATTTTCATTACCATATAGTTTATACATATATGTCACACTTCATATTTTTGAACTTCATCCTTCAGCCCTTCAGCCAAGATTTCACTATGTTGCCTTTTAGAATAAGGTTATTACCAAATTATCTTACATTCAGTAATATTCCACTTACTAGGTAAATGAGACACATCAACCACAGCACATAGTTTATTATGTCACCATCAGAAGTGGTTTTCGGCAGTTGGTGTTTGGCATTCAGTTGTTGTTGTTTGGCATTTGGTGTGTGTAAAAAATGGCGTTCAGCATCTGTAACAAATGGCAGGTGGTGACATTTTCCATAAGATAATACCTTGTTTATTTGTAAAATATTTTTGTCTTCTTTTTAGCATCAGACCGGTGGGTTTGACATCTCAAGCTATGGTCACCAGGAGATTGACAGGTTTGCAGTATTGCTGGATCTTTGGACACAGGAGGCTGCCTACTTGGAGTGTAAGAAATATGTAAGTTATTGCTACATCCTACCAATATGTCACCATTGGCCCCAAAGTCACTGTAGCATCATGATGATAATGTCAATGCATGAATTTATACCACTATTATATTAAGTCTGACTGATATTCACTCTACAAGAGTTCACAAATTATCTTCTTATAGAGTGGTTCATTTAATGGAGAGAGGAATTAATTCAGCTCTGATTGTGACTGCTTTAGTGCCACAATTTTTGTCAAACAATTGAGTGATAATACCTTGTAGCATTTATCTTCATTGCTTTTGTATCAAAAGATCAAACAACTTGAAATAAAAAATAACGCCCCAAACTAGGGACAGTCATCATAGCCATGAAGTTTTGGGTTAGAGTTGTGTGAGCTCCATTTATTTAATTCCCCTTGCAGTTGTACTGATTTTGTTTCTTAGAAGAGAGCAACATCTGCATTAGTTTGTAGCTAGCCTCTGTTCTCATAGTATGTGTTTATAGCTCATTTTCTTCTGCAGCTCCTTGACTGTGCTCATAGTATGTGTTTATAGCTCATTTCCTTCTGCAGCTCCTTGACTGTTACCTTGAGGCCTACCACCATGTGTTTGACCGTGATGAGAAAAGAGGCCTGGCCCAAGTGATCACTAACGTCATGGCAAAGAGACCAAGACTAGACTTCCAGGAGAGTTACTTTGTGAAGTCCTATAGGATGGAATGTATATGTCTGCGTCAACATGCACATCTTGTCAAATCTATATTGGATAAACAGGTACTGTTCACCACATTAATGAGTACACTTGTATTATATTCAAATAGCACTTTTCTTTTACAACTTGAACTTTTATGTTGTATATTGTTATTTCAAATGGCATTGTTCTTTACAAATGTTGAATTATATAAATGTTTTTTTTAAATTTTTTTTATTAAGATATATTTATTTCTTCATAATATAACATAATGTAAACCCCTTCAATCAAATGTATTAATATAAATGCTCACTTATGAATACAAAGAGCCCCAACGAATGAAGTACAGCATGTTCTTCTAAACTAATTAAACAGATTGACGAGAAAAACTTGATTGACTGAGATTTCTGGTGTACTTTCAGATCGAGGACCAAAGGGAGTATATACAGAAGGTTACCAGAGATGGTGACAAAGAGTTTGGCTTGCCACACAAGATAGTTCCTAAGCAGCTCATCTCAATCAATATGAGCAGGTAAAATCAGTACAGTTTTGTGCATAGGTTCTGGGCCGATATAAAGATGGCAGCACCAACAGAATCCAGTATAATTTATCTTTTAAACCAGATAACATAGATAAACACAGATCGATTACCATGCCATCTTTATTTAAAAATGTTTTTATTGCCCTTAGCCTATTGTTTTGTGGCCTATCATTTTACTCATTTTGTACATGTATTGTAATATTGTAGTGTAGTTTAGTTTAGTGTAGTTGATTAGATATATTTTATACCGATTTATATATTATGCTATGATATTTAAAGAGTCAATAAAAGATACATACAAGAGTTGACCAAAAAAGTCTTAAAATGTTTCTTCTAATCCAAAAAGTTCTTATCTGTTCTTGTTTGGTATAATTGGGTGACATTGAATTATATCCTTCATTTTCATGTAGGCAATCCATCTGAGTGAATCATTTAATGTCTTGGTTTTAGTATCCTAAAAAGTGCCCCAGTGATCAAAACTCATACTTTAGATATGTACATGAAAATGATTTCTTAATGTAATTCTTTCGAAGTATTTTTCCTATGAAGATCAACCAGATGAAATATGAATGTCAAAAGTTCAAGACTTTTTGAACAACCCTTGTATACTTACTTGATACTATTAATTTATATGAAACCAATATGATAATTTGGTGTTATTTTCAGCAATGAAGATGATAGATATGGAGGGTAAAACCATGATTGAATGATTTTGAATATTTTTTTATCACATTTGTATGAGTGATTTTATAAGCTTGCACATTTGCACAATTTTTGTGTATTTAACTTGTGTGCTACAAAAAGCTTTACTGCAACACTTTCAGAGAAAGTAAAATTAAATTGTTCATCACCACTTTCATCAGAATTAATATATTTTCACCACTCGATCACATTTGTAAAAATTTGTTTCCATGCTTTTTTTTACAAAACACACAGTGACTATAATTCAAGAGCACAATTGTTTATCGACTTTCACATTTGATTCATTTTTTTTAAACAATAGGTTTATTTCATTGATATATTTTTCATGGCATAATATTTGATTCATGATTAATAAGTACAATCACGGTATTTATTCTCACATTCATGTTACAAAGTACATTTCTACTCATGAAATAATATGTGATGGTTGAATAAGCAACGAAGGAATCACATGAATAAAGGCATTTTAAGTTGACATGAGGAGAAATTTTAGTTGAATGCCCTGTTTATTTCTCTTCCAGATCTGCGTTAAGAAATGTTTACATGCTGGAGTTCCATCCTTCCCTCGCTTTCGCAAGCAAGATTCCTGATGCACTCAACTATGCATTCTGGGTAAATTTTTATTGCATTTAATCACTGACTTATTTTCATTCTGCGATCCCATGTATAGTACCACCAATAAAATATCAATGATTTTTATGTCTCCCCCACCACAAGTGGTGAAATATTGTTACAGTCTATGCTTCTGGATGGTGTTTGGTGTCTGTTACTATTTGCGTTTGGGATCTGTAACAGTTTGCTGCATCTGTTACAAGGTGGTGACATTTTGTCATGTTAATGCTACTATTATTATTTTCAAGGTGTATCAAGCTTTCTTTGGTGTTTTAGGAGTTGTATCATGTCCACAAACCTGAGACAACAACTGAGATTATCAGTCTTGAGAGGAAACTACTGGAGTTTGCTTACAATGCTTGGGAACAGCAGCAACCAATGGGAACATCATATTCACAACAGACTCAGAAAGATGTAAGTATTCAGAGAATATTCTGACATTAATGCTTGTAACAACATGTTTTTCTTGATGACCCATTGTCCATTTCTGTTTATTGAGAATTCATTCTTTATTTGCAGCTACTCACTGATGTGTTTGTTGAGGACCCATTGTTTATTTGCAGTTATTCTGGGAGGTGTTTGTTGAAGGCCTATTGTTTATTTGCAGTTATTCTCTGAGGTGTTTGTTGAAGATCCATTGTTTATTTGCAGCTATTCTCTGAGCTGTTTGTTGAAGATCCATTGTTTATTTGCAGCTATTCTCTGAGCTGTTTGTTGAAGGCCTGTTTATTCACAGCTATTCTCTGAGGTGTTTGTTGAAGATCCATTGTTTATTTGTAGAGGAGGTGTTTGTTGAAGATCCATTGTATATTTGCAGCTATTCTCTGAGGTGTTTGTTGAAGATCCATTTTTTATTTGCAGCTATTCTCTGAGGTGTTTGTTTAAGATCCATTGTTTATTTTAGCTATTCTCTGAGGTGTTTGTTGAAGATCCATTGTTTATTTGCAGCTATTCTCTGAGGTATTTTTTGAAGATCCATTGTTCATTTATAGCTATTCTATGAGGTGTTTGTTGAAGATCCATTGTTTATTTGTACCTATTCTCTGAGGTGTTTGTTGAGGACCCATTGTTTATTTGCAGTTATTCTCTGAGGTGTTTGTTGAAGATCCATTGTTTATTTGTAGCTATTCTCTGTTGTGTTTGTTGAAGATCCATTGTTTCTTTGCAGCTATTCTCTGTGGTGTTTGTTGAAGATCCATTGTTTATTTGTAGCTATTCTCTGTTGTGTTTGTTGAAGATCCCTTGTTTATTTGTAGCTATTCTCTGTTGTGTTTGTTGAAGATCCATTGTTTATTTGTAGCTATTCTCTGTTGTGTTTGTTGAAGATCCCTTGTTTATTTGTAGCTATTCTCTGTTGTGTTTGTTGAAGATCCATTGTTTATTTGTAGCTATTCTCTGTTGTGTTTGTTGAAGATCCATTGTTTATTTGTAGCTATTCTCTGTGGTGTTTGTTGAAGATCCATTGTTTATTTGCAGCTATTCTCTGACGTGTTTGTTGAGGACCCATTGTTTATTTGCAGCTATTCTCTGAGGTGTTTGTTGAAGATCCATTGTTTATTTGCAGCTATTCTCTGATGTGTTTGTTGAGGACCCATTGTTTATTTGCAGCTATTCTCTGAGGTGTTTGTTGAAGATCCATTGTTTATTTGCAGCTATTCTCTGATGTGTTTGTTGAGGACCCATTGTTTATTTGCAGCTATTCTCTGATGTGTTTGTTGAGGACCCATTGTTTATCTGTGAGATTGCTGGTACACTAGTGCACAAGTATGAACAGAATCCAGTGAGGAAGTCACAGAGAGAGAAACACACAGGGATGATCCAAGTAGTAGCAACCTTGATGGAGGTAGGTGTAAATCTGAACAATGAAATAATCAGTTAAGCTATGTGATAACTTTTGTTGTATTAAGCGCTTCAGATTTTTAATTTTGATGAATACCTTTATTCCTATAATAATAATCCATTATAATGTAACAACCATTTCCTCTGTTAGTCAGTAAAGTTAAAATACTGATTAATGATATATTATTTTTCTGTTTCAAGGCAATAAACCTCCGACAGAGATTAATAGATGCATCATGGGAGACAGAAATCCTCTCTAAAATCTACCGTCGCCAAGCCATTGAACTCAGTTTTGATGACTGCCATCTTTTCTTGAGATTTGTACAGTTTGAGTTTGCTGCGATGAAAGAGAATGCTGGGAAACCGCCTCCTTTGTTCATCACTGCAGTTCAAGAAGATGACTCTAATGTTGATAGGTAAGAAAATAATAGATATTTTAGTAGGTACATGTTTAGGTTAGTCGTGAGATGGTTAACCGAAACTGCTGAGCTCCGACCACCATTGAGTTTTGATTCAGTTCAGAACATTACTGTTCGTAAACCCACATTTGCTAAAATAAGATAGATGAAGAAAAATGTCTGCTGTGGACTCCTAGTCCCAATTAATGATTATATTTCAATATCTTTTTAATTGGTTAAAACTCCCCAGTGACATTCATCTTCTAAAAGTATATATTCATGATTATTTCCTGTTTGTTCTAAAGGTATGTGCCTACATACCTCTACTTGGCTGTGCATGAGTTAGATGAAAATCATGTTGGCAGATTTAGCTTCAGGAGTCGGGATGGTGTTTTACAGGTATGTGCAGTACATTGCACACTTTCTATTACTCTGTTTACTCATATATATCATTGTACCAATTTCTCTTTTGAATTACTACTTTATTATAACTGAACTACTTGAGCATCACTCAGAGGTTTAAATGATAATGTAATCAAATTGGTCTACACGCATCCTGATAACCAATTGACAAAATCAAACTACATGTTCATGTATCTATCTATACTTTATATGTCAGTAAACCTCGATTTTCAATTTAGTAATGATTAAATTCTCAATAAATCAGATTTCTTAATTACCATTCTTTATTATGAACGGTTTTTGGTGATCAATGACATCTATTCAAGTCTGTGATGTAGATTTATACCTAGCTCTTCTGTAACGTCATTCACAGGTCAGGCTGACCTCAAGTCAGCTCGATGTAGAATCTTTATTCACATTTATAGCTAAGCCTAATCACCTTACGATAATTCTTTTTATGATAGAAACACCAAAATTGGTACAAGTGTAACTGAAGGCAATTGAAACAAATTGGCTCGAGGCAGCAAGTGATCCGGAGCCTCGTTCTGTTAAAAATCCAAGATGGCCGCCAATACATATAGATTTTTAAGAAATTTGAATTATCTTTGAATTAATGTTGTATTTTAGCTCTAAACCAATTGTATTTGTTTAAGGGAATTCCAGACAGTTGCTTGTAATATAGGAACTACTTTACATTATATTTAACTATTAAAACGGGTGTTCAGCAAGGCTCAGTATTAAGCCTTGTACTATTTTATAAGCTTTTATTGAATTACTCATAATTATACATATTAATATGGGAATCACACATATGATTGAGAATAAATGCTGGATAGACTCTGCACTGAAGGGATATTAAATATATTTTCTTTTGGAAAAAATCTCTAGCCATGTTAAAACATGGTATGTACATAGTCAAACGTGTCATACATATAGTAAATCCTGGTCAAATACCAGTGCTTGCGGCTGACCAACCATTGTTTGCTTCCCTGAAAACCATTCAATAGATATACCCTGATACACATGGGGAAGATAAATACTTGATCATGTTTGGAGGTCTCCATATAGAAATGGCATTCCAGAAGGTGGTTGGTGATTGGCTGACAGACAGCGTTTGGGTAAATGTAATTGCTCAGTCAAATACAGCATCAGTTGGTACTGCAGAGTCGTTCCTAAAGGGAAGCCATATAACCAAGACTCGAAGAGCACGTCAAATTATGTTGACAGCACTCCACATCCTAATGAAGAAAGCTTTCAACATATACCTAGCTGCTGCCCAACTCAGAGATGTAGCCCCCCTATCCTTTGAAGAATGGAAAAGGGAAGGGGAAGCCAATTCCCCCCATTTCAAATACTGGGCTATAACACAGGGCCTTGAAATGATGCTTATGATCTTTGTTAGATCCTTGAGAGAGACAGACTTTAAACTCTACATATCTGTTTTGACCAAGATGATGCCCTGGTTTTTTGCATTAGATCATACACACTATTCCAGATGGCTCCCAATACACCTAAGGGACATGGTCCAATTGGAGACAACTCACCCTGACCTGTAACAGCGTTTCAATGAAAGTCTCTTTACAGTTCAGAAGACACCTAGGTCATTCTCAACCATCCCTATAGACCAGGCCCATGAGCAAATAATACTCTGATTAAGGGTTCTGGTGGGGATATAGGAATAACAGAGAATCCTAGTGCACTGAAACGATGGATGATAGCTGGTCCTGCAATATCCCAGATCATCAAAGAGTTTGAAGAAGTCTCAAGTATAGGAGACATGAAAGCCAACAAAGACTTTAGCCACCACGAGCAAATAGCAAGCATCCAACAGAAATTTAGAGATGACACCATCAGAAGTATAGAAGACATTGGCAACCAAAGCTTCACTAAGTGTACAACTGAACATCTTGTGGAGAGAACTGAACCATTGGATACACCCATAAAACGCCACAAGATCGCAATGTTTAGCAGCAAAATACCCAAAAGAACAAATCAGAAATCTCAAATCAAGAAAATGAGAAACGACTGTGATTTATTCACCAAATTATACATCACATGCCAGACAAGAAACATTGATCTTGATGACTTTCTCATGCATGAGAACCAGGAGTATCCACCTTCACTTGCAAAGTATGGTGTCCTCAGAAATGGTGACAAATCAGAGCTTCTTGACTGCATGGAGGATATCGTTCCTAGGGGAAAAGATAGGCCTGTTGTTATTGCTGAAATAATAGATGGTGCATGTTCAGTACACCTTCTAAAACCAACTACAGCAAAGACCGTTGAGGATTATGCCACTGATGTTTTCCTTCCCTACATCCAAGGTTAGCTGCAACATGTTGATCGCCTCGATATAATTTGGGATGAGTACCTGACAAGGAGCCTGAAGACGATGACGAGCTAGACAGAAGCGTGGGAAAGGTGACAGAAGGCTGACCTACACGTATCTTGGTAACACTGTACCCAGAAACTGGCAGTCTCACTTAACAGATGACTCCAACAAGCAACAGTTGTTTGGTATTTTAGCCTACAAACTATCAAGTCTTCCATTAGATTGTGACCACCATTGGTAAGAAGGTGATTTGCAATCCTGCAATTAGTGATACAAATGACTTGGAGCCATGTTCTCATGAAGAAGCAGATACCAAAATGTTTGTCCACGTTGCCCTTATGGCTAGAAGAGGGTTTGCCAGAATACTTATCAGAAGCAATGATACTGATATAGTTGTCCTTGCTGTAGCTGCCTCTGTCCAACTAGGTATTAGCACATAGGTTGCATTTGGAACTGGGAAAAACTATAGGTATTTGGCTGCTCATGAGATGGCAAGAGCTCTTGGACCTACCAAATCTGAATGTCTCCCTGTTTTCCATGCATTTACTGGGTGTGATAGGACATCGTCATTCGTTGGCCATGGAAAAAATAATGTTGGACAGTATGGAATAAATATCCAGAAGTAACAGAAGCATTCCTCGCTTTAAAACAAAACCCACATCACATAGCAGAAGAAGCTCTATTTCTATTGGAACGTTTCACAACCATTGTGAATTTTTGTGTTTTATGGATTATGGCGACGGTTTTTTTGAATGGATGTTGACCCTTTGAAATGCCTATGGACTTGGAGACTGGATTTTATCTATCCCACATCATTTGAGACTGAATGCTCTATCTTGTATGAGTACTTGTATCTACAACTATTTTTGATGTTATGAGTATTGGCTATCAATTTCTAATTTTTTCTTTAACATGTATTGTAATGACTTCAGTATGAATGAAATGTCCCTTGGTGTTCTGGTCTTGGATTGTGATATCAGTTCTTGAATGGTAGGGGAAAGGGGGTATTATACATTGTTTCTTTTCACGTTAGATCATGGTTTTGGGATATATGTGGTTTGTTTTCTGCTTTTTCTTGCCAAGTTCCATTACAACTTTTGGTCCTTTCCCTTTGGCACTTGTGCTTAGATATTTGTCATTGTTCTCTATGACAGGACAAGTTCAACAACTGATATTAACTCAACCAGAAAATATCTTTTCACCAAGAAGGGAAGACAGATTGACAAGATACCTCCGACTAAGGCAGCTTTGGAGCAGCATATTAGGAGAGATTGTTAGGAGGGATTGTTTGAGGCCAAATACTGGATCCTCGCCCAAGTGGTGTCCAGGATTATTTGAAGTTTGGCTCGGAGGAGGATGATGGTGATCACGCGATTCCACTTTTTGGTTTACTCTTCAGCAAACGTCAATATCATGCAGAGAACTCATAAAGTGTCAATGCAGCAAGGGATGTCGTCCTTAGTACTGTTCATGTAAAAAAGCTGGCTGGGCAAAATGCACAGAACTTTGTAAGTGCAGTGGGCTTTGCACTGATTAGTGAGAGTAACAATAAAAGACAAAATATTTGAGATTTGAGAAAGATGGTGATCAAAAATGTAAAACATTGACAATTTATCAAACACAATTGTGACAATTTATCAAACATAAATTGCCCCAGCATTGACATTTTCGCATTGTAGCACCATCTAACTGGTACTGTAACAATAACCCCCTTATTTTGGATATGTGGCTGAATATATTCTCTTATACAAGTTGTTCAGTAGAAGTAAGAGATCTTATTATCCAATATTATGTACTCAGTCTTTGGTTAACAATTTTTGATGAATAACATGTCATTTATGAACTTAATAGTACAGGTCATAATACTGAACCTTGTGTTACGCCGTTTTACATTTGAAACTCAAGTTAAATGTCAGTTCATCAAAAAAGATTCATTTCAAAGCCACTTCTTGAGGTTTCTATGCAGTTTGCATTAAAATGTTAGAGGATCTTGAGATTTTAATAGAAATCGGCAAAATCACAAAAAGACTGGCGGCCATTTTAAATTTTTTCCAAAACGAGGCTCCGGATCACTTGCTGCCTCGAGCCATTTTTTTCCAATTACAATCAGCTACACTTGTACCGACTTTGGTGCTTCTATCATAAAAAGAATTATTGGGAGTGTTTTTCAAGTGATTCGGCCTAACTATTACATTTTACATTTTTTTATGAAAAGGGAAAATAAAGTTGGGATGGAACATTGAACTAAAAATTATGATTGTTGTCTAATTATGAACTCTTAACTATGATTTATATTTTAAGAATTGATGAAATGAAACAAATGTCCATTGCTGTTCAGTGTTACGTTTTACATTACAGGTATGCAAGGCGGGCTCATTTGCGAGTCTGCAGGTTGTACTACAGTGCCAGGTAGTCCACAAGAATTCCCTAACTGCTGCTGTTCTACTTGCCAATGCTTGCCAGCCAGCCAAACAAGCACAACTAGAACTGAAGGGGTAATAATGCGTAATAATACGTGTATTTTGTTAGATCATGAACAGCAATGTCTAAAAAACTTACTCAATGAATAGTATAATATGGGATTGACAGGAACATCTCTTTTAAGGCAAGGATTCCACATGATACATAAAATAGGATCAGGAGTTGACTTATTGAGATTCATTTATTCGATTCAAATATATGAAATCTCATAATTTTTATGTCACCACACAACGAGACATTCGACCTCTGTAACAAACTGCTACACTTTTGTCACCACATGCAATAACAACCTGGTCGTGACATTTGTCAAGTTAATACCTTGTGCACTTGTGGTAAGCAATCTGCTGAACACTTAGAATCCAGGAACTTTCAACTTTTTATTTATCACTAGAATAAATAAACTTTCAACTTTTTATTTATGACTAGAATAAAGGAACTTTCAACTTTTTATTTATCGCTAGAATAAAGAAACTTTCCATTTTTCATCTATAACTAGAATAAAAGAATTTTAAACTTTATTTATTTATCACTAGAATGAAGGAACTTTCAACTTTATTTATCACTAGAATAAAGGGAGATGCAGATACAAAAAGTGAGAAAAGCTCATTGACTGCCATGACAGGCTTCTCAAGTGGAACTAAAGGCACAGAGTTTGCCAACAAAATGCAGGCTGCCAAGCATAAATCTAAATGTTCATCTGAAGCATTTGTGTCCCTACAGCTAGAAAAGGTAAGCCATTTATGCTAATTAGGTTTTGCTCTATAGCCTATATATACAGGCCCGTAGCTAAGGGGGTTCACTTTTCAGAAAAATTCCAGGGGAGGTTCACTTTGACAAATTCGTCCCAAAATCACATAATTAATGTTAAGAATTGTGAAAAACTGCATGATTTTGAAATAATTTTTGGCAGGGGGGGACCCCTCGAACACCCCCCTCCCTCCTGGCTACAGGCCTGCTTTAAGTTTTGCTGTAAGTATTTTTCAGTGCAATAGTTTTTGCTGTACATGTTCATCACTGCATTTATAGGTTTTTGCTTTATGCTACATCTTTGTTTATATTCTGTTTATGTAGAGGGTGAGTCAAAAAAGGTAACCCAAACAAATCTTAATAACTCAGTCATCCAGTATATGTTTTAAGCCATATTTGGCGCAATTGAGACCATGTTGAATATTCTTTCATTCTAGTAGTAGGTTCCAGTGGTCTTTTTCAAATGCTCAAAATTTTAAAGCCATTTTATAAAATCACCAAATATGAACACCCAGAACTTTATCGTTGGGATTATTTCAAAGATAATGTGTACACTAACAACCCTAGATGCATCAGAAAGTTGAAACAAGAGATAAGAAGGAAAGCAAAAGCCATAACACAAGTGTCTTTGAGTGTGTAGTCAGAAAACCTCACCTGATGCATTTAAGTTTGACTTCGAAGACAAGACTGGGATTTTGAACATGTTTTGTAAAATGGTCATCAAATCTTGACCATTTGGAATAGACCAATGAAACTTGTTGGAATGAAAATTGAACAAAGTTTAATTGTGCTTAATATGACCCAGAACCTGTACCTGCTGACTGAGTTATTAAGTTTTGTTTGGGTTATCTTTTTTGGCTCACCCTGTATTTGTTTACAAATGTCACACAAATGTAAGGTTGCCAGTGACATCTATATATGTGCCATATTTTTCATACGTCACAGCATGCCTCTCCTGGGAATGCCCTACTAACTCCCACTTCTCACTCCCTTGGAAGCCACTCACGTCAACTGAATCAGAGTCTGACTTCATATCAATATAACGCACATCATGGGCCCAGCTCCCGAATTTCAGTGGGCAGTTCACTCTACTTCTACGTGCTGTCTTATCTAGTCTCTTACAGCTGGCAGTGATGACCATGCTGGGATACCATAAAACACTGCCGTCATTTGTCACTATAGTGAGGGATTCCAACACCATTTCAGGTTTCCTCACACTGGAAAACATTTAACAGAGAATCAGATATATCAAGCAGGCTAAACAAAAAAAATTTCAATTTTAGAATATTTTTGGCTCATATCATTCCTTGTCATGTCTTTTTTCTAAAAATCACAAAAGTGCATACTTTATTACAGGAAAACTAATAATTTTTACAATAATGTATTATTTTTCTATAAAAATGGTTACCATTCTTATTATTTGGGAGAATTTAAACATTTTTCACTCATTTTTGCTCTTTGAATCATAAATAACTTCACCAATTTATAACATATTCTGAATCTTTTGGGAGATATTGTATTTGATATTGTAAGGAATAGATTGGTAGGTCAGTTATACATGTTGCTTGTAATTTTGTCACCCCCTATAGATCAGATTCTGCCTTTAAAACAGAAATAATTTTTATTGTTAATATGTCTATCTTTGTTATATTAGGTCTCCACTTCCATTTCACTTCACTTATTTATTTATATTTACTTTTCATGCTTCCATTGGTTTTTTAAGTAACTTATAACCTAGGAATGCTATCAGTAAAGCTACTACAAGTGTTTTATAATGTAAATTCAATGAATTAAAAAAAATCACCTGTTCTCAAGCTCAATGTCAGGCTTCCACATTTTTTCTATTGGAACACGAATGGAGTTTATTCCATCGTAATCTTGAGGATCCCATTGCAGGAACTCATTCTTCCAAGTCTACAATTGTAGAAGCTAATGTAAAATAGTCAGATAATATATCTATTAAATATGCAAATCCTAAACACTCGATAAATCATGATAAATGTCTAAAATATTAAATGTAAATATGGTAAATATAGAAAAATACATGAATGCAGAGTACAGAATGCACCACTTATGATATAAAAGTCCATATATGTATATAATAGTACTTACCATTGGTAGCCAAAGTACTGCCTTTATTTGGGAGCTATCAAGTTCCAAGAGATTTATCAATTGAATTCCAAAATTGACCTTAATTGCAGCTGTCTCATTTAAAATTGGGATGATGTCTTTGGATGGCAGTTTGTCCACCAAATTTTGAAGTCTTAAACGTGGAAGAGCTTCCTTTGATCTGAAATTAATTTTCATCATTATGTACGATATCATTTGAACAATTTCATATTCATGTGTAACATAGTCATTTTCATTTTCACCCTCAGTTGTGGTTCATTGCATAATAGGTAATGAGATTTCCCCCCAGGTCTCAAGAAAAAGAACAAAAAGCCCCGTAGCGCAAATTACTTGGTCGGATGCTTTCAACAAAATAACTCATCCGAGCGCACTTACACACACATAATTCTTCATTAAGACAACATTTACACATGTACATGTTATTATGATAAATCATAAAATGTTTGTACACCAAATACTCCATCAAACCACTGTACTGTGTTTTCTCCATTTAGCATATTTAGATGAATAAGTAGAGGAGTAAAATGGTAGAAAGTAATTCCTTCGGTTAGCCCACTGAACAAAGAAAAAATATTCATTTACATAAAGCATAGATTATGTACATAAATACTCACATTTTATTTTTCTTCTCCTTATACCCTTTCACATCAAGGCACAATACTAAACAGATCACAAACAACATATACAACTTCATTTTGGCTTCCTAGTATGCAGTCCAGTTGGTCTTATCCCCTGTTTTCTTGTCTAACATTGGAATGACCTCCAAAACTGAAATTATATACTGCACTCTAACCTGGATGACTTTACCCACTGAATGAAGTTTGAGTTGGGATATAGAGAAGTCGTCTGTATTTATATATTATTAATTACAAGATGTCCATTTCTGTATATCTGTCTGGGTATGACTCAAAAGCCTGTTGACAGAATTGATCTGCTATTACTGCTGGGTCTATCAATTCATAGTAAAATGTAGTCTTTGATAATTCCAGACTGATGCTAATAGACATTTTCAAGATGGCTGCTGAAATAAAAATGGCCACCATGTTTTAGGAAAATGTTATTTTTGGTGACTCAAATACATATTTGTGAAAATTGTATTGGTCAATGACTTGTGGTTATAGGACTTTTGCCAACTAGTGTAATGATATTTCATTCCTAAAACTCTTATCATCTACCTTTTCAATAATAGGCAGAACATTTTAAATAATATATTCAACTTCTTAAGGAACAAAATCCTAATAATTAAACAGACTGGCATCTGTGTATCATGTTGACCAGAGGAACAAAGGAAATTGACTTAAAGGATATATTTGGTTTGCACTCAAGATTAATTTAAAGATAGCACAATATATTTGTCATTGGAGATTAAGATGAAATTATTATCAGATTATATCACAAAAGATGTCAATTCCAAATTTTGAGTTCTGTATCTACCTTTTTTATCTGTATCTACATATTTACAAATCCATTTGTTTCTAAAAAGGATTTAGACTTTTTCTCAGAACTTATTGATCGACCTAGTATGTCCTGACTTTCAATCAAAAATATTTATTTGTAGTCTTAATCTTTGAGAAACATTTGTGACTCAGCTAGTTTGAGGTTTTTGAACAATTTGACTTAACATTTTTAGCTAAATACACTGAATCTATTATACTGTAGTTTTGGAAACAATATTTTTTTGTTGGGATCTACTATTCTGTGGTGTTGCCATTTTATAGCTGTCAGATGTGGGGACTAACTTTGTAAAATCACCAAAATGAGTGTGCAGTGGAGTAGTTTATGGATTCAACGAGCATACGTGACTCATGACACATACTTTAAAAGTGTGCCTATTAAAAAAATCAAAGTGGATCAAATATGTTTATGTTTTTCTTAAAAATAAATAAATGTGTTAATTTATGTTTAGAAAAGTTCAGTGTTGACATACTCTTCATTTCTATTGATACATCTCAAGATAATTATTTGATTTTATTTTCATTCTGGATTGTGAAAAGAAGTGTAGGGATTAAAAAATTCATTAAATATAATCACCATCTAATCCTCATTTGGCCTAAATATTCACTTAGTAAACCGGAATTTAAAATAAGTTATGAAATTGTTAAAGGCCCTTGCCAAAATTGAAAAATATTATATATCTTATCAAAGTCATCACTGTGTCATTGTATAGAATTTTTGGGAAAAAGTTGACTTTTGAAAAAAAAGTTATTGATATTTTGATTTTCAAATATTTGAATTTCCCGCCATTTAAGCAACAAAAGTTTGAATTTATTGATCATCAAATACAACACTTTACACTATAAAACACATTATTTTCTAACCACTATTGGATAGAGGAAGTAAATGTTACCTAATTTCAACATTTCGATTGGCAAGATCTAAGGTTTTAAAAGTAAAGCAAATCTGGAGTCTGGAGTGTAAAATTGCATTTTTAGGCAAAATATTGAGTTATAATCTTTTGGGATGCTTTTTGGAATGAAAATCTACAACTGATTAGTTTTTAGCTGAATTTTTAAGATGACCATTTTATTTTTCCATCCTAAGTCTTTCCTCTTTAGCTGATTAGTGTTGGGCATTTGGGATAAAAAATCTATATAGGATCACCGATTGTTGGGAATGTGTTTTACCTGAGTTTGTATCCTTGTTTTATTTGCTTGCTTTGCCTTGATCCGTACAGAACTTTATAAAGATGACTGACACAAATCTGAAATTGAATAAAAGTGATGAATTCTTTTAAAACATAAATTCAAAACATATTTGAAAGGACATTTCAAGGGGATATGTCTGGTTAATACTGGTTAGTTGTTTACTTTGAAACAGTAATTTTCGATCAACATACCAGTACACAGCTTGGAATGTACAGCCACGGTGACATTTCCCTTTGATTATCAAGCGCAACAAGTTGCATTACATTGCATGTAATGCAGTTAGGGGATGCATTGGCCATCATCTGAGATTGCATGTGATGCAGTTAGGGGATGCATTGGCCATCATCTGACATTGCATGTGATGCAGTTAGGGGATGCATTGGCCATCATCTGACATTGCATGTGATGCAGTTAGGGGATGCATTGGCCATCATCTGACATTGCATGTGATGCAGTTAGGGGATGCATTGGCCATCATCTGACATTGCATGTTATGCAGTTAGGGGATGCATTGGCCATCATCTGACATTGCATGTGATGCAGTTAGGGGATGCATTGGCCATCATCTGACATTGCATATGATGCAGTTAGGGGATGCATTGGCCATCATCTGAGATTGCATGTGATGCAGTTAGGGGATGCATTGCCCATCATCTGAGATTGCATGTGATGCAGTTAGGGGATGCATTGCCCATCATCTGAGATTGCATGTTATGCAATGAGGGGATGCATTGGCCATCATCTGACATTGCATGTGTTGCAGTTAGGGGATGCATTGGCCATCATCTGACATTGCATGTGATGCAGTTAGGGGATGCATTGGCCATCATCTGACATTGCATGTGATGCAGTTAGGGGATGCATTGGCCATCATCTGACATTGCATGTGATGCAGTTAGGGGATGCATTGGCCATCATCTGACATTGCATGTGATGCAGTTAGGGGATGCATTGGCCATCATCTGACATTGCATGTGATGCAGTTAGGGGATGCATTGGCCATCATCTGACATTGCATGTGATGCAGTTAGGGGATGCATTGCCCATCATCTGAGATTGCATGTGATGCAGTTAGGGGATGCATTGCCCATCATCTGAGATTTCATGTGATGCAGTTAGGGGATGCATTGCCCATCATCTGACATTGCATGTGATGCAGTTAGGGGATGCATTGGCCATCATCTGACATTGCATGTGATGCAGTTAGGGGATGCATTGTCCATCATCTGACATTGCATGTGATGCAGTTAGGGGATGCATTGTCCATCATCTGAGATTGCATGTGATGCAGTTAGGGGATGCATTGTCCATCATCTGAGATTGCATGTGATGCAGTTAGGGGATGCATTGCCCATCATCTGAGATTGCATGTGATGCAGTTAGGGGATGCATTGCCCATCATCTGACATTGCATGTGATGCAGTTAGGGGATGCATTGCCCATCATCTGACATTGTATGTGATGCAGTTAGGGGATGCATTGCCCATCATCTGACATTGCATGTGATGCAGTTAGGGGATGCATTGCCCATCATCTGACATTGTATGTGATGCAGTTAGGGGATGCATTGGCCATCATCTGACATTGCATGTGATGCAGTTAGGGGATGCATTGGCCATCATCTGACATTGCATGTTATGCAATGAGGGGATGCATTGGCCATCATCTGACATTGCATATGATGCAGTTAGGGGATGCATTGGCCATCATCTGACATTGCATGTGATGCAGTTAGGGGATGCATTGGCCATCATCTGAGATTGCATGTGATGCAGTTAGGGGATGCATTGGCCATCATCTGAGATTGCATGTGATGCAGTTAGGGGATGCATTGTCCATCATCTGAGATTGCATGTGATGCAGTTAGGGGATGCATTGCCCATCATCTGAGATTTCATGTGATGCAGTTAGGGGATGCATTGTCCATCATCTGAGATTGCATGTGATGCAGTTATGGGATGCATTGGCCATCATCTGACATTGCATATGATGCAGTTAGGGGATGCATTGGCCATCATCTGAGATTGCATGTGATGCAGTTAGGGGATGCATTGGCCATCATCTGACATTTCATGTGATGCAGTTAGGGGATGCATTGTCCATCATCTGACATTGCATGTGATGCAGTTAGGGGATGCATTGGCCATCATCTCACATTGCATGTGATGCAGTTAGGGGATGCATTGGCCATCATCTGAGATTGCATGTGATGCAGTTAGGGGATGCATTGTCCATCATCTGAGATTGCATGTGATGCAGTTAGGGGATGCATTGTCCATCATCTGAGATTGCATGTGATGCAGTTAGGGGATGCATTGCCCATCATCTGAGATTTCATGTGATGCAGTTAGGGGATGCATTGGCCATCATCTGACATTGCATGTGATGCAGTTAGGGGATGCATTGTCCATCATCTGACATTGCATGTGATGCAGTTAGGGGATGCATTGTCCATCATCTGAGATTGCATGTGATGCAGTTAGGGGATGCATTGGCCATCATCTGACATTGCATGTGATGCAGTTAGGGGATGCATTGGCCATCATCTGACATTGCATGTGTTGCAGTGATGTTATTGTAAAACTTCATGTAATGCAGTTGTATTGGGGTTGTATTGACCATTTCAAGACTGCATATGTTGTAGTTGGAGATGCATTGCCAACCATTTAGAATTGCATGGAATGAATGCAGTGTCCCATGGTCCTTGGTCTAGGATAGTGTCTGGGTGGTTAATGCCTTGGTCACATTTGCTCCAATTTTCTCTACGGCGCCCGGCCGATTGAGTATTTTGTTCAAAAATGAATACAATATTGAACAAAACACTCAATCGGGCGGGCGCCGGCCGGTGGATCGGAGCAAATGTGACCAAGGCATTAGGAGCGGAGTGTTAGTCATTGTTTACTGATGCATTAGTAGTTTAGATTATTTGAAGATGTCTTCCTTATGACTACTTGTACTCTTGTTACTCTTTTTGGTCTTTTCCCTGTGTCACATTATGCAACATATAAATGAATTCTAATGTCTGTGTTCTAGGGCCCAAAACGTGATTTGATGTTGAATGAGTTTGTCAGGAAGAAAGAATCAATGGCCACTGTACTAAGGAACCCAGAGGAAATGGAAAAACTAAAAAGGTAACATTTTTAGCGTTTATAGAATGATTGCAAACTTATTGGATTGTCAATTGGGTGACCTGCATTTTAACATTGAAAAAATGAATCATTTAAACTCATAGGCTAACGGGCGATAGAATTAATTTCATGAAACGATATGCATTGCAATTCATCTGTTTACATATGGTAAAACCGAAATGGATTAACATACTTGGTTATTGCCATTTAATGTATCTAATTAGGCAAAAACAATTGTCTTTTTTACATTTAAATCTCTGTTTTCCTCTACTTCATTTTATTTCATCCGTAATCCTTGTTTGAGATTTCAAATAATTGCTGATGTTTATTTACATATATGTACAAGCTTTCGTATGATATATGACAATTATCAGAATTGCTTCCAGCTCTTTGCTCTCATCTGTAAATGAATTTCTGAAAATTACAGCATTTTTCTTCATAACAATTAATGAATAAAATATGGTATTATTATTATTTTATTGACCCTTATAATGGTGGCACACCTCAAGGGGTGCAATTCAGATATAAAACATATTAAAATCAATTTTTCAGTATACATCAGGTTAGAAGCAGCCCCAGACCACTGTAACAACGTTTAATTGAAGTAAATTACATTTTCAGGAAATTGATTCAAGAATACTGCTATGACTTCAACCAGAGAATATCCCAGTATTCACTGAGGGCGCAGATAATATCCTACTATGCTGGAATAACTACACTGCTTGATCAGTTCCCAAACATCAGGTACACCTTTTTTGTCTCTTCCCACAGTTGAGAAATCAATAATACCATTCTATTGAACTGTAAACATTTCTTCTCTTGTCTATTTCATAAAAATCTTCTAGATTGTCTAGATCATTTTTAAAAATTGAAAAGATCGAACAACATTAACGTTTCTTAAATACTTATGACCTTACACCTTCTGAAAATTGAAAATTTATATTTTTTGATTTTTTATCAAATCTTGGCAAAATTGTAAGAAAAAAGCTTAAACTGAAATTACGAGGGTTGTCCCAGAAGTAATGCACTATATGCTCTAACTTTATCAATAATTGATATTTATCCCATCGAACGAAGTTCGGAGGGATATAGGGAACGCCTCCGTCCGTCCGTCCGTACGTACGTCTGTCCGTCCATACGTACGTCCGTCCGTCCGTCCGTCCGTCCGGGCAATAACTCAAATACCGTTGGCCCGATTTTATTCATATTTTGTACACATATATCCTATGGGGGTAGAAGTTCTGCTTGAAAGCCAATTTTCAAAATGGCCGCTCATTTAAAAATGGCGGCCATTTTAGTGCCGATTTTACAGTAATTTAGGTGCAATATGTAAAACTGTAATAGCAATATGTTTTAAATGTAAAAAAAATTATATAGGACATTAATAAAGCTAGAAATGTAGATATTAAAAAAGCACATGGCAGCCATCTTGAAAAATGGCCGCCTTTACTCGTTATTTTACGATTTTTGCTGTAACTCGAAAAGTAGTGGAGTGATTTTGTTCATATTTGGTATGTGAATACTATAAGCATGGCACACTGTCTAATGACACTTTTGGTAGAAGGTGGCCATTTTGAAAAATGGCGGACATTTTGAAAAATGGCCGCCATTTTAACTTATTTTACTAAAACTCGAAAAGTAGTGGAGCGATTTTGTTCATATTTGGTATGTGAATACGTATAAGCATGGCACACTGTCTAATGACACTTTTGGTAGAGGGCGGTCATTTTTCAAAATGGCCGCCATTTTAACGTATTTTACTATAACTCGAAAAGTAGTGGAGCGATTTTGTTCATATTCGGTATGTGAATACTGTAAGCATGGCACACTGTCTAATGACACTTTTGGTAGAAGGCGGCCATTTTGAAAAATGGCGGACATTTTAACGTATTTTACTATAACTCGAAAAGTAGTAGAGCGATTTTGTTCATATTTGGTATGTGAATATTATAAGCATGGCACACTGTCTAATGACACTTTTGGTAGAAGGTGCCCCTTTTGAAAAATGTTCGATGGGATTCGCTACGCTTTGGCGTTGCCGTTGTTCTGGTTTTCCATGAAACTTTCAGTAAATATTCCTTAGAGACATTTTGATTATTCTAGAAATTTTCATGTTGACTGATAAAACTATATTGATATTATAATAAAATCAAGTTGGTGAGTTTGGGTAGGGCGGGGCAGGTTATACAGTCACGTCAAAAGGAATAAAAAATTTAAAATATGAAATAATTAATCAACATATACCATTTGGTGTAGCTATAAGAAGTATGCTCAAAAATACATTTGAAGATACTAAATTACTATGAGCACATCCAAGATTTACTGGATGTATATTGCACAGTGTCGCATTTCACATTTTCTCAAAATATTGCCCTTTGCCTGTTATGTACTTTTGATGCCTGTCAGGTCAAACACTCTCGGCAATTTCTTCCACTGCGACTTGTGGCGTTTTTGCCTCCCATGTTTGGAGTTGTCATACAGGGTCAAGTCGTCTCTTTTGAATCTCTTCTGCTACCCCATAATTGTAGTTCTATCTGGCATAAACTCCGTATATAATTTCTTCATGGTAGCATAAGTTTTGCATGGCTGTGAGTCCAAATGAAGTATAAATTAGGCCACCAAACGCAAGGCCTTCTGTTATCAGGAGAGAATTACAGCCATTTTTGCAATTTCTTGACTGTGACTGTATTTGAATTCGTGACTATTGAAATGTGGTATTATTGCATCACAGTGCTAAATGTCATTATTCGTACTTGGTTAACATCATGCTGAATAAATTTAACAATTTCCCAAACATTTTGACCATTTAAAGGAAAGAAATATTAATAAAATAACACTTTAGATCTTTTCATAATTATAAAAATTGGTACCTGCCCCACCCACCCCTACCCCCATGTTGTTATAGCAACCATATTAAGACTTAATATTAATGTTGGATGCTGAAACTTCAGGATATAATAGATAAAACTTCAATTGTTATATTCACAAAATTTCAGCTGAATTGATGAATATTAAAGAAAGTTAGACCATATAGTGCATTACTTCTGGGACAACCCTCGTAATATTCTAATATCTGTACATTCATGTCATTACACACCCAGTAATTATTTTAATTCCAGAGATACATACTTTGTCTTTGGTGAAGCCAATGAAAAGAAGTCCAACAGTGACAGCTTAGAGGGCCTCAAACTTGATTGTCGCACATTAAAAAAGCGCCCACGACGTGTCATTTCAAAAGATGGACAACATGTCCTAAACATATGGTTCATACCACACCATTCTGAAAATCTGATAACATTCAAGGAATTTGAAGATGAGGCTTTATGTCATAGGGCGCTATATAACCACTTGGTTATTGTATCAGCTTTGCATGATATTGCTCAGTACCTGTGTGCACATGCTAGGATGGGGAGCTCACATGCACGCCTTGGAACCAGGAAACTAGAATTTGTGTCTGCTGACTGGGGCGGCACTGAGGGCATAGGTGAGCATGAGCGTGTGATTTGATATCCTAAAAGATGGAATGTAGGAGTACGAGGATATAAAACATAGTTTTTCCTCTTTTTTTAGAGTCTCTTTTTCTATTTTTTGTCTGTAGATTAAACCACTAAATATACATCTTGCAAAGCATATTTTTATGTCACCATCAAGAAGTGGTAGACCATGGCATCTATGACATGGCTATAGTTTTGTTTTTTGTGATTTACAAATTGTTACCTTTTGTAACTTTTTGCATAATCTTGTTCCAGGTGGTGACATTTTGTCATGTTAATGCCTTGTTTACATTGTAGTATGTAAAGTAATGGTTACTTCCTGTAGTACCATACAAAATCCATTAAGCTTTAATGTCCTGTTAAAAACCCTATTCCTACCATTGAAAATGGATTCTACCAATGCTATCCCTCATAAATCTATTTGTTGAGACTCAATCCACTTGAGCTCTTCTGAGATAATGAGGATTTTGCGTTCTATCCCCATGATGACACCATGATAACATGATGATATCCCCATGTTAAGTCAATGGTGTATACACCCATGTTAATTCAATACACCCTTGCTGAAATCCTCATTATCTAAAAAAACTTGACAAGTAGAATATTAATGTGGATTCAAGTAGTAAGAAATGGGGTTGTTAAACAGGACACTGGGCTTGATTTTTAGTTGGCTCCACTAGTAGCAAACTGATATTACATCTCTAAAGCTAGTTCTAGCGTACACCAAGCAGACCATGCCTGAATTTATTTCATTATTTCACTAGTTTGCTCAATGACATCCAATGAAGGTAAATGATTAATTGCACAATGAGATTGGATGAAAAGTACATTCAAACCCAGGCAATATTAGACCTTCACTACATGTAGGTATTATATATAGTTTCATTGGGGTCCATCTGACTACACCAGGCAATCCTGGACATTCATCAATATAAATGAAAAAGTCAGCATTGTCCTGTGCACTCGAACTAGCTTTAAAGACTGGTAAATCTCACCATTGTTATATGCATTTGACATAAATATCTTCATATTTTCAGCTGCATATTGGGGTAAAATTTAATGTTTATAATGCATGCTATTTACAAAATAATTACAACCCATCAACAAACATGTATACTGTGTTGTAAATCACCACCAATTTGCACTTATTGATAATTATATCAAATTCAATTTAATTCAAAATTAGATGATTATAGAGATTCATTAAGAATGCAAATAAAATATATAGATGAGAGACATCGCAATAACAGCACACAATTTGCACTTGACTATAATACTGTATATATCCAAATGTATCCCTGATTCCCTCTACACGTTATGTGAGGCCATTGTGATGCATGCGAGATGGAAGGTGGTAGTCTCTACCATTATGTTATGTTTTGGAAGGGGTCTCTATTGTAAGGTGGAAGAATTGAGACCCTTAATGCAGCCCCATGTATTGCTTGGTGTTCCAGCATGGACTGTATTGTATTCTCATCACAAATGTTACAGTCCATTGAAAAGATTTTTGTAATTTCTTGTGTATTTCTGTGAACTTTAAATTTTAATAAATACTTACAACATGAATGTTAAATAAAGTAAAATAAGTGGCAAATAAAATAAAATTAGCTTTATGATTAATTTTACTTGGTTTCTTTATACATGTTCAAAAGAAAAAATGATAAATTAATTTTCTTGTTTTTACAATTGTAATAATTATATCCTTTTTCCTTTTCAGGTTCGGAATTCAGAGAAATTCAAAAACAAATCAACAATCTTGAAGAACCGACAAATGTAGAATCTGTGGGACAGTTCCTAACAATGCGTCGTGACATTATGTTCTTAGAGTTTGACTCTGCAGTGCGCCACTCAATGAGAGACACATTCTTGGCAACTGGCAATGTGTCTGCTTACAATGTAAGTCATTCTTGAGGTTGAGTGATCTAATGAGCTTAAAGCAATTGTCCACATATTCACAAAGTGCTCTATTACAACCAATTCAAATATGAGGATAAGCCTGTAAATTAGATATAAATTTGCAGGTGAATTATTGTGATAGATGCATGAATTAAGTTGAGTTTATAAATGTTTAGGAAAATACTTAACAGAAAGCGCAGAAAAGTACTATGAAGAAACTGCTCATGAACTTAGTATAATCACATTTACCTTTTTTATGTCACATTTTCCTTATTTGTAGGCAATCACAAATAACATACACTTTGCTTTACCTGGTTTGAGTAACATACAGCGACCTAGTATCATGTCCACATATCTGAATGTACCTGAACCCCTGGAGGCAAGGGACTTTAAGGCACAAGAGCTTTACCCCTGGAGGTCATTTATAGGAAGGTAAGAGTAATGAAGGGGGGGGGGGGGCTCTTAGAGGTTCTGGGAGGCTAAAAGGTCCTCCCTGATCAAGAAGGATATCCTATGTTATCCTATGAGTTATCCCATGCACTAGTGTTATTCCATACCCCAGTGGTACCCTATGAAGTGTTATCTCATAAACAATGGTACTGCTTTTGTCACATAAATTAAGTCCTACTCTAAGAAAAAGAAAGTTAATTGTATGGTTTTGATAATATGTTAATTTGTATCAAGTGTTTGAAATGATTGGATTCTGATTTTTGAATAATATGAACAATTTCATATTTGTAACTTGCATTTTCCAGTGACAACAGTTTAAGAAATTCAGACCTTTTGTTATACAGTATTAAAGACACAATAATGTGCTAAATAAAGCAATTTTGAATAGATATTCAATTAGAAAATAAAACTATAAATATACATCACTCACTTATCCAAAGTTACAACCATTAAAAATCAATGATTAATAAAGTTACAACCGTTTAAAATCAATGATTAATAATGTAAATTTATTTATGTTTTTAAGAAATAAAGAGTATATTTATTATCTTAAAGAAAATAATTTTAAATTAAAATTGAACTTACCATAATGTTTTTGCACGAGAAGCATGAGTTTTAAGAAAAAAAGCATATGACTACATTTATTATCAAATTAATTAAGATTGTTTTATGTATGCAGAAATGGTCCATACCCGACGATGTTCTGGCAGTGGTTTATGATAGACTACTACTTACAAATGTGCCTGGCAGGAACAAAGGAGGTGGATAGGTACCCAGCATTATTTATATTTGCATCAAATATTCACTGTATTATAAATAGATGTGTCATTTATACTCTGTTGATTGGATTGAGTTTGAATTTAAAAACATATTCTAATTGTAGCTTTCTTGCATTTAGAGATCTTGCCCATTGGTTCTATTATTCATGTGAGATTACATACATGTGATAAGTTAATATGTTCCTACCTTATTTTAGACATGTAGCTAATGGTGAAATATTGGGAGTCACCCTACTGATGGAAGATGTCCTCCAATCAGGGAACCCAGATTTTGTTGCCATGGGAGCAGTAACCAATGACAATGAGGAAGATGAAGGCGGAAGTAAGACATTAAGCCCCTCAAGACCAGCTACTAGACTGTCTTCCAGAGCTGCTAGTTCAATGAGTTTACAAGGGGAGAAGAAAACAGGTAGGGCTAAGGAATGATATAGTGTGTACTTTAATAATTGGGTGAAAATACACATTTTGAATCTGCAAGTAAAGTGTTACATTCATAGATTCATACATAAGAGACCGACTTGGGCAAGGATATTACAACTGTATCACATTCACATCAGATTGTATTTTTGGAACATGTATTTCAGTGCGTGTATTGTATGTGTTATAGGGCCTATGAAGCCAAAGCCCCTTAGCCGCCTCAACCAGCCCATAGAGTCCTACAAACTACTCAAGTTCTTCCTGCTCCTCTGGAAGAGATTAGAACTATTCAAGACTCACTGGGGATGTAGGAAGTTAAACACAGAGAAGATAAATAATTCTGTCAGTTATAAAGCATACTGGTGAGTTATGATATAGAGAGAGCCAAATATGAGGAATTTAGCTTTTTCATGATTTTGGGTATTGTTTCATTTTGGCAGCACATACCATTTAAAATATGCAAATTATGTAAATGAAAATGTAATTCATAGAATATTTCTTTGAAATAGATGGTTTGTTATTGCAAAGTTTTTTATGAAGATTTATTTGCAGCACTAAGTACTGTAGTACTATTAAAGATTATATAGCTCCTTTAAAAATGAAACAGTATGGAACAGAGATATACAAGTACTTGAAAATGTTATTAAGCTTATTGATTACAAATGATATATTTGCCACAATCCAGAATCATTGCCCATAATGTGATAGTTGATCAAATACTAAAATACTTCATCTGATCATTATTATTCATACCAATGGCCCTTCATATTCCAACATACAGTAAACCCTCTCTGAGGGAACACCTTTGGAATTAATACCTCTCTACAAGTAACAGTTTACAGTATTTCAGATATTTTCAATTGACTAACATGTTAATGGATCCTCTCCGTAAGGAACACCTGACATCAAATCCATTATTCATTCTTTTGTGAGATCATTTATTGTGGCATACAAAATATATTCAGAAAGTGAACCTTGTAATACAGAAAAGTATATTTTTTTTCTTTTTTAATAAGTAAAATCTACAAAGTGGAAAAGTTGTTCCCTGTTCTACAAAGTATCGCACGTAGGCATGGTCAGGGGGAATTGTATGATGGGATGACCGCAGACACTGAACCTCTCGTTAGTCCTAAAGGTGCAACTGAAATAGAGATCAGATCAAAACAGGTGAGTGTCTTTGTTGCAAAGTTTGATTTTCACATAAGGGACCAGCAACCGTGTCCCAATGGAATATCAATATTGTAAGTGCATTAGAGCATGTTCTTACAAATCACTCAATTTTCATTGGTCAAATAGTTTCATTATTGGTTACGTTGTGTTATTTCCCTAAAAATGATGATGCAAACATGAATCAGGTGAAATATGGAAAATATGAAAGTAAACAACATTTTAAACAATTTGCTAGAAAGCAAGTAGCTAGCTCACTTTATATTTTCTAGTACTAACAAATTAACTACAGAAATCTCCATTCAATAATTCTGATATTGTTCTTTTCCATGTAGCTGATCAGTCTGCTTGAGAGCGAGGAGTGCTATATGATCGTAGAGGTGAGGAAGAAGCTTGCCAAAGAGCTGAGTCTGGCACTTGCAGAGAGAGCCAGGGAGGAGGGGGCACTACCCACAGATTTATGGAAGAAATCAGTATGTTCTCTTTATCCATTTTACAATGGTATTTGCCTGGGGTGGTAAATCTGACCTAGCTTTATACCTGATCCAGGGATCGAAATTGTGATGCCATTCTGAGGTCATGCTGCACTAGAGTTAATTGCACTCAAAATATGTCTACACATTCATTTCTGTCTATTTTTATGTTTTTTAAATAGAGTCAAATAGTTGAACTGCAATTATTCAATTTTCAAATCATAATTTCTTAAGAACTATTTATCATGAATAACTACTGTTCAAATCTATGACATATTTTGATGCCTGGATCCAGAGATCACTATGTGACCTCATTCCAATGTCAAACTGAACTCAAATCAATTCAGTGCAAAATCTATTTAGACATTAATTTTTGTCAGTTTTTCATGTTTTGTTTAGACAGTTAAATAGTTGAATTGAGACAATGAATTGACAATTGACATTATTCTCTAATGATGAACTACATGCTGCATAATTTATAAGTTTGTATTATAAATTCAGTCTAAGCATTTTGTTTATTAACACTGAAGTTTTTCCCACAATATGATACAACTATCTTAAGTTTAATTCACTATACCTTTAAGAGGCAGTATCTGATAGTACCACTAGTACCACATATATTTGAGTAATTCCTTGATAATTTTGCATTGGGAGATGTTAAACAGTTTCATTTATCTACTTGCCAACTATCATATACCTCTTCCTATGTTTATATACATATCAATTTCATGATTTTACACAGAAATTAATTTGTTATTCCAGGCTGTCAAGGAAAGCTTCACTATAGCTAAGCCTCACATAGCAGAGGACTTTGTTGACCAACTCTTTGAGAACCAGGAGAGAGACCAGAAAGAGGTCACCTTTAAAACGAGCCATCTTAATGAATGTTTACGCAATCTAGGTCAATCTATTATGGCAAGAGAAAGGCACAATTATGACAGGTATGAGGGATGTTTTTAGGGATGGTATAAGGATAGAGATTGTACAGTATAATGTCAAATATACCGAAGGAATTAATTGTCCAAAAAATTGAATGAGTCAGAATTTCATAAAGATCTTGAAAAAAGTAATAGACTATAATGAATGATTTATTCGAGGCTATCTTTCAACCTCAAAAGTTACATGTGCAAGATGGAATTACTTGTAACTCCAATAGTTAGGAACAACAACAATATGCCAACAAGCTGACTGTTCCTCTGGGTATTTATACAAATACATTTTTTAACGACTCTGAAAAGCAAGTTGCTTTTACAGCTCAGCTGTGGCTTTATTAGACCTTACAGCTCAGTTTATAGTCTACCCATCATGCTTTGGTTTGATCTGAGGGTTCTGATGCTCGATTCCCACACTTGTCATTGAATTTAGCACATTTTCTTTCATGCCTGTATCTGGCTTGTTACAAGAGGCTCAGCATTTTGTCATATCCCAGAAGTGCCCTTTCAACATAACAATATTGTTTTCAGCTACTCCATGTATTATGAGAACCTACTGAGGCAGCACCACCAGTTACTTTACCAGAAAGAGCAGGAGATCAAACAACTGAATGACCAGATCAAGCAACAAAAAGAATCCACTGACATTGAAGTCAAATGCCAGATGGCTGATGAGAATTATGACATCCTTTTGGGTAAGTTATAAAATAGTTGTATTGGGTCTTTAAAAATTGAAATTGTTTGAAAATCGTTTTATTGTCACAAATGTTTGATGGTCATGGCGTCACTTTCATTATACAGTGTAACTAAGTCAGTTCATCTCCATGTATCTTCTACAAAAGTTGTCTGGTTATAAATTTAGACAAACATTTCTGAATTCTTTAGTCATTGACATATTATTATAACTACCATTTACCGTGACTAGATTCAGTTTACACTATTCAGCATCTGTTACAAATTGTTACACTTTGTAATTGCAACCAGATGGTTACATTTTTGCGTTACAACTTTATGAATTGTTTGAACATTGTGTATAAATCAGGCCTTTTATGTTTCAGAAATCACTGCCTTGCGTGCCAAGGTACTTGAAATGCGAGAAATGGCCATGTCTCAAGAGAAAGACTTGAGAGACAGAGTACAAGAGGAATATGATGAGCTGGTTCTCAATCTCTTCTCCAGTGCATTTGAACTAAAAACAAAGTTTGATGAATTCAAGTAAGTTTTAATAAGTAGAACAGTGCCATTGATTTCAACATATTAGATGATCAATTTGTAAAATTCACACTCTTGACTTTTGAATGCCATCTGTTGCCATCATAAAGTTCATTTAATATGATAGAAAAGTACACATACATATATGTCAATAATACACAAAAACTTAAAAATTCACAAATAATGTAATACAGCACATCAAGCAAATCACATTCAATGCTGTCCAGTAATGTGTTTTTTCTGCCTTCAGGGACTATTTACACGATGATGTGTATGACAAGATCCAGGAGACGCGACGTGAGGCAATAGAGGAAATGACACGTGTTAAACTGAAGGCAATAGATGGCAGTGAAGGTTAGTTGCCTATATTTATGTTAGACGTCACTTCACTATTTCCTAGTTAGACCCACTGGGGTACTACTAACAAGATGCAGTAGAAGTGGTTTAGTGGTTTGTTGTTTTGATGTTTTTTTTCATATTCATAAGAGTTTTAAAAGTTCTGCCTTTAGAAGAGCATTCTTTAAAAAGGACCCAGGATTCCATTTTGACAGGACGTGAGACTTAACATAATAGACAGTCATTATCTACAAGTTGAGGCGTATTCTATTTTCAGAAGCTGAGTTTACCAAGCGTAATATGGCCCAAAGTGAGAAGCTGGCTAATCTACAACATGATAACTTTGAACTGACGAAGATTATGCATAATATGCAGATCTTCAATAAGTGGAAGTTCAACTGGAAACATATGATGTCACATAAAGAGGTAGGAAACATATGATGTCACAAAGAATTCAAAACATTCAATTCAATTCAAGGATCACCATGCATGTTCTATAGCTTAAAAGGTTAATGTGCTCAATGGATCATCTAGATAAAAAACAATGCTGATGTATTATGCAGAATTTCAAAAGAAATATGTTGTCTTTTATTTATTTAATCTTGAGAAGTGCTGAGCATCCTAGCACATTCTTTAATGTAGAAATCTTATAAATGACACATACATGTGCTATTGTAGAAAAGCCAGTTAGGTAAGAACTCAGACAGAAGTAAGAAGGATTACCTTGAGGTGAAGATGTTGGCTGATGAGGAGGTGATCCTACTGCGCCAGCAGATAGTGGCACTTAGGGCTGGACTCTCCCAGTCTGAAGCTGAGTGCAATCAGGTCAAGAAACAGCTCGAGAAAGAGGTGAGCTTTAAGAATCAGTTTTTATTTTTTGATAAACATATATTATTCATAAAATCTGCTCATAGTGAACTTTTTCAATGTTACTGTTTGTTACTGACATAGGAATTATTCAATGTTAATGAAAATGTTTTCAGTCATTATTTTAAACATTGCTCCAGTATGAATCACAATAGTTCAAGTCAAGTCAATAGTACAAGTATTGTAAAACATGCATTTTCAACATCCTATTCTATATTTAATGGGTTGTGTTGATGAATAGTTTTGTATGTTTCTCTTTCTGGACCAGCTTTCTGATATATTAGGAGTGACACCAGTGGTAATTTCAAGCATCAGTGTCTTCACAAATGGCTACAAAGAGTAATGTTCAGTTATGTTTTATGCACAACTTCTTTCCTGAGAAAAGACAACAGGATTCACGCTCTTTCTTGTCTATTAATGACATCACTGTACATTACTTTTTGGCCAATGATTTAAATGTTTATAAACAACTATGGAACAACAACACTTGCTTGATTTAAAGTAACACAAGCAATCACTGATTCACATGATCACAATTGATTAATAAATAACTATTCACATAAATGTAATAAATCCAAGTAAATTAGGTCAGCATGCTGCAGTTTAATCAACAATATCAATTATTACAATCTTGGTTAATGATTGGTAAATTATTGATGGATTGATTGTCTATTTGATCACAAAAACCAGTAGTGCCACCTATATACATCACATGTCCCATTGCATTTCCATGTACATAGAACCCTGTAGATAATTGTATCCTCTAGAGGCTGGATGATGGCAATGTTGCATACTACCAAAAAATTATTGTGTTTAACCAATAAGTGCTTTTTGCTAATATGTAAAATTTTTATTATATCTTAATGATATGCTCGTATATGGTGTTAAAAGAATCTGCATGATGTAAAATATGTAAAGGTGCCTAAAGAGATGTATAGTGAAACCTGTCAGGCCCGTAAGACACTTTTCTCCAAGGGGGGTGCGGTTTTTACTAAAGAGAATATAAAATTGTAAATTTTTTGCCGCGTAAATCAAATCGCGTAAGTCAGAGGGGGGGGGGGGTCGGTTACTCCCTATATTGGTTTGGAATTAACAAATGCAACTTCCAAATGTTCCAATTGTTTTGTGGGGGGGGGTGTGAGGAGTGGTCCACTCCCTGTAAAAATTTTTACAGTTTTGAGATGCTATTTGGTGCTTTCTGGGCACTTTCAAAGTGTATGAGTCAATAAGATTGATGTGAATTATTTTTCAAAATTTTTTGGGGGTGTCAAAGAGGATGAGAGGGTGAAGTGGGGTGGGGTGCCAGAGGGGGAGCAAGGGGCGGTCCCCCAGAAACATTGACCATATCACGGTACTATTTGATGATGTCTGAGACAATACATGAAATTCAGAATATTTTCTTTTGTTTTGTGGGGGATGTGAGGGGTGGCTAACTCTCCTAGAAATTTTACAATTTAAAGATGATAATTGGTGCTTCTGGGCACATTTAAAGTGTATTAGTTAATAAAAACATTGAAAAACAATCACTTTTTTTTATCTTATCTCATCTTTTTCGATTTTTTTTTTTTGGGGGGGGGGCTGCCAGAGGGGGAGGTGGAGTGGGGATGCTAGAGGGCGAGTAAGTGTTAGTCTCCCAGAATCATTCACTATATCAAGGAACTATTTGATGATGTCTTGGCAATTTAAAAGTGTCTGAGACAATACATAAAACAAATTCAGAACTTTTCCATTGTTTTGTTTGGGGTGTGAGGGGTGGCCCACTCCCCCTAGAAAAATGTACAATTTTACGACGCTATTTGGTGCTTTCTGGGCACTTTCAAAGTGTATGAGTCAATTAAAGAATTTGAGAAAATCACAATTTTTATCCAATTTTTTTTTTGGGAGGGGGGTCAAGGGGGGGGTGACAGAGGGGGAGGTGGGGTGGGGAGGTGGGATGGGGATGCAAGTGCAAGATGCAAGAGGGGGAGCAAGTGTTAGTCCCCCAGAAACACTAACTGTATCAAGGAGCTATTTGATAATGTCTGGGCAATTTAAAAGTGTCTGAGCCAATACATAAAACAAATTCAGAACTTTTCCATCGTTTTGTTTGGGGTGTGAGGGGTGGCCCACTCCCCCTAGAAAATTTTTCAATTTTACGACGCTATTTGGTGCTTTCTGGACACTTTCAAAGTGCATGATTCAATTAAAGAATTTGAGAAAATCACAATTTTTATCCAATTTTTTTTTTTTGGGGGGGGGGGTACCAGAGGGGGAGGTGGGGTGGGGATGCAAGTGCAAGATGCAAGAGGGGGAGCAAGTGTTAGTCCCCCAGAAACACTAACTATATCAAGGAGCTATTTGATGATGTCTGGGCACTTTAAAAGTGTCTTAGACAAAACACCAAAATAAATTTAGAACTTTTCCATTGTTTTGTGGGGGGTGTGAGGGGTGGCCAATACCCCTAGAAAATTTTACAATCTTAAGATGCTATTTGGTGCTTTCTGGGTACTTTCAAAGTGTATGAGTCAATGAATGGGTTGTGTATGGGTCGCACCCATCGCACCCCCCCCCCCAATCTGACGGCCCTGCCTGTATATTTGAACACCTCTCTAATCTGAATGCCTCAACATGTGAACACCTTTTCTCAGTACCACATTTGCTATCCCCTATGGCCCAAATGTTTATGCAAACTTGAAATGTGAACAATCTGCAAACCTTTGGCCAGTCCAAGAACTGTTTGGCCGAGACAGATTTTATACTGTACATGTAGTGACAATAATGCTCTTTCTCTTACAGTTGAAGGAAAACAGAGAGAAAGCTCACTCATTGATGCAGAAGGCGCAGAGTCAGAGGCAGCTGGAATTAGCTAAACAGGCTAACATGGAACGTATGGTAAGCCTCCATTATGGCATTAGACTGTAGTGTCTATGCTTGACCTTCTATTGTTATTTATAATCCAATAACGTTTATTTAAATACCTGGGTATTTTTTCAGTTTTGGAGTTATGAAATCAAACTTGATCATTCACATGTACACGTTATATTAAAAAGTACACAAGATGGTTTGCAGTACTGTTGTCTTTGTTTTAAAAAGAGGGAACCTTTCTTTCCATTTTTGTTGCTTACAATTCATGATTATACATTGTTAGATTGGAGAGCTTGAGGACAAAGAGTTGAGACTACGTATCATATCAAGCACAAAGGACAAGAATCTCAAGATGCAACAGATTGAGAATGAGAAAGCAGTTAAAGATATGTTCCATCTCAAGAAAAAATTGACCCATGAAAGAAGCCTCAAGCTGGATGCCTTCCAAAGAGTGGATGATCTTCAGACTCAGGTAAGCTTTTATTTTAGAGTGATTCCAACTGAGTGGCTCATCAAGTTTCCCATATGACTTATAGAAGGCAAAGAAAATCTTTTCAGAACACTACAGTAAAACTTTTAGGCTATATCCAAACACCTCTCCAATTTGAAAACCTCTCAATGTGAACACTTTTTTCCGTCCCATTTGTTTTAATATAGTACAGATAATGTGAAGCAATCTTGAACTATAAACACCTGCCAATTCAAACACTTTTTGCTTGTGCCAGTAGTGTTCAAATTATACAGATTTACTGTACATTTTGATTTCAAAAGCAATTACTTTGTTTTAACCAAGGGTACTTTTTTGGAACTATTATAACTATGATCTTGTTGCATGCTATTTTCTCCAAACAGTAGATAATGGTTATCTAGGATTCCAGATTGTATCAAAATTGGACACCTTTGAACCTTTTCATAATGAACATACTATAGGTGTATACATATACATATAATGTTTTCAGGTGTATGATGTGGATGCTGGAATTTCGCCTCCTTCACGACCCCATACAGCAGCACCAAGTCTTGGTAAGTTATACCATGGTTATTTTGGAACAATCATATTGTGCATTATTTTATTCATACATGTATTATGATATAATCATATTCAGCACTATTTCATTATTTGGATGTATTTGAACATAATTTAAAAGTCACAAACTTCCAAAAGGGCTGCATTTCAATTTAAAAAACTGAACTATTTATCTAACTATTCTTCATCAATACATATAGTATATTTGTGCTATTTATTTCATTTAATATGGAACAACTTTTTGAAAATGTTGCACAAAACTTGAGAACTTGTTGAAATATACAGTATGCTGATTCAACATCCTCAATTGTCTCTAATTCTACATTGTTAACATTTCAGACAGTAGAAGTGTATCTCCTACTAAGAGACGAGGTCCAAGTAGGTCTACAGATAAGAACTCTGGGATATGGCCACCTCCTGTGGAGTGGCCAGCCAATAGGAGGATGACAAGTATGGGAATTAGCATGGACTTCACAGAGCCTAAGTCACCTCCACTTAACAACAATGAATCTAGGAAAATCCAGCGCCCAAAAACTGTAAGTATGATTTGGGAGATATAACTTTATTTCACACTATGACTTTTTTCAAGCATTTGGAATAATATATATTCAATTAAAGTATTCTTACTATCGTACTTTATCATGCAAGAAATGAAGAATTGTAAATATTTGCCTTTCTTATTCTAAATTAATGAGTGCCATATGGCACTCTAGATATTGACAAAATATTCAATGCAAATATTATGTTTACATGTATTTAGGCCCCAGCAAGGAGGCCAACATATTCTGCTGAAGATCTAACTCTGGTAACTTTATACAAGGAAATATATAAGATAGAAATAAGCTTTGGTTATCATATTTCTTATATGCTTTGCTTTTTTTATTGATACCAATAAAGTACAGGATTGTTACATATTTTACTTTTATATTGTGTTGTGATAAGAAGGAAATAGCTGAGATACAGGAAACATTTTTAGTTATCAAAGACACCTCTCAAAGTGCACTGAAAAAGTTTACTTGAATGCATCTCATGTCGTATTATGCTATGCATATAGTAATAAATTTCATTTTGATGTTTAAGTTTAGATAAATCACAAACATTGTTTTAGAAGGATCAAGTACTGTGATTTTATGTGCTTCTCAAATTCTATGAACACATTTTAGTCATGTTCTTCTTCTCAGTAAAGTTAGCATGAATTCGTTGTTAGGCATATTACTCTTGAATTGCCTATCTGCCTTAAATTGGTAATGTTTTAATGCATCATTTAATGCAGACTTGTAAATTATTGCAGGTGACTGGCAGACTACGCAGCAGGATAGCAGAGCAATTGTTGAATGAGCTAGAGCCACCAGACCATCATGAGACAATACTTAAGTTAAGAGAACTCTCTATGGTGGAAAAGAAACAGTTCTGAGAACTTCTCTGTCGTGAGACAATACTCAAGCTGGGGGAACTCTCTATGGCGGAAAAGGAACAGTTCTGAGAACTTGCCTGTCATGAGACAATACTCAAGCTGAGGGAACTCTCTATGGCGGAAAAGGAACAATTCTGACAACTTGCCTATCATGAGACAATACGCAAGCTTAGGGAACTCTTTTTGGCAGAAAAGAAACAATTCTGAGAACTTGCCTGTCATGAGACAATATTCAAATTCTGTGAACTCTTTCAGAACTTGTCTTTCTGATGAGCAATGAGGCAAATGATGGAGCTATTCATTGGAGAACTCAACATTGTAGGAGATAGAACATTATATTAAATCCGTCCTGAAATAATACTCTAGTCTTGAAGGGAATGTGATACACATATAAGAATATGGTACTCTGTTTTATGTACATTATAATTGGTTTGTAATGAGGGGCTGGAATTCGAGTTTTTGAATTTTATTTTTCAAATTGATCAATATCCAAAGTTCACTTGTCTTTTAGTAATCTGAGGCATAACTTGCTGTTTGTAATAATATAAGACAATGAGCTATTGATAGTTATAATGTGGGTTTAAGAATCGTCATGGAGATGGTCTGAAATAGATTCTAGCCATCAACTGCATGATATATAATATATACCATATATTCTCTCTGACTAGTCAGTGATGCAATTTTTAAAAGAAATTTATTATTTGCAGTTAATGTTTTATGAGATTATCATTTTATTTATATTCATTTATTTCATTTATAATTGTTGTATACAGCAGTGTACATTATGGATGTATTGTAAATGAGGGTTAAGTGCCTAATAACATGCACTGTGAGTGCATTGTATAATATATGTACACTTTAGGTACACTATTCATACTTTTAATGCTTCATTTGTACATATTTTAAGTATGATTAAGCATATCGATTTATGCTTCATTTGTTTCTATTTTTTGCATGTTTAATGCCTCAGTCACATTTGATCTACAGCAACCGCATGGCAGCAGTAGCATCCCAAAATTGAGAAAGATATGTGGCATGAAATATTAGGATAATCAGTACAATGTAGAGCAAATGTGACGGAGGCTTTAGCATATAGATTTACGCTTCATCTGTACCTGTTTTTAGTATGGTGAGGCATTAATAAGCATATTAGTGTGTTTTACATTGTAAATATGATTGTACATACAACTATATGCTGGGATCTGTAAATATTGTAAACTTAGAAATATCCGTCCAAAACCTTAAGTCTTTTTCTGTCATAGCACACCATCATGAATCGTGTGCCAAATGCTATTGAGCTAAAAATAATGATGAAGTCACAGAAAAAATCTACTTATTACGCAAAATGCAAACTAAAAAATGAATCAATGCTTCAGACTATAAGGATTTAAAATGCAGGAGTCTATTATCTGAACTGCATGTTGTAAATATTAGTAAGAATTATACAAAAATACTCAGTTTAGACTAAAGCAGGTTAGCAGGGTTTATAAATGTAAATAAAGAAGACTTGTATTTTGTACAAAATATACTACATATGATATTCCTTCTAAAAATTGTGCATTTTAAATTGATACCCAAATGCTGAAAAGGAGGTGTCCATGCGCATATGAAAATGTACCTTGATTATGTAAGTACTTATAGGACATATCAATTGCGTCTATGTTCTATTGTTTTATGATAAACTTTCTTCCTTTTAACTATATAGCATTGTAGTAGGTATCAGATTCAAAACTGTATATGTGAGATTTCCAAAGGCATAATTATGTGCAGCCAAGCCCTGTTATTAATTATCCAGTCTTGTCTTTTTGATATGTTTATATATGTTGAATATGGTACATATAGTAAGTAGTTGAGGTAATGAGTAAGCAAGAGAGCAATGAACATTTGAATTGTTCATATGATGAATGTACCCTGGTGATCCTTCTCTTGTGAAATTGTATATTTAATTTGTCTTTAATTTTTCAGTTCAGTCTTCAAATTTTAGAATTCACTGCTTTGTATTAATCAATGTATTGGCAATTTGTAATTAAACACTTCTCAATTTGCAGTTCCTTTCTCCATGTTCAATCGATTATTGATGTACTCTCTTAATTGAACATTTTTCATTGAAGGCTTTTAGCAAAACTTACATGTACATTTACTTTTGACTAAGATAGAGTTTGTTGTATTCAGGTTCTCATATGTAATGGTGATTCAATACTCAGGATATGATAACTACTTCTATATCATGTATATAAACTTGTCAGTTATTTCATTTACTTTAGAGTTGAATACAAACAAACATAATAATGCATATACATTTTTATATAGTTTATTGTACATATTGAAATAAAAATAGCACAAATGTGAACCATAATTATGCACTGGTTTTAAGTTACATTGTCTGATCTTATAAGTATGTAGGCACTGTTTGTCCAAAAACTGAACAACAAATACTGAATATTGATTGGTTATTTTGATTGGTTGATTGATTGAATGATTGATTGATTGATTGATTGATTGATTGATTGATTGACATTGACATCTTAAAACAAATTTCCAAAATAATAGAAGCAAAAGGCTGATTGAATGAACATTAATCCACTTAGTATTATATTAAACATCAGCAGTTTGTTTCAAGGGATTGAAAAATATCCTAGAAATACTTCTGTAATGAAATACACGGACATATCAATGTGCTTTCATTTGATATATCACATATGTACTAATCATAGAATAATATTAAATATTTTGTTAATACTGCACAAGTCCGCAAGCTCTGTGACTTACTGTTTTGAACTTTTTGTTTTTATCCTACTACAGTACTGTACTTCTTAGTAGTGGTAAAATGCCATTTGAATAAAGAATGTCTAAAATGCAATTAAGTTTAATATTCAAAGAATCCACCGCCAGGTTTTCTCGAGTATCCTCTGTTTGTTGTTTGTGTATGGTGGCCTTCAATTGCATTATGACATGAGTGCATAGAGTCTATAGTACGCCTTTTGGGGTCGGTGGCCACTCTTAGAGGATGGTTGAGGGGGTTTTCTGGCTCAGGTTGTTCCACAATTCTGTTCTTTAAAACTCTCCTGAAAAAATAAAGTAATTTTATGAAACAACATACTTTATTTGTCAATTTTTATCTTCAGGTTTTTTATTTGTTTTAGGCTATTTGATATATTGCATATTATGACAAAATGTACATTATAATATTTTTGAAATAATTTTCAGTCACTGATGATGGACTATTTTCCAGAATGCTAAGATGCAGTTTGAAACATTTTATGTTTATGAAAAAGCTATTCCTGATCAGAGAAAAAGAAAATGAATGGAAAAAATGTCTTCTTAATAGCCATAAATACAGCAGTAGATCTAGTATGAGATTTTATTAACAGTTCAATGCTACTCACCCATGCTCTTGTCCCAGTGTTTCTGGCTGATTTAAAGTTCCTGGTTTTCCAACTAAGAAAGCATTATGGTGGTCATACTGTGCCTTCAATACAAAGTCTAAACTGTCTCTAGGTGCCTGTGGATCGAAGTGGTAGACCTCCCTTCGTGCACTGGATAGGGTGGGGGTTGTGTTTAGTCTCTGCCATGGCTCATTTTTCTGAGCAAGGTGTGTTGGAAGGCCATAAGGTTTTTTCTGGAAAGATCAAAATATTGGCTTTTAGTATTAATGTTTAAGTATAGTAGATTGTCTTATCCATATTTAAGCAGATATATTCCCAAAGTGTTGCTAGAGCAACAGAATAAACAAATGTAGTCTATTATTGTTTTGTGCCCCTAATAAATTAGAATATATGTGGGAATTTGTTTCACTATCAATAAAGATACTGAATGAATAAGATAAAAGTATATTACTCAGATTTCTTATATTGAAGTCTCATATGTCTATTCCATATTTTTCTAACAATAACAAATGCTTGACAATCATAAATAAATGTAGATCTTATCAAAATCATGGTCTTACCTCTGTGCCTGATGCTCCTTGAAAGTCCTCATCATTCTGAAGTGTTGGGAAAGGGTAAGGGTCTCTGCTGGACATCTGCATGATGATATATTCAATATGAAATCAAAGCAAAATTTGAGTTAAAATAACTTGACTGCCTACTGCAACTCCAAATGTGAAAGTGAACATGTGTTGGTTGTATTTGTTGTCATTGATTCCATAGCAACACCGGTGAATTGTGGGATAAGGCCTATATATTCATCCGCTTTTCTGAACTATTTCTATAGTGTTAGTTCAATAAAATTCGCAAATGTAGTTGTACACTGATTAGAATATTAACCATATTGATTACGTAATTTAGTATTGTACAACAGAATTTATAAATAAATGAAATAAGCTTATAAATATTTGCACTATTTTCTAGTATGATCAACTTCCTGTTTGCAATGCGGTCTCGTTTCCAAACAAAATTTGAAACATTTTTACTCCAAATTTTTATTAATATTGAAGTCAATTATGGATAAAAGATTGTTATTTATATAGATTAAGATAAATATATTATCAGTTTACATATGCAGAACAAATGGATACCAATTTAAGAACTCTTATGGGTATTGCCCAGAAATATGGAGGTGAGTACATTGCACAAAAATCAGAAAATAAGATGACGAGAGGGAATACAGAAAAATTAAGCCATAGATATAGCAGACTCGATGTAAGAAAAAATGTATTTGGAAATAGAATCGTCAACACATGGAACAATCTTCCCCAATCTGTAATAGACACCACAGATATAAATCAATTCAAGAATGGAATTGACAAGCACTTGATGAGACAGAAATTCCTTCACCACAACTAACCCATGTCCAGTGAGCAATTAAACAACGCCCCCCTTAACATAATATGAAAATAATACATAAAAAGATCTGGATTATACAGGACTATCCTTCTTCCAGAATTATAGATATAGATATAGATATAGAGTGAGTGTCCGAATCAATTTTTCAGAGTTAGGCTAGATCTATCCCTGGATGTGGGTCCCATTTTGACGAAAAATCCCTAGAACTGGGTCTAATGTTTTGAATGAAAACCCTAGATGTTTATGTTCCAAAAAACCTGGGTGTGGGTTCACTTTTGAAACAAAAAAGTTGGGTTGATATTTTGAATCTCTACACCCCATACAAGAAATTGACCAGTAACCCCCCCCCCCCCCCGGTATCCCCCAAGCCAATTAAGAACATCTTTCTAATCGTCGTTAGATAGCCTTGGTATATCCTTGAAATTGTCTTACTGTATGCTGTATATCCTTCAGATATCCATTTGATTTAATCCGGCAAATTGTTTATGGGACAAAATCCCCAGGGGTTTCACTCCAGTATACATGTACCTTTTAAAACCTATGTGCTGTGCCAAAGACTCCCCTTTTCGAGCATTGTTTTCATGTCAGTTTTCTTAATTTTGATGAAAAGATGTATAATATGATGGGGTTCCATCTATTGCCTCCTCGTGGCTAAAATTTCTTTCTAAATCATGCAGGTTTTCACCATTCTGAGCACTTATCAAGGGATTTTGGGCCAAGGTTGTGAAATGCGAACTCCTTGGAATTTTTTGAAAATGAAGCCCACTCAGCAAAAGCTGGCTATGGGCCTGAGTGTGCATTGTTGTCGATGCAAGAATGGGTGGCTAAACAACAAAAATACATTACAGCACTGCACTCAGATAATAATTACTTTCAAGTATATATTATATCCAATGGGCATGGAGCTACAGTCCTGGATCTAACACATTATATCGTTTTCAGAAGTGATATGCTCAGGACTAAATATAAATATTCCTAATTAGTGTTAAATGTGATGTAAAATGTGCTCTGTCAAGGACCTTGTTACAAAATCAAAATACCGGTATATAATAAAATTAACTTTTTTTCTTGAGACATGAAATTCATGAAATTTGGTGTGTGCCCTCATAATTACACCCCTGATAATATGTGCAAAATTTAGAAAGATTGGTTGAAAAATGGGTGACTTGGTGTCATTTCTGAACACCCTGTACTTAACAAAAATAAAAGATATATGATACCATTTGTAATTAGGAAATAACTTCATTCTTATTCCTGTGTTTCAGCTAAAGATCCAAACAACAGTCTCCAGCAAGTGTACGACCAGCTGAGAAATGTAGCTCAGTCCAAACCAACAATTGATGCACCAGAACCATTTGGCCAGGAGTTGTATGTCTTATGTGCTGAGATTGCCTTTCAGGTAGACTTACAACAAAGAAAATCTTCTGTTCTAATTAATTATTAAAATCTACTATGACATAAAACTAAGATGAGAGATATTTTGTATCAGGCTGTTATTCCCGCATGAACAGTGATTTGATAATGTTAACAATCAAATTATGAACACTTAAAGTGGGTGTGGGTATTGACTATAATGGGGCTGCTCAGTTCTGAGTTGTATGATTTGCATTTTTCAAATACCTCTAAATCTCTAATATCAAAGGAAATGATACGTCATCTCTTAAAAGTATAAATTAGTGATATCTTTGAAATATAAAAATGGTTCTGTATTCTGTAACATTATAAATTAACCAAACATATATGTTCATTGCTTTTGTAGCATGGGAAACTTGATATGGCCAAAGATTGTTTGAAGATGTACTTCATAAAACCTCCTCCAGCAAACCAGTTCCTGTGTAGAGCATACCTCTGTCAGTCTCAATTATTGGCCCCAACATCAGCTGATAACCCTGTAAGTACACAAACACACAATACAATATTGTCACTGGAACAACCAAGCCAGGTTCAAACCTTTGAAATGTGTAATACAGCTCCTTTAAATACCACCTTCACAGCTACCCTAGTGTACCACTTTGTTTTCCTACTAAATTAGACCAAAACAGTCTATTTAGATATAAATTGTATTTATATTCCATTTTTGTGACATATTGTCAATTTTATTCTTATTAGATATTGTCACATAAATTTTAGCCTCTGTTACTGAAATTTTTGTTTGCTTGTAGGAACAACTTGAGAAGGCTGTAGTGTACCTTGTGAAAGCAATCAACTTTGCTAAGAAAAACCCAAGGTTGGTTTAAAAACATATTCAGGCAGTCTTCGATTTCATCTTCACATTTTTTTAAGAGGTCATCAATCATTGATTTTTTTATTTATCACCAATCACAATTTTTATTAAATCAAAGTGTAATTCAATGAAATAAAAAATGTAAGTGCAAATGGTATGCAGTAGAATATTTTGATACAGATGATAAAGACCTCTTTTGTCCTCAATCTAGAGAAAGAGCTGAAAAAATTGTTCAAGCGTGTAAAATGTATAACCCAATGATCAACTTTCACATTTGTCATCGTGTTCTTTTCCAGGTATCATTTCCTAGTATACAATGCATCAGTGTTGTATTGGCAATTCTGTCGTCCATTCTTAAAGCCTAATTTCCGTCGTTTCCTAGCACACAGTCTCCATGAGGTTGTTAAGGCCCTGGATGATATTGATGACCAGGACTTTGAATGGAGAGCAACTCTCATCATGTAAGTTACTCTAACTTTGACATCTTTTAATTAGAATGTTTGACATTATAATTAACGTATACATAAAAATATTGGGTGAGACTTGAGATAATGTATGCGGAGCCAGTCAAAATTGAAACTTCTGATTGGGTTCGAAGCCGAGATGCCCGGATATGACCCAGCAAAAGCCGGAATTCACGTGATTTTTCACGAAGAAGGGGCAGAGTTTAAGCGAGATCCATCGAGACTTCTCCATTTAAGGAAAGTGTCAGTCCGCTTATAACTCCGCCTTTTTGCCCTTAAATGGAGAATGCCATTTTCGAAGGGGTCCTTTTTAGGGGAGATTTTCATTGGTTTTTTCCTAGATCTTGTATTGAATAAAGAAATTGGTCATAATGAAGTTTCCATGATTTAACTTGGGATAAACAGATTTTCAAATGTAGTTCAACTTGGCATGATTTAATGAAAATTCTTTCTTGATTTTAATCTCACACTGTTTTTTTTTATGTTTTGATGTGATGCTGTATTATAGCTTATATACAGTTACCATGATTTGATCAAATATTTGCAAATATCATAGTTTATAAAGTTGAAAACAGAGCTCGAATAGAGTGTCACCTAAATGATAAAAGTTTCTCTGATTTGTTTGCAGAGCCCTTATTGAGTGTCATCTGGATGCAGGACGTAAGAAAGATGCAGAAGCTGTAGGACTGGCTGCTGCTAGCTTCATACGTTCCAATGTCCCAAGCATGTACAAACGAGTGTTTGGAATGCTGGTGAGTGTTATTATTTTCAATATGTAAATTACTACACTTTACTTGAATAGCTGGAGTCTGTGATTTCGGGGAGTTTATGATACCACCACAATCACCTGTACATTGCAAAACATGTTGAAAAATACAATGGTTCAGTGGTCAACTTTTCTTTAATCACTTATTAAATATTTTATATTTATCAATAACTAAAGTTACAGATTTGGGACACGAGTGTGAAATTCTGACATACAAATATAATATCCTAAGATTTTGATTCATTGCTTTTTTCTGTCTGTGCCACAGTACTATGTAAAATATAAAGTCGGTAATTCAAGGCACAATACATACAGTACGTTAATTTGTATTAAATTCATGTTTTGAGTAGAATAACTAGAACACATGTAAATGTTTAAACATTCTATCAACAGATCCAGAAGCAGTTAATGCCTGTCGAGAAACTCCACAGAGATGTTCAGAAGTCTCCTGAACTGGCTGTTTATTATAAGATATGTCGTCTTAAAGTGTAAGTAACATTCAGTAGCATTAAAATCTGCAATACAGAGTGACACAGATATATGAGGGGTGTTCAATAAATAACGTCTCTATTAGATTGCCAAAAAACTGGCAAAAGTTGAAAAAAGCTCTAATATCCAAAAGGTTAAGTTTTCATTTAAGTAGAAGGGTGACCTGTCCTTAACTGGTTGTATGTTATTTTTTCCAATGTTAACAAACTTCTAAATTGACAGGGGCCTGGAAGCGAGGGAAGTGAAGGATATCTTGTGGGAGTTGAGACGCATTTACATTATGATTGTGGAAGGACGTGAACCAAAGGAACTCCCAAAAGAAGGGAGGAAAGATCGCGAAGGCAGACGGTCAGTGACACCTGGTGGCTCAATCATGGAGTCAGAAGGAAGGTAAATACCCAACATTCTTTTCTAATTTAATTATTTATCATAAATCGAATTAAACATTATTAAAAAAATTTTAATGTTTGACTTATTATTTGATTAACTTTAATTAAATTAAATTATATATAAATTATTTTTCAAAGTGACTCTCATACCGATTTGGTATATAATGGACCACCCTTAGGAAAACACAAAAGGTAGTACAGTGTAAATAAATGAAAACTTTTATTTTATATTTTGTCTGAAAATATTTTATACATATAAATGTTTCATATTTCAAATCCAGTTTACATTAATTGGTTCTGAAATTGATTCATTTATTCACTAATAAAACCAAATGACAGCTTTCATTAATCTGAAAACTTAAGAATTCAAAGTTGAGAATTATTGTTCCCGGGAGAAACTTTGAAAAGCTTTGTGAAACACTAATTTTTTTACAAACACTTGTTGTGGGATAAAGAACATAATTGTTACTTTGGCCAAATGATCGCCATATCTTTAGCTAAAGTAAGAATTAGCCATGCATGTTATCTTTATATGTTTATTGTTATATACTAATTCAGTTCATATTAATATATCTCATCTTAGGTTGTCTGCTCAGAGAAAGTCAGGTTCTCCCTCATTGTCAGCCAAAAAAATAAAAAAGCTCCCAATGGCAGAAAGGTAGCCATTATTTCCTGTTCCCCTCAATGCACATCATAGCGCCATTTAGATTCCACATCTAGTTGTAGGTGGTATGCAGAAGCATGTAGATTTGTAGACTCTGTATAGAATTCTGTTTAATTTTGGTACAGCTCTCTGAATTATGGTTGAATCTTGAATAAATACTCGAATTGGGGAGGCAAAATGGAGAAAAATTCACCAGTAATATTCCAAAATTAGAAAGTTACATTTTTGTGTCACTCTGTCCATCAAATGAGGGTAGAATAAATAAATAAAAATCTTAAGCTTATTCTCTTGCATCAGAAACGTAACAAATATGGTCCATGAAAATAAAGCATGATAGCATACTTAATTTGAGGATTTGAAACATATATATTTGTACGTATTTGAAAAATGTCATCCCCTCATCCTCCTATACTACTTATAAATAGATACTGCTCATAACAAAGACTTTAATCCCTCTGGTTTGAGCATAATGGCATGTTCAAAATATAACAGGATTTCCTATATTTTGACCAGAGCTTGCTTTGACCTGTAATGTGTGGCTGTACTAAATTTTTTATTTTAGGTTACTTGGTAGATCTTTTAGTTGATAGTTGAAAACACACAGCTTTGCTTACCCTACTATCACACCAAACTAGTTTTCACTACATTCTCGAAAACGGGCTTCAACTGTGTACGAACAGACTGGACGTACTTAAAATCGTTTGGGGTCTATTTACAAACTTCATCGAACGTACTCGAACGGGTAGGTCCTCTAGAACTTAGAACATGCTCAAGATGTTTTCGTGGTTGATACGTTCTACAACGAGCTGGACATACTACGAACGGAACTGTCATACTTCAATCCTACTAGGGGTGTTTAAACAACGAGTTGAACTGTCTGAGGACGTATTGAGAACGAGGTAGAACTAATTGCAAACGGGTTTAAACTGATTAAGAACATATTTAAGAACGAGTTAGCAAAAATATAGCTATCACCACAAACAAGTTACCACTGCGTTCTTCAAAACTGGTTTTAAACTGTGTGCGAACGGAATGAACGTAGCTGCAACTTTCTAAGGTCTTTTTACGAACTTCATGAACGTTCTCAGACGGGAAGGTGATTTTAGAATTTTGAATCGATTCAAATTTCAATGGCGACCATACCGTTCTGTAATCAGGTCATGATGACCTTCTAGACTAAGGGACGCGTTATACGACGTTGCACACCGACGTGGTGCGATGTGGTGTGACCTGAACGAACTGTGAATGAGATGGATGTATTGAAGACTGTTTATGAACGAAGCTAATTATTTTAGACATATTTCCTGACCACAGCCAGATTGAGCTCGTTTTACGACGTTTTGGTAGGACTGGCAAGAATGGGTAAGAACTAGTTTGGTGTGATAGGGGGGTTACATCCAGTAGATTGCATGTTGGCACAAAACACCAGAAGCGAAACTATATTCTATATTACTAGAGAACACCCAGGCATGCTTTAAATGTACCATTTGGTCATCATTATGGAATACCATGACATTCTCTTCATTTAGTTTCACAGATTCACATCCATTGTATAAAAGAAAGGAGTTGTGATGAGTTTCAGAATGATGGGCCATGTCTATGCTGTTTTGTTCATGTTGTATGTTTTCTACATGTTCTAAATAGACGCAGTGCAAGAAGGGATCGTTTACGCTCCCCAACCCCTAGTATAGCTTCCCGTTTACCCAATGATCATCATGCTAGGTACATACCAGTGATGCACTTATTTCACAGTGTGTGTACATTCTGCTGTTGTCATGCTTTGGAGATTGTGGACATTTTTGCAATAGTTTCAGTGAATTTTTTTCATTGTGCAGATTAGGGACACTGTTTGTTTTGCACGTATTATTGCATGTTTTAACTTTTCACTGTGTACAGTTAGTGAGTGGAGCAAAGTGAATTCTGGCAGATTTGTTAATTACAAATACTCTCCTTATATACAGGCAAGATTGCAATTCACGCAACAGATACTATTTGTTTGATAGCCTCATATATTTAACAGCCTCGTATATATTTTACAAAGCTACTTTGGAAGGAATGAATAGCCTATATTTACCACTCACTATCTATATTTACCACTCACTATCTGCCAAAATGTTTTGAACACAAAAATGTGTGTTTTATTATGGATGGATTTATGATCTTCAATTGAACACAAATGTTGATTCCATACATTCATTTTAAGAGTTATTGTTAGCGTGTAGCATCGAGTAATATGGTTTCTCAATTATTTATCATCCCCATCCACTTTGTTCCTTATATGTAGAAGAAGTGGTAAAAGAGTTGAGCACATACGCACCCCAACACCCCCATTTCCAAAGAGATTTCAGCTGGAGGCTGATGTTAGGTAGTACATATGGGGCCCTTTCAAGGGTCACATAGTTCTATTTTATTTTAAGCCCCACATCTACATTGTTTGATAACTTCTATATAACAGCTAGTCTTGCATAAAGTCTCTGAACCCCCTCCCTCACAAGGGCTTGAAGCGAGACTACATAACATTCTCCTTAGGGATCTTTCACTGGCACATAATGTATAACATCTTTAACATCAGGTGTTAGAGTGAATCATAACTCTTTTACATGTTTTTCTAACAAGTTGATACTGGTCTATTGCCTAATTTTATGAACTAACAATATATCATATTGTAACCTCCTGGTAATATGGCTTTGTTTTATGTATTTCTAGATTTATTTCAGTAAACATGAACATATATCTTCTTCTTTGAATGTTATAAAGTTTTGGTGCATATTTACTATTCTTTGATCTAGAATGGCAAAAAGAGACATGTCAATTTTTTAAGTAATAAGCGTTTTTTACCTTTTCGTCTGTATTTTATGAAACAAATTTAAAACCTCTTTTTTAAATGCATAAACACAATCAACCACTATTTCAAATACTCTTTAAAGCTCTGTATAGATAACATTAATGTTGCTATGTACATATTGCTATGGTATTTACATGTTGCTATGGCATTTACAGGCCCCACCTGTTGATGGAGCTGGCACGTATGTGTTTGGAGCAGAACCAGGCTGACCTTGCCCAGGACTGTGTTCTACAAATCAGGGAGTGTGTAATCAAGGTACATCTATGACTTAAACCATAGGCCCATGAATAAATATGATAAGTTAGAAATGGAAGTTTATTGTCTACCGGTATCCATATTGTCCAGAGAATATACAATCTAAGGGAAATGTTAGAATCCAAAAATTAGTCTAAATAGGTGATGCAACTTTAAAAGCCAAGTTTACCCAAAGAAAGATATTGTACTGCTAAGTAATAGGATATAGTATTCACAGTTAATGTTTCATTTTGCCTTAAAATATATATCTATTAAACGTTAGTGGTTCATTTACAGTAGTCTACCTCACTGAGTATATACTTTTACATAATTGTGATGCATGTTTGAATTTATTCCCTTCATAGGAGCCTGACATCTTTATTGAGTTAGAGTTTGTGAATGCAGAATTGATGGTGAAGCTTTTGAGAGACAAACAGCAATCATACCAGAAAGGATATGTTGAAGTGAGATTGATTATTTTATCACTGTAAATTATGCAAAACATCTCTGCCGAGGCTAGAACATGTACAATGTATTGCGGTATTCTTATACCATATTCTGATTTATACCAAATGTTACATAATAGGTCTACATACTGCTGATGCTTGTGATTATTAAGTGTCAAAACAATGCCAAGTTTATCAAATACTAGTTTAGAATTAAACAGGACTTTATTGGTTCCTCCTTTGATCAAGCATTTAAAGACTTCTATGTTAAGACCAGGCATATTAAGTTAGTTGTCACATGTTCTCCTATTGTAGGTGCGACTCCAAGCTATTAAGAAATGCAGTGAGGCCCTAATGAATGCTATACGTGCCAACAACCCTCATGTTATACAAGCAGGCTGTGTCACACAGTGGAATCTTTGCTTACCACTACTGCAAAACAACCTCAGGAAGAATGCCAGGAAACCACTGACACTTGTTGCTGAGGCCTTGGAGAATATACAAAGGTACTTTACTCATGGCAAATTTTTCAGTCAACTTTGAATTGTGAAATAGATTTAGCCCATTTGGTCTACTATATCTACAAAAATCAGAATCCTGGATTTATTTTTACACCCTGCACTGATTGATATCAATTATTTTGTCAGTTTTCTTTCCCTTTGAAGTACTGTACATGTTTTATTTCAGTTTTCTTTGTCTTAATATATCATCTGCATGTTCCAGTTTGCTTGTGCTGTTGAGGTGCCAGGTGCATACAGAGCTTGCAAAATGTGAAGAAGATGAAGAACAAATTGTAGTTGCCATGGAGCACTTGAAGAAGGTTTGTGTTTAAGGAATGACAGATTTTGTTAAATTGCCAAGAATTCAGATGACCAGAGCCATTTATTTACGAGACATACGAAACATTTTTAGTGCTTATAAAATATATATGTAGATTACAAATACTGACGCACCTAATAATAATGTGCCCCTGTTAAAAAAGCGTATGTCAAAATAAATAAATAAAATAAAAAATAAAAATATGCTATTTTATTCCAACATGGTTCGGAAAGATATTTTATTTCATTCGCAAGAACTGGTAGATAGGAACAAAAAACAATTGCACTAAAACAAAAAATGTTAACAAAAACAGTTACAGTATATAAAATATATATATAAATAATTTTCGCATTAAATTGTTATCAATCAGTCAACATTACATAAAGGACCATGTTTTTTTATAGAATGTCAATAAGGCCATAAGAAGTAGATTCTTTGTTTTGCATCCTGGCAAATTCCAAATCATGCAAGGGTACAAGGAAAACAAACACAAACCCAAGAAAAAACTTGTTTGCTGAGGAATGTATACATTATATGGGCATAAAATGGGATGACATACCGATTTGCAGTGATAACAAACATATATCTATACATTTTATACAATATATCTTAACATAGGTATTATTCAAGGGTAAAAAATAAGAAATCACACAATGTATGCCAAAGTAATCAATAACGCTGTCAATTTTGACGCACACCAAATTATCCGCTATTTCATCTGATTCTGATTGAACACGATGCGATTGTACTTTCAGACCCTTGTGATTGCTATTTGGATGTGTTTGTTTTTTCTGATTTACTCCAAATCATGCAAGCACTAGGAGATGCAAAACAAAGAATCTACTTCTTATGGCCTAATTGGTTTAAGAGAAAAACATTGTTGAATTCAGTTAACCATATCGATACCAATTCCTTGACATATACATTCAACCAGTCTTGTTAGATATTGCATACTGTATTTTGAATTCTAGGCTCTCAGCTTAGATGATGGTGGTGTATACAGAGAAAGACTTGAGGTGATGTTGCACAGACTTCAACTCAGAGCCCAGCTCTATGAGCAGCCAGAGAGGCCAGAAGACCAAGCTGCTATGATAATAGAACAGGTATATCATGCATATTTTCACCGATAGTAGCTGTTAGTGGTTTCATCTGGATTTCTTTCAATTTGTGCCCTAATATCACCACATTTCAAATGGTGGCTATTTTAGTGCCGATTTTACAGTAATTTAGGTGCAAATGTAAAACTGTAATATTTATACATTTTCAAGGGAAAAAAGCAGGGCACAGTCTTTTGACATTTTGGCTTTTACACAGGCAAATTACATCGGACCCCGTACAAGCCCGTACAGAGGTCGTTGTGTAAACGGACCCTGTACAACCTCGTTACCAGTCTTGTAATTGCTTGTAATATTCGAGCCTCGTAAAAACTTGTGATTACAAGGCCCGTAATAGCTCGTAATTTTCAACCCCCGTACTTGACCATATGGTGCCCGTAATGAGCCCCGTATTAAATCTTAATTTTCGATCCCCGTACTTGCTTGTACGGTGCCTGTTATAAGGCCTGTAATAGCTCGTAATTTTCGAGCCTTGTACTTGCCTGTGCGATGCCCGTAACAAAGCCAATAATGACTTCTAATTTTCAAGCACTGTACTTGCCCGTACGGGGCTCGTAACAAGGCTCATAATTGCTCGTTTATTTTGATGAACACTTTTGATCAATGAAATAAAATACAGCATACTTGAGAAATGACATTTCAATTATATCTAATTATGAAGTAATATGCCTCAACAATAATTTCAAAATATTGGCATGTCTGTATCAACATGATAAACAGTATAAAAACAGGAGGGTAACCGAGAGGAGACACCATATTTCTCTACAAGTGAAGTAAATGCATATAAAAACATTTGCGTGCAGTATAGGAATAACTTGAAACGTGATGTGAATAAATGTTATCGTTATTGAATGTGTAAATAAAAACATCATTCTGAAATGATTAAACATACGCAGCATGTTCTGGATAGATACGCGAATCATGTGGCATGACAGCAATTATTTTTTTGTTCGGAGTTCAATAACGGGCCTCGAACGAGCTCGTACTGGCCTCAAAATTACGAGCCTCGTATGTGCTTGTACGGGGCTTGAAAACAACAATTACGAGCATCATACAAGGTCGCATTTGTGAGGATTTAGTTATTATATTACACCTGCTATATATTTTAATGCGCTTATTCATGTTATGATAGAAGCATAAAGTATAAAATATAATTATGTGGGTTGGTGATATGCAAAGAAACGTGTGGAGAGCATCATGAAGAAGATTTCAGATAGCTGCTCATTAATTTACCTGGTTTAGGTTTAAAGGTGTATCACACCAATGGGAAATTTGATATGATAGTGGGTTGGGTGTGATTGTGATCCTGGTCTTGGTTACATCTTGGTTTCCAGTCATCTCAACTCCAGGTAGATTTTAATGCCATCAACTATATTATAGTCTCCAACGTTTTTGTGAATGGTGTTTGATGGTTGGTGGTTGGCATTTTGGCAGTTGACATTTGGTGGTCAGCATTTTTCCAAAAAGAACTTGGCGTTACCATATCTTGAAATCAGCTTCTCAGATATTCTATAGATGCGTAGGCAAGTTCTATACATGTAGTTCAAAAACTCATCATCTTGTAATCTGGCAGTTATTTAAGATGTTTTTCTATAAATCTCGCAACCACCTACTTGGTGGTGTGATTTCATTCGCGTCACATGGCTTGTTTATTATCTTCACAATCAATACAATATAATAATAACACACTGTGATGGCGAGGCTATGCCTTATTGGGCCTTATAAATAAACCCTTCAATGCCTCAGATATTAATATAGATGACTACAAGTGTAACAGTAGTGCTACATGACTATGTTTATATTGAAGTGAATACTAATAGGCTAGAAATTTCAAATATATTGAGAAGAAATTGAATATCGATGCATTAAAACGATCTAATTATTATTATGAATTAATTAAATAAATTGGATTTGGACAAAGTTCACCAATAGTTGGGGAAACTATATTCCTAAAAAAACTTGAATACTGGATTGCAAAATGGACAATCGGACATCTGTTTATTGAACTGAAAAAGCAGAGATTTTCCATGGATAATTCAACAGAATTGATGATGCACAATGCTACCAACAATACGGAAACTGTTTATCCACAGTATGCAATTGCGATGCAACTTTGGACCTATGGATTTCCAATTTTGGTACTTTTTGGAACATTGGGGAATATTCTAACATTGATTGTGCTGAACAAGAAAAAATCCTCAATTCGATATACGACCACGTCATTTTTGTTGACAATCCTTGCGGCATCAGATACATTTTGTCTGTTATTTAGCAGCACACGTATGTTCTTTGTAAGCTTAGGACATGACTGGTCTGTGAGTCATTCATTTGCTTGTAAACTTCAGTTGTTTTTGACATTCACCAGCAGTGACTTTTCCTCATGGCTTGTTGCCTTAGTTGCTATAGAGAGAGCGCTTGCAGTAATGATTCCACACAGGGCAAAGGCTTTGTGCACACGCAAGAATTTCACAATCGCAGTGCTGCTTAGTCTAACATTTTTAATGCTGATTAATTGCCAGTTTTTTGCCACTCATGGCGTGATGACTGGTTTCGATGGTGCACCTGTTTGCATGACCAACTCGCCTGCTAATTACAATTTCTATTTCTTCGTGTTTAGTTGGATTGACCTCTGCACTTTGTGCCTCCTACCGTTCAGTGTCCTTATCATCTGTAACTCCATCATCTTGATTAAGCTCCACATGCAGAAAACCTCTGGTGGCTTAAGCAGCATCAAAATGGCGCCCACAACAGTAATGCTGATATCCATCAGTGCGTTCCTACTTATTACATCGGCTCCATTGATGATTGCCAATATCGGGGCAGAGATTTGGGGGAAAGATAGCAAAGAGGAAACAAAAGCTAACATTCTTCTTTTCACTTTTGTAGGACTCTTTATCCTCTACTTCAATAATACATTCAACTGTCTCTTATACTCACTAAGTTCTCCTAAATTCCGAAGAGAACTTGTTTCGCTGTTCAGTATGAAGTCATCTGCATTAAATAGTGTTGCCCCCTCAACTGGTTTGAGGTCAGGTCCCTCCACAAGACTTGCTACAATTTATATGGACACATCACGGATCCAATCAGTAGTTTCACTTAAACCAAGAGAGGACCCATACGTCTTACCTTCGTCAGAATGTATCATTGGCTCTACTAAGCCACAATTGATTAATGTATTGCCTCGGGAAGAACAACAGGACTGAACCCATTAATGTAAAACTCAAATTAGGATGTTCAAAGACTGTACCCATTACATCACTGGTTTGAACCTATGATTTTAAACTCAATTCAGGGTGTTCAAAAGCTGTAAATAGTACATCACTGGTTTGAACCTATGATTTTAAACTCAATTCAGGGTGTTCAAAGACTGTACCCATTGCATCATTGGTTTGAACCTATGATTATAAACTCAATTCAGGATGTTCAAAAACTGTACCCAGTACACCATTGGACTGAAGCTGTCAATTTACACTTCAATCAAAATGTTTAAACACTGTATTCAGTGCATCAATTGATTGAACCTTTAATGTGTACATATGAAAAGCTATTGTAAAGACTGTTTAAATTGTGTTTAAGTAAAAAGAAGTTATTGTGAAAAAAACTATTAAAATAATGTTCTCAAATAATTTATATTGTTTTTGTATGATCTTTTCATGAGACATATGTAGATTTTGCAAAAGAGAAAATTTGGTACACTTGACTAGAATCCATAGAATGAACGTTATTATTTTTTTCTTTGAAACGTTATACATATATTTTCATTCATGCCCACATTTGTAGTATTGTAATTTCGCTCTGTATTATTTACATTACCTAACACTGTGGTATTTTGCCTGTATAGTTTCCAGATTTATTAGACATCCCTCTATTGATTTTTTTGCTTTCAAATCTTGACAGGTGCATGTACATTATTAGAAAATGAAATATACATAATGATGTAATATATACAGTTTTCTTGTTAATTGGCACCATTAGGTAAATCAAAGGCTGACTCAGAGTGCAGGAGTCTGAATGTTCCCACTTTGTTTTTCAGGCTAGAAAGGCAGATTCTGGTACGATTCGCATGAAGAGATCTCTCCTTGTGCGTGCTGGTTTAGCCCTTGCCCCAGATGCTTTCCAGCTAGTTCTCGACAGCGAGAATGAAACAAAAGGTTTGTTAATTAATAACATACTCGTGTGATATATAGTGAAACCTGTGTAAGGCAAACACCATTTGTTTTGTTAAGTGTTCCACTGAGGAGGTGTTCCACTTAGAGAGGTTCAATAAATATAAAGTCACAGGACTATGAAAGGTGTTCAACCTACACAAATGTTCCACTTATACAGGGTGGGCCAAAAAAAATGCCACTTTTTTTTCAAGACACTACAACTTTTTTATTTTCCAACCAACATACCCCAAATTTTGAAGTTATATAGTGCCAAGGGTTCTTAGTAATAATATAATGTAACAAGTCCTTCAACTTGGATTATATTTGATCTAAAAGGGGAGTTCAATTGGTCCGCCACCCTAATTAATGATATATTTTAGTTTTAGTCGCCTTGCTGATATTGCAGTATCAATGAAATGTTAGCTAAGTTTTTTTCAACCTGTCTTAATTGCCAGCTTTAGTTGAGCAATTTTCTAGATAGGGTGCCTTCATACAATCTCCTGGAGACCTAACCATACCCTATACTCACTGGGGTTTGCATCAAGGCTATTAGCTTGGCGATCATCAGGCCGTATCAGTTCAGGAACATTTTGCAAATTATGCTTATTTCTCATGGCACACCACATGTTTAAGTGAGACGCTGGTGACATATTTTATTCAAGTAAAAGTACATAATTTATGATCCATGGCTAGATAACAACCTCAAGTTTCATTTGGTATGCAAATTATGATTTAATATCAAAAATTAAAAAAGTTATAGCATTTTGAAAAAAAGTGGCGTTTTTTTTGGCCCACCCTGTAGAGGTGGACAGGTTTTATTTTACTACATCTGGTTATGAAATGTTTATCTTGAATGATGGATCTGGTTATTATATGGCTATTAGAATTAATATTATCCTACACTTAGTGTGCTGTATGTATAATAATATTAAAAAATAAATTTGATATCTATTGGCAAAATGAATAACTGGAGGATATCGCCACGATATACTCTGGAAACCAATATGCGGAGGATATCGTGACGATATACTCCGTAAAACTCAATATGCGGAGGATATTGTGATGATATACTCCGCTTGTTTATTTCTCGCCAAATTGACTCTATTTGGCATGAAATTCATTTTCAATGTTATTATACATTTAGTACACTCTTTGTAAGTGTAGGATAATAAGAAAATCCTATGATTTTTTTCAGAATATCATTTTAATCTACTCGCTGATATTGAATGATATATGCACTCATTCGCTTTGCTCTCTCGTGCAGATATCAATATCACCTCGTAGATAAAAATGATATTCCTCAAAATCATAGGATATCCTTTAAATATACAAAATTTGTATTTGTGATATTGTTTATTTGTATTCTGTTTTGTGATAAAAAGCTTCAAAATTAGTGATATACAAAATTGGTATTTTGATATTGTTTATTTGTTTCGTGTTTTGTGATAAAAGCTGAAAAATGGCATATAACTTGGAGAAATCAGGTGAAATGATATTATGGCATATTAATTAGAAATGCTTCTTAGAACTATAACAGTAGGTGGTTTAAAGAATGTAATTTCAATAAGCTGCAAACAAAGTTGAGCCACAGGTGAAATGAATGCACTGTTTTTAGATTGACCATTGTTTGAGTGATGATCAATAAGTATTGGATGCTTTTTTACACAGATAAGTTTAATAAATCAATCTCCTTTCAAAGGTGATTTGTAATTTAAATGAAAATTCAACAAAAATTTGAAGACAAAATTACGTCATATATTCTAGAGCTACTTTGAGAAATTAAGGTTGATGATTATGCTATTTAGGAAAAATAAATTTTACGACATCAAACTTATAAAAAGTGGTGGAAATCAAAGAGCTTGGCTTATGAGAAGTATGTGTAAAAATCCTCAATTACTTATTGTTATAGCCATTGGCACTAGGGTGCAGCTACTGAAATATAATTGTCTTAAATGTTCCGGGTTTACTTTAGAACTAACCTCAGCACACAGAGTATAGATAGGAAAAAGTTTAGACCACCCAAACCCATTCTGGTATGCCAGAGCCCCTCTTATCTGCCGTTTGCGAGAGAAGGAAAAAGACAAAGGGGGCGCGGCTATCGCGATGACCCAAACCCACTCACCCCAAGTTTAATACATAAACCTAATGGCAAGTCTAGCAGTTTTCAGCTGGTAAGACTAAATTGCCAAGGTTTTAAATGCTTCATATTTGTAATTACCGGTAGATGGATTTATTTCAGCTTCTCCAGATATTGAGTTACATCGTGAACATGTAGGCAGTGATAGTGAAGGTAGTCTCGTACATTAGATCGTGCTTAGGCTCACCACTGTGCTATTATAAAACTATGTCGCATCATTCTTGCAACCACACACTTCATCTAACTTATATACGCTTTGCATATTCTACATTTTAATTGTCAAATGATCTTTTTGGCATGTAAAATGTCTGATTTCTACATTTTGAATTCATAATTCTAATATCAAAGTCCCAGTTGATATCAATTGATATTAATTGTGCATTTACATTTCCTTTTCTCTGGGTTTCTCAGTTCTGAACTGAAGGATCTGATTTGAGAATTTGCAGTTATGTTCTTTTGAAATGTACCATTTAAAGATTCGTGACATTTATACAGGTCCCTGTTTTTAGTCAATTACAACCTTATTGATGGAGGTACTTACAGATTTCAAATGACGGCACATGAAAATCAGGCCTACTGACAATATTCACAGTTTCAATTGAAATGATTACTTTTCTGTGATTCACTGAAATCCAAGATTAAATGCTGTGTCATCTAAATCTCTGACGTGATTAATTCTCTTTTATTAAAGATCGAGGCATGAGGTATAACTTATAAATATATGGGAATTGATTTACTGAGCAACAGAGTTTTTAGAACATGCAACAGGATAAACAGAGGTATAAATGAATTCTTATTTCATGCTGCTTCAAGGGGTGAATCCATGATTAAAAGTTACATGAGTTAGATGGAAGCCATTGAACTGGTGAATTTTAGATTGTTGATGCTTCATGTTATTTTCTGTGATTTTAAGATTAGAACACATCTCCATAGCGCCAACCCGGGCCCTGCCTCTCCAACCCGGGCCCTGCCTCTCGCTTCTCCCTGTAGACGAAATGCTATAGTTACATGTACTATGCTTATTTGCTTGCAACACAATATCCATTGCTACCTGCTAATTTAGAATTTTGTGAAAACCAACTTATAGAACAAGAATTACCTCTAATAAATAGACCTATTTGTAATTTTACTATCGAGAATTCAATTCCACTCTTTAGCCAAGCCAAGAATTTACTTCAGTTAATCTAATTCTCCTGTTTTAATTTTTTTACTTCTATTTACATTTTTAAGTTTTACTTAACCACTCACAAAACCAATTATATTCAACTGCTTCTTCTGCCATGACTGATGTATCCAAAATGTTTTGATAATGAATTTCAAAAATGAATATTTGCAGAATAGTTTAGAAATATGTTACCTACCCCAGGATAAATTTAATCCAAAACCTCCCATTGAATAAATTTTGTATACTTGCCTAATCGAATGTGTTTCCAAATTTCATAAAAATTCATAAAAATTTTCTGTCTGGGCTCAGTAGCAGTCAAAGTATGAAAGCAACACTAATATCATGTAGAATTGTATTTTTGTTGTTCCAGCTAAATAATCAGCTTTTTAGTCACCACCAAGAATGTTTAACACATTGTTATTCAACAGTTTTTACTGGTGTTTAGCATCAGCGAATTGTCCCTTTAACATGTTGCACTTTGTCCTTTTCTTTATTTTGCTTTATGTCTGGATGGTGCTTTGTTTTCAGTTCAAGTATCTGGCAATGTTAAGGGTCCAGTGAACAAGGCCTTTCAGAAGGTCTACCAGTTGGCAGGGAGGGCCAGGCAGTTTGAGAAGAGCATCAAGAAAGCGGCAGGTCACCTAAAAAGACTTGGAGATGAAAATGATCGTGAAAGGTATGTGTAATGTGAATGCTATTGGAACGTAGTTGTAGTTGCCATGGGAACTGTATGTGCGTAGTTCCCATGGTGCAACTGTCATGATTTTCTCTCTAATAATTATCTACTGCACGTCATAATCAATCAAATCAACACATATCTATTTCAATAGATAGCTACAGATTCTAATGATGCCATTCTCAGATTATTGCACATTGCATTGTTTTAATTCTAAACAATTGATCCAAATGTCATAATATTGCCCCTATATCGGAACATTATTATGACTAATATACACCACATTAATTCAGGAACATTTGTAATGAATTAATGGATAATTAGAAACTGTATATAGCCCTTGTTTCTTTTTATAGCACCATTTGCTGTATCGGATCAGTTTGCCCATTGTGCTGGTTAATGGGCGGGCATCCCACTTAATTTTGTCTATGCTTTTCCAGGCAAACAGTTTGATGGATTAATCTGAAGTTTTCTCTTAAGTTTTTTTCATGACCACTCTGATTATCAAACTCATCAATATCTATGTTGAAATCATGTTACAAAAAAGCATGTACATATCATTTCGTAGATTCTCAGTTACGCTCTAGAACTTGACATTTTAAGCTATATTTCACTCTGATTCTCAAACTCATCAATATCTATGTTGAAATCATGTTACAAAAACAGCATGTACATATCATTTCATAGATTCTCAGTTACGCTCTAGAACTTGACATTAAGCTATATTTCACTCTGATTATCAAACTCAACAATATCTATGTTGAAATCATGTTACAAAAACAGCATGTACATATCATTTTATAGATTCTCAGTTACGCTCTAGAACTTGACATTAAGCTATATTTCACTCTGATTATCAAACTCAACAATATCTATGTTGAAATCATGTTACAAAAACAGCATGTACATATCATTTCATAGATTCTCAGTTACGCTCTAGAACTTGACATTAAGCTATATTTCACTCTGATTATCAAACTCAACAATATCTATGTTGAAATCATGTTACAAAAACAGCATGTACATATCATTTCATAGATTCTCAGTTACGCTCTAGAACTTGACATTAAGCTATATTTCACTCTGATTATCAAACTCAACAATATCTATGTTGAAATCATGTTACAAAAACAGCATGTACATATCATTTCATAGACTCTCAGTTACGCTCTAGAACTTGACATTAAGCTATATTTCACTCTGATTATCAAACTTATCAATATCTATGTTGAAATCATGTTACAAAAAAGCATGTACATATCATTTCATAGATTCTCAGTTACGCTCTAGAACTTGACATTAAGCTATATTTCACTCTGATTATCAAACTCATCAATATATATGTTGAAATCATGTTACAAAAACAGCATGTACATATCATTTCATAGATTCTCAGTTACGCTCTAGAACTTGACATTAAGCTATATTTCACTCTGATTATCAAACTCATCAATATCTATGTTGAAATCATGTTACAAAAAAGCATGTACATATCATTTCATAGATTCTCAGTTACGCTCTAGAACTTGACATTAAGCTATATTTCACTCTGATTCTCAAACTCATCAATATATATGTTGAAATCATGTTACAAAAACAGCATGTACATATCATTTCGTAGATTCTCAGTTACGCTCTAGAACTTGACATTAAGCTATATTTCACTCTGATTCTCAAACTCATCAATATATATGTTGAAATCATGTTACAAAAACAGCATGTACATATCATTTCATAGATTCTCAGTTACACTCTAGAACTTGACATTAAGCTATATTTCACTCTGATTCTCAAACTCATCAATATATATGTTGAAATCATGTTACAAAAACAGCATGTACATATCATTTCGTAGATTCTCAGTTACGCTCTAGAACTTGACATTAAGCTATATTTCACTCTGATTATCAAACTCATCAATATCTATGTTGAAATCATGTTACAAAAAAGCATGTACATATCATTTCGTAGATTCTCAGTTACGCTCTAGAACTTGACATTAAGCTATATTTCACTCTGATTATCAAACTCATCAATATCTATGTTGAAATCATGTTACAAAACAGCATGTACATATCATTTCATAGATTCTCAGTTACGCTCTAGAACTTGACATTTTAAGCTATATTTCACTCTGATTCTCAAACTCATCAATATCTATGTTGAAATCATGTTACAAAAACAGCATGTACATATCATTTCATAGATTCTCAGTTACGCCTATCTAGAACTTGACATTAAGCTATATTTCACTCTGATTATCAACTCATCAATATCTATGTTGAAATCATGTTACAAAAACAGCATGTACATATCATTTCATAGATTCTCAGTTACGCTCTAGAACTTGACATTAAGCTATATTTCACTCTGATTCTCAAACTCATCAATATATATGTTGAAATCATGTTACAAAAAAGCATGTACATATCATTTCGTAGATTCTCAGTTACGCTCTAGAACTTGACATTTTAAGCTATATTTCACTCTGATTCTCAAACTCATCAATATCTATGTTGAAATCATGTTACAAAACAGCATGTACATATCATTTCATAGATTCTCAGTTACGCTCTTGAACTTGACATTTTAAGCTATATTTCACTCTGATTATCAACTCATAAATATCTATGTTGAAATCATGTTACAAAAACAGCATGTACATATCATTTCATAGATTCTCAGTTACGCTCTAGAACTTGACATTAAGCTATATTTCACTCTGATTATCAACTCATCAATATATATGTTGAAATCATGTTACAAAAACAGCATGTACATATCATTTCATAGATTCTCAGTTACGCTCTAGAACTTGACATTAAGCTTATTTCACTCTGATTCTCAAACTCATCAATATATATGTTGAAATCATGTTACAAAAACAGCATGTACATATCATTTCGTAGATTCTCAGTTACGCTCTAGAACTTGACATTAAGCTATATTTCACTCTGATTATCAAACTCATCAATATCTATGTTGAAAGCATGTACATATCATTTCATAGATTCTCAGTTACGCCTATCTAGAACTTGACATTTTAATCTACCTCGAATAAGTTGTTATTTTATCTAGAACTTGACATATTATGCTATATTTCACTCTGATTATCAAACTCATCAATATCTATGTTGAAATCATGTTACAAAAACAGCATGTACATATCATTTCATAGATTCTCAGTTACGCTCTAGAACTTGACATTAAGCTATATTTCACTCTGATTATCAAACTCATCAAAATCTATGTTGAAATCATGTTACAAAACAGCATGTACATATCATTTCATAGATTCTCAGTTACGCTCTAGAACTTGACATTAAGCTATATTTCACTCTGATTCTCAATCTCATCAATATCTATGTTGAAATCATGTTACAAAAACAGCATGTACATATCATTTCATAGATTCTCAGTTACGCTCTAGAACTTGACATTAAGCTATATTTCACTCTGATTCTCAAACTCATCAATATATATGTTGAAATCATGTTACAAAAACAGCATGTACATATCATTTCATAGATTCTCAGTTACGCTCTAGAACTTGACATTAAGCTATATTTCACTCTGATTCTCAAACTCATCAATATATATGTTGAAATCATGTTACAAAAACAGCATGTACATATCATTTCATAGATTCTCAGTTACGCTCTAGAACTTGACATTAAGCTATATTTCACTCTGATTATCAAACTCATTAATATATATGTTGAAATCATGTTACAAAAACAGCATGTACATATCATTTCATAGACTCTCAGTTACGCTCTAGAACTTGACATTAAGCTATATTTCACTCTGATTATCAAACGCATCAATATCTATGTTGAAATCATGTTACAAAAACAGCATGTACATATCATTTCGTAGATTCTCAGTTACGCCTATCTAGAACTTGACATTAAGCTATATTTCACTCTGATTCTCAAACTCATCAATATATATGTTGAAATCATGTTACAAAAACAGCATGTACATATCATTTCATAGATTCTCAGTTACGCTCTAGAACTTGACATTAAGCTATATTTCACTCTGATTCTCAAACTCATCAATATCTATGTTGAAATCATGTTACAAAACAGCATGTACATATCATTTCATAGATTCTCAGTTACGCTCTAGAACTTGACATTTTAAGCTATATTTCACTCTGATTCTCAATCTCATCAATATCTATGTTGAAAGCATGTTACAAAAACAGCATGTACATATCATTTCATAGATTCTCAGTTACACTCTAGAACTTGACATTAAGCTATATTTCACTCTGATTCTCAAACTCATCAATATATATGTTGAAATCATGTTACAAAAACAGCATGTACATATCATTTCATAGATTCTCAGTTACGTTCTAGAACTTGACATTAAGCTATATTTCTTTCTGATTCTCAAACTCATCAATATATATGTTGAAATCATGTTACAAAAACAGCATGTACATATCATTTCGTAGATTCTCAGTTACGCCTATCTAGAACTTGACATTTTAATCTACCTCGAATAAGTTGTTATTTTATCTTTTCTGGAACTCAATCAAATAAGACTAATTTTTACAGTTTCTTTCTACACAAACATTTGAATGAAAACAACTTTGGTAATGATACATAATGATACATATGTACATACAGTGAGTGCAATTTTTATTATGTCACCACCACAAGTTATGACATATTGTTATAGTCTCCACCTTTTTTGTCGGGGTATTTGATGGGTGGCAGTCAGACTTCTGAGTTTGCCACCTGTAACAAATGGCAGGTTGTGACATTTTGTACGATATGTTAATACGTTGTTAATACCTTGTTTAAACTTCATTTACTAAGTTGAAACTAAGTTGAAAGAAAATATCAATATAGCTGCCCTGAAAATCTAGGTTCTTCACTTCAAGCTGAAATACAGTGAATGGCAATTTTGCTAGCTTATGTATTTCTGTTCATCGCTAATATTTCATCCTCATTTGTTTTATCTATTTACTTTGTATCAAGTAG